CAAGTTTGGCTTCATTTTGATTGGCCTAAAGGGGTTTTGCTTATTGAACGCGAGTCAGGTGAAAATATATCCTGCCCATTCGAAAGAAAGAACAGTCTTCGTGTCTCTTCTTGATCACTTAGGCCTTGCCTGTATGATTTAAATATGACTTTGCATTCTGTTCAGCCATCTATATTTTATCCTGTCACTCACTTAGACAGGTATTCCTGCGTGTATATATCTGCAACTGGAACAGATAAGTTTGAATAAAATACACTGATAAGCCCTTCGCATCACTGACTGCACAGTTAATAAGAACGTGTATCATATGCACACCCCCATATTAATTGTGTTTACACTAGCAAGTCCTTTGAGTGCACCTGACACTACAAGGGTATATTTCACTGTATATGTATTCATTGACCGCAAGTTTGAGATATCTGGATATTAAACAAGTTTTCGTTTTAACGGAATGGAAAGAAATTGAGTATTACAACAACTAAAAAAAAATTAAGAAGAGGAGATTAATACTTATATCCATCTTTAGACCTCATTACCGAAGTCTGATCGATTTGATTATTGTATTAACTAAAAAAATAAGTACATGAGTGTGCTCACAAAACTCATCCCAGTTTTAACTATTTGCTAAGGTTGATCTTGGGGCGTGTTTAAGGTTTACATTGCCGTATAAACGGCCAGGAAACACTGTTCTTAACTGATACTTCAAGTCATGCAGCGCCATCAAAACGCGATGCATGTTTACTCTAGTTTCAAGCAGATTGAATATTTCTTTGATATCAAAGCGAATCTCTTTAGGACCTCCTTAACCGTGTGCGAGATACAAACGTAACAATCAGTCAAGTGAAAATCTTAACAGTGCGCGAGAAACTAACGTAACAATCATCAAAAGAGAATCTTAACAGTGCGCGAGATACTTACGTAACAATCCCTTAAAAGATTATCTTAACAGAGCGCGAGATACTAACGTAACAAGTCCTTAAAAGAGCATCTCAACAGAGCGCGAGATACTAACGCAACAACCCCTTAAAAGAGACTCTTAACAGTGCGCGAGATACTAATGACGCAACAATCCTTCAAAAGGGAATCCAAGCAATGCGCAAGCGCAAGATACTGACGTAACAATCCTATATAAGAGAATCATATAAGAGAATCTTCAAAGTGCGCGAGATCCTAATGTAACAATCCCGTAAAAGAGAGTTTTAACAATGCGCGAGATACTAACATAACAACCATCAAAAGATAATCTTTAAAGTGCGATAAATACTAACTTAACAATCCCTTAACAAGGAATCTTCAAAGTGCACGAGATACTTACGTAACAATCCCTCAAAAGAGAATCTTCAAAGTGCGCGACATACTAACGTAACCGTGGTCCCATAAAAGAGAATCTTTAAAGTGCGTAAGTTACTAACGTAACAATCCCTTAAAATAGAATGTTCAAAGTGCGTAAGTTACTGACGTAACAATCCCTTAAAATAGAATCTTCTGAGTGCGCGAGATACTAACGTAACAATCCCTTAAAAGAGAATCTTCAAAGTGCGCGAGATACTAACGTAATCGTGGTCCCTTAAAAGAGAACTTCAAAGTGCGTAAGTTACTAACGTAACAATCCCTTAAAAGAGAATCTTCAAAGTAAGCAAGATACTAACGTAACAATCCCTTAAAAGAGAGTCTTCAAAGTGCGCGAGATACTAACGTAACCGTGGTCCCTTAAAATAGAATCTTCAAAGTGCGTAAGTTACTAACATAACAATCCCTTAAAAGAGAATCTTCAAAGTGCGCAAGGTACTAACGCAAAAATCCCTTAAAGGGAATCTTGACAGTGCGCTAGAAAGTAACGTAAAAATCCCTTTCAGAGAATCTTAACAGTGCGCGAGATACTAATGTAACAACCCATCAAATAGCAATCCTAACCATGTGCGAGATAATAGTAGGTCAACGTAACAATCCATGAAAAGAGAATCTCATCACGAGATACTAACCTATAACAACTCAACAAAAGAGAATCTTAGCAGTGTGCGAGATACTAACGCAACAATCCATAAAAAGACGATCCTGACAATATGCGAGATACTAATGTAATCATCGAACAAGATGTAAGCTGTTTCGTTTTAGACTAGGATAAGAGTTTGTTTACCATGTGTCTGTGGTCTTCAATGCCAAAGAAACAATTCGTAGAAAGAACGAACATCCTGAAGAGCTTAATCTGTTCGTGTTGTCCTTCAGCAGCATAATTAAAATATAAAACTGTTCTAATGAGGCCTTAAACTGCTGTTTAAAAAGTAAAATCCAAGCTTTCGCCGATCAACGACATCATCAGGGATGAGAAAATATTCCGGGCGCGCTATATATATGCAAAGAAAGTGTAAGGTGAAATGTGTAAAAGCTGTGACTTATGTCTGAAAGCTAAAGAAATAAACTGTGAATGGAACACAAGGCTCTAATGATGGACTGTCTCAGGACAAAGGACCTCTAGAGGACCTAAAAACACCGTCGGAGCAACTTTATACGAAAAATGAGAAACAGGTTATTTTAGGCTGCGAGCTGTCAAGTACAGTATTATGCGCTGGCCAAAATTTATGCCTCAGCTTTTGGGGTTCCAATTCCATGAAGTCTCCGTTCGTTTTTACAAAAGAAAGTTAAGAGATGCTGCCGAATAAATATGTTATTCACCAGACGGGAGGTCCGTATTGGGAAAAACTGTGCCCGAGGTCTACGGACTCGGGCGGTACACAAGACAGAGGGCACAGTTTTCCCCAATATGGACCGACCTTGGCTGGTGAATAACATTTTTATTTTTTCCTAAAACCTAACAAATGTTTGCGAAAAGAACCTATTGAGCCGTGAGCGAGCCGGATGGGGAGAATACTGCCCGCTCTCGGAACCAATCAGATTGCAGGATTTGTAGAATAACGCTCGCTCACGAACTGAGAAAAAATAATTAAACATATTCACTGCCATCAAGGGAAAGTAATGGAATCAATTAGCTTTTCTTACTTTTTTATTGATGTCTTTTTCAGTCGGCAAAAGATTATAACAAGGCTCAATTAAAGGTCGGGGATCGTTCCGGTTGGCTTGCTTATCGACGCCCAATTGTGGCCACTAAAATTTTCAAGTTTATGAGTAGAATTAGCTAAACACTGGCTCGATTAGGTCAACTGCTTGAGGGAAAAAAGTTAATGGTGCGAAGTATAAACTGAGGTGATCGGGTCAAATTGGTGTAAGAGTTGGTGATTAGACGGCATGTAACTAAAACATCACTATTGTAGTTCAAGTCTGAGAAAAATAAGAGAGGATTTTTTTAGCTTCATCTAAAAATTGGTACGGGTTGTATAATCGATGGGGAGCGAAAATTAAATCGGCGGAATATCGGCTTTCTCTTTCCGACGACAACCCCCTAAGGGAGCGGGCCGACGAAAGGAATGATCATTAACCAGGTTAATAAGGCATGAAGCGGAAACAGGTCACTAGTGCCATACTGATAATTTTAGATTTTTTAGCGATATTTATTATCGTGTTAATACAGAAGTGAAGCGTCGAAACTCTCCGGTAGCGACATCATCAAACTAAAAGAAATCTGTTAGGGGAGAGGGATTACACTGATAGACAGGCCAGACTGTTTTCAAATGGTTTATTTTAATTGACAGATGTTTGTATATATTTAGTAAACGTCAGTGAAGAATGTATATACGATAGGCCTCACTTAATTCAGTGAATGATAGGAAAGTGATACATCGAACTGATCCGATCGAAACTACTTTAAATATCTCTTAAATGTATTCTGCGATCTTGTGCTTCATCGTTTCACGTACTTTCTTAGCTGTAAAGTTTGTTTTATTTCGACATTTGTTCCATTTTTTTTTCGCGCTTGAAGAATTTTAAACTGATCTCGGAGACCTCTCTCGTTCAAGTGGCTTTACAGGGATTATCCATGATTCTTGCATACTTGGGTTTGTGGACGCCAAAAACAAGTTTTACGTTTAATTCCAAACCTGGGTGGGACGAATTTTAAACTTCCGGAGTGAATGAGTGACGGCAAAATAAAACCATTTAAAAATGGGGATAAGAAAAACGAAAGGAAAACTGGAAACTAGCGTTGGATTTCAATATATTTTTATCAAATTGTCGATGATACAAGTGTGATTGAATATTCTTCTACTCGTGACGATCAGTTGACCCGAATCGAAAGCACTCATATCATACAAATTGATCATGCATTCCATTTGCTCGATAAAGGTTCAGATTAAAATCATAAGCATCATTTGATATTTACTATAAATTTTGCTTGTGAATGGTTGCATAATCTAGAATGCCTTTAAGTGCCTCGAAAACGGGGAACATTCAGATTGAACAGATTTCCGTTTTAACGGTTTCTGCAAAATATAACTTGGTTAATTGGTTATCATTGCTGTTCCCTTGATTTAGTAAAATTATTAACGCAAGATCGGCGATCTATGTTATCGATTCTCGATTGTAGCACCTATTTCAATCAACTCCTTTTCATTTTTATTTTTCGGTATCTTTTCACCTTCATGACAGCTGGGCAACTTCTCTGCTATTGTTGCTACCAAACTATTACTAAAATAAACAGATTATAAAAAGGGTGCCAACAGCCGCCTTTGAATGCCACAAACCCGCTTATTTCTCGCTCGAAAAAGCAAGGCTAAAAGTATTATTTAAACTTCCTCACAAGAATCTTCTTATTCTTGGACTTCAGTTTTGTTGCATTTACACAGTACATAGATAATCCGTCATTTTTGATCATGTACTGTCCAAGCAGCGGCCAAGTCGTAATCAACGAACAACCAATCAGAATACGAGCTGTTGGTCATCTGATCGCAAAGTCAACAGACGAAAGTTTCCTTTCGGGCAAGAAAAACATGGCGGTGAATTTGATGAGTCGTTTGTTTTTGAAGTAGGATTTTTAACGTTGTACTTTGCGAAACTCAAGATGGGTTGATTTAAACGATGAAATATAGGACTTGGCTGACTAGTGCAGAATGGATAAACATGACCGCTTTATCGGTGAGATTTTCGTTAGTGAGCTCGACGCTTTCACAATTCATCTTCTATTTTGCCTGCGTGTTTTTTGTATCTTCTTCTTCCATTATTATTCCTATGCTTTTTATTTGTCTACGAAGTTTTCAGAGCTCTCACTTGTTTATGTAGTTGTATTGAAAACATCTTAGACTCAGTGATCTTTTAATCGGCGTCTTCTTATGGGCGCTTTTTAGGCCTCGACAACATGAAACCTCCGTGCTAACATAACTCTCTCTATCGACAGCTATCAACCAAACGCTACCCGGGTTGGAAGAATTTCTTAAAGAGGTTCTTGGTAGCGAGCCATTGAGTGACGAAGCGAATAAACAACGAATTGAATTTCTTAGAAGATTAGAGAGTGTATCAAGGCCGCCATCTTTGCCCCCGAGACCTGCAAATTTGGGTGAAATTTATCGCGCTCGACTACAGAAAAACGACGGTCCTTCCGGAAGCGGCTCCCAAGATGAAAATAGTGTTTATAAAAACGAGAAAACGATAGACCCAGTCGAGTTTGCTTCACAGCAACGTGAACTATCCAGAGCTACAACTGTCCATAAAGCTTTGCCTCCACAAACTTTTTTGTTCGGTGAGAAAGGAAGCCGCAACGGAGGCTTGTATATTCAGAGGTCGGGAAATACGAGGGTAAGAGTGAATGTTGTTGTTGAATACAATGTTCTGGCGTTTCGCGTTGGATGTGTCATGGCATGGCGTTGATACATAAGTTTGTTATGCAGTAACCTCTCGTACGTGACTGTATTTATTATTCAGAGTAATGCTAGTCCTCCCTGCGGCAAATTGTAGCACCGGCATAAAAACGTGAACTAATTCTGAAAGCACGAAGCCGACTTCTCTACTAGCGTCCTACACGTTGTGAGTCAAATGCACAGTGCATGGTGTGAATATCGTTTTTCTTTTGATATAAAGTGAATTAAGATTGATTTGACGCACCGAGTTGAATCGGTTCAAGGATTGTGGAATTTTATTGTTGATGAAGTTATCGCTCGGAAAGAAATCTATCATCTCTCAGTTCAAGTGAAGATTTCAACAGCGATAAACTGATTGAAACTAACATAGTCAATCTGATAAGAATGCTTTTCGTCCTTTAATTTCTGTCCGTTGTCTTTCAACACGAATTCTATTTATACGGTTTAGCCATTCAAATATAATTTCGTCATTCTTTTAACTTGAGAGAGACAAAAGCTCTTTTGTTCTGTAGGCTTTTAAATAAACCTGCTACTGTTCATGAAAACGACTTTTCTTTGTGTCAAAGGAAGGTTCATCCACCCTTTAAAATTATATCGTCGTTCAACTTTTGGCCACAGAAAAATATACATAGAAATGTATGTCATTTTTCACCTTTTTTGTTTGAGAATATATGAAGTTTTACAATATATGTAGATTATCTAGAATGTGTCACTCTGCATACTAAAAAGTATGCAGAGTGGAACACTATATACAGAGAGTTACAATTCGAGTTTCGGGCTCTAAACTATCATCCAACTTCAATTTTTTGCAGGAACAAAACATTAAGTAACTGCTCTGTCTTGACATATTTTTATGGGAATAGAATAGGCTCTAAGTTGTTGTATCCTTTTTAAAATAATTGCTTCAATATCAGTGCTCTATTAGGACCTAATCACTTAAATACATTGAAAGCAGTTAACTTTTAGTCAGTAGAAAACTAAATCCAAAACATATACATGAACTACATTTTAATCTGAAACTATTTTAATCAACTCCAGTAATTATTTTTGTAAAAGACAGGGTAGCAAAATATGTATATGAAAACTTTTTTTGTGTGAATCCAAGCACATATCTCAGATCAATGTCCATATTTTATGTTAAAATTGTCATTGTGATCAATAATATGATCCAAAGATTATCTACAGCCACCAAGTTAATGGGCTTAAAATATTCTTCTGGTCTTTTCTTAAAAGGGAATGGGTCAAACCATGTCATGTTTATAAATAACACAGATGTATAGGGCAAAAGAAATTGTAAATGTTATCCTAAGGAAAGCAATTAATTGCAAAATCAATGGAAGACAAGAGTACTGAAAAAAATCTGCTGTCACATCTTTCACCTTTAGAGCATTTTGTTTACAAATTTTTGGCTCAAGATAAATTTTTATTGTGTAAAGCAAGTTTCTCCCTCTATTCTCTTCATTACAAAGTGATGTAGGTTTTATATTCCAGAGTGTGTGAAAGTGTGAGGTACTGATTGCATTCTTTAGAAATTTCTGGAAGGTTCATGGATAGACAGGGCTATGCTAATTTGAGTGAAAAGTGTGTTATTGTGACAGTGTCACTAGACCATGTCATCATCCAAGACACTTTTGAGAGCACCTTCTAAAGCTTTGATCAGTGTTGTCAGAGCTTTCTGTCATCTTTTGAATTGTCAACAAGGTGTTAATATTGACACAATTTTCCTTGGTCAGTTCTTTTTTGATCTCTGACACACAATTCCTAACTGCTGGGAATTTTTTGATGATTTGGAAGTTCGCCTTAAAGGGCCAGAGCTTTAGCTTAATGTGGATTATTAAGTTGATGCGCTGTTCTTAAAAATGTCAAATTTGGTATCACAGTAAAGGAATGTCATGTTTTGAGTGTGGTTCCATTGTGGCATCCCCTGACTATGCCTTAAAAATTTCTCTTTAAAGTAAACTGTGAAAGTGAGAAATCTGTGGCTTTCTCCTGTTACGTCAAATTTTTATTGGCATTGTTAATATTTCAGGCAATCTTTTTTATCCAAAGCAATTAATGGGACATTTAACTTTTATTATGGCTGTCTCTCCCTTTGGCCCAATTTTTCAAATAGCTTCATGCAGATTGCATCATGCGCAAACAAATTTGCGGTTTGTGTGTATTTTTCTTTGATCTAAGAAGCTGATGTGTTATTATATTTTGAAGTTTGGTGACTAATTATTTTACTTTGTGTTTTGAAATTGATACCCTTCTAGACATTTTGGTGCCAAGTAAGGGTCAATAATTGTATTCTGAGCAAAGATTCATTAAGATGCAAGCAGAATGATGAAATTACATAATCAAATTATGGTATCCCCTCAACTATACAAGGACAATTGAACTCCTTAGAGTTAAATGAAAAATTGATAGAATTCTTAAATGAAATCATAATTGTTCTAAACTAAGATCAGAATTGTTCTTAGTAGTTGTTTATACCAAAAACTTTATATCTAGCAGATTTCTGTTATGGTCAGTTACAAGAAATTTCATCCCAAAACTCATTTCAGTTAATTTTATTTATTTTATGGTTGTATATAGCTCTATACACAGATAAATGAAAACAAATTATTTTTGTATTTTAAATAAATAAGCTATCTAAGGAAATGTACAATATGACTCCGTAATACCATGATTTAAAGGTAATCCAAACAACCAAATGTTGAAGCTTACAAGTAATTTTGATCTCAAGCAGTCATGAAGCAAATCTGTGCTTTCATTTGGTACTAATTCCTAAAGAATTGTACAGCATTGAGTTTATTTTAAACTTTGGTATAATTGTATATTGTTGTATGCTATACTTAGGTATGCTTTCCCAATACAATTGCAAATCTAGACATTTGATGGAAAAATTGTTGCATAACCTTGAAAGATATCAATGGAAGCTATCAAACATCCCTTTTGTTTTTTTCCCCTTGATGAGCAGAGGAACAATTAGGAGCTGCACAAAAAGGCATTTATGACTCAAATGATTACATTTTGTGATAAACAGGACACTGACAATACAGTTGCTACACGCTGTGGTTTGCACAAATGGCCAGGTTTCTGGGTTGTTTTTCAAAATTGCAGTGCCTGCTGTTGAATTAGCACATTTGTAAACAATTTCCAAACAGCCAGGTTATTCTTTGAAATCTCTTAACATGAGCAGAGGTAAATAATTTTTGATGGCACCAATGAATATTATTTGGTTTGCAACATATTTTTTTCCTTTAACAATGTTCATTTTAAGATAATGGTATATGTATGATTTTGTATGCTATTTGTGCCATAAGATTTTTGCAGCTTTGATTGTTAGTCATTTTTAGTTGATTCTTGGAAGGACTTCAGTCTTGTATTAGTTTTTAAGCAAAGATGTCCTATCATATTTATTAGAGAGCTGCTCCAATTAAGTGGTTACATAGGTTAATGCTGTTTAGCCACTCACTTCAACAGAGTAGTGAGGGCTGATTGATTCAGTCAAAATATTTCCAAGAAAAACCAATTACATTCCAGTCAGATTCTTCTATACATTTGTATTGGTTTTGATTCACTACCCTCATACATGAGCATTGAAACCTAGGGGTAAGTTGTGCTAGACATAATCATGTACACAAGGCTAAGGTGCAAAGCAAAGAACAACTAGCTTTGGGCTGATTGTGGATAATTAGATTTCTCGTCTGTTCCTTTTAGATATTTACCTCTGTTCTGATAACTTCGATTTTGAATTTTAAGCTCATAATCAGGAAGTTCCTCACACATGTTGGTCAATAAATATGAACATGATATTTGCAGTGATGTTGGTCAATTTGTTTCACTCTCACAAACTGACCACAGAGAGAGGATCTTGAAACAATAGTCTTAACTTAGTACTTTCTAATGCAATGCTCTTCCCTCAAATAAGTTACACGGTACCTAGCTTAGAATCTTTTCTTAAAAGTTCAACAAAATACTCAAAGACAGAGACTACTTGTGTTGCAGACAATAGCTTGTTGCAGTGAGGCTTATTCAGTCCAAAGCACTGTTTTGTAAACCCTTTTATCTGTAAGAGTAATTAGTGTCAAATTATACCTTACAGTATCACTTCTGAATCATAAATTATATTCATAGGAATAGAAGAAATCATTACTTACATGTCCTTAATAAGCTCTTGATTGTTAAGCAAATTCTCCTTGTCAGCACCTTAGTAAATGTATAGAGAAACAGTATAGAGAATAAGCATGCTGATGTTGGGGTTTAAAGGTTTAAACACACTTTTTTAAAAAAAAATAGACATTCTCTCTTCATTTACACTTTGTCTTCCTGTCAATTTACATCATAATAGATCAATCAGACTCCCTCTTTGCAGTTGTCTGATTTTGTTTATCACCTTTATTACTTAGAGTCAGCTGTTGTTCATGTTAGCTGCAGATGCTTGCTCTCCACTATAGGGTAATTAATTCAAGTTTTTTCATTACAGGATGTGCGAGACTCTATCATAAGTACAAGCAGTAATGAAGATGACATCTATGAACATCTTAGTCTAAAGAGCATCTCTCCTGTTGAGTCTTCGAAAGGACAGGAGGGTGAAGCAAGTTCTAAAACTGAAGACTCTTTTGTCTTTCCCAGTCCCCCTAAGACTCCCCAAGAGCATACATCAAGTATCTATTTACCAGCTCGCACAGGAAGTTTGAGGGGATCTGGAGGCAAGGGGAAACTCTCCACAGTATGGTAAGTACAGCAATATGTCAAGTTAATATCAGTAAGTTTGTTCCCTTCCCAGTTTGCTGCATGCCTAACAGAAATTCCAAGAGACCAAAAGATTTAGAGGAATGCTGTAAAATGTCTTTGGTCAGCAAAAGGCTTTTCCAATCTTCCTACTACACTTTGGTACCATTTCGTTGCTTCTATTTCAAACTTTTTTGGTTTATTTTAATGGGAGATGTGAGCGATGGTGGCAGCCATATAACTGGCGTGCTTGACTTAAAATTACAAGAATGAAGTTCATGTCCAAGCCAGGCTTATTAAAGTTTTAAAGTTTTAAAGTTTTAAAGTTTTAATTGTTAAAATCTCCTCTTGTTTCTTTCAGGTTTAAGAAAGAAACCAAATTGAATGAAGAAGTGTATGTATCAACCCTACGAGAACCTGTTATTCAAGGTTACCTGAAAGATGTCAAGGCGAACAAAAGACGCTGGTGTGTATTACAGGGTAATCGCTTACACATCTTCAAGAATCAAGAGGATCCTGCTATCATGATACTGTGTCTGCCTGAATGCGAAATAGGAGTTGATGACAAGAAGAAGATCAGTTACAGTTTTCGACTTACTCCATCTGATGGGCCTGGGGTGACATTAGCCATTGAGGATGGCCAGGACCTATCTCCATGGATGAGTGCGATAATGGCAGCAGCTGTACGGCGCAGCAGTCTCGGCAGGCCCATTAGTCCTCTAGAGGGTTTATTTAGCTTAGAGGAAGCAAGAGAACGGATGCGTTCTGCTGAAATAGATGGTGGAATAGAGGAGGAAGAAGAGGAAGAATTGGAAGACATTTATGAAAAACCAGTAGACTTCAATGTGGTAAGTGTTCTCTTTGCTCATTAGTCTCACTAGCAGCTGTTGTTTGATGAGGTCATGCAACCTGTTCTTTCCCCCACCAATGGCTGCATTGGTTGATAATGAAGGTGCAGTATGTTTTCAAAAACCCAATACCCTCCCAGGAAATTATGACCTGTTCCTTTGTTGTAAGATGTAGTTTACCATCAATTGGTGACATGTACGTGAGCAGTGTTATCCCTTTCAGGCAGCAACCAGTAAAATTTTTCATCTTTAGTACCTCTTATTACTGCCTAAAATTGCATGGGCTTCTTGAAAATTCAACAAGTAAAAGAATTGCTCTAAAAGTTTGAAAACTTCTTTTACCTGTCCTGCTTATGAAAAGGAAGAACACTGCATGTACTGTAAGTTTTTTTAAAGCCAGTGTTTATATTTTATGACCTATTCATTGATAGCTAACTGTGATTGAATTTCTTTTTTGTCGCAGGTAATGTTTTGCAATCCTTTTACATTGCTCTTTTTTGTTTTCCCACCAGAGCGGGATGCCTTTCGTTCACAGTACCCCAGAAACAATAGAATTCAAGGAAGATGAAGGTGAAGGCTATGATGCCCCCCTTCCTCCAATCCCTATTGGGGATGATTCCTCATCAGAAAGCAGCTCAGATGAAGACGAAAGTGCAGAGAGCAAAGGATCATCTAAAAAAGCTGAAGAAAAGAAGAAAATTTATGATGCAATTCCTCCTGATTTGTTGGCAGAACTCTCAGCTGGACAGCGTAAACGCAGTGAAACAAACAAAAGCCAGGATTCGATTTGTGAAGATGGGTCAACAAATGACCATTCGATGGATTTCACAGACAGTCATAGTGAACACAGTGGAAATATTAGTAATAGACACAGCTACATTGAGCCTATAGCATGCGATGATGTTGTGAGCTCTGAACCAAAAGAGGAGGAAACAACCGAAACATATTCACGAAAACGAACCTCCACAGTGCTCAGTGCAAGCATGGAGTCAATAGGCTCTGATGCAGAAGAAACTACAACTGTCTCTGTTATGTCACAGACAACTGAAACTAACAAAGGTTTAGGTCCCAAGGTGAAAAGGAGAAGAAAGCTTGTGCCAGCTGAAGCAGAGCAGAAGTTTCTTCAAGATCCTGATGCCATGCATAGTGGGATTTTGTATCAGAAGCGCAGGCTGGGCGTCTGGTCAAAACGCTACTGCAAGATTATTGACAATAGATTCAAGTGTTACCGGTGAGTTACAAATCAAGCAGAAAGCTCTCACACTTTAGTGTAATAAGCTGTACCAGAATTGTGTAAAGATCACTGTGGTGAAAGTGTGACAGCATATTATGTTGTCCATTTTACGTTTATCCTTTACAGTCTACTGCTGTGGTCAATTTATTTTAGTATTCCCCTAAGTTTAACTGCTCTCAACCCAGCATTCCATAAGAGTGTGATTATGGATGATGAACCTTAGTTTTTGGAGTCAAAGAGTACTCAAGACGTGTTTCCCAATGACAAAGAATGGGAAATAATTGTCCATTCTTCAACATAATACCTCTTTTCCCCTTATACAGTCACAGAAAACAGAGCTCAACAATGTTTAGGGGTAAATTCAATCAAAGTGAGGGAACAGGGAAAATATATTTTGTGTTGGCAGTATATTCCAGTCTTTACCCTTTAACTCCCAGGATCTGATTGTTAGTTTTCTCCTTTAGCTGCCGCACATTTCCTCGTGAATTAATCACAAGAATTTGGTGTTGGATCAAGGCAAAAACTTATACCTATTAATTTTGAGTATTCTGGTTACCAGTTTGCTTGATAATATATGGGTATTGTAGGGAAAGTCAAAGGTTAATGATTTCTGGGAATTAAAGGGCTAAAGGAATTGTAGCGACTCTTAATATCAGTTCATTACAGTGTCTGCCATACATATTTGACAGTTTTAGTCCCAAGAGTTTGATGTGATATCAAACAGTTTACATCAGTTGATATTTTCCTTTCTTCCTATCACCTTTTTGCTTGAAAATATATCGATATAATGGGAAAAAAATTCGTTTTTGAGTGATATGGATACGCAATGTGATATGTGATATACGAGTTTCGTACTGATTATGTTTGTGCCATTTCTTCTCAGCAATCCAGATGACCAGAAAGCAAGCTTAAATTTTCCAATCCTCGGTTATGATATAAGTCTGATTGACAATAAGGAATCAAAGAAGAGTTACTGCATCAAAATCTCTCATCCGAGCCAGGATACACATTACTTTGCCACAGATTCACGGGTATCAATTGAACGGTGGATTGAGGTTCTGTCTCTAGCGGCCACGGCAAGGCCAGATGTAATCGCACCATATCCACCTTACTTTTGTGCTGACCAGTCTGGAGATGAATTACAAAGCATGTCAAGGGAGTCCTTACTAAGTAGTGAGGTGAGACAGTGAATTTGATGAAAGTAGTATTGCCTTGTCAGTACAATACTCGCATGTTGTGTGTGGGAGTCTTTATCGCAAATCAAGTCTTCTGAACGAGCCTTGTGACCTACGCTGTCAGATCTTCTCCCATATTCCACAGCGTGAAATGACTACTAGTACAGCTTATTCAAACTCCCTAGGAATGAATTGCTAGTCCATCACAGATCACTCTCCCTCCCACCCATCCACCAGTATTTCGTCAGGTTTCCCTGACAATTTCCCGTACCTGTTTCTCCTCCTGAGTGGACAGTAGCTTTGTGAGAAAAAAAAGTGTCTTGCCCAAAACAGGCACATACAGGGGTTCGAGCCTGGTACTTTTTGTCTGGAGGCCAGCTATTTAGTTACAAGGACGAACGAAGTTAACGATATGACCAAAACATCGGTCTAACTCGGTTGCTTTTAAACAAAATCTTAGATGCATCATGCGCGTAAAGTCTCAAGGGGAAACTGTGATGTGCATTAGCCAGTCAAGGTCAACGTTTTTTTATTATTATTTAAACAAAAATGGTGTACGACCCCAAGTCATTGAGTTTGTCGCGTAATCTGATGATTATTAACTTTGTTATCTGCTATCAGGGGAGGCTCTCTGATGATGACGGTGCAGATACTCAAGAGGAATTGGATGCCTCTTCAGAAAAAGGAAGCAGTATCGGCAGAATCAAAGCAAAGAACAGATTTCCCGATGAAGAGAGTAGGACAACACCGCCAAACGATCGAAGGTTTGTTCACTTGTGCCAGTTAAAAGATTGTTAGCGCTGTTCCAGTTTTGATTATCTTCTATAAACGCATGAGACCAGCTGCATGCGAAGTTGAAAACAATACGATTTTATCAATTTTCTTAAGATATTAATTTAGTGTAAGCCAAGTTGATTGTGTGTTAAAAAGAGGGAAAATGACATCAGTTTTTGAACAGTCACGGACCAACTTATTTAACTTTCAGAAACGTCGAGTCTGTCCAAAGTCAGCCTGATAACCAGGAAAGCGGAGTCAAACAGTCTCCAGAGCCCGAGGTGAAAGAGAGAGCGCACAAGAAGAGGAAAGAGAAGCCAAAGGAAGGAACAAGTAAGAGAGATAAATTGTTATGCTTTTCAGGCAGCGCACCAGTGTATCACGTTAAGACGCGATAAAGGTACAATGTACATAGAGTTGCGTGGCTTGGACATGTAGGAGGAGAGTTGTCTAGAAATGCTCTTACGTGCCTGTACTTTGGATCAATGCTCTATTGTTGTTCTAAACTGGTCATCTTTCAGCAGTTAATCATGGTTTTACCAACGAAATGATCTATTATGTGGTACGTGGTACAATTTCTCATGAGTGAAGTAAATCTCATACCCCAAATGTTTTGAAACCCATCGCTAATTTATGAAGTAAAACCACGTGGCGATTTTTGCTATTCCTGTGTGAATCTTATTTGGTTGACGTGCTTTATCTGCTATTTTGTTGTGAACAGGGTAAATGTAAATCAGCGAGCATTGCCAGCGGTAATGTTATGGTTTTACAAATGTTGTAACTGTCATTTCAGAGACCCCTTCGACCATGAGCCCTCCTCACAGCATGTTTATTAGTGAGTCCATTGATGGCCAAGCTAAAGCCGAACCAATGAATGAAGAATACGTTTCTCTTGCCAAAGAGAGTGCTAAGGTGAGATGATTTACTCGAGCAATAAATGCTGCTGCTTGTTGTATATGTCCGCATGTAAAATTGTTTACCGCCGTACGATCAAATGCACGTTTGGGTGTTAGCCTCTGTGAGGTTGAGACACGTGACACTCTTTCGAAGTTCGGAATGATGAATATGCTCAAGGTTACCGCGTTGTTACTGTTGGCAAGAGGAGACTGCGCTGGTTTTTCTTCACCATTTTATTCGATTGTCAAACAAACCTCACGCCGCTATCTCAAGCAATCAGATGCAAAAGTAAAATCAGTCGCAGATTTCCATCTCCTTAGTCCCTTTGCGTTTATTCAATCTTCTCTCTCATTTCCCCCTGGTAACATTTCCTTTTGTTCTGTTGTGCCTCTCCAACTAAGCTGGGCACAGCCTGATTCTCAAGGTCGTGTGCTTCTGTTAATCGACATGCTAGGGTGAGAAAATGGTTGTCTTAAAACCTCACGTTCTCTCTTTTTTTTTCTCTTCATGATAGGATGGCAGCGAGGATTCTTCCCCCAAAAAAGACAGGCGGTGGACAGGCAATCTGAAAAAGAAATCAGTAGCACGAGGCAACTCTTATGATTACAGATTACGAGGAAACGTCTCTACGTTTACTCACACGGAGAACGTTAAAAACAAAAGCCTGAGCATGAGGCGGAAGAATTCACAAACATTTGCCCATTTAATGGCTTTGTTCGACAAAGAGGGTCGCTTCTGTGGGTATCTTACCGAAGTTAGGCAGAATAAGTTAGGGACGACACATTTACGAAGATGGTGTGTTGTCAAGAACGGAGTGTTGATTCTTTTCAATAGCGAAAACGAAGATACACCGGAAGGAAAACTTTCATTAGTGGATATGTGGTTGACTAATAAGAGTGACGAGAGTAGAAAAAAGTTTAGTTTTACTCTAGAGGACAAAGATGGCAAAGAAACAACCTTGCAAACGACAGTCAAAGAAGATTTTCAGAAGTGGATGGGAGTGCTAGAGTTATTTACCGAGCTTCGTGTTGAAAGACCGCAACCAGAAGTTGCCGAGCCTCACAAGAAAACTGACGCTGTGGCTGCTGAGGAAGGAGAGGGATTCTTTGAACGGGGATCATTGCTAACAAAAAGCGCTCGTGCTGCCACCAAACTGAAGGATGAAATTTACTCTTTGGCGCCGGGAAAGGTCAGGTCGTCACTGAGGATGAAATTGTCACAAAAAGTAAATGTGAGAGACATTTTTCGAAAGACGCACACATACGACTTGGATAGTATATCAAGTGAAGGATCTTCCCTCCCAGAACCCGATATAGATACTTTGGCTGTGTTTGGTGGACTCTTAACACAAGTCGAGCCAGATGGCTCCACAAATTCACGATGGTGCACCATCAAAGAGAAAGAACTCTTAATTTTTACGGACCGTAAGGCGCCTGACTCTCTTTACCAAATACCACTTTGGATGGCCACTTTCAGAGATTTGAGCGATACTGAAAGTTGTCCAAACAGATTTCAAGTTCGCTATGGTAGCGAAAGCTTTGTTTTCGACGCGTGTGATAAGTTTGATCATAACAGATGGCTCAAAATGCTGGTCTCCTCGGTCGAGCGTCGGAACTCAAGCGACGACGAAGACAGACCGAAGTGCGTCGGTCGATTAACTTCGCCGACATTCGCAAAGAAGAAACTTTTGCATCGGCGAACTCGCAGTGAGATGTTGTCACAAGGAGACGAAACGCCTCCATCGACGCCGTTGAAAGAAGGATCTTTAAGTTCTACGAGTTCCACTGATAGACTAATGAGTGGATATCTTCAAGAAATACGTGACACCAAAGGTGCTCGTACCCACATTCGCCGGTGGTGCATAGCTACCAGCGAGAAATTTCTTGTGTACGATAACCAAAACTCATCAAAAGCTTCTTTTGAGTGGGAGCTGTCTAAAATGACGGTTCAGGATCTCAGCGACATGGATATGGGTGTCTTTGAATTTTGCGTCTCGCATGGCGAGAAAAAGCTTAGTTTCAAAGTCATTGATGAGGACTCCGCGAGGCACTGGTTGAGTGTGTTAGCGCGCTATTGTCACCCTATAGCGGCAAATCAACCGCTGTTTAAGACTCCATCAAAAGTGAAAAGCAAAGAAGAACGTAGGCGATCTGCGAGTTGGAACGATCTGAAATTAAAACAAGCCGAGAAGGAAAAGAACGCTCTCGAAGTGTTAAGCGAAGGAAGGGCGAGTGGGCGAAAGCTCACACGAAGAGCAACCGAAGATTATTCGTTCTTTCGTATGTTTAACCGCTCAGAGTCGTTTAAAGCACCGTGGCGCGCGTCCCAAGAAAAACTGGAGGTAAAAATGAGGGAACGATCAGGGAGGATTGCCGCTAACAGAGCCTGGAAAAGATTCTCGTGCGGCACCCTGTTTGACAGTGATGGTAAATACAGCGGCCATTTGATGGAGGTTATCATGCGCAACTTGTATAGCAGTCAAGTGCGAAGGTGGTGTGTGCAGAAAGACGACCATTTATACGTGTACGAAAACGAAGCTGCGCTCGACCCCGTCAAGGTGATTCCTTTATTTAAAGCCAAGGTTGTGGATACCAGTGATATTGAAGCTTGCGTTTACAGGTTTAGAATCGATTTTGACGAGACAAACTGTGCGATTTTTCAAGCGCTGACCCGCACAGATCTCGAGAAGTGGACAACAGTTATCTCTGTTAAAATCGCCGTTCTTCAGGACCGGAGCGAACGTCACCTCCGACGGAGCGCTTCTTTGAGTTCAGAAAGGACCGTAGATACAGTGGGTGAGTTAGTAAAAAACAACTTGGACAAGTTTGTGTTTAACAAGCCTTTATATTTCTTTCACTGTCAAAAAGAGAGGGAATAAGTTGGTTCTAACTGAGCTCAAACAGGAAACTAAACTGCAAGTTGAGTGCCAATTAGGGGTGATCAGTAGAATACTTCGGAGCCTTATGTGGGGATCAAGTAAATTTTTTTTGTGACATAAGCAAATCCCTCCGCCTTCCTCTCCCCCCCCCCGCCCTTTTTTTTCAGGCGACTGATAGAGACCAGTCCCTCAGTTGTTCTGTGTGTTTTCTTTCCGTTTAGTCGTTTTCCACATGTCATTCGTTAATCCGATTTTAATTTTATTAATTTTATTATTGCTATATCTTACAGGTTTCAGCGGAAGCGAGTTTTCGTCACCACAACTCAGACCCTCCCTGTCCCCGACAGGAGACTCTTTGTCTCTCACTGAAACTTTCTCGATTTGCTCAGCTGATAGTGTCTTTGCTTCAGCGATTGACACCGTGACCAGTGTAGAAGGGGAATCAGCCACGTCTAGTTCATCAGGATCAGCACCAATTGATTCGAACAACGAGACCGTGGTGAGTTCGATGAAAGATGAGCCGTCAGCCAGTGATCAGGAGGTAACGGACGCTGGTTCGTCGCCAACTGAAGGAATGGCTTCAGAGATTGAGACTTTGGAAGGCACTCGCAAAAACGTTGACAATATGTCTCTTATTGAAGACTTGAGTCATATTTACGAGAATTTCTTGGCGTTTGCTTCCGCCGTGGCCGAAAGCAATCCTGAAGAGCTTTACCACGTGTATGAGAATGTCACGCAAGCTCTTCACCCTGGTTCTCAGCTGGCTGCCCAAAGTGATGGCGGTGTTGGTGATAATTTAACTAGTAATGAAAGCAACGAAATAAATGAAGTAGAAAGCCCTGACATGGAAATGTCATCGGAATTCGAGAAAATTACTCTGCAGGAAAATGAAGATGGTGTGTTATTGAATAGGTCTTCGGGTATATGTGATGACGCTAACCCGGATAAACATATGGAGGATGTTAACCAAAAGGAACAAGATGCTGCTAAGACTGTAGAAAATGACAAGACGTCAAAAGTCGATGGAGAAATTTTGGTAGCTTCCGTCAATAGTGGTGGTGTTGATGAAGATCTTGTCAAGAGTAGCCAACCTGTTATCGGGGAGAGTCAGGATCTCATAGTAACGAGCAGGAAAGAGGAAAGTGCAGAGTTTGGAGGGCATGTGGGGGACACGAACTGGATCAAAACTGAGGACTTTGGGGAGGCAAGTGATAACGAATTACCATCAGAGTCATTGGGCAGCGTTGCCACAAGTAATTCAACTCTCCAACCTGAAGATAAGGAATTACCATCAGAGTCGTTGGGCAGCGTTGTCGCTAGTCATTCAACTCTCCAGCCTCAAGAGAATGAATTACCAGCAGAGTCGTTGGGCAACGTTGTAACAAGTCGTTTAACTGTCCAAGCTGAAGCTGCTGATGAAAAATTAATTCAAGAGAGAAGTGCGGTGGACATGCAGCCATCTCTGGTCCATGCTGATCGTTTGAGTGACACTAAAACGGGCGATAGCTCGTTTTATGTTGTCGAGGAGGGGGATGACCAGTTTTGGAGAGAAATGGAGGATAAGGAGGTCAGTGAGCCAGTGATAGCCACAAGTGAAGAAGGCAGTACTGTTCAGGTTTCGCTCGAGAGTAACGAAGACCAGTCGGAAAAGGGTAGTTTCGTTTTGGATGTAGAGAAGTCTGCTTTTAGCGAAGGGGATGAAGACAGGACCACGGACGTCACACCTCACGATCCCCAAAATATTCACAACGATTACTCCAACAGCAACATTTGTACTGAAGCAGAGGTCTCCCTAGAGAATGATCTTGGTTTAGCTCAAGGGAAAACTCAGGGCTCTCACGAAGAAACTGGACTTGGGGAGGATGAGAAAAAAATGTTTTTGGAACGTGAAGCCCAGGTAGTGCCTGAATCAACAGGTTCAGATTCAGAGACTGGAGAGTTGAGCGGCTCTACTTATACCACCAGTACAGTGGCTAAACATAGCAATATTTTACATGATACAACACCAGAGGAAATCGCTCTTAACAGTTCAAGTCAACTTAATGTACGAGTTCCTGGTCAAGAATCAGAGGTTATTCACACATTTGGCGCTGCTGACACTGGTGAAGATCACGCGAAGGAATTGTTGGAAGTTTCTTGTGAAGATGCTGAGAAATTACAGTCTCTTAACACTGAACTTTCTTCCGACGATCTGCCAGCCAGTGAACATGCGGGAGATAATTCGTGGCTCCAACAAGATGGCGAACAATCTCAGGAAACTGTGGACGAAGGCATAGAGTTGGAAAGATATTCTTCGGATGAAGGATTCTACACACCAGAAGATACCGTAGACCTCTCAGTAAGAAGTGATAGTGTGGCAGGGGTAGACAGGGAAACGAACCCTCCCAATGACGACACGCAAAATAGCGATCCTGAACCGAGCTGTGTAGAAAGCGAAACGAGTTTAGCTCCGAAGACCGAGGAAGTTCTTCAATCAAAGTCCTCCACAGCACAAGGCGTTGATGAACTACAACATGAAGTAGGCCATGACAGCCTGTCTGAGGCGAAGGATTTCCAAAACGATGGCGTGAATAACTCAAGCTGGGAGGATAAACAACAGCTAACAAACAGTCAAATGGACATTCTGAAAGCCGTAACAGCTGCATTTGAAGAGATTCTTGAGCTTCATGGCGAAGAGAGTGATGCAGATGACACCAGACTGTGATTCAAGGGTATATAGATTTAACTCGCCTATACCCTCTCTCCCAAAAGAAAGGGGGAAAATGATATGATTGAATTATCCTGAATTATCCATGTAGCAAACGAGCAGTAGACCGAACCAATACGCTTGACCACTTGAATCGAAAAATTAAGCCTGTCACCGGAAATATCGTGCAGTCAAACATGATATTTTCGTAATTTTGAGTCCCATTAGCTTAAACACCAAGACAGTTGGTTTTGAACGATGTACGCTAAAAAAAACCTTTGTACACGCAGAGCACTCTTGTTAGAGCGACTTTGAATGGCTCACGATTGGCTCCCTTTTCTCAATCATTTGAAATTTCGTAAACTTTCACATCGCTTTCGCACCTGGTCATTTGCTCGATTGGCACATGGTTGGGGGTGACCATGTCTGTGCGATAGACGCCTTTGACTCGAAACGAAAAACCACACTTGTTACAGGGATTCCCCTTTTCACTCTGTGTAGTTGACACTTTTTCGCGAATTCCCGAAATTAGATGCAATACTTTTCCTCATCTTCATGAGTTTAGGATGCGGTTACTTGTTACATCTTGCCATTCCAACGTAGTATTAATACATCCTTTAAGTATAGTCGAATACGTTCGAATAGGCGTGGCCTTCTGAAGGAAAAAAAAACATTTCTGCATTCGAGACAAATTTTTGCTCATCTACCAGACGGTGTTTGTTCGCCTTAGATCATTATTTCCATCTCTAAGGGTTTTGGCTTAGGTTTCGTGGTACCTTTTTAAGCTCGGTGAAAATCTTCATGACGTCACTCCCTTTTGTAACTTAACTTGTAGTGGAAATTTGTTGCCCTTTTTGTTCCACCTGTGAAGACGATGAACCTTCAACTTCTCAAAAGAGATGCAATTAGTTTGATGTTGGAGTCAGGCTAGTAGGTTATGTTACGTGAGCTACACGAATTGTTCCTGAAGGTGTTTTGCAAAAGTGAATGGTTAGGAGTTATTAGAATCTTAGGGATAACTCTGATCTTGGCGAATGTCTCGTTGGCCAGGCTCTCTTTTTCGTTCCGGCCAATGTGAAGGCTAGTTCACCTGACTACCACTAGACTACGTTAGTAATTAATGAATAAGCAAGGACAATATCTAGAGAACATCAGGCATAAAACATGTAGTCACAGTAATTACGTATAATAAGCGAGTAGTTTCTTTTTCTTTCAGAGTAATTTTCAATTGATTGTCGAACGTTATCCGGGGCTGCATTTTTTTTAATTACCTTTACTCTGAGATTGGTCCAAAAAACTTGCGCTATCCTCCCAGCCAATTAGATTCAAAACTAAAAAAACAATCGCGTCTTGTTCATTCGCGTTTTCCCGCGCTTCAAGCAGTTTGCTTATTTTCACTTTGAGCTCTCATTGGCTTATGATAATATATACGTTTGTTCTGATTGGTCGCTGTAATTACTTTGGTATTGTTTTTTTTTCGACACTCAACTGAAAACTGTTCATGTAGGATGTAGCAACATCAAATTGTCGTGCCACTCGATCAAAGCCCTGATGCAATTATTAAATCTATCGCTTTGAAAATGATTAATTTAATAAATATAAAAATTGATTAATAACTTTTCAAAATCAGAATTATTGAAATAACAGTTAATTGTTAGGAGAAATCCCTGTCATGTGACAGGGTTAACCGTTCAATCACGCAATTCGATGAGTGTTTGAATTTAATTTAAATTGTAGGTTAGTTTATTTAAATTCTAAAGGGAGATGTGCAATGTTGTCATGTCCACGTGTTGTAAAAGTATTTTAAAGCTCATCATTGGCATCTACGTTCGTTAAAGAATTTAAATTTTCTCGTTGGCTATGTTTCAAATTTATACATCTTAGGAAAGATGACTATGTTCACTTCTCTCAAGGTGTAACTATTGTCCATCAGGTATTTGGACAGCAGTTATTCATCTAACAACCTCTCTATGTCTTCAGATCAAGCTGCTGGTGTATTATATGCTGTACAGTTGAAATAATTTGATAGGAACCAATGTCTGACATGTATGTATGTCTTCGAGAGACAATAAAAGAGGAAGAAAACAGGCTTTGTATATTATGTTTTATAATACGCTCAGTTATGCACGCATTCTGATTGATTCTCACTTATGATCTATTGGAGGACAGATGTGTAGATGACGTCATCATTAAAACTTTTTTTTAATTCTTTATTATATAAAACAAATAGATTCCAAGTTGCTATGCGTCTGTTCAGCAATAGATCGCAGAGGACGTCAAAATGTGGTCTATTACTGAACAGACGCACGGCAACTTGGAATCTATTTGTGAAATAGAAACTATGTGTTACACTTATAATACATAGTGGTTACACGTCGGGCATTCGCGAGGGGATCAATTTTGAGTGAGTAGAGCTGCCTGGGCCCTTCACCTTTTACACCCTAACGTCGGTATGCAAACTCTCCATACTATGCTCTATACATTTCTCAAGGTGCCGACAAGGAGAATTTGTCTAACAATCAAGAGCTTCTTTAGTTGGTGATCATTTCCTTTATTCTCGTGACCTAATGTTTGATTCGGGGATGATTTTATAAGGAGAAATTAGGCGCCAATCACTCTAAGGGCTAAAGGGTTAGAACCTGACCCTAGAGGTGTTTCATTGAAGGGGAGGGGAAGAGAGGGGAACAGTCGTGCCTTAAACTCATCAAGTCATTCGAGACAATGAAGGTGACCAAAGACAAACAAACGGTATTTATCTAAGTGTCAGTAGAACTGAAGTAAGGGATCGAAGGGCACTAATGAAATTCTGTAAGAAGAATTTCACGCGATTAATTGAACCAAACCGGAATCGGTCTTTGCAAATTTCAGCAAATTTGAGATCTTCTAACTGACGTCACGATGCCTTATGGTTATCAACCTGGAATTTGTGGTGCGACTTTCTATTTAAAACTTTGGACTAGGAAAGACACTCTCTTCAAGACGCTTTATAATGAAATTGCGTACCCTGCCTCAATCAAAACGTAATTACCCTGAGGTAGCGATAAGAATAATTAAGGTCAGTTAAATGGACGAGCAAACGTATCGGTTGCTGTCATTTATTCAAGGACAAAATGAACCTCTCGCGCTTGGTCAGCGGTGTCAAAACGCAAAGGTATATATTTTAGGTGTTCTTAAGTAAAGCAGTCATAGTGGAGTAATGGCGGATGGGCTGATGTTTGATTTCTGAGGAAAATTTTTTAAGTTCCATGTGTTTGGATTTTTTGTTGCATAGTTGCTTTGGTCTTTGCTATCTTGGCTTTGAAATAACGTTTTTTCATGCTGTGATGAACACATCTTGAAAAATACGATTGCCGTGATTTTACATGAAAAAAAAAATATTTGTGATCCCAGCTCAGGCCATCCGTTCCACAACTTCAGGTATTTAAAATTCATTCCTCTTTGTATTTTTCAGCTTCAACTCCAGAAAAAAAAATATGACGACATCGCGTTGAGTGTTTTCTTCTTTAGGCCCAAGCACCACCTCATGGATTCCTTAAGAGCTACAATTAAATCTGTTTGTTGTATTTGGAATTCTTACATCATGGGCTATAAACGAATTCAGTCATGCGAACTTACGCTCCTGAGAACAGCTCAGAGACAACATGAAAAGCTATGTCTCTTGCTCTGGGTCTTTTTGTGGCCCGATTATTTCGTTTACTGCATCCTCTTCTACTCGTAATTGGTATATCTCTTTTGGGTAATGCGTTAGATGTAAAGAACTCCTACTGTAAGTGCGAGGAGTTTCCAATCGAGGATCGGCCGTTTGTAGCGATATGGAACGCCCCGACGGGTGGATGTTCTGTCAATTTTAGCATCAACATCAACTTGAGAGACTTTGACATTCTGGAAAATCCGAAACAAACTTGGAATGGAAAATATGTGACAGTATTTTATAATGCACAACTGGGATTATATCCTTATTTTACAAACGAGCAGGGAACAAACAGCTATAACGGAGGAATGCCCCAGGTAAACAAACGAATATGTCACCCTGATTAGTTTGTGGTTCAGGTCATTTATAATTTTAAGCTTGGCTTATTTAGCAGCAAAATTTTCTGTTTAATGTGAGATCTCTTGAAAAATAATTGATTTGGCACTTATAGTATTAATCATATTTCAACTTTTAATTGTTTCTTACAGCTTAAGTAATGTTATAACCTCCAGTCACTTTTAAATCAATATATCATATTTGTTTACTTTACCATTCAGTAACTATTAAATTCCCAGCTTGAACTAAAACGAATATTGTGTAATGTTTAATGTAATTTTTTTTTCTCAGCTGATAGATTTAGCTGCACATCTAAGAAAAATGAAAAGAGACATCATTAAAAAAATTCCAGATCCAGATTATAGTGGCCTTGTCATAATAGACTGGGAAGGATGGCGCCCGACATGGGAGAGAAACTTTGATTCTAAGCGAATTTATCAAAGTAGATCAGTGGAGCTTGTCCAAGACAAACATCCAGAGTGGTCCATGGAAGAAGTCATTGAGGAAGCAAAAAAAGAATTTGAAAGAACTGCTCGGGTATTTATGGAGAGTTCTATCAAGTTAGCAAGACAAGTCAGACCTAAGGGATTATGGGGCTTCTATGGGTTCCCTGACTGTTTTGGATCAAATGAAACAAATTACCGCTGCTCTGATGATGTGAGTAAGATCCATCATTAAATAAATTCCTTGTTGCACATGGCAAAAAAAAAGCATAGAGTAATGAAACCAAGTTTAAGATAGCAGATATCTACAATGTATTTGGGTGTTAGTAGTTTCATTTACAAAATGTATTCAAGATGTTTATTTTCAATGTGCCACAAATATCTCAGTAGTACAAGTTAGATTTAGGTAAATAGTCTTCAACGTATCACTAAGATTGCAAGCAATTGCCTATTATTATTATTATTTTTTTAACAAGAATATTCAGGTACTTTTGGTGGTTAACCCTTTGATTTCATGCATGACCCATACAGAATTTCTCCTTACAATATATCTATACAATACGAAGCAGGCAAGTGATGAGAATAAAGAAAAATATCAACTAGGTGGTGTATTAAAAATAGTAATTCAAATGATGTTTTTGATTTGTTAATGTGTGACAAACTGTGACAATTAGTTGGTAATTTAGTGTTAATCTCCCAAATCAGCATCCTTAATCCCCACAGAATCAACAAGCGCTTTTCATTCAACTAATGTATTCCCATTTTCTCATCACCATATTCCCACCAATAGCGTAGCTCCACTTTCTGCATATAAACTCATCCACAACCCACAATTCCTCTAATTGCTCTGATAAAGGGCTAATGCTCAAATTTATGTTTTCAATTCAGTGGTTAACACTAAATTACCTGCTATACTCTCCCACCGATGCAGCACCACAGTTTCTTTAGAAACTTACCCCCTTTATTAATGTGAAAATTAGTTGTCTGTTAAATTTTTTAGAGATTGTTTTTCATAAATTATTTCACCATTATTTCATTTTTAGCACCAGGAGATGAACAACAAACTCAAGTGGTTGTTTTCAAGCAGTATGGCACTGTACCCATCTGTTTACATTTACGATCAACAGTCTTGGAATAAAGCTTTTACTTATGGGAGACTAGAGGAAGCTATTAGACTGGCAACTTGGGTGTCAAAGGAAAATAAGAGAACAGTTCCTGTGTTTCCTTATTTCCGTCACCTATATGAAGGAAAACCATTTGAGTTTGACTACCTTACTCTGGTAAGAAATTGTTCATTTTGCATCTATATCTCTTGCTAACCCAGCTTGAGGTATGTACCATAAGTTACAGACAAAGCTTTTCCATCAGGATTTATGACCCAGGTGCGAAGGCGTGGTTAATAAATCCTAACGGGGAAAAACCAGGTACTGTAACTTACAGCAGACCCAGGTGTGAAGGCGAGGGTAATCAATCCTAACGGGAACAAATGAGGTACTGTAACTTACAGCAGACCCAGGTGTGAAGGCAAGGGTAATCAATCCTAATGGGAACAAATGAGGTACTGTAACTTACAGCAGACCCAGGTGTGAAGGCAAGGGTAATCAATCCTAACGGGAACAAATGAGGTACTGTAACTTACAGCAGACCTAGGTGTGAAGGTGAGAGTAATAAATCCTGGTAGGAAAAAACTGTAACTTACAGTAAGAACTGAGAAAACAAGGTTAGTAAGATATTTGTCATTTCTAAATAGAGAGGAAAGATTTCAATTTAAACAAACTTTTGACCTTGGTGGACTGTGCAGTGAGTTATGGCCCACTAAATTGACCAATCCTAGTGCACATAGCAACTGAGAGATATACTTATTCATTTTACAGGCCTTAACTCTTTCACTCCCAAGTGTGACTAGATATGACTTTCTCCTTATAATATTGATACATTTTCAAGCAGAAAGGTGATTAGGAGCTAGTGAAAAGTTTTATCAATTGCAAGAAATTGTTTGATTGAACACCAACTTCTCAGCGCTTAGATTATAAGAAGCTGTAACAGACATTGTTATGAATAGATGTTTAGATCTTGGGAATGAAAGGGTTCACTATCTTTCCCAATGGCCACTGTGGGAAATTAGGTGGCCTGATGGTTAGCACTGCCAGAATTGGGGTTAAGAAGTCCAGTTTTAAGATGTGGCCAGGTCTCTGTGTTATGTTTGTCACATTCTTGACTGTGATTGGAGGGCAATCAAGGAGACACCATTTAAAACAAAATGCCATGCTAGTACAGTTACTTCAGATTTATTGCGATCACGCTTAATAAAATGGAAAGCAGTGGAAGGACTGAAAATGAAAGAAATGAGTAGTTTGTTTACACAATGACCAAACAGACAGAGAGAAAAAACAAAAGTAGCATGGAAAATAACAATGACTTGCGCTGTCCAACTCTTAGGAAGCTAAATACAAGGTATCTTTGTAATCAAAATTCTGGTAAATCATTCTTCCCACATCTTTCTGCTGTCTATGATCATGTGCAAAAGTTGCACTTAGATTCTTCAATTACCATCAACATAAACCTAAAACACTCAAGCAATGTTGCAAGGAAAGACATTTTTTCCTCTCACAGTGCCTCTCTCCAACCAGGAGTAAAAAACAAGTACTGGCAAATCGTCAGGGAAAGCTGATTAAATGCTGGGGTAACCAGGGGTGGACAAGCATCCCATCCAGGGGTGGGGTGGGGGGGAATACTCATAGTTGCTTAATGCTACAAAAAGTGGGTTAAGTGCTGCCTGGATGGGCCACTTTTTCTATTTGTCTACCTTTTTCTACCACAGGCCACCAGGCCAAACCCTAGTTCTGCTATTTATAGCTAAGCTCGCAGAGCGTAGCCCCATAATTATACAAAATAGTAGTAACCCATCAAGCCGAAAAATTTGGATGTACGACCGTACGACCGACCGTACAAGGTGCTATTTTTAGCGTGCGCGGCCAACTGTACCACGGGCACTATCTTATAATCAGTCCTCTACACGGACACGGAGAAGTTGCGAATGAAAATCCATTAATATTATCACGCACTTTATCCATAGTAGGGGCTTTAGTTTTGTTGAAGAGACCTGCGAGAAAAAGAAAATGCGAGTTCCGCTTTTAGTCTTGCCTAAATCTATATATCACCCATGCAATCATAATAAACTGCTGTAAGTCCCCTCTTAACTCCAGGAACCCCACTTAATTAAACTACTGCCTTATCCTTGCATTGCCATGTCATGTGACCTCCATGGCTTCTGTGTGATGTTTGCAGGTTGATCTACACAATACAATTGGCCAAGCAGCTGATATGGGTGCAGCGGGTGTAGTCATGTGGGGGAACAGGCGTGATGAGAACACCTCTCCTGAAGTTTGCACTCAGCTCAATGACTACATTAAAACAAAACTTGGTCCTTACTTTGAATCTGTAAGGCATCGAACAGAGGTCTGCAGCCAGAAAAAGTGTAAAGGTCGTGGACGGTGTGTTGATAGTCGACTCATTTCAGCAAGATGGGTGGCTGAGGAGCCACGGTTGTATGCACCAACTTGTAAAGGATCGCCAAAGCTATTTTCTCCATTCATACGGCAGCACTCCTCTTACCACAACCATCGAGGTATAAAATTGTTTGGCGTTATCTATTTCAAATGTTTAGACTAGCAAAATCATGTTGTAGATTTAGTAACCCAAATTTACTTGTCTTTAGGCTGGAATATGACTGGACTGTACTTAAAGTTTTTTCAATGTATTTAAGGTGACCAGGCAAAAACCAATCTTCACATCCCGAACAAAAGTTACAGCAAAGGTCACAATTCGCCAGTGGCTGTCAAAACACACCATAAACATGGATTGAGCTCCAAACAACGAAAGTATTTAATGAAAGAGCTCACACTGCTCAATGCTACAGGAAGCAGGAAGGTGTTCCTCAAATCTCGTCATCGTAACTCTACCAAGGACTTCGTGGTTTTCATGTCCACATCTGACTCGGCTGTTGAGGTGAACAAAGCTCCTCAGGATGCTGATAGAGGAGTAGTAGCGACGAGTGGACTGCACTACCATGACCAGTTAAATGACAGGTTAGATTGAGGAACGTAGAGTATGTTTGAGAAACCTTATAATTTCTCGGACATTAGAGCCCTTTTTGATGGATTGTCGTCAAACCAGAACTAAAGGAATCATAGCAGCCAATCAGAGGAAAGGAATAAATCACAAAGAGCCAATAAAATATTCCCAAGAGTAACCTTACCTTTTATAAACTGATTTTAAATTTGCTGAAAATTCTAGTGCAGATGCCTTCATTTTGTAATTATCCAGGTAACCTGGCAGCTCAACTGGTGATTTTTGTAAACTACATTGATTTTGGAGAAGACCATTCTTGCGATGCAAACCCAGAAAATCGCTAACCATTTCAGGTTTCCACACCCTTAGTTCTCTCCTTGGGTGGGTAGGGAAAGGTGTGACTTGCAAAAGTTTTCATTTGGTCTTTGTAAGGACAACATTAAGTTAAGTTATGTGCGTTGCAGCTTATGATTCGCGTACAGGAGACATGTTGCAGCAACAGATTTCCCTTTTTTGCCTTTGATGACACGAAACACTTTATTTGAATTCACGAAAGATGTTTTTAGGACAAGATGATCGTCGTTTACCATGCTGTAGAACAGTATGGAGAATTTGCATACCGATGCATGTTAGGGTGAAAAGGGTTAAAAACGTGGTATTGTTATTTCCGTAACATACTTCCTTTGCGGCACTCTCAAAGGGGCTTATCCGTACAACATGTACCCAATGTGCTCTTTACCATTAGGTACAGATTGTAACGTTTGATTTTTGATTTGTTACTTCAGTCCAAGTTTTACTGAAACAGCATCCAGTAGAGCCATGGCACCAAGCAAACTGATGCTTTGTAATGAATCGTCACCAGAATATACGAACTGTGAAATCATGAAAGAAAGTCCATCAGCGTACAACAGTGGATTCCATTTCCCTCACACTTATGTGGTGTTTATCTGCGCGTCTCTCGGCTCCGCCCTGCTGGTATCCACCACTTTCATTATGAGTTACTATTACTGCAATATTCGCAAGAAGGTAGAAGATGATGAAGATATTCCGCGCGGAGACTGATAACCAGTGACAAAAGTGCCGAAGTAACCCTGGTGAAACTTTGAAGACTGAGCTTCCGTTGAATATCTATCAGCAGTGTTTGGCTGTTCGCCACCATTGTTGGAAGTTGAAACAAAGATGGAACGCACGTGAACGAGTACCTTTAATAAACAACACAAAATATCCACTGTTTGCTTATCAACGGTAGAAATGCGGCACAGAATAATCTTTGTGACTAAAAGACGTAAATCTGACTTGTTAATTGTCCTTTGCCAACTGAAGGTTTCAAATTCCACTCAAATTCCGCTCTGATCGGATTAAAATAAAAATACAATTTATGACTGAGTTTTTTGCTTCAGCCAAAAGAGGGTGATTTTGTCAACGAAAGATTTTCGTGGCTTTTGTGAAAAGAAAAGAAGGTATTGATGGGTCGATTTCATCTGAACTAGATCAATTGCAACAATTTGTTTTATTCACGATCAAGGGATTTTCCATCATCGATCAGAGGTTACGTTGTCGGTTTTAAACGGGTTGACCAACGACAACCTTCGATATTTAGGAGAAGCCTTTGTGGCGACTTCTCGTCACTCCTTTCTGTTTTGACATTTGTATTTTGTAAGTTGAACTCCTTTTAGATAACGGAAATGGCCATAAAAATATCAGCCCGGCAATCGGTTTTTGACATCACAGGTTTTCAATTTCTGTTTTGCTTACAATAGAAAAACACGACGTTTGTCTCGAATAAAAAAAAGATGCTTTGACAGGATTAGGAGTTGTGTGTAAACAGAACACCCACAAGTACCATGCTTGGGATCAAAAGAGGTCTTGTTGCAAAGTATAAAGAATGTATTTTTTGATTAATAAAAATGCTGAAACTTACTTATAAAAACGCGTGTTCTCTTGTGTCCTATCTTACAATCTGTACTTCTTCTTTCTGAATTTTTTGAGAATATTATTGACGGTCTTAAATTGATAAGCTTTGTCTGCCGTACGTCAGTTTCACAATCATAAATTTCAACAGGTACTTTAGTTGTTTTGTGACAGGATGTTGGCCATTCACGCTAAAGATGACACTGAACGGCTAAGCGTGTAGAGGAACTTTCCGACTTCGACAACATTCTCGCAAACGAAGGCAGATCATTGTGACTAACGTAATCTCGGCTGCTAGTCAACTGAAAGACAATTGTCGCAGTGGACGGACATGCAGTTTTCACTTCTAAAATTTACTCGGTATCTGCCATTAAAAGATTATTCTAAGGAGTCGGCCGCACGTTTTATCGGTTTATCGGTGTAATTACTCACCCTGGACACCGGGAGGACACGAAATACTAGGCAGGCAGGCAGGAGACTGAAATTCAAGTTTTTAACACTTCTCCTGCCATCCCAAATAACTGAACAGACTCTCTATGTGTTTACCGGTTCAGTAAAAGATAATTTTTAGAGAAATGAGAGTGCTTTCGTGAATAGTCGCGGTTATTCAATTAATGTGTTTAATGTTGCCTTGTAATTGAGGAGGTAAGCAGGATGCATTTACATTTCAACAAATTAGGATACTTACCGTGATTATAAAGAGTAACCCACTTATTCAATTAAAGAATGCGTTGAAACTTCGTTTTTTTTTTTTTTTTTTTTTTTTTAAGAAACCTTTTGGGTAAATAATCCTCTTTTTGATAGACCTCCTAGATCTACTCCTAGTCTGTATTACTTTGAGGTACCCAGTTTCATTAAGCTGTGTATCCCAGCCAACGTTATTGAAGCACAGTGTTACATCTTGTTAGCAAATGTTTAATCTTGAGTGATCTGAGGGACTTTCCAGCTTTGTAAGCATAAAGATACTACTATTTTTAGCGAAAGCTCAGCATGTTCTTTTAAAGGATTCGGCGATTGCATGCCTCGCTGTTAATCACTGTCTGTTGCGGGTTTGGATGTTTAGTCTCCTTTATGCCTCCCTGGGTTGTTTAGAAAAATCAGTTTAGAGCTCCATCTGAGGTCAGGAAAAATTCCAAGTGGCCACATGCCTGCCTATGATGAAGATCGAATAGCGTTGCAAATTTTGTTGACACCTTGTTAGCAGAAATGGAAAAGAGTTGTTTTCACGAATATAAACCCATTGTAAAAGCCCTTGTTATAATAATTTGCACTGCGTGGAAATCCTAATTCCAGCCATACGTCAAGCGTTTACTTGAAGCGGTAGTGCCAAAGTTAAAATCATTTCCAATCCAATCTGTTCATGATTTCTGATCGGAAGTCAATGGCCATACGATATCAAGGAATAATTGTCTCTTTTCAAGAATGAAGAAAATATTTTAAAAAAAAAACTTGTATGTTTGCAAGACCCTGATCGCACAAATTCTGTCTAATTATAGATTGAATAAGCTGATTGACCCATCACGTACATGGTTAACCTCAAAATCAAATTTCTGATCTAACAGAGGAAAGACAAAAGGTTTTCTCAAGAAACCCCAAAACAGTGACATTTTGTAGAGGTAATCTTATAATCACAAGCTTGGCACAGACGTCACTAGACGTGAGAACTGTTTTAATACTCGTTTTTGGTCCTGGCGTGTGTTTCCATTGTTTATCTTTTCAGCTTCCTGTCATTTCAGTGATGTCGGAGGTTTTAAAAGTTTTCTAAAACAAATTCTACTGGAAATTAATTTCGCTTCAAGCATGAATGTAAACGTTGTGTGTTATCAAAAAATGCTCAGTTTTAATAAGACGATCTATATCAGTATTGAAAGTAGCTTACATGAATTTTCTTTATATTCATAGCAACAGAAAACATGACAGATGGAAAAATCTCCGCATCATTCGTCTCCCAAGACATATTTTGTGAAGATTTTCGTCTACCTTATGTTTTTCCACTTCCGATTGATATATTTTCTATTATTTTGGTAATGATCGTATTACTGTAAAAAGCAGATTGGGTGAGATTCACTGGCGTAAGAGATAAGATCTTAGCGAAAATGAATGCTTTGCCATAATTATACTAATGGAAATTTAACCCATCTAGCTTAAGATGAAACGGTGAATGTTAACACCTTGGGTGTCTTTACTTCCTAACAAATAACCTGGCGAGAACTAAAGGTTTCCAACCTTATTCATTTGATAAACAAATTAAAATTTTAGAAATATTGGTCGCTTGCATTGTAAGGTCGAGTCCAGGTGTTTATCGAGAGGGCACCCACATAGAAGTCCGACACTCTAGCACTTGTTTCCCCTTGCCGCCTTACTCCATCCAAAATAATGTAAATAAACAACGTCAGCGGTTCGATCAAGGATAGAACTCGAAAATATAGTATATTTAGCCAGTTGAGTTATAACAGTTTGCTTTTTTAGTGGATTTAGATTGGTATCAAATTAAAGTCTGAGATATTGATGCCCGGCGAAAGATACGAGGAAGACTGGAACTAGAAGACTAAAGCAACATGGCGGTAGCGGTCGAGGCAGAATATATATATGAGCGTAACATGTGTAACTGTTGATAAACAAGATTTCAAGTGTAATAAATGCGAGGAAAGGGGAGATCTTCCGATGAAGCTTTTCGATGATGCGTTTAGGACCATTCTGTGTGCACAAGCTTTCGTTAAAGTTGTTTTTGGCGTGCACTTTCACGTCCGTCACAACTTTGTACCTGTTTTGGAGTGGATGTGAAATTCATTCAACTCTTCCCACAAATAAATACGAAGAGATAAGAGGTGTGCCGCTAACTGCTATCGATTGTTCCAAAGTAATTGCTGGAACAAGCAAGGACGAAGACAATCCCACAGAAAGGACAGAATTAAGTACACAGAAACTCGCAGAATCAGACGCGGCCGTTTGTCCGAACGACCATCGAATCGACGTAATCGTCAACGGGGGAAAGAAATTAGAGGGACGATTGATAGAAAACGAAGCTTATGTGCCTTTTTCTTTTGTGAAAGACTATTTTGACATTTATGGTGACCTTCAGGAGTTAGATGGAAAGACTGTATTAGATTGGCGTCATTCTTACTCCGATATACACCATCCGAAAGCCGGAGTTCTGTACGAAACAAAAGACCCTTTCCTCTGGTTTGAACATTATCATGTTGAAGGTCGTTCAAGAGTAAAATGTATTAGTGGAGTCGAAGATGTTCCAGTTTCGTTACAGTGGAGTCCAGAAGGACATTTTTATCCTATTCAAATTGCGCAGTATGGTCTCTCTCACTACAACTTGCTGCATATTGAAGGTGATTCAGAAGGGAAAGAGAAAGTTTTCGAGGATGCTGAGACTGTTTCAGAAGTAAATTGGAGCTGGGCCTTCCCTAAAAGTGCGCAGATTACCAACGTGTTCGATAAGGAACGAAATTCTCGAGTTTTACAATTTTCTACCACAGGTAAGATAATTCTCATATGTTACATCTGGTTATTTTTATGTGTATTATTGTTGTGAAAGCACGCATTTTTTTCTTTTAGTTCTTTTTTAGCAGAGCGTGACAGCCTGTAATATAACAAGATTTTGTACTTTATTATGTACCCACATGCTAATTAGCAATACTTGAGCGATCGTTTTATTCCTCTCGTTTTTTCGCAATTCGATAATTTTAGTGCAGAGTAAAATGTTTGTTTTGATAAAGTGAGCGTAACAAAATATCCGGTACGTTTTCTCTCTTCATGCGCCGACGAGGATGAGCGAATATAACTTTTCAACCACGAAACTCGTGTAGCGCACTGCAATCGGATTTCTATTTGTGAGATTTTTGAAGATGAGATTTTCACACCTACATTAGTGAAAATAATCTCTGAAAGAACCTATTCGTTTAAGTTAAGGCGCCTAATCGGTGCATTTTGATTAAAAAGTGTTCTTCACTAATAGATGCATCTTTCGTCCTGTGTAAACAAATTTCCAAAATTCTTGCTTGAGATAAGCAAACCTCAATTAATCTTTCAATCTGGCCCATGATTTCCCTATGTGATAAGTCGCGTATAATCGACATTCAAAGCGGAAAAAAGAAGCGAACTAGAAGCTGGAGAATATTGCTTTTCCATCAGAAACTGATGTGTTTTTAATTATTTTTATGAAAATGATCATTCATTGGCTGAGCAAGATTCATTATGGAACCAAAGCGTGCTTAAGAAATATTGGAGTTACCGCAAAACGCGATAAACGACTTATTCTTTCTACAAAACCGATTTAAACTGTCTAGGAGGTGTCTACAAAATTAATTTTCCTGAACCTCTTTTGAATACAATACGTAGATTAAGCCCTTTAATTCTTGGGTTTTAGTGATAAGATGCTCAAGTTTTCTCCCACTTTAGTTCCTAACCTCTGTATTTCAACAACAGAAACAAGTGAAATTATTAAATGCAACAACACCCATTATCTTTCTTCCCAGAGTCTAGATTCCACCTGATAAACTTCCCAAACCTTTCCTGTTGCACTTAATTACTTTTTTTCAGATGGTATGTTTTATTTACAATTTTCTGTTTCCCCACAATCAATCACAGTTTTACCTCCTCTGTGTAAGAATTACTGGTTCTGTTCAATTCAACTGATTGACATGATTTTAAACCAAACATTTTTAATCCTATTGCTAGTATTTCTTTTGTGCATTGTGCAAGGGAGGTTGTATATGCAAACTATGTAAACATTGTAGTCCAAAATCTAAACAATAGAGATGCACTTTGTACATTTCACTCAGGGGGTGATTTGTTTGTGAAATTAACTCTGTGGTTTGTCTGATCACCAACATGGTGACCTAACAGGACAAAATACTCTGCCAAATGAAACTTTTGGAGGTTATTTCTTTTTCATGTATGCAAAGGGTGAACATTTAGCATTTTTGATTTTTTAAAATTCAACCAGTTGCAACATGATTGGAGAAGAAATGTACTTGCCAATTAACTATAATGAAAGACACATTTTTCTGGCCACTGGCTGATGTTGATTGCCGTTGAAATCAAGTAATGAGCATTTTTTTTTATGAACAAAATTAGGGCATTAGAAAGACAGAATTTGTTTCATGAGTTGCACATTTATAATTAATGACCTTTTAAAATCAGTGTGCTGTTTTATCAATCAGAAATGTCTGTATTTGATCCAACAATATAACATGCCAAAATGAATCTTTAGAACTATAAACTGGTAGTATAGTTTAATGGTTTATGATTACTGAAATGATGTTGAATGATGCACTATTATATTTAAAGATATTCATGCTAATTATGTCTATGTTATGATAATTGGTGGGGGACAATGCTTACACTCTCTAGTAAAATTAACCCCCAGATCAAATAGGAGTATCTGTTTTTAGGGTGTAACTAAATAGATGGCTAGAATACCTTGCATACTTCCACTTCCATTTTCCTATGATAAGGAAAATCAATTTTCTTCCTTATCTTGAGCATGAAAAGTAAATGACATTTTCAAGCCTGTAAAGCAATCCTTTTGATTGCTGAATTTTCAAGAATTCAAAGCAATTTTAGGCAGTAATTAGAGGTACTACCGGCAGTAATTTTACTGGTCTTGGTTCTTTGCACTGTTTCGTCTTTAATTTGGGTAGTAAGGAAGGGGGGTTTTGTAATTCCCACTACACATTATATTGAGCAAATTTAAAATCACCACTCCCTTCCCATTTTAGTTGTACTACACAGTTTAGTGTGGGATGCTTTGATACAAAGGCAGGTAAATTGTGGGGGGGAAATTTGTTTTAACTGTTGACTGAGTTTTATCATTATTGACAGAAACCCAAATTTTGATTTATTATGGTGTCTTTTTGCACATATAAATGAACATCCACTTGAGGGAAAATCAAAAATTGAGTAGCATAATAGCTTAAGGTGAAGAAGATGGGGCATAGGGTAAAATATGAACTGGACCATTTTTTGGACCATTTTAATAAGGGGAAGCACACCATTAGTACTCAGGGAGGGGCAGGATGCAGTCTATCAGTACTGAGGGAGGGGTGGGAGGCACAGTGTTATACTTAGAAAGGGGTGAGAGACACACTATTACTATGTATAGAGGGGTGGGAGGTGGTTGTAATAATAAATGCTACTAGTTAATGGAGCTTTTACTCTATCATGCAAATTTTTTAAATTGGTTTTTCCACTGATTTTTTTATGCCAAAATTTTTGCACTGGGCTGCAGCATTTCTTCCTTTTTTTTCGTCATGCAAATGCAAAACTGCCACCTAAACACTGGACTTTAATTGTTATTCAAAATATCACATCTACGATCCTTTACTGTTAAGTTTTGCGTGTGGCTTTTGAGTATACTTGTGCACTATCAGTTGCTTCACATTTCTCTTTGTGTGTACAGTTTATAATTACTGAATTTTTCTCTCTTACTTTTGTCATTGACCTTATCAGACGAGTTCATGGAATTTCCGGTCCTTAGTCCTTAACTTAGCAGCATAGAATTCATATGCGCTATCGTAATTTAACATTTATACCTTTAATATATAAACTAATTGTTGGTACAGTCATACAAAGCAATCTTCTCTCTTTTCAGATACACACGTTTCCCCTTTTGATATGGTGAACATACGCTTGAGTGTCATATCATGCATTCCACTTCATACTAAGGGAAGGGAAGCCCAATGAAACGATTGACAGCTTGTATAAGTCTTGACCAGACAGATAGAATGGTCTGTGATTCAATCAATTTCAATGTTGTATCGACGTAACGTTCCATGATTTTTGACTTTCCAATTCAACTCTGATGTTAGTAGCGCTACTTTTGAATGGTAGCTTCTTGCAAAACTGTCAGCTTGTCGAACATTGTGAGGAAATTTCTTCCTGCATTTGTGCATACAGTATGAGAAGAACTCAAATATAGAAATGTATGGCAGCTCCACTCTCTTGCAAGATGTGATTTTCAGGAAACAAAGACTCCCTTGATGCAGCCCATCAAAATCAAATACAAAAAGAGCTAGGTCTTTAAAGTACACTAGGGAAATGACAATTCTTACTGTTTGTTAATAATGTGTAAATTATTGTTCAATTATTGTTCATCGATAGCACAGCAAATACAACAGAAGGTGATATAACAGGTGTAGACAGAAAAGTTATCATTGCCCATTTCCTCACTGCCGACACACTTTAACTTTATTTGTACAATTCAGTTTCTCCTCATTTTTACATAATGTTTTGATTTGGCCTGCAGTTAGTACATACTTATCACTCTGACTGTTTCTGAAGTTGGAATGAGATTTCTTTTCCTCTTGAGTCATTGGAAAACATTGAAGTTGTTTTGTCATTGTCCCTGAGAGGGCTTTCTGTAATTTGCAAAAGGAAACAAAATGAAATAGTGTTATTTGTGAGATTAACTCAAATAGGTAATTTGCAAAAGGGAAATACTTCATTTGTGAATTAGAAATCTGTAATTTTCAAAAAAAGGTAACTTTGTAATTTGCACTTGTGTGGGTTTAATGAATCAATCCATCAGCTATGCGAAAGGAAAATAGCATCCTTAAGCCATAAAAGGCAAACCTAATATTTAAAAAATTATCTAGTGCTGAAGCTATGCTGTTTTAATCATCAATGTACAAAGTGGAATGCATGACACGACCCTTAACTTAAAGCCGGAAAACTGTGTATCTGAAAAGAGAGAAGATTGCTCTGTACAATTATATCAACAATGTTTTTTTCAGTAAAGATGCAAACATTAAAATTGTGATAGCACACATGGATTCTATGCTGCTAAATAAGGGCTAAGCACCGGAAATTCCACGATCTTTGTCATCTGATAAAATTAATGACAAGAGGAAGATAGATAAATTCAGTAATGATATACTGTCCACCCAAAGGGAAATGTGAAGCATTTAGCACTGGAACAGGTTGACTTAAAAGGCACATGCATGACCCAATAGTGGAGATTAAAAATTGAGAATTGGCCATACTTTTAATTACAATCTGAGTCCAGTGTTTAGGTGGCAAAGAACAGCCCAGCATAACAGCCCAGCTAAAAAATTTTGACAGTCAGTCAGTCAGTTGAAAAACCACTCAAAAAAGTATGTATGATCTAGTAAAAACTCCATCAATCAGTAGCATTTACTCCTGTAACCTCCCACCCCTCCTCTTTTCATTCATCTTCCACCCCTCCCTGAGTAACAACAGTCTGCCTCTCACCTCTCCCTAAGTACTGATAGACTGCATCCCACCCCTCCCTGAGTACTAATGGTGGGGGCCCCTTTGATAAAATGGTTGAAAAGAAGGTCCAAAAAATGGTCCAAAAAGTGGTCCAAAAAATGTCCAAAAAATAGTCCAAGGGTCCAATGTTCCAGTCCATATTTTACCCCATGCCATCAGTATGACATAAAAGAGAGAAGGATTCTACCAAAGGTGTACTAATTTTTTTTCTCAGTTGTATTTTATTATTTTCTCTACTTTGTATGTTCTCCTATATCTTGCTCGAAGTGTTGTGACAAACATTGGAAAACCTTCCATCAAAAAAAATTAGCCTACAGTACATCCTGTTAGGGCAAGTTAATGTTAGAAGCTCACAATCGTTTACTCAACCTGTCATGTTTGATTTGGAAATAGAGGCAGCAGTGGGAGGAGGGGGCAGGGAAAGGTGAATAATTTTCACCACCCCACCGCACTCCTCTCCTTATTTTTGACCATTGTTCACCCCTTTGGCACAAATTTCTATCTTTTCCTAGCCTTGCGCTGCCATTAAAATCGAAGATGGCAGCCATAGTTTTCTCTAAGAAAATACTGAGCACTCACCTGCCAAATTTACACCTGCTTTGTAGGCTATCAGAAAATCAGAACTTATACTCCCCAAAGGAGTTACAGAACATTTTCATGTATTAAATTTTCAATATGAAAGTGGTGGTTAGGGTCCTAAGGATGATGTAACTGTTAATATTTTGTCACTATCATCTTAAAACAAAGTCCTTTTCATTGTTTGGAGCTTAATTTTTCCTGATTTTAGTTTTTTCTTTTTTTCTTTTTTTACCAAACTTCAAAACAAACCCTAACCCTAAGAATTGTGATCCAAAAACAGGGTAACACTTTTTGTGCTTATCCTAACATCAAAATTTTCCCCTCAAAACATTCACTAAAATATGTCCCAGAATGCAGGAAATCATGTCCTAGAAAGACTAAAATTTCAAATTTTTCTGGGGGAGCACACCCACAGAAACCCATATGACAGCCATCTACTCAGTTCAGATCCTAGACCCATACATTTCTAACGACAACCCTGACTTTCTGATCATTAACCAAGCATCCAGTAATTAGAAGGCCATTATTACTACTTCTTCAAGTTTTTCTCAGTCTCTGCTACACGTAGTGACTTAGAAGAAGGTTGCTCTTCTTCCCATGGAGTTCTTTATGTATTTCTCTTTCTGGAAAAGTTGTAGGAGTCTCCTAAGAGGTACAAAACAACTGTTTGAAGTGTAGGGTAGGAAATTTATTTTGATCCAAATCACAGGGTTGCAAGATAATGCGAATACTTTCAATACCAAATTTTCAAAAGTACAGTATGGTATTAAATTTTTATCCAGAGCAAAAATCTTGCTTAGGAACCAAGTAACTGTTCACATTGTCAACAGTATAGATTTTGTTTGTTGTCCATATTGAAGTGTAGGTCACAATGAGGCAATGAAGACCTGTGCTGTTGTAATTGTGACAGCCATATTTTTTTTTACTTCTCTTGGGTCATTTATGAGAATATTATCCATAAATATCCATAACATATATACATTATGCAGCAACCAGTTAATGAGGACTCTCTAAGTTATCAGGTAGAATTTGTCACCTTGATCTAACATCAAATTGTTGTTACTATTTTACAAGGAAAATAATGTACAGGTAGAGGGGAGAATTAACAAACAGATCTTGGGAGTTAAAGGGTTAAAGGATGCAAAACCATTGTGCTTTTGTAAGAAAGAAATAAAGATATTTTGTTCTGGCCTTTTGTATGAATGATGAAGAGTGTAGCTTTGTTGTTAAAAAAATTTTAACAAATTTTAAATTCACTCTTTTTTTCAACAACAGCAGAAGTGAATTGGATAAATATCATCCTGATTAAGTTACCCTCTCACTAATACTCAGTGATGGACAATGGTATAAATGGAATGTTTTTATTTACAGTTTCTTTGGTGAATGTTAAGTCTCAAAAGTGTTTTGTTGTAAGAAGTTCAGGAATATGACTGCAGAATTAGAAGTCATCCTGCAACTGAATTCTTACTTTAAACAGTACAAGTATTTTCTTTTATATAAAAATTGAGAATGAGATTAACCAAGCTTTAAGATTCCTAGAACATAAGTAATCTTGAGAGGCAGTTAAGAAAAAAATTTTAGTTTTCACATTTGTTTTAATGAGAAGTATAGACAAATATGAGATATATGCAAAATTGCAGTTTAAGAGGACAAATCAAACACTTCAAGTCACAGCCAGGTTTTTGGCTTTTTTTTCTTAAGATATATCACTTCTAACATCAAAACCTGTTTTAGGCAGGCACTCACAGGAACCTTGCTAATTGCCTCTTAACTCTTAAACTCAGGAATGAACAAGAAATAATTTCTGCAGCTAAGTGATGAGAAAAGCAAAAAAATTGTTAACTAGGGGATTATCATTTGATGCAAGACTAAATTCTTGGAACAAACTTCATAAGAAATTTATGGACGGAAGTAAGGAGAATTTTGATTGAGATATTGGAAGTGAAAGGGATAATTTAGGCTGTGAGTTCAATCCATGTTCTTTAGAATTAAGGTATGTTACACCGTCGATCGCCCATGTCATTTTTTTGGAGCTTATTCCATCTTAGACAAACTCTGTTATGGCAGATTTTTTATTTATAAAGAATTGCAAGTATGGTCGAAAGTAAGTATGTGTGGTTTCTTTTGTTAACCCTTTAGCTCCTAAAAGTGACTAGCATCTAATCTCTCCTTACTATATCACCCCTGAATCAAACGTGAAAGTTATGAGAATAGAGGAGATGATCACCAACTAAAGCAGCTCTTGACTGTTAAACAAATTCTCCTTGTCAGCCTCTTTGGAAATGTATGGGGAGTGGTATGGAGAATATGCATATTGATGTTAGGTGATAAAGGGTTGAAGAACATACCTGATGGACAAATTTTACCTGCTTAAATGTTTAATACCCTGTACTTTTACACGCTTATAAAACTGCTCAGGGTCCTATCATGTGTAAAATATTTGCTAAAAGAACTCCAGATTTTCTGTTTCGCAAAAAGACCTAATCGTAATCTCTTTTAGGGTCCGTATAATACATGGTTCTTGTGAAAATTCTCTGAAAATATGGTGGTGAAATATGCTGTAGTCGATGAAAAGAGAGTTGAAGTTTGTTGTAACTGGGTTTTATGCATTTTTCATCCCCTGTCCTGAGGTAGTAGTAGCCACTTAGATTTCTGTCGCTTTAGAATGAAGAATTCGCGTTTTATTATCTTTATCATTATTATTTTAACTGTCGGTGCATTGCGCAGACTGTGTTAACAGCTTTGTCTTTTGTCATTATCATAATCGGCTCTATCACTCCCCAAGACGCCAGATCAATTATCGACTTCATCAATGTAGCTTTAACACTTTATCTTGTTATCACAGCTGTCGGGAGATCTTTGGATCAGTAGTGCAGCATGATATTCCGCTAAACGGGTCTTGTTTCGGTTCACGCATCCTGTTTTCAGCATAACGAATTATCTCCTGTAGTTCTCCCACTCTTATCAGTTGTGTATAAGTAGGGTTATTCATTAGTAAAGTTCACTTGCATTCAGTTGAAATTTTTTTTTATCACCGAATGACAACCAGATGTTTTTGCATAAAAATGTTCCAATTTTGGAATTCACGCAGAAACGATCAGATTCTGGTACTAATTGGAGCATGAAATGGAGATGGTTATTGTTTATCTTACAGATTTTTATCGGCCTAAGGAATCTCACACTTCGAGTTTTGGACAGAAAATCTCAGTACGTAGCGTAACCTTACAACAGTGATGTAGTTGGCATCCATTCAAACTTCGCTATGCGCCAAAGATTTTGTGTGGTTTTAGTCGGAATGATACGTTATATAACTTCATGCGTTTTCGTGTGAGCTTTGGAAGAAACAAGGAAATAATATGTCAGACAACCGCTATTGAACGTTTTATTCTAGGTTTTTCCACCTTATTTGGCCGTTGTTTGGCATTTAAGGGGCAAACGTTTCCATTTCCATGTTCATTGAAACACAAACAAGCTTACAGAAGGCAATAGTCTGATGTCGTGTTTAATGCCGCCCTTCTAAGTTGCAAATGGGAAACTAAAAAAGTTAGCGTTCTTTTCAACTCACGTGTCGCTTTTGAGTCCATAGTGATTTTCTGTTGACAAACGGCCTGCGACCTTGGTTTTCGATCAGATTGCCGCTTGTTGGATTAAATGGCAGAAGAAGGCTGGGGTGAAGAAATTGCACAAAGTAATTTCTGTACTTCCCTCCCCTCCCCTCCCCTCCCCTCCCCTCCTCTCAAATTTCCACCCCAATGCCGGTAGTAGTTTTGTTCCCGCTTTCTCTCTCTCAAGTTAAGGTTATAAAGTTGGTATTATCAGTGAAACACGGATCTGTCTGAATTTTTGTTAGACAAGATTTAAAACGATTATTACATGTGATAAGAGATTTGGTCATCTGTTATCATGTGAACCACCGTGGGGGTGAAAGTAGAGATTATCTATTTCATTTCTTTGATCCGACCTGTCGATTTCTTTGTTTTTATTGATTTCCATAGTTTAAACTTCTCGCTCACTTTTATTCGGGTGTTTCGGGTATGGGTGTTTCGGCATTGACTGGGTGTTGCCGTTGGCGCCAATTGGTAGACAATGTTAGCGGACATTGTCTACCATGTCATTGTTACCTTTATGTAGGAAACTGGACACCATTTATGAAGCGCAAAATAACAATCGCCTCTTTAGGCGATTGGAAACACCTGCACTTCTGTTACATGAAACCTTTATTAGGCAAATCACTTTCAATGAATTTGAATTTCATTTTTATCCGATTGGAGTTTAAGATTACGATCTTAAAACATTTTATGGTGACTGCCCACCTTCGGAGGCCGAAAAAAAAATCATTTTTTTCCTATATTTGACTAAACTAAGTTCACACATTTGCCTTAAGTTTCCAAAAGAAAAAAAGTTTAAATCTCCAAAGTACCAGCCTCGATACAAAAACATGAAAAATCGCCTCGAATTGTAAGTTTGAAAGCTGTCTGTCAATTCGTTGTCTTGCCTCACAGCACATTTTCCGGTTTTGTCATCTTTGCCGCGGTATTTTCCTTTACCTCAAGCTTTTTTGCCCATTTTTTGTCTCGTCCTCCTCAACGCTGCACTGAGCGATGGAGATAAAAACAACGTGTCTGCAATGGGTTACTTTTCCCGGGAAATCATGATCCATCGTCATTGATGACAGGAGGTTCCGTTGTTCCATTGGTTTGCGGTTTCAGGAGGCGAGATAATCTTCTGGCGTGGCGCGAGTTATTTACGAACCTTTATGAGCTAAAATCTCTGGCATTTGATTTTGGCAGGAATACATCCACTTTGTGTTACAGGGTATTTAGATTTAACCAATTATGGTCAAATTTGGTCAAATTTCGCCAAATTATTCCTGAAATAATGACAAATGAAAGCCTTTCGGGAAATTTTGATATTTTAAATATTTGTCCCGTGGCGTCCATTTACGCAACACGCCTCGCATATTTTTAGCTACTCCAACTTAAGATGTCGATATCTGAATAACCAATCCGAATATCGGAAAGCCAGACATTTCATGATGATTGAAGCCTTGTGAATAAGACTGTGTAGCCATTTCGGTTGTGCTACGACATCTGGTACCCGATAAATTCAATAGAAGAACCCTCGGTCGTTTCACACGCTTTACCGGCTCCTGACACCTCCTAAAAGGAAAACTCGCTTAAATTATATGTTTATCGCAAACTGCATTTATTAAGCTTTTTTCTGATGTATAGTTTGCTATGATTTTAGTGAAACTAGCGCGCGTACAAATTTTTTTCCCGAAGGACACCCGCGAAGATTGAAAGTAACCTTAAATTGTAGTGATAAAATGTCATAAGTGTTATTCTATCCACCGGAAACGGCCAGATTCCTAAAGCTGGTGATAACTCACTCTGTTTCATCTAGGGGGTTAACAATTTACTCCAAACGGTAGTGTGCAGACATCTTATTAGATTGAGTGAGTTCAGCGGGTGTTCGATCAAGCCGCATTGTCTTCATTAACTATTGTAACGGGTTAACAGGCGTCACTTTTGCGCGTTTTTCTCAGACAAGTGGCGGCAAGGGTCATACGAGAGCCCGGAAGGTGCGAACGTCTCACGCGCGCTTGAATGAGCGATGAAATTACGCCTCTTCCTACTGGTTACCCTCAGAATTTTGAGTTAACTACAGCTTCCACATGATGTTAGTATGGAAATCGGGATCTTGCGCTTAAAGCTTTTTCACTGGCCTGGTCACGTAGTGAATTCTTGGGCAACACACTTTACTGTCACAGAAACACTTTTCAGGAGAGGTTTTACTTCTTTCAAGTTAATCTCGTGTGGTAAATAATTAAATAGATTTTCTGATTATTTTAGGTTTGACGGGAGAAGGCATTTCCCTTAGCGTGGACAGTGCAACAAAGGATTTTGTTTTAAACTTCGACCTCCTCCTCCGAGGTGAAGTTCGTGTTTCCATTGTATTAGAACTAGACAACGCTGATTTATACACAGTGCATTACACATCCAACAACGCTTTTCTTTCGTCCAACGGCAAGGAGGTGTTTTATGGTGTGGGACACTGGAAAGGCTGGAGAAGAATTGCGCGGAATTTAGACACGGATTTAAGAAAAGGAATAAAGTTTCCTGATAAAAAGAATGCTAGAAAGGGTAAAATGGCGTTGACAGAAGTACAAAGCATTTTACTTCACGGGAAGGGTTTAATTGATAATATCACATTAATGCGCTCAGCTCATGAGCATTCGTTTCTGGCCGCGGCAAACTGGTTCTTACGTTATCAAAATAACCTTGGTGGCTGGCCAATCACAGTAAAGCGTAAAGTGATTGACGGCGTCACTCTGTTGCCTGACTGGTATTCAGCCATGGGGCAGGGGCAAGGCATGTCTCTGTTGACCAGAGCTTATCTCTTCACGAAAAACCCGGCCTACTTAAGAGCAGCTCTCCGAGCCACTAAACTGTTCAAAGTCAAGGCTGTAGACAAAGGAGTTTTAAACACGTTCATGAACCAGTATCACTGGTACGAGGAATACCCCACATCGCCATCAACGCTAGTCTTAAACGGTTTTATTTACTCGTTGCTCGGGCTCTACGACTTGAAGCTTACTGCGGGTCCTCAACAAGGTGCCGAGGCAGCAGAGTTGTTCGATCAGGGCATGCGCTCTTTAAAAGCAATGCTACCTCTATATGACAGTGGATCCGGGAGCTTTTACGACCTCCGTCACATGACCATGCGCGTCGCGCCCAATTTGGCGCGTTGGGATTATCATACGCTACATGTTAGTCTATTGTATGTCTTGGCGAATATCGACCCAGATCCCATCCTCAAGACAACGGCAATGCGTTGGGAAGGATATACTCAAGGAAAGAGAGCCAAACACAATTAAGTTTTTACATAGTAGAGCAATTTTCAATTGAGTGTCGGAAGTAATCCTGTATTGCTTTGTTTTTTACTAAACTTAGCTCTATGATCGGTCCAGAAAACGTGCGCCATCTTCTCAACCAATCAGGTGCAAAACTAAAAACGATCGCTCTTGGTCTTCCGCGTTTTCCCACGCTTTAAGCAGTTTGCTTGTTTTCGCTTTGAGTTCTCATTGGCTAACGATGATGTACCTCTTTGTTCTGATTGGTCGCTGGGATTACTTTGGTTTTGGCTTTTCTGACACAATGGAAAACTGCTCTATTTCCTTTTTTAATCATTGATTTCTGCTTTTGACAGACTTCGATTGAAATATAAAAAGGTGTTAGCGTTTATTTAAGATCATTAATTGTACGGCTTTTTACGGCCGATGTCATGAAATGTATTTATTACTTACACGATCATGTTAGCACGTTTTTTTTTTTTTTTCGGGGGCAGGGGGTTGGAAGGGGAAATTTATATTCTCTCTCAAGTTAGGCGGGTCACAGACCTCCATACTTTAGCCACCTCCAGCTTGTGTTTATGCGGTATTCTATTTTGGATATCACGCCTTTTACTTTGACATACTCTAATTAGCCTTAGTGGGAAGCTCTTACAATTTAAAGAGCTTTGAATCAAACGGTTTAGGATCAGTATAGAAGACAACCAGATTTTTTGACAAGACACTTGAATCGTAGTGACTGAATTTCTTCATAGAACAGTTTTGTATATAAGAATCTGTCGTCGCCTTCTCTGTTTAGACAAAGAGATATCCAATCCAGCTTCCAACTGTTTTCTTCAATCTCCAGAATGTACCATACTTCTCATTGATATCTCATACGGGCATTGTTAAAAATGGGGTGAATATTTTGTGAAAAAATTTGAATAAATATTTTCGGGCCTCACAAACGACTCTCTCTCTTTAGGATCGTGTCATGGTGAGGTCAGTAAGTTTTAAGACTTATTAGGGATGTAACTGTATGCTTGTTGATAACTGTGCTACTGTCAAATGATTTTTTTTTTTTTTAGAGTGACCACGACAGTCAGTGTGACAAACATATGAATTATTACATAAACTTAAAATGTACGCAATTCAGAGCAAGATTGATTTTTGCAATCTAAATTTATCTTAATGTGACAATGATGGGTTATAGGAAATAAACATTTATTAAAACACTAAATTGAATTAGTTATTTTAATTAACTGATTCCGACGGGAACCTTCTTTTGGTTTTCGCAATTGATACAAAAAGCTCGAATAAAAAAAGGGTTTTTTTTTATAGTTTCTTGTTTTCTGTTGTACAAGTGTACATGGTTACTGAATTATGTCCTTTATAATTTATGGGCAACAAGAAAAGCTAAAGTTATTTTCCAGTAACCCTGGAATGCGTAATGTAAATTGGCCACCATTAAGAGTTTATAAGGCTGACATTTCTAGCTTTAGTCCTTCGTCAGAGAAAATAGAGGAATTGTGGAGCTCTGCTATAGGTGGGAACATGTTCTCACTAGTAGCGTGGATCAATCTTTTTGCACATATACCCCAAACAAGTCACAATTCTTCTATTCGCTATGACTATGGACTAACGCTCAAAAAGTCAGCTTCTGGAATTTTTTTACGGTGGCTGATTCGCATTATGAACTCAATAGGTAAGACCCTGAAACTATCTTGTAATATCGCCCTCTCACCACCACCGACGCAATACCACGGTTTCCTTAGAAATCAACCCCATTGTAACTAAATGAGATCCCATTGGTTATTGAATTACAAAGGAGCGCTGTATCAGCATTATTCCGTAGCGCTAAAGCAATGATTGCCATGTCGACAATCTTGTTGCCTCTTAAACTGTCCTCTCATAGATTCACACGATTCAGTTTCATTATATTTGTCCGTCTGTTCAATCTGAGAAGAAATGTTATTTCATGGACGGGCGAATAATCACTCTTCCTATCTATCTCCTTTTCTATTTCCACATTTTATTTGCCATAAATTCCGGTAAATGATACAAAAGGATGTAATAAGAAGAATTGCTTAAAACTGGAGTATTAGCCAAAAAGTCATCTAATATTTTCGCTCTGACGAAGGGCAATCACTCGAAACGCCAGCCATGGAACTCTTTTACGGTGGCTGATTTATAATGGTAATTGAACCGAGTGGAGTGCAATTTGAGCTGAAATTATACGCGTGATTTCAAAATCGAACGAGCGCGCAGCGCAAGTTCGATTTGAAATCACAAGTATGATTTCAGACCAAAATTGCACAACACGAGGTTCAATCACCACTTTATTACATCCATTTTGAAATTGCCCAAATACAGGACTTGGTCAGTTCAAATATTTTATTGATGCAGTTCTGAGCCGGTCTGAAATTAAATTCATGTCCATTTTTTGAGGGAAAAGAGTTCAGAAACAAAAGTTGCAAAATTTGCCACATGATACTCTTTGTCTTTCATTTTCCTGCAATTTGAACGGCTACTTTAAACAAGCCTTAAATCTGATTGGTTGTTTTGTTTTTAGTGTAGTCTCCTCATTGGCTGGGAAAAAGATGCGATTTAAAGCAAAAAATTGGTGCGATTCGTGAATAAATCGCATCAATTAGGGCCAATCAGATTACAGGGACCACCAGTGATTTCAAAATGGGTGTAATAAATATTATCAACTTAGTTGATAAAACCAAAATTATCTTCACGCACGTGCAGAAAATAACAGTAGTTAGTCACCAAGGTACAAGTCGTGTTGTTGATGGTAATCATTTCCTTTACTCTTGTGACCCTGATGTGTGACTCGGGTGAAGAAAAATTAGATGCTGTTCACTCTAAGAGGCTCAAGAAGGTCAAAGGTTAAAGAAATGACCTCCGAGCTTCATTAAATTTCCAAAGGATTTTATTACAACTCCTTTCGCATACAAGAACGCTATAAATAAAATTTATTTACACATCGTCAATTTATTTTCTCTTAGAACTATTTTGAAAATATGTCACAGTTATATTGTTTCGTTGACATCGTAACAGTTGAGGTAAAACTCGTATAAATTCCTTTTACCTGCAAACTTCTCAAATTTAGTCGTCAACAGACTGTTAGTCTTTGCTGTTGTTCTGCAATGAATTTTGTTGCTGGAATATTTCATCAGAAATACTTTCCGACACCTAGTATCCGTCTGCACGCCAATACACTACTTGCTACGAAATGTAATTTCCTTTAGGGAACGAATCTTATCAATGTACAACTATCTTTTTTGTTTTAAACGTTTTTGGTTTTCATTTCCAGGTTTTTACAGCTCATTAAATTTTATAACGTATCAAATTTCTATGCGATGGTTGCCTATTAAAGGAAATGAAAAAAAATTATTTCCAAACTCTAAAAAACAGAAGGTTTAAATAAAATATATCTCGTAAAGTTTTCCTTTTATATATCGTTTAACTTTTCTTCACTCTTCTGATCTAGTTTTTGAGTACGAAAGAAATGAAGTTTTACTTCCGTGATGTGGGACAATTTTTCATCCATTATTGAAAAGTAGCAGAAAAGGTTTTTTCTTGTGTAAATTTACCATCTCAGAAAGAAAATTTTTAAAAAATCACCATTTTTAACGATTCCCAACTTAATTTATCTGCGTTTTGTTAGAAATAAATAAGCAATTTCTCTTATGAAGCACACTAGATATATGTTAAAATTTTAAATATAAACGTTAAACTATTTCTTAGCGCAGAAAGCTGCTGAACTTCTCTTAATTTTACACGATTTACAAACAATAAGAAAAAAAAATTCAAAGATGTTTACTTTGTTTTTCGTATTAGCATTTAACTACAACGCAACAAACGGTAAATAGCAAGTTTAATCGTCTGATAAGTCAATAGTAACGGGTTGTTTCTTTGAAGGCGACGAGTACATCCCAGAACTATCCAGGCTTTTCTTGACTACATTTTCTAACTGTGAAGGACTTTGCAGATTTCGATGTTCATTTTTTAATATGCTCGATAGAAAACGGTCATTCATTTTTTCGCTTTCAAGTCTTTGTTGGGCTCGATTTTGCTGTCTACAGTATCGCATAAACTCTTCATGAGCCAACATATGTTGAGGGTGATATTTACTTTGCGGGCTCATTATAAGCTGCTGCTGAAGTTGACGATCAAAAGGCGTCGACGCGAGCGCGTGAACCGGCAAGGCAGCTAATTCTTCAGGGAAAATGCCACGCGCATTATTGCCGTGAAGATGCATGAGTTCAGGGTGTTGCCATAGAGACGGATTGTTCCTCCATGAAGTAAGTCCTGGATGTTGTAGATAAGCTTGGTCGAGAGCCGAAAGACTAGCGGCTTGTAAGTTTTGAAGGTGTTGTTGCTGCTCGTGAGGATGAATGTGAAAATGCGTGTGAAGATGAGAATGCGAGTGTTGCTGAGGTCCGTAATACTGGAGTCCTGTAGCGGGATCAGTAGTAAGAACACGTCCAGGGCCCCCCTTGAGGAGGGACTCGTGGCTGCGCGAGTCCAATGCGCTTTGTTCCAGCGCCCTACCCTGCCCCTGAAGATAAGAGATTGCAGAGAGATGGTGACCAGATTGCAATTGGGCTGAGCGATAAGGCGCATACCATTGCTCAAACCCTTCCGCAAATTTCGCGGCATTTTCCCTAGAATCCCCGGCGGGGACCACGCCCATTCCAGAGAACATGTGGAAAGGAAGCATTCTGTAGTCCACTCCGACACTCGGGGGTGGAAATCCCGATATATTGATGCCCTGGGATGACATACCCGGCGGTATATTCGGGGGATACAAGTGATATTGTCCTCCAGCCATGTAATTTCGAAGTGACGCCTCGTAATGCGAAGTAACAGTAGCTGGAGCGTTGTACGGGGACTGACTGGCGTTGGATCGAACTGACACTTCTGTAGATGATTCACTGGCCTGGAGAACAAAAGAGGGACTTTGTCTTTAAGAAACGTTCAGGACATTTTCAAGACATATCTTAATTTGAAGAAAACGAGGTAGGGATCAGACTTACTTGGGCTTCATGTACTTACCATTTTGCTTTGAAACCAATTAATTGTTAAACATTTTGATTCCCCCTCTATTTCCCGAAAGATGCGAGATTTGCATGGCGCAGTCGAATGATATATACCTCTAACTTATTACTTCAGTAACAGACTTTGCCGCGCTTTCAAAATTGGGTTGGAGTGTTTGAGTCGGAATCGGTTTCTGTAAAGGTTTTTGTTTGAAACTCACCCCAAAGGAGCCCACTAAGTAACATGTGAATAATCTGGACTTCACATGTACGGAATTTAAGTCTACTGTCATTTCTCTTTTTTTGTGTAGTGTTACGCAGTAAATCCATTATGAATCACACGCACCTCAGCCTTTGATGACGATTCTTTAGAAACGGACACTTCTCGAGAACAAGTCGTGTCCTTCTTCGGCTTTTCGGAATGCACGAAGACGACGTCGGTACGTGCACAGCTTCGTCCTTCCTCACCAGAAATCAGGCGCTTAAATCTGTCAGGCAATTTAATAGGCTCTGAAGCATCAGCCGGTGAACAAGAGCGGTTACTAGCCACTTCGTCATTGTTGTTACTGCTATTGCTACAAACACTACTGGCGTCGTGATCTGGAAGCACACTGTCCCTACCCCCGGTGGTGCTGCTGGTGTCACTGGCATTGTCGTTTGCATCTTCGTCAGAATCCTAGGGGAGGGGAAGGAAGAAAAGAAAATGACTTTTAACTTCACACAGATACATGCACTGTCAATCAAGCTAGAGAACAAAATGGAGGAATATCGACCGAGTTCTGTTTTCAAGGTCTCCATGGACCGAAAAGTGCAAGTTTATGACAGAAATGAACCCGTTCACTCCCAAGATCTCCTTTTTAATTCACCTTGCGAATTTGTAATTGGATCAACTAATAATCCCTTAATATGTTTTTATTCTCATCACATGTCTGCTTGAGAATGTGTTGATAATGTAAGGAGAAATTCTGTCCTGGTCACTCATGGGAGTTAAAGGGTTCAGTGATATCTTAACTGAACAAGCTTACTAGCTACAAGATTTCATAAATGACCAAAATATTGCAGCAAATATCTCCTGATCTGCGGGAACAGAGCGGGCGATTCCGAGGTTGAAAGACAGCTAGGGTAGCCAATCAGAAGACGGGACTTGCGTCTTTTTTTCTTTTTTCCCCTTCTCGCGAGGTCTGCCATGCAACAAATTATGATACACTGGAAATATAAATTTACCTGAGTCTGAGCCTTTTTCCGCTTGTCATTTGCTTGATTTTCCGGTGACTGATCTCGTCGCCGTTTCTTCCCTTTCTTCAGTTTGCCCTAAGAAAATAAGATCCCAACTGATTACCTCTGCAAGGAATAACAGCTGTACTATGTACAGTTTGGTTCGTTCGATGGACTCGTTACGACAATTGTGAAATATCGAATATCTCATTATCTCGCTTTTAGCCAACAAGCAAGCTCTCCTTTTTATCACTCCACGAGAAAGCTTACTCGCAAGCTGTCTTGCTTTTACTGAGGTGTTGAAGAGCGAACTCGAAAGTTAACGAAAACCCTTACAGGATTTCAGCAAAGAAGCACCAAACATCATCAGCCAATCTACCTTCTTAACTTTGTCTTTTCCTCCATTACTGCCTGTACTGGATGTGCTCCCGCTGGATGGCGAGGGAACTTTGTTGATCTTCGCTAATCTCCGACTCCCAACGGATGATTCGCTGTTTGCTCCTGAAAAACAAAATTAAAAAGAATATTCATTTAATGCGAAACTCGGCTGCCTTTCGGACAATGGTTATTACTCAATAACTCGGGAATTCAACTGAGCGGCAAAACCAAACGACAAAAAAAAAATTCGTGAAAAGAACGTGACTGAACTGAACTACCATTAACTTTTAATTAACAGCTTTTGGAAAGGAAAACTACTCGAAGTTGTGTATGGACTCCCTGAGATCTCAGGAAATACAGAATATTGGAATTTTTTTCCTTTTGTTGAAACAAGGAAGGATACTCATTCTTTTTTCTCTTCTGACGCTGTACAAATGACGCGCAACACTGAAATAGGAAATTGTTCGAGAAACAATCGTGAAAGTCACTTTCACGGTTTTAAGTGCTGCGGAAATTCTCTTTGCTTTCTTCCATTATTGATTTATCTTTCAATGAATACGTTATGTTTTATGGAGCTTTCAGACACATGCGTCAATAGTAAAAATGTGTTACCTTCAACAGGGCTGGATGTCTTGTTACGTCCAGATCGTAAAGTTGTTTGGACGGGAGGAATAGCCCTTCTGCTTCGCAAAGCCAACTTTCCATTGACCAAATACCCGTCTTCATCTCGTACCTCCCTTTCCACAACACCTTTGAACATGTACGGAGGAGGTTCGCGTGTTTCGTCGGTAGCAGGAAGTTTGCCGTATTTCTTGTAGTAGATACGACAATCGTCGCACAAGATCACTTTGTTTTGACTGCCATGATGCCAGCTTCGAGACTCAGTAGTGTAGCAATGGCGACAACAGTAGAGGCTGAGAGGAAAATAACGAGACAATTCAGAGAGCTTAGGGCATCTAGACTACGAGTATCACGAAAAGCGTGACCGCCTCACGATTGCTCGCGATGAAACACGATGGCAAGAATATTTCTTCAATTTACCTCAAATCTCTTTCACTGTCGTCGCTGTCATAATCCTCTTCGCTACAGGAACTAAGATCAACTGCACCAACAAAGATGAAATAAAGAAAGATGTCACATATTTTGTGACAAGAGCGGGACTTAAAGATTTCAGGATAATTAAATTCAGTTTCGATTTCGAAAAGAACTCCTTCGCGAGTGAGTTCACGTATGAGCTTTATGTTTGACAGAGTTCTGTACACAGCTAGGACAAGTTAAGTCAAAACTTTCTTGTAGGAATGTTTAGAAGTGCTGGCAGTTTAGAAATATATCGCCAGACAATGACAAACAAACCTTGGTCAGCTACTCACCAAATTCACTAACAATGCTTTTGGATGATCTGGGAAGTGCTTTTCGTCTGAGCACGTTGTGTCGGCGGCGCCTGTGTGGACGAGAACTAAGTGCTGTGGGTGTCTTTTTCCATGTATAGTAATACTCTACAAGCTCTCCCTATTGAAAAGAAACAGACACTTCAAATTGAGAGGTAGAAAGCTACAAAATCGTCCAAATAATCACCGTAAATTACTCGAAGAAAAATATACGGGAAAAAATGTTTAAAAAAGGTTTACCGTTTCTTTGTGAGATAATAGCTCTTTCTTGATCTTGTAAAAGTTCTTTCCATATTGCCGTAGTCCCTTGACAAACTTTTTCTAACAATATGAAAGCAAATAGTAATCGCTATGTAAGACAAAGTTTTTGTTTTAAGGAGTCAAGTACTTCTGGCGCAGTACATTACTGTCTAGTACGCAAAGAACAGGGAGTAATTGTGTTTATCAAGTTGGTGAAAGGCCAGTTCAGATCACGCATTTTACTTCTTTATCAACCTTCTGCTACCCTTACAGCTTTGCATTTCGAAAAAGACATAAACATAAACATTAGTTTGTTTGATCTCGAATTTACAGAGAAGCTAAGAGGCTAACATCTTCGAAAGCAACAGTGAAAATAAAGATAATGCTTATAAACTCTAACTGGCAGGAGGCGGACCAGCTGCTTTATACAAGGGGCAGGCATGGAGTTTAACCAAAGGCAACCGAGAACAAATCCAGCAAGTAGATGGGTGAAGGGCGTCAACCTGGCACCAACAGATTACAAGAACAACACCCTTACCACTCGGCCACAACACCGCCGCTCCTTTCGGTTTTCGCTTTACTCACAAGCAAGTAAAGAATTGGTCAGAAGTTAAAGAATAAATAGAGAGGCAGGTTCTCTATGTCCTTTGCACTCCACTCTGTCATGAACACTCAACTATCATTACTCACCGTTTCGTCTTCAGACCATCTCTTTTCCAGTTCCTTTGGGTAAGGTTTCTTTACCAGTGCTTGGAGAGCTTTGGCCGCATCATAATTATTCTGATGAAGCTAACAACAAAAACAAACACACAACCAAGTTGGTCAGCCAAATTAAAACCTTTAAAAACACTGAAGGAATATTTAAGACACACTCCTCATAAAAAGTGTGTCAGGAAAAAGATAGGGCAAAAAATTTAAGGTTGCTGTAGGCAAATGTTCCTTTTAGCACCTTAGGAAATGTAGAAAAGTTAGAGGAATATGGATACCCATGTTACAGTGCAAATTGTTAATCAACATATTGCTAGTTTTTATACACTTAAAACTAAACAACTTACTACATTAAGTGCATTGCTGGTGGTTGCATCTTGAGACACAGCACTGTAACCATCCTCGGGTGATCCACCATTGCACATGCCTGCATACTGCGCCATGCTCCTATAATGACACATTAACATTTGATCGCAAGTTAGTAGGGTTTTATGTAGAGTATATGGCAGCAGACAATGCTGGAAAGTAAACAAGGCAAGTTAGAAAGTTTCACAGTTGATCTGTATCAACTCACTGGATGATTCTTGAGTTGAATAATGAAGCAGCCAGAAAAATCCTCTGAAATAAAAGGTGAAGTTTACCAGCAAAGGGCCCTTAAATAAAAGTTTGTGTGCGATGATGAGTGATTATAACTTCAGGCAGCACTCACCTGGCAGCACGCAGAAACATCATCAATTCATAATCATCAAGAGTTGGATTCCATACCTTGCGACAAAAAAGCACATCTTTCAGTTTATAATCTTTACCTATTTACCACACTCAATATGTACTTCTTATGAGCTTGTAAGACTTAAAATCAAAACTTACCAGCTCCTCCATTGGATTTTCCCTGTCCTCAAATCCATTCACAGGAAAAGGACAGCACTCTGGCAATGTTGCCTAAAAAAAAATGAACATGCTCGCATTTGAAACTTTTTTCTTATTTACATTACACTGAGAAGGCAATATCTGTTATCTCCCACATATTGAATTAACAGCTGTATATTGTTGGTGATGAAGATAAAACTCCAAGTACTAAGGTTCATATTTAGTAAACCATAGTGTAAATAATTTTTTTCCATCAATCCAGCACAAAATGATTTTACAAACAAATAAATGAAAACTAATTAAAGTCACCACATCAAACAGACAAGATCATAAATGTTTACTACACCCAGAAATGCTGACTTCTCACAATCTAATATCTGAAGATGTTTGAGTTTAGATCATGTCTCCTCCCAGCCCCTCCTCTTCCCCTCCCCCCCGCCCCCCATTCCTACATTTGTTGAGGGACCACTACCTCCCTGTTTCCTCACACAAACTGAAAAACCCCCACATGGACACCCTTGTCACATAAAGAATAAAATCACATCCGCCTTTGAAAAGAAATCCAAACTATTTTTTATCAGCTTTAACCTTTAAATCATTTCTCCTCCACTTTTTTTCACAAAAGTTAATATCTGTTTTGAAAGAACAGGAAGTTTTTTTGTTTGGTATGCAAGAGATCCATGAACGATCCAAGAGAGATGAAATTCATATTTACCTGATGGCTGACTCCAACTCTAATTTCCCCCTTAGTGTTTGCCAACCTCCTGGAATAACAAGATAATATATAAATATATATACATTTTTTTTCATATCAAACCAACAATAACAAAATCGTAACTTTTAAACTTAAACCAGATAAAAGTTTAAAAGACATCAGTGTGCTGATGGCAAAATCACAAACAATACCTTGTCTCTGGGTTGTAACCAAGCACATAGAAAAAGCAATCTTCCTTATCTATGTATCCTTTGACAGAGTCTGTAATCTCCACAAATGGCCTCACCTTGCACTTCCCCCTTAAAAAAAAATGCAAGATATATTGTTTAATTAGAGACTTTCGCATGCAGTAAGCCATACCGTAAACACTTCAACCCTATAACCCCTGAGGGTGAGGTGTAACAGACTGAGGCAAAAACTCACCAACTTCAGACAAGAACAATACTATTTTGTTTACTAACCTGAGGGCAGATGCAGGATACACATCTGTTGCATCAGAAATAAACAATTCCCGCTCCTTGACTGCAACATCCTCTAGAATGTTATCACCAGAACCTAGAAATAACAATTCCACTGTGAGATAGAGTGCAGATACTGCTGAAACAGAAACATTTAAGTACAAGACAAGTACAACTGAGACATTTAAGTACAAGACATACTTGACTGCTTGGCTCGTGTTTAGAAGCACAAGGAAAAAGTTTAAAGAAATCACAAAGACCTAACATACCATTTTCAGCATTTCTATCTTGAATTAATAGCTGGTATACTGATTCAGGAACCTCTGAAGGTCGGTAATACCATCTGACAACCACTACCAGAGAGTCTCTTTTGCTCTGCAAGGAATAACATGTGAAATGCTATTTGCTGGACTTTTTCAGCTATTATTCATTATCAAGCTACCAGTGTGTACTACAATCTCTTTCCTGAACTACGTTATTTAAAAAAAGTAAAACTGCTTGAGTTCTGCCTTAATTTCATGTTTTTGTTTTTTCTTTTCTTTTTCATTTTCTCCTGTTTTGTACATTTTCTTTAAGGTAACAACAAAACTTCATGTAGCCACAACACATACAAATTCATTTTAAGAGGTATTCCTTCTTTTTTTTTTTCAAGAAATACTTGAAACTTAACATTACAGTGTTTTGGTAAAAAAATTAGTTTGCTCATCAGTAAACTGAAAAACAAAGATGATTCTACAAACTTCCGCACATTGGAGGAAGAATAAAAACAATGCATCCAAAGCATAAAAACAGCACATTCAAAATATTATTCAAATGCCCTGTCTTATCTTTAAGGCTATCATTGAAATATCATGTTACATTAACCTGATATTTATTAAAGAGTATGACAATTTTATAAAACCATTTCTTAACCAAATTTTCATTTGTTACAGAACTCCTAATGGAGTTGAAATAATCTAAGAAATTTCTTAGCATTACAAAAATTCAACTCCTGACTTAACATTTTCTTTTACCATGAAGCTTTTCCAAGTTTGACATTTGCTTTGTAACATTTGGTTAACCAAAAAAAAAATAAATGCAACCAATGCGATAAAGGAAAAAAAACAGGGCAATCTTTATAAAATCTCACCATATTCTTACAAAAAGTTTCAATAAATTGGTAACAAATTTCAAATAATTTTTCAATTTCTTTGCAAAATCCTATTAGTTTCTGGTTAAAAAGCCACAACAAAGAGTCCTAAAATTATAACATTTAGCAATTAAAATTACTAACAACTTTGGAAAAAAGCGATTGAAACAGCTGTTGACCGTGTATGATAAGAATATTTCACAACCCTTCTGTTCACACAAAAATTGCCATTGTACCAATACTGTGTGCACAAGTCTCACAAAAATAAAAGCGAAGCAAAGCACGTAGGATTTGCTACGAATTATTCGAAACTCAGCAAAATTATCACCAATAATATGTATTAGGGAAAGAAAGGACTATTTTCAATTGCAAAGTAAGATAATGATGGAAAAGTTACCGAATGCCGTGTTCATGCTTAGAAAGAAACAGAACGAAAACAAAAACCGGTTGATCGTTTGCAAATATCAAAGTAAACCATCTCGAGTCGAAAATCGTCAATTGTAAAAATTGCACCTTGCGAAAATTGGATGATAAAGCTTGCAACTAAAAGCATTTTTATCACCGTTTAGGAATAAACAGAAAATCCTGATATTGTTTAACTACCACACCAAAATAGTGTAAATATCAAACATTGAAGGTGTCAAACGAGGCGGGTAGGAAGAAAAAAGTAAAATTGGCCACCAGAAACTACTAGCAAAGGGCTTAATTTATACATCGACAGGAAAACCAAACCAAAACAATAACAATTTCGAACAGAAACTTACCATTCGAAACTCCTTGATAGCACAAATAAAATATGCGACATCCGGTCTTTGGCTGTCGATGTAAACACAGTCTACGAAGGAAAGAAATGGATCGGAAATCAAGCGATTTCCAACTTTACAATTGAAATCAGCGCGGTATGAGAGCGCGTGTTTATTTTGATGTTGTGTACTATTTGTTTCCAAATGTTTTCCGAGCCTGAGCACAATTTTTCATAACCATTTCTAAATATTCAAGAAACGTTTTATTGGAGATATAATTTTCTAATGACCCCTGGAATTACTGCTTGTTGTAACACACGTAAAAAAGTGTCTTATTCATGATCATTTCCACCACGTAGGTAAACATGTCGAATGCAAATTTACAATTTACACGATCCACAGGGCACATTGTTTAGCGGATAACACATTGTTCACCTGAAACCGCAGAATCTTTATGGACAAAAAAGAACGCACAAACGAAGCAAGAGCGCGCCACGTTTGTTTTCAAAATTCACTACTAACAGAATTCATGTTTTACGAATCCATCTTTCAGCTCGACGGGGGATCCGAGCTTTTCAACGGCCGATATTATTTTTTTCCCTCTTTTTTTTTTCTCTTTCGTGTGTGATATTAATTACAAGTAATTATTCTAATAGTACAAACAATCCGTATCGTTTTGAAATCGAACGATGTTTGACATTCGGAAAATTTAACTAAGCTTTTGAACTCCACTTACCTCCAGGTTCATAATAAATATCTTCTTCCGAAGTGTAAGTCAACTTGGAAGGTTGTGTGTTCTCATTCTTCTTGTCACCACTTGCCGATCTGCCATTGTGCTTCCGTCCTTTTGCTTCGCTTCCCTTGTCGTCTTGAGACGGTAAATTCCGACTCGAATTGGTCACACTTTTGCACTCTGAAGTATTTTCACTTTTACCCCCCATGCCGCGATTTGCTTGTAGACGAGTCCTCGGTGTGAAGTGATTTCTCTGCCTCAAGGGAAACTTATTGCCCTCGATCAAGACCGTAGGCAAGCTTCGTTAGCGACAAAAACCGCGTGATTGTCGCGGTTTCTTCTCTGACAATATGTGGTGCCGAAGGAATTCGTGCCGAACCTGAAAAATGAACAGGAAGAGAAAATGTACTTGAAAAATCTTTGCCCTTGCGCTGAAGGTTCCTTTCAACACCTCTCCACCAACACCTCATAATGTAATTCTTAATTTATTCAGACAATTAACCCTCACAATCGACACGTTCTCGCAACAGGAAATTTTAAACTGGTCCAATCCTATTTTATTTGCCTTTACCCAAGTTTCAGGACAGTTCCAACATCTTTTGAAGATTGATCGATCTCCTTCCTAGATTTTGAGCGTTTGTAGAGTCACGAATGTCGAGCACCTTGCGGTTTCCGCTTGAATAAATTCTGTGTATAATGTGAATGACACCAAAGAAACCACATTAGAAACCAATTGACGGCTAGCACTGCGGAAAATTTCGGTTGCGAACTTGGCTGACGATGTAAACGAAACCAAAGAGATTTTGCACTGCTGTGCTCCAGATTAAACATAGTACAAAGCGATAAGAGCATGACAAAATCTTTCCTATCGTGAAAGTCGACGAGTCGGTGACACATTCTGAAATCTATTGTTTTAAGATGATTATGAAGACAACGACCCACACCGGATAATTCACCGCCTTCAAATCGAACAATTTTTCACCCGAATCTCCACAAGTCAAAACCCGTTGGCTTGAAAGTAAAACGACTGTTCAATAACACGTTGTTTCTCCTTTCTTTCGATTTCACTCTGGAACGTAACTTTTTTTTCAAAACAGCAAAGTAAACATGCAAACCGTGGGATTTATTCCCTTGTCCGTGTTTGAAAAACCTACAAAAACATTAACAAACAAGCGAATACCGTCCGCCCACCGAAGCCGCCGTTAACTTGCTGCAAAACGAACACTTGGCGAATTGGAGGAGAAAATTCGCATATAATGGCCATGTTCTGTTTTACATGTGTTGTAAATATAATATATTATTAACATGAGAGATGTGGGCGATTATTGTCTCAACAACGATTACTCTTCAAACCGTTGAAACGTCTTGTTGTCTACGCGAGAGTGAGTTCCCCGTTAAAAAGCAAAATAATAAAAAACAAGAGCACGAACAGATATACAAATATTTTCGAAGGAATATCTTACCTTTACAATATGACAACCATTTAACCATTTAAATCGAGATGAACTTAAATTTGCAGAGTCAAACCAAGCGATTTCAAAGCGAGAGATGCACACACGCTTTCAACAAGAAACAGATCACCTCTGACAAGAGCGACAACGACATAAATCTTGTCGAAAATCTCTGCGAGCAGCCCAACAAATGCTTACCCCCGGCCGAGAAAATGCTCTTTCCGTCAGTTGAATGCATAAACCGCACAATTTAGCTGTTTAGATGAGCAAAGAAGACAAGGGAGAAGTGAACAAACCTTGAACAGATGGTTTCTTTGTGGATCGTGATTGGCGAAATCAGCATGAGGCGTAGCAAGACGCGTTGTGATTGGCTAAACCGTTCTTAAATGCGTGAACCCTGTCATATCACCTGCGAGCTTATTTTGATTGAGGAGTTAAGTACATGTCAAACCTATTTCAACTACTTACATTTCTAATCCTAGCGTTAAACTCCTCAAATACAATTCAAGCCTTCCGAAATGCACCTTGTTCGCAGCAAGTAATCTTTAACCGATCTGAAGCTCTGGAACTGTGATCTTTCTACAAGGTGTAATGCAAATTATTTTTGATTGCAAGTGAAATATTGAATACCACGAGCCGAATAATGGTCTTGGTGACAACGATCACAGTCTCATTTTGTAAACACTTTTTCTTTCCTGTCAATCAAGCATTCACACTTCAAATCGTCGCCTTTCCAATAATTCGACACTGGAAAGTAAATTTGCAGTTCGCAAATCGTTTGCGCTCAAGAAAAAACCGGGTTAGTCACAATCTCGCTGGGGACGAAAACATTTTACAATTTCGACATTCGTGGCCTTGAAGAGTGCTGTAGCCCAGATATAAAATATTACAGTTTTTGTGAAGCTCAAAAACGTTATAATAATTCATTTCTGTTATTGTTATACAAAATCTCGAACAGGAGAAACAATGAAAACGGATATCCAGAACAGCTTTGGGCAATCACAGTGGGCGAGATATTTCAAAAACATAGCCTAAGAAATAGGAAATATTTTAGCTTTGAAAGATGACCTTCAAACTCTACCCTTACCAAACAACATAGAGCGTTTAAAATAACCAAGACCTTGATAAATACGATTCAATCCACTCCTAATAGTTTTTGTGACTTGAGGACGCAACGTGATGTCTCTCAGTAGGGGGTGTGTAAAACATTTACAATAAATTCTAACAGGCGTAACCATATACGCAAATATAAACTTCATTTTGCTATTTTCGGATATGGCATTCTTAGTTATTTAAATACTTTTTTCCAAATCGCCTGAACTATAGTAAGATAAACAATCTAGTGAAATAGGACTTCTTTGTTGATGTGTTACAGAGTTGTCAGTCTCATTGAGCGAAGCCGACGACTGAAAAATCGGGCATTCGACAGACCTTCAAAAGAGAGCAAATATACTCATTGGCACAACCTGCATTAATCCAAAAACCCTTTAAGAGTTTAACTTTCTAATAATCTGAATAAATTATCGGAAGAATAAAAAAAAGGAGCGCAATGATCGATGAATATTTCCAAAATACGGTTGTTTCAATATCTTAAAATATCTTCTGACCAATTAATCTCTCAATATTGACGTGATGTGAGTTTTAAGAGTAGATATGCATAATGCAATCAGAAAAGCGTTTTAAATTTAAAAAGTGAAAGAGCAAATTTTCAAGAAAACCAATGTGAAACCTTTCTCACAATTTTTTCGTAAACAATGACAAAAATTGGAAATGCGTGATAATTCAAAATGTCATGGCAGATGCCAATCGCGAGTGGCTGCTTGCGAAATTGACATGAAATAAACTACTCCAATTGAACATATTAAGAGAGATATTGCTTCCATTTTTTATGATTTATTACATTTCCCCTTCATAAATTTTCCAGTTAAATTGAAAGAGGAATAATCAGGCTTTCTTCCTGCGTTACTATAATAATAATCATCGGTGCAGCTTACGTAGTTCCTGCTAAATGTGATATTCCACCGATACTTGCGGTTTCGCCAAACGTGTCATCATTGTTTTAAAAGCAGATATGCGAAAAGATCCAGATACTCGAGTGAAGAACAAAAAACAACATAACCGGCTCTCTCTTTAGTAAAAAGGTTGCTGTTGAAAGTCACATTTACGCTTCCATGCTCCAGAATAATGAGGGAACACTGTAGCAAGCGAAATGTCTGTTTGAAGTCATTGTGAATTGTTGTAATACCCTAATAAGATCGCGTAGTTTATAAACGCCGTATGACGCGCCGACCACAATATCTGATTAAAAGATAAGTACAAATTTACCTTTTCCTTCAAACCAATACTCCTCTTTGGTTATCCACGTAGTTAAATATCTGAATTTTGTGCTTTCACAATGTAGAATCCTTTAGGTTCCTTTTAGCAGGCCCAAATGCAATTATTACTAATTACAAAATCATTTAGGAAAATATAAACGCAAGCAAAACAGACACATGAATACATTACAAACATGCCGGCTTAATTCCTCTAATTAAACATTCATCAAAATCTTTCCGAATGCATGGTGGTTTTGTCGTGAGCTCACGAGTCGAACATTGACAAAAAGATGTTAAGACTAAAACGCTAACAGGTCGGAAGAATAAATTTATAATTCTGTTCTACTGAGAACACTTTGAAATTCGATCCCAACATGTAACCTTCGACAGCTTAAACATGCTCGCGAAAGTAGCAGTAGTTCCGTTTCCAAATTACCTTTGATGATCTGTTTCCCCGATGTTTTCCAAAGGAAAACTTCCAAAAATCTGTGCTGGCTAAAAAAGACTTATAAAGCTTTCATTTTAAAACGTTTCTAGTTCCTTTGGCTGACAAGGATATTGTTGGGGACAATAATTTGAGGGCGCTTTCAACAGACATTCGTTTCAGCCTTCGACGCCACCGCACTGATCCGCACCACGAAGGATGCCGCTTTCACTTGTGTTCGATTCACGCAACAAAAACAGGATAAACACAGCTTATAATCTTAATTATGAAAGCAAGAGAAATGTAATATAGTTAATCTTACCGTTAGAGAAAGAGGGAGCAGTTTCTAAACAGTTGTCGCTGAGAGCAAAATATCTTGATGTTTATCACCTGAGATCTGAAATAGAATTCTCGATATCACACATTTGCCTACTTAAATTGTCCCCATGGGAGACGTTATTCATGTTCTAGCTAATCACAACCGGAAGTGGTCACAACAGTGCAATGTTGACATCGCCACGAACCCTGCTTCTTGTTGTCTGCGCCCTCTTCCAGAGCTCAAGGACAAGAATTTGAGTGGAGTCTGTTTCGAATTTACTCTGTTTCATTAAAGCCATAAATTTCAAATAAATTCGAAAAGTTATCATCCGCGGCGCACGCGGTTAGCAAACACAATAAACAATGAAATTGACATCACAAAGGCGACACTAGATTTCAAGTTTGTATAGCAACTATTGCTTAGAGGGAAAGTACACTTTTAATGCTGTTTTCTCGCCGAAGTTTTGAGAATCTTATCGCTACATATTCGATAACCTTCAACGTCGCTTGGTTCTATTCGTCTATCGGTTTTGAAACGAAAATGCACCCCTTCAGAAAACGGTTTCATTTTTTTTTATTGTTTTCATAGACAGCTGCTGTTTTGCTAGGTGGAATAACTGATCAAGCTGATTTCCGAAATAAAATAAGAAACGACTAGAGGATATTCATGTATTATAAACAGCTTATTTAGAAGTCTTAGATACGTTTATTAGATAAAGATTTTAAAAGCGGAACCTTTCGACCGCCGGGTACTTTTTTCACTGCATTCAGTTAAGCATGCGCGATACCAATCGATTTTGTTTGTTTTAAATAGGAAGATAACTTAAATTTGCGCTTCGAGTAATTTCAGCTGCGGAAATATTTCACCACGACGCAAAAAAAAAAAAATTCCGTGTTTCGTTTGCAGCCAATATTCCTTTTTAAGCACACAGGTAACGCCAATCGAATGTATGCCGGATCACACAGCCGTGGTAATTTTTAGCTCATCTTTATTTGGATCTTTTATTCATGTGCACACACGCGTTAAATTAGTTTTGTTTGTGGAACAAATACTCTTTGAATGAATTGTTCGATGTGTGTACACGGACCCTTTTTTACACACGTAAAAAAAGTACTGTTGATATAGATCACTGTTGAAAATCTCTCCACTGGGAAAACAGTTTTGCTAAAAGTGCAACACTTAAAGTTATGTATCTCTTTAACTTCTCCGCGAGAGAGCGTTCGATTTGGTGGCGTTTTTGTTATTCGATTTTCTGCCTCATCTTCGTTTGATTTTTGGGGGGATCGAACCTATTGCAAAAGTGGTATTATTGGCTTGGTATCGCAGTTGACATCCAGCAACAAGAAACCACAGACAAACCAAAGTCACGAAGAGAACAAAAAACAATTTCTTGAATTTCAACACAAGTGCAATTGTACGTGCTGTGAGGACGACATGAAAAGGCTTATTACTCTCTTTGGGGTGATGTTATGGCGCTTTTCAGCATAGATCCAAGACTTAGTTTCATGGTTACGAGCTCTTTTAGTGGAATAAATATTTTGGTCTTAATGTAATATATTGACAAGAGATCCGGAAATCCGCTTAGGGTTTAAATCTGTTATTAAGCATTCCCTTTTCCGAAATACCTACCATCCTTGAACAAAACAGGCGACGAAACATAACATACCTTTATTTCAGCAGTTTTCGCTTATCACAGGCCAGATCATATATTTGAAACACACCCGCAGTTCTTACAAAAACCCACCCAAGGAATTGCTCCGAGCATATGAAAATAATTAAATCTTAAACATAGTTGCACTTTCTGCAATAGGCAGATCCAAAGGTCGTTTCTAAATTCCCTGTAACATCAGATAGATGCACTTCCAATCTTCGAAGTATTGTTACAAGAACCTTATGAATTATGTACAATATACCTGACCATAGGCATGTTTCACAGGGACAATTATCTTTCGTCGCAGCTGTCAGAAAATTATACAACACGATTTGATATCTGTCGTCGATTGATAACATGAAGGGTCTTGTCTGATGCGGAGCATAGCACGCGACCGCTGTCACGCAATCATGACGGATGTTACATAGCCAATACCCTTTCACCTACCTACGCCTGTAGGCCTAATTGAATTAAAAAAAGCCGTGAAGGTACATTAAATTAGTGTTTAAGGCTCGTTATCATCTTCTCGACCTGGAGGTTCATGTCATATTTTAATTTCCACATGTCTAATGTTAAAATAGGGGTGGTCAAGAAGCCATGTTCACATGACGCAAAGTCATCCACGTTCCAGCTTCCCCCCACCTTAAGAAAGAGGACAGCTGGAATGGAACGAATGGAAATTGAAGCCTTGAGCGTCAAAGATTAGGCAAATGCAATTTCCTTCTTTTGCCAAACGAAATTCAATTTACCAAAGAAGACAATTCAAATGATGGCCATCTCAGCCTGACTGAATTCAAACATGGTGCTCTAGCGAAGGTAAACATGGAAACTGACCGCTCATCACCAGGAAAATTTGCAAGAAGGCGCTTCTCAAACAAATGTGTTGGTAACAGGGATTACATTTAAAACAGGGGATGATCTTAGAGCAATACCAGGAATACCCCAGTGCCCTCACCCCCCAAGGGATCCAAGCGCACATAATATTTAGACTATGCCAGCACGTTTCCTGTTTTTACAATGAAATAGCCTTAGTTAACCCTTGTTCCCCTTGTAAGGCGAGACTGCTGCACGAAGGGGCGTAAAGAAAGCTGATAATTCCCTGTTCTCTCAGATTTGAGTCGCAACGTGTCCGATCAGTGTCTCTAAGTTTGGTTGCCAAAACTACTGGACCATCAAAATAAACAGTTCTTTGCGATGATCTATGTTATTCAATCAATGATTCTAAACGCTTTATACTGAACGCTTTATCCTCGAGAGTATAACACTCATCGGGATAAAAATATGACAATGCGACAAAAATAGCACACTTAATTTGTCTGAAACGGCGAGCGTGATTATTACCGGGTTTTTACACGCACACGCGCGGAGTCACGCATGTCGTGCGAGGAGGCGGTAAGTCATGAGGCGTTTGTTTGTAATCAGGTGTAGTCTGAGCTCTTTCCGCGTTACTAACTCTTCATTTGCTTCATTCATGATTAAATCATGTAGGAATGTAAATAAAATGTAAATATCAAGCTTGCGCGTAATAAGCTCGTTAGGAGAGTCAAATCACGTTAATTGGAACAAATCTAGATGATTCTGGATTGGCTAGGAACACATATACGATTATGACGAGGACTTAGGCGCCTTAAGAAATGTAGGACATCAGGTTTAAGTAGAATATGGCAGGTATCAGAAGTGCTTGGTAGTAAAACTAGTCAATATTTCCCCATAGTATCTTGGTGGGTATGCGTGCGTGACCAAACAAGTCTACAAGCCTCTGGACTTGAACAATAAGTTGATAGGCAAACAATTCAAAAAACTTATTACAAAAGGGTAAACGGAAACGCGATTGATACTATTAATGAGTATTCTTTTCCTCTAAAGTTCAAATGAGGGCATTTTGATGTAAAATTACTATGTTTACAGGTAAAACATGGTCTTTATCAGTTGGTTTAGAGACTCGGGTATAATTCATTGTTGATGTGTCGAACACAGAATCCGTAAAATATGGTTGACCTCCCAGTTAGTCTGTTGTTGCTCTGGAATATGTCAAATTTGTCCACATTTGCAACTGTGCACGACACAAAAATCGAACCTTCCGACCCAAATGGCTTCATGTGACGACAAAAGGTGCCATATGAACAAAAAAGACGTTAATTTCTTCAGGAATGTAGCCATATCTATTCCGATACATGCGCGTTTTGACCCGCAATAATGACCTCAATATTATGTATTTACACAAAGTGATCGGTAATCTTGAAAATCTTGAATCCTCTTTAAATCTGTTCTTCAAAGATGCGTCGCGGCGACACAGACGAAAACATAAACTCTCAACATAAATCCGCCCCCATACGTCACAAATTTTCTTGGACAGAGTAGAAGTGGCAAATACTGTTTTTAATTTTGCTCACTTGTAAATGCTTCTCGCATCCAGCATTCTTTCCTTTTCTGTAACATAAACTTGAGGCTAATCTACCGCGAATCTTTCGTAATCGTACGACCTAGACTGTCGACCTCGAGAAAGATTATGATCGAAACTAATGACGGCTTTAGTTGCATTCCATCAAATTGAAAGGGTCTTAAACTTGTGCTTCTCGACTCTGGAATTCTGAACAGAGCATAGAACTCATTTCGGAAATCGTCCACCTTGTTCCAAGTTCAAAAGAAACCGCCAGGAAAAGGCATTTCTAACATGCGAATAGGTAGAAAAAAACGAGAGAAAAAAATGTTTGTTTTCACAAGCCATCTTGTTCCTTTGTGTAAAAGATTAGCGATGCAATCATGGTTCTTAATCAATATTACATGCAACACCTAAAGAAGATATCGAACCCCCTAAATACGCGTTTGAGGCAGGGTTGTTAGAAATCCATTTGAATGTAGTGTTCGAGAAGTTTCTTTACAGTAGTAAACCCGCTATTAACACAATTTCTTACCTTATCAAGCCTGAACAAGACAAGCAAAGCTCTTGGCTGGTAGTGATCTGCTACTTGAGCCGTGTAATGTGGATATGAGTGTCTTCACTGTACTACTAGAATGGCAGTTGTCATAGGGGTCAAATGATATTAGTTAGTGTCTGTCACACAGGAACAATTGATTCAGCACTTTATAAACCCCTGAGGGCTTAACATTATTATACACAACACGCAAAACTTTAGTATTATTTTGATCCAGTGTTTTGGCGAGTTTTAAATTCCATGTAAAATGTAGGTGTTAGTAGTGAATTCTTAGTAAGGATGTCGTGACTAATTCAATCTTGAAATCAATGGTATTTGGTAATTAAGTTTTGAAGAGCTGATCTATGTAAACATAAGTAAATGATGATGAATTTTATCACGTTTCCCACAGGAATGCGTGTTTATTCAGCGTTGCACACGACATTAATGAACCGTAAACTTTTAATGAAAGCCTGCTTAGTTAATTCCTAATAACAGAAAGAAATTTTGTATAAAACGGAACATTTTGTATGCAGGGTATTCCTGCTAAAGACTACTTCAATTATCAAATTTGCAGGGTGCAAAAGACGTTGAGTCTGATATTGTATCACATGACATTCGTTTGTCAACAAAGGGCAAAAGGTGTAAAATGCTGGAAAAATACCGACCGTTAATTTTATCAATGACTTAAATCCCACGAGATGTTCAAAGTCATATGTCCAAGATCGAAAAGGTCGGTTTTTTAATTACCCTGAGCTAGAAATCGAAACTTGTGATAGATTTTTGCACGGGCATATACTGTCTTACTTATTTAGCAATGCTGTCATCCACTCGACATCAAATGTTGAAGAGATTACAAAGCAAATGTAGACAATACATCTTAAAAAAATACCTACGTCTTCTTCGCCTATGGGCGTGGATGCCCCAGCCTGTCAATCAATCTGTTTCGATCGTCTCCGGTATCTTAGCAAGCAAATGTGCGATTAAGCGAAAAAAATTCTTGACGCAAATGATATTGATCAAGCTGGTTCGAACCATGGAACTCAAAAGAGCCTCGTCACTTGCTTGAATATCTTGCAAAATTTAGCATTAAATTTTTCAAGACTGATAACCTATCTCATTCTTCTCCATTATCCATCCTAGTTTCGCCATGGTTTACTTAGAATTCTAGAGGATTTATTCACCGCAGGGAGCTATTATTTAAAAGGTTTATTCCAATATGACTCAGTTTTCTACCTTATCAAAATGACCTGATGACCCCAACTATCTTGTGACGAAGCAGTTTCCAAGTTTAAGTTCCGGTCTGGACGCATCTCAAACTCTCCCGGGGAAACGGCGAAAGAGGAGGTTATTCCCGGCCAGTGACAGGATGTCGGTGATACTGATATCGAGATAGACACACAATCCACAAAAAGCTTCCTGGGATTAAAAGGGGGACTCCGAAAAAATCCCCTTGGAACAACCACTTACTTACAATAAAAATTAGACGTAATGATTCACGAAGATGAGTGTCCTGGTGCCGGTGGTGTGGTGACCTTCGTAATAAATCTGGCATATCTTAACTGAATAATCTGGATTATTAATTACTGCCGACTGATCTGATCGAATCATGTAAGGTCAGTCTCACATAAACAAAAATCCTTGTCTCGTCCAAGTTTTCCAATTGAAGCTATTCACGATTTTCACTCGGGTTGAAGACGCATCGAGAACGATGATAATGACGATATGTACGGACAGCCCCTGAAGTTACGAGCCTAAATGAAAATTGTGACTATAAAGGGTGACCTAGAGAGTACATCAAATCCCTATTTGCTGAAACAGAAAATAACATACTCATAACTGGAGTGAGGAAAAAAGCTTGGTCACGTGTCAGAGATTTATTTAAGATCCGATAAGTCCATAGTCGTGGCAAAAATAAATCTGAGATTGTAAAAAAATGCTGCTATATCAAAATCATTGTTAGATGACCAAGTTCCACTTCATAGTAAAACAGCAACTCCATACCATATTGTTTAGTTGTCACTAGAATATCAGAGGGATCTTAATAAGCAGTCAGGACGACAACGCCGAGTAAAACGTCTTTAAAAATTAGTTAATACTTTTACTTAGAATTTCGCAAATGGCTAAAGGTGTTTGCCTCCTCCTCCGGCGCCACACCTCAACTTCAGCAATGCGTATGTGGGCAGTATTGAGTTCCAATTAAAAACTTACATCGCCGTCTGGATCACTGTCCTCAGACCACGCAAACTTTGGTGATTTCACGTTTTTCTTTTGCATAGGATCGGACGGCTGAGAAATGTACAAAGTTTCAAAACGCACGTGCTGAGCTGTTGTTCTGATTGCTTTTTTTTTTTTTTTTTTTTTTTTTTTTTTTTTTTTGCCACGTCCTTGTTGACGCCGCGCTATGTGACGCCAGCTGAGTTAAGTATATTGCTCACGAAATCCAAATGACCCAAATATACCACAGAGAAAAAGCGGCCACTTTTAAACATAAAATCAATCAAGCGAAAGAAGGCCCCTTTGTATGGCTCATCTGTTAAAGGAAGAGGAAAAGTTGAACTGATATCTGCGCGTGGGCAGGAAAGTTTGAAAATTGAATCTTAAGACTTCATAGTATGAAATTACGGTAATTTTCAACACGTTGTTTTTGATCTGGTATGTCCATCGGGCCTGCAAAAATAGAAAGCAAAGCATCTTTAAAAATATCCAAACATCACTCAAGTCACACGAGAAGTATACTCTAAAATCAAAGTAATCACGTGTCTTATATCATATGATGTTTTGACTTGCACACGAGCTTGAGTCGGCCGGCATCACAAACCGACGAAGCCATTTAAGATATCAGACTTCCGGCTTAGAAAACCAAGCTTGTTATTGGAGTAAATAGACCGAGCAATTTATACCACGCGAGGAATGAATGAACGTGTTCGCTCTGTAAAGAAGTTCTCACTTCGAGATATCAGTTTCCCTTATCTGTTTATAGTCTCTTATCTCACGTGACCTCTGCGCGACTCTTTTGGCCTTACACAAGATTAGGTGTCCTTAGCCCTTAACATTTTCTCTATGATTCAAATAAGCAGGGTTATTGTTGCAGAAAGCAGGCGATATAAATATGAAATTATCTATGTTCTTTTTTCTATCTATTTTTATGAGGGGTAGCCTCTTTGATATAGGAAAAAAAATGTAAAACTTACATTATTTCTGAATCCTGCTAAACTGAGCTAAATATACAGAACTACGAAAAAATACAAAAATTTATCCTATCGAGCACTTCGAAATACGTCCGATGTTATCTTCGAATAACTGGAACAAATTCCAATTTTCCTCCACTGGAAACTCCGCGCTACCCATGAGCCCTAAAAGGATTGATTCTAAAATTTGGGAAAGAGCAATGACCAGATTACCGACCAAACCTTGGTCATGAGAATTTCGTAATCTATAGCAAGCTATTAGACGCTGAAAGTTTGAAACTTGTTCTTAGTCTTCCAAGATAACCCCTTATTGATCAACGCATAGGATTAGAATTTCTCTGATATTTTCTCCACTGTTTTTCCAATTGAAACAAAACAGTTGTAAGCTGGTTTAAAAATAACCGGACAGCTGTGCCACTTAGAACAGCAGTGACACTTGGAATACCTGGGATACTGAGGGTATTATCTAGGACAGCTGGGACAGTAATTGAAGGTGACACGCAAATTGGCATCCTGTTACCCCTGATCGACCGAAGATCAGGATCAGATGTCGTGGAATCGGAGTGTAGAAGTCTGTATAGCATTCCGTGTTGTCTTAGGGGAGGGAGGGGAAGAGGGGAGGGGGGCGAAAGAGATCCAGAGTGGCAGGTAGTTTAAGCGTGGTATGTAAAATAAATTGGTACAGGGTACAAGAACTTGAGCTCTTATTCTTTTATTCGCCATTTGAGACATTAAAAGGAGAAAAGCTGGCCATATTTTACAAATCCCTTGTTCTCCAATCTCGAGCCCAAGTCAACTATCCGCTGACAAGGAGCCGAAATGACCTTGGGCTCGAGATTGCCTTTTCTTAAATTAATAAAGGGGGTAAGTTTCTAAAGAAACTTGGTACTGCGTCAGTGGTGGTGCACTTATTGCTAAAAAGTTACACATTGGTGAAACAGGAAGACGACTCGGTGACCGATTCCGAGAACACCTTCGCGACGTGGAAAGAAATAACAAGGACGCATCCAAACCATTCGCTAGACACTTTAATCTCCCTAACCATTCCAAGCAGTATATGGCAGTTTGCGGCCTTTCCGTACATTTAGGCAGTTCGGAAAGCCGCAAAACTCTAGAACAAAAATTTATCTTTCAAATCGGCATTCTTAATCCTCACGGTATCGACGAGCGTTTTCATTCAACTAAGTTATTCTTGTTATCTCGTTACCATATTCCCACTAATAGCGTATGTCCATTTTCTGCATATAAATCCAAACACAACCCACAATTCCTCTGATCACTCTGACGAAGGGCTAACGCTCAAAACGTCTGCTTTTAAACTCTTTACGGTGGCCAATTTACGCTATCGACTCAGTTTATAATACTGAGTTACCTTGTTTTCTCAAATTAGTTTCCCTTTGATAAATATTGATACTCAATAGAACGCTCCTAATGTGTGATTAAAAATTAAAATTTTTATTCTTCTGGATTTAGGTAAGTAGATTGCGTGACTCCATCCGAACGCCGTCGTTTCTGTCGGATATTTCCGATGCTTTCCGTCATTGCTCGTTCGTCGTCGGTCGTTTCCGATCACACGAAGAAGAACAACGCTTGAATGATTTGTTCATATCCCTGACCAGAATCTGTATTTGTTCTTCTTGGCAAAATATGGGTGATCAACACAAGTTTTTGAAGAAACGAAAAAAGAAAGAGGTAAGTTCATTTTAGCTTGTCTTCTGTTCATTTCTATCGCGATATTTGTTTAAAGAAACGTAAATGTTGCGACCCTTGGCCCGGCGTAGGATGTGCGTTTCTTGTTTGTTGCGTATCATAAGTCGTATTTGACCGAATTTTGCCAACGGAAGAGAGGTATTTGACTTATAGTAATAAAACGCGTTCAATCTCTTCAAATTTAGGCGCGAGATGACTCAAAAGAACCCTCCAAGGAAGAAAACGAGATTGGAAAATATCTGAAATGGAACTGCCCTTCAAAGCCGTCCACGATGATGGGCGAAAAAGTTGAATATTTCATCGGTAAGGAACGATCTTATTTAGGCTTCATTGTTCTTCCTAAAAGAGAAAGTATCGCTTTTCAAATATATGATGCAATTCCATTTACAGAGCTAAACACCTCTAGCTTTTCCTTGTGTATACGTATTGAAAATAAGCTTCGTAAATGCATTTACAGCAAACAACAAAATTAGAAGTTTAAAATTCAGTTAATTCAGTGGTCACTCAGTGTTTTAAAGAACGAATGTTTCCCTCTGAAATTTATCTTGTTGAAACCTTTCTCCATAACAATATTGAATCTAAGGATTCGAGTTTTGCTCAGAGTTATCGGTGGAGTGAGTGAGAGTGTGAGCGACCATGAACACAAACGAAATATTTTGATCGTGAGCAATTACGTGTTTGCCTCTGTCTCGATCTTCAGTGAGTTTTGCAAAAATTGGTTAGATGCCACGAAGTAAGTGGCAAAGCCTTAACCATGTGTTGTAGGTTGAAAGTCCGAAGACTTTTCTCGTCCTTATCGAGGGAGATGCTAACCTTCTCTCGGCTCATACAACACAAAATATACTTGGTATTCCCTGTCGTTTTATTACTCTTTGAACCACAAATCTCCTCATTATGGTACATCTTTTGTGTGAATATTTAATGATGCCTTTTTGGCTTTTTCTGTTCGTTGGTAACTTTGTGATTTGTACACTTAAATGCTTTCTGTGTTTTACAATTATTGTTAATTCCCAATTTGTATTATGACCAATTAATTTAGCTTTTAACATTTATAAACAAGGTATTTTTAAGAATTGTAATGTTATTTTTGATCAAAATGTTTGGGAATCAAAGTTATTTCCCACCAAAATTCTTTCCTTAAGTTTCAAGTCTTGTCCTTTCAAGAAAAATTCAAAATTTCAAAAAATGTTGTTCATTGTGGTATTGTAGTGCAATGAAAATTTTAACTGTTTGTCTCATCATGCAGAGTCAGACTATGACAATGTTTTGAATAAAGTACTGTTGGTCTAGGCTAGGTGACTAGGTCAAAAGAGTCGCTTGTAAGAGCACCTTAGCTTGTTGTGATTGGTGTGTTTTGTCACACTTTTCCTGTTTGGAACCAGGTTCAGTTTATAGACCTTGGCCTTCACTGGGTTCAAAAAAGCCATCCACATAAGACTTCATCCTAATAACATCAATAGAGATAGAATAGTAAGAAACAGAATTTTAAGTCCCAAAGCATGGATGCTCAGCATAACTGTTAATCAGTGATATAGTGGATCTATGAGGCAACAACCTCTAGTAGTTGGAGTAATAATAGGGATCAAAATGCCCCAATGATAGTGTGCAAAAGCACACCAATAACAGTAAACCAAGGTGCTATTAATAGTAACATGTAAACTTTTGACCCTGACACTTGATGAAGACCAGCAGTATGTCAGTTGGAATGTCAAAATTATTACATTTGATGGCCTTACTCCACACTGTGAGGTGAATGATCAAATATGTCATTTATTTAAATGAAGAAATGATTTTCAAAGGTGAACTGCATTGGAAGAAATTATAGAATGGTGCCTGACAAAATTTAAACCAGTGCCAACCAGATATTAGTTGAATGTTAATACCAACTGAGTTACTAAGCCACATGTTGAGAGTAAAGCAAATTTGATTGTGACCAATTCCTTGATGATAAGGAAGAACCTGTTTGTGGCTAACGCTCAAAATGTCAGCTCAGGAAACTCTTTACTGTGACCAATTTTCATTATCGACTCAGTTGACTAAACCAAATTTATCTTGTAATACCCCAAGGGGACACGGCATCACAGTTACTTTTGAAACTCATCCCCTTTGTTTTTCTACACAGCTGAATATGGAGTGTTAAATAGAGCCTTTGTTTCCTTTTTATACTCCTAGGATCTAAGGCAATAGACTGTCTGATGGATTCCAAGTGGGCCTCTGGTAAAGGAGGAACTGAGATATTGTTTACAGACCGGGAATCTGTGGAGTTATATCTGGATAAGTATGCTACCTTAAAATATGACAGATTTTTAATTTATCGAACTTTTTTCTTCTCTTTTTACTCCCAGCTGGATTAATATATGAATAAAAGAGGATTCATTGAATTCTTAGCCGAACCAACAATTCGTGAATTAGGAACAATGAATTGAAAACAATATTACACATTACCAGTAGCACATGGGGGTTGGTATGTCCATGCACTGGGGGATTTTCAGTTTTAGGAAAATATGAGTAAAGTGGAAGATGTCTCAAGTTCTACTTGAGGGCACATGCCCCTAACCTTTCATTTACAATTTCTTTAATTCCTTGACCTTAGTGACTATCAGCCAAGCTCTCCTTACAATATCACCCCTGAGTCAGTTGCATATTAAGGTCACAAGAATTGAGGAAATGATCACCAACTAAAGAAGCTCTCGATCGTTGAACAAGTTCTCCTTGTCAGCACCTGAAGAAATGTATAGAGAAAAGTATAGAGAATATGCTTACTGATGTTTGGGTGCAAAGGGTTAATCAGTAAATCTCATTGACATCGACACCTTGAATTTCATTGGGGGTTATGTTGAAATAATGTTGTTATTTATTTTCAAGGTTGTTGATTTTGGGATTCTTTAATCGTGTCATTCGAATAAAGAAAGTAAAGAAGACAAAAGAAGAAAAGGAAAAAGAAAAGGAAAAAGAAAAGGCAGAAAAAGAGAAAGAAAAGGAAAATGACAAGGGGGGTACAAAGGAGAAAGATGAATCTGAAGGCAAGAAATCAAAGAAGAAACCTAAGAAGGAAAACTCAGAAGAGGGAAAAAAGGCAAGTCTTTTTTGCAAAGTTACTACCTTTATGCTGATTGGTTATACATATATATACATTAGCAACACTTCTTAATTTGCCTTTGTATGAAGGTTTAAAAAGCTCTGTAAAAGGAAGGTAAAGTGAAGCTATGAAGGTAGTGGTTCACTTGACCAGAGCATTATCTGCAGTTTCCATGGCATGAACCCAGCGATAGGTATTGCTTTTCCCCTATGTGAAATGTTAGTCTTTTGCAAGTTAACCCTCAGCATTTCATGAGGTTTTGTTGAAAGTTTTTTGTTTCCCATTTTGCCCCTGGGTAGAGGGGTGTGTTTAAAGAGTAACATGTCTTTCCCAGGAACAGAATGCAGTATAGCAATTTGGGCTCATAGGTGGATCTCTCACCGAAAGTCCAATACTCAGAGCTTGAATCCAAGGCACCCTCACTATTTTAGGATGTATATTCTGTTTACTGGAATAAATTTTGTGGCATTTATTGAATTTTTAGCATTCAAAATGTAGCATTTATATCATTGTGTTCAACTTGACATACAACCTCTGATCATTTTGAGGGTTCATTGCAGATTAAATGTTTTTTTTTTTTTTACAAAATTAAAATGCTGTGTGGTAAAGTCTTTTTCAGATTGTCCCACTTGTAACTTTCCTCTTGAATTTGTTTCCCAGAACTTTTGTAGTTATTCAAGATTAATTAATTAAACATTTATTCCTTAAAATGAATAATCAGTCTTTTACTGCAGATTAGTTGTCTATAATATGTATTAATGCCCTGATCCCAATTTACAAAGGCACTATCGAATTAATTTAATTGAGATGGGAATTTAATTGGTTCTAAAATGTTGTTATTCAAAGTTGAGTTGAGTACTTCATGCATTGTTGAAGGTGTGCTGAAGGTACAAATATTTTTGGTTCCATGTCTGCTGCAATCACAATTCAAATGTAAACATTGAGAAACATAAAAAAAAAAGCCTCTAATACAGGCCCAAGTGGTCCATGGGGCCGGTGCTTAACTCCAGTTTTCTTAGCATGAAGTGGCTAGGAGTATTGCTACTCCCCCCTGGATAGGATGCTAGTTCATCGCAGGGTTACCCCCAGCACATTTGCTGGTACCCATTTGTACACCTGGGTGAAGAGAAGTGCTGTGAAAGTAAAGTGTCTTGCCTAAAAACACAACACAATGACCCCGGCCAGGGCTCGAACCTGGACCACCTGATCCGAAGTCGAGCGCACTAACCATGAGGCCACCGTGCCTCCACCATTGAGAAACATAAATACACATATTTTCTTTCAAGCATTGTTATCATTGAGTAATTTGATCATTCAGTGTTTTTTTTGTCACAAATTGTAATGATATCTAATTATGTACTTCTGTATGAGTCTTATTCTGCTCATGCTTGTGTGATAGTGCAATCAGCCTCATAGTGGCTGTCTCATTCACAATCTTTAACCAAGCCCATTAACCACTACTGTTTTTAATCATATTTAAGGATGACGATACTACTGAGGAAAGAAAACCAAAAGTATGCTGTTTGCTCTTGTTCAGTTTTAAATGAAAAAGACTAACATTTTGTTGCGTGTTTGTTTATGATCAGACTAACTTAACTGTAACCTGTTATGAGAAAAGCAAGATATCATCTGAAGTCTTAGGCAAGTATATAGGGTCTAACCCCTTAACCCCTTCAAGGTACTGGCTTCTAATTGTCCATAAAGTATCGCCCTGGAATCAAATGTAAAGGTCACAAGAATAAAGAAGATGATCACCATTTTAAGAAGCCCCTGATTGTCAAACAAATTCTCCTTGTCAGTACCACAAGAAATTTAGAGGGATCAGTGTGGAGACTATGAACACTAATGTTGGGGTGTAAAAGGTTAATGGTATGTTCTCTTTGTTGAATGATGTAGGCAACTGAGGGAAATGGAGATGGTGAGGGGAAAAAGAAGAGAAAGGTGGGTACATAATGAATGGTTTAAGTGAAGTCATGTAACCGACTGGCTTTTGGTACAAACCCCCTCGAGCCTGTTGCTGGCTCTTAGTCCGTGTGCATGAGCGAAAAGGTGTGGGAAAGGGGAGAGAAGATGTCAGGGAACTGAGGGGATTGACATCCTGCAAGCTCCTCACCATATGTTTATTCAAACCCCACCAACCCCTCCCTGCCCTTTTTCAACTCACTTGTACAGTGTATCTTGTGTGAAAACTTGCTGAGGCACTGAAACTATTTTCTATCGTTAAGATGCGAGTTACATTTTAGATATGACAGTAATGACGCCAAAGAAGCATAACAGTAATGACGCCAGTTTTCTCTTTTATGGTAGTTTTCTATCCACCGACCCCCCACCCCCAAAAAGTCAAAATACATATCATCAGCGAATAAGTCTTTCTCTATGCACTAACCAAGTTATGAATTAACCGAAATTTACCTACCCTTCGTTGTTACTGTTCCGTGTTCGAGAATCACAGCTGTACATGGGTTTTCTCTTTTTGAAGATCCTCTAGAAATCATTCGATCTTCTCGAAAATCGATTCTCGATTCTGGAAACGTTAAATACAATATAGTTTTGTTGACAAATTATGATAGTTCTTTGGCTGGGGCGTGGACACAAGTCTGTTTATGTTAACAATATGACTCAGCATCAGACAGCTAAAGTACAATACACGTTTAGATACTAAAAAGTAGCAACCCTAATTAGCAGATGTAGACTTCGTTGAGAACTTACAGCAGTTTTATTATTTTTAGGTGAAAGTAAAACTGGAGCTACATGAAGATCAGATATTTGTTGACGATGATGACGAGGTTAGGAAGTTTGTTGAATATTAAAATCATAATTGCATCATCTAAAATGTAATCAAATATTATGAGTTGTGGCCTTGTACCTCTTAAAGTTGCATAGATATCGTTGCCCACAAGACGAAGTTTTTCTGTATTTTTTATTAACCCTTTAACCCCTAAGAGTGACTAGCATCTAATTTCTCCTTACAATTTCACCCCTGAATCACATATTATGGTCATGAGAATACAAAAAATGATCACCAAGTAAAGAAGCTCATGATTGTTAAAGAAATTCTCCTCATCAGCATCTTAGGAAATGTATAGAGAACAGTTTGGAGAGTATGCTTACTGATGTTAGGTTATAAATGGTTAATCGTATATTGTTTATCTGTCATCTGTCGTATTGAACTTTTTCCCGTTAAACTGTTTTTTTCGCTTATCCAGCCGTTAAATACCTTTTTCAGGCTTATGTGTGGAGGTTTGACCCCCTTCATCCTAGGACTTTCATCTTAGGAATTTTGGTTGGTAAGTATGTTTGTCAGGTCAGTTAACAATCATTTGAGTTGTGTCTCTGTACACGTAAGTCCATTTTAAGCCAATAAATGCCAGTCCGTAATTCGGTCGGTCGGTCGGTCGGTCGGTCGTCGGTCGGTCGGTCGGTCTGTCTACTGGTGGTCAGAATGAGTCCGTAGAAGTATTTTAATGATTGTTTACTCGCTCGTCAAATAATCTTCGAGCTTATTTGGTTATGCTCCCTTGAAACGTCATTTTTCTTATTCAAACTACCGGCTAGTGTCGAAAGTATTTTCAATTCAGTAAGTCAGTCAGCTGTGTTAGACTTGATAAAAAGAGTTTACGTCTTTAATTAGCAAACAGTCTGGACTTTTCTCAGAAATTCTACTGAAATTTCATGCAGCCTTGCGTCTGTTCAACAATAGATCACAGATGACGTCAAAATAAGGTAAGATCGTAAAGTGGCACACAAGGGGCAATAAGCTTTCACTAAGCTTTCTTTTGACCATCGTTTTTATCTGATTTGTTTATCAGTGATTGGTACCATTGCTATCTGTCTGTTCCCTTTGTGGCCTAGTAACATCCGGGAGTATGTTTGGTATTTGAGTGTGTTGGCTTCAATCGCTGTGGGCTCGATTTTGGTTCTTGCCCTCTGTAAGTTACCTTGAGTAATGATTTTAATTTTTTTATTTTGTGGATTTTTATTCCTTATGTTCTCCTGATGTGGTGTTGTCTTTTAATAAAACCAAATAAGTCAAAATGGGTGTCATTTGGCGACCAGTGTTAGATTGGAAACCATATTTGTGAGTTCACCTTCCAAGTCGAGGCTGTGTCCTTCTGATCATTGGTCATCAAAAGATGCTTGCAGAAAACAAAGAAGAGACATTTTAGAATAAGTAGCTCTATAGCGGTGGAGGCTTTGGGTAGCAAAGGCACCAAATGAACGGTAAAGCAGCCATCGAGATAGAGAAGCATAATCCAGCTCCCCTTTTCGTTTTCGCAGCTTCGCCACCATAATTGATTTAATCGAGGTCCCGGACACTGCCAGCTAAGAAGGCTTAGGCAGGAGACTATAATTCCCCTTTTCTAAACGTGCCTTCTCTTTTGTCTTGTTTTTCTAGTGCGGTATGTTTTCTTTGCAATCGTCTGGGTTTTGACGGCAGGAAAGCACCATTTCTGGCTTTTACCGAACCTTACGGAAGAATGTGGCTTCTTTGAGTCTTTTGTTCCACTCTACACGCACGAATATAAAGGAAACAAGCCTGAAGAAAAACAACCTGAAAACGAAACGGAAAAAGACAATGAGGAAAACAAAGAGGAGAAAGAGGACGAAGGGGATGCAGCACAGGACAAGAAAGGCGAGAGCAGTGAAGAGAAAGAGAAAGAGCCTTGGGTCACATTGACAGAAGAAGAAGTGGCTACAGCAAGAAGCGAAGTGGATAAAGATCTTGAGGATTTAAATGATCCTTCAGTTTCTGAAGTGAAATGCTGAATATTACTATCAAATATTGGATTTTATTGTGTATAAAGAAAAACTTATGACTTGAAATTACCATACTGCCGACGTTACCATTCAAATAGCATCATTTGTTTGTTTATTGCGAAAACGTTATTGGGTAATTAATAAACTAATTTGTTTGCGCGGTACTGTTGATGAGAGAAAATCACTTTTACTTCTGCGAGGAAGAATTCATTTTGAGGGGAAATTGGCGACTTATTAGAAAGTGTAACATCTCCAGACAGTTGTTGCATTTGTTCATTTGTGTTTCAACAGTTTGTTTTCTTTCATTGTATGAAAAAGTTATTGAATATATTTCTGTGGAATACGTAGAATTAAATGTCCAAATATACGAATGTAATTAAAATATTTAACTGCTTGCCGTGTGTTTTTTTTTTTATTTGTTTCATTCATAGGAATAGCTGTGCTCGTAGTGCGGTAGCAGAAGTACCCACTTTTGAACGATGTTGTTGTAAGCAGTGGATGTGATTGTGATGTAATACTGGAGTAACTGAAAGATAAATTAAAGTTGGATAGATTCATTCTGCCCTCCTGAGGTGTAACGGGTTAGGCTGGGGCAGGGCGAAAAGGAGATTTGTGGCCTGAGGTGCAGGATTATCAAAGCAATTTTCTACTGTTTGTCGAATTTAACCCAGAGAGCTTTGGATATGCGTAACTTTGCACTGTGATTGGTCCAGGAAACTCGCGTCACCCTTCCGACCAATCAGAGTCAAAACCAATCGCGACTTTGTCAATCACGATTTCGCGTGTTTTAAGCGGTTTGTGCTCTCACTGCCTCCTCTAATAGTCTCCGTTTTTCTGTGGCCTGTGTGTAGTATTTGGATTTGCTTTTACGTCAGTCAATCGAAATGTGCTCTTCTAAGAAGAGAGAGTTAGAGAAACAAGCTCAAAATCGTTCACCAAATCATCCTGATTAATTAGGCGTGAGAGCGGAACTTTCCTCGTGTCTTTTGTCCACCCCCAGACCCTCCTACTTTCACTCCATTGCTTTGAATGTTGTTCTCTCTTTAATAATCGTGCCTTAAAGGACATAGTCTGTTCTAGTTCCTCCCTCGTTTTCGCTCTGCTGTTAGTATGTTAATATCGGACCGTTTAGTGCTTCGTTCCGTTTTATCAACTGAACGGCTGGAACAGGCTATAAAAGTCAAGGATGGTAGACAAACTGTTTTCATGCCACCTGTTTTCCCACGTAATCGATGATACGATGATGAAATGCAGAAGAGAAATTTGATTTATGACTTTTTCATTCTAGAGTAAGGAAATGAGAGCAATATTGCGATTTATTACTCAGCTGGAATTATGAATGAGAAATTTGCTGCAGGAATTTCTACAGGAGTTATTAATGGAGGTGCTGCGGTTATTCATGATTAGGTCGATGATTAATATGAAAATTTCCTTCTCTCTAATAAGCTGGTCATTAAGAGCTAATCATGACGAGTAATTATTCATGTGACAATGACTTGGCTCGAAATGTTTTTAATGAAAATATACTAAATATTTTTAACACTTTTTTTCATACTTTTTATCCATTTCAATTCCAAAAGAAAGTTTATTTTAAAAACTTTGGCCCTGATAAGTGATTGTTTTGTTTACTGATCGAGATGTTCTCCTTCCTTTTGTCCTTCGTTCGTTCTTTTGTCCACACAACAGAAATAACAATTGATAAACAAAATAATTCAAAATAAATAACAGACAATTATCGATTTTCGGACGTGGAAACCATGAGCAAAATAGGGAAATTGGGTCGGAGAGGAAAATAAGAAATTTTTATCTTCAGTCAAAGACTAAAACATTTAGCCCTCGCCTTTGCCGTTTCCGACACGGAGGAATAAATAGTGACCTTCTTTTTAGTTAGAGCAAGTTTGCGGTTGCGGTGCATTTTCTATAGTTCTACAAATTAGTGTATCCAAAATTACTATAGTGATACTTTTAGTTCTTTTCGCAGTTCCAACCATTTTTTTTTTTTTATGTTAGTACAATTATTGTCAGCGAGAGATTATAATGTCTTATTGTCAGTCACTCCAACCGCGCCACAACCAGAACCTTCACAACAGAAATGAGCGAAGCTGCATTGCGTAAACAACTCATAAATTGTGCGATGATGATGTGATTTCAGAATAAGCAGCGATATTATTTGTGAAAATGAATCGCGTGACTTGGTTAAGTAAATCGAATTGATTGAAACAATCGGCAAAGTTTAACGCTTGGTCTGGGCGTTTTTGGTCTCCAGTGGCAAAAGAAGTGATGTAGTTCCTTTCCTCAAAATTATTTTGTTCAAGAGAGACTAAAACTTGAATCTTTAATAGTTTTTTGGTATTTAGCATCGTTTTTCATGCTTCAGCCCCATTGCATCTTCGACCAGCGATGTGACCAATATTCGGTAGTCTAGAGATATTTGTTCATGAGAAAATTTCCGACAGCTAAGTGACTTATTTTTCCACAGCAAGATGCCAAGTGGCAATATTTTTCTCTTGAAACTTTGACGTACTGAAGTCCTTGATAACGTCAATTGAGATATAAAGTAAATCTGGTCGGCAAAATCAAATCAGAACCAAACTCAGCGCTTGAGAAAGTGTACACGGTCCACATTTCTCTCTTCATTTGGGTGGCATTTCTTTATGTTGTTACTGTGGCTTTTAACCTGTGTTGCTCTTCTGAAGGTACGATATCGTGTTTGTTCGTATTATTTTAGCACTGTTCTTGCTGGAATTCTTCAGCACAGTCTCGGCTCTTATTAAGAGCACAAGAAAATACTTTTAATTTACTACACTCATTTTCTCAAGAGTTTAAAGACAAAATCGTAAACAATTTACTGCACCTATACAAACGCATTTTTTGGTCGCAAAATGAAGAAAGTATCAAAGGATTCGTTCGATCCATTCGCTGCATAAAAACCAGTTTCAATAATGTTCAAATTTCAATTGAAAACAATGGTGGCCTGTGTCCAGCTTCTCATAGTCCCAAAAATTCCTTTGTTTCTAATTTTTGCCTCATTTCAACAGGTTGATCCAACACCATGTCGCTCCTTGCGAGTAACTTGCATCAGGCCCGTTTCAATGGCACATTGAATGTAGCAGTAAGTCCAAATAGCAGCAATACTCCTTTAAATCTTGAATCTGAGACAAAACATCACAGACCCCTTAACTCAGAACCTGTGCCGGACTGGGAGGAAGCGATAGCTACTTTTAAATGGGGCTGGGAATTGCACTGGATCTCATTTGTCGTGTTATTTTTGGGACTTGCCGTATACTCCACAGCGAAGCTCGTCGCCGCTTCAAAACGGCGGCAAGTTCGGGAAAAAGTATCCCGTAATGTCTCCTACGCTGTGCACTCGTTGTTAATAGTTCTCGGGATCACTCGGGCACTCGCGCTGGTACTTTTCCCGTACGAGGTAACAACAAACTTAAATGAAGCAGATATTGTCATACCTTTGTATGTTCACCGGATTATCTTTGGTCTGGGATTTCCTTGTTTCATGGCGGCGTTTGCTCTGATACAAATAACATTCACGGCCAGCGTGAAAACCACACCGCTGACTTACTCTAAGCTGAGAAGGATTCGATTTCTCGTTCTTGTCATCATCGGGCATTTCAGTGTTGTTATTGTAGCAGATGTGGTCACTGCTTTGGTGGAAAGTACCTCTGCCTTATACATGGTCTGCACCGCGTATCTTCTATCCATGACCCTGTTCACGGGTATCCGTATTACCAAAACTGGTTGGAAAGTCGTTCGCGAGAACAGAGAACATGGAGCAACCATGCCAAGTTCCATGACGGCATCGACCATGTCTATTGGTACTGCACACCGCATGCGTCAGGCCTCGTTTAACAGAAGAGCAGTACGCAAAGTTTTTACCATTACTACATTGACAGTATTTTTCTGCATTGCATTATTTGCGTTAAAAATCTACGATTTAGTGGAAGTCATAGAATATGTGTATGTGTATAATAAAGACAAAGAGTTGGCTCCATGGCCATGGTTTATTCATGAAACTTTGTTCCGTTTAACGGAGTTTGGTTTAGCCTGTACTGTTATTTACGCTGTTTCGCCTCTTAAACCTCCCAAGAAGTGCTTACTTGGTTGCAGCTGGTGTTGTTTTGGGTCAGGAACGGATGAAATCACCGCGAGTAGAGGTGAATACCGGGAAAGAACAGGAACCAATCAGATGACAAGCCTTGGACCTCCTCCTGAAACTGCCGGCAATAATAATGTTTAACTTTCGGTTTGCAAAACGAACTCATTAATGTAGTTAGAAAATCAGAGCAGCGAGTAGAAACAATGGGACAATTGCAGAGATTTAAAGTATTTGTCACAAAGAATCCATAAAGACTACTGCCGTGGCCACTCCGCGTAATTTTGTTCAGAAAAACGGCTGTTGCTGATCTGCTGTTAAAAATGTTTTCACTCGACCTTGACAATCTTATCTGTAACAGACAATATTTCGAATTAAATGGTAATTTACGACGATGTAATTCGAACTGAGAGTTGTTATAGATTGAAAAATTGACATCGTAGAGCACCAAAACTTTTGAGCTTCTCATTGCTAAAGCGGGCATGAAAATCTTTTAGAGCCTTGTTGATCAGATTAGCCAACCTCACGGTGCTTTCCGCTCGTGCTCACAAAATTCGAATCATAGTCCTTGCAACAGCCAATCAGAGCAAAGATATATCAAAAGGATAGATATCAGAAGGAGCCAATGAGAACCCAATGCAAAAACAAGCAAACAAGCGCGGGGAAACGTGAGTGACGAAGTCGCGATGGGTTTAATCTTGCATCTGATTAGTCGATTGGCTAAGGTGAGATTTCTAAAACAATCGAGAAATGTAGTAACACCAGAAATACACGTGCAATCCAGGACTTCGGTAATCAAGCACTAGTCAAGAATTCTTGTAAGACCGAAGACGACATCAGTTGACCAGTGGTGAAGAAGTTTCACACCTTACAAAATATTTTTTGTCATAAACTGAACGTAAATTATGAAAGAGAATCAGTAATGTTTTGCTAATCGCTAATCGAGCGTTCCTGGATTGGATGATTTTGCTGCGTTCTTGTTCAACACACTCCCTCCAATTTTTCCCCACTTGAGACGTTTTTTCCAAAAAATGTAGAATGAATACGTCGGTACGCAACCCGCCCAAATCCCTCACTCCCTTTTTCACCCTCTGCTTTTTTCATGACCAGAATTTTTCCCGAACTCTCTAATGTTGACATTGACCCAGTGGAATGTAGCCTGAAGCTAGCTCGTTGGCGGAGGGAAGTAATTTCTTTGACACGAACTTGACGTCATCCTTTCCAAGAGCCCTTACGCGTAGGATCCTTACGCAATAAACCGCATTTTCTATTGTTTTATCGGTGTTATAACCCATGCAGGATGTTGAAAGAACACGCGAAACGTTTGTAAATCAAGAGCTAGGGGCAAGCGATCCACAAAGTATCAAAATAACACTTTTAAAATAAAGTAAACTTATACAGGTACAATAAACGAAAGATTTTTGACCAATCAGAGCGCTCGTAATATTTCAGTTTTTTTAACTTTTGAATGATACAATGATTACGAAATTGTATGGTTTGACACTAGGTTAAACCTCTTACATTATAATGCTTTATAGTGTGCGTAGCTGTGGGAGTTTTGTAAGCTCAATAAAAATAGAATCGGGTGGTGAAACCGCCAAGACGTGGTTCAAATCCTTTAAGCTTACACAAAATTCAAAAAGTGCCTTTGACTTATCATGCCCGCCTCCGCTCACGGATACCTTGTTGAAGAATTATTAGATTTAATTTGAGTCAGGTTTGAGCCCGATTTTATCTCAAGGCTTCCCTAATTTCAACAAAATTGTGTTAATTCAAAACTCGCCGTGAAATATTTTTTTAGTACTTGTAAGACTCTATAACAGAGTGCAAACCAATGGAACTTATTGAATGCTGATTTACTGAGACAGGCGGAATTTGTCATTAATTTTGGTAATTGACTTGACACCGAAAACATTTAAAAAGGGTTAACATTGCCTAAAAGTATTTAGATTTCATTGATGGCGAATCTTTTTTTTAGCAGGGCTTGTTTCATTGCTTTGGCGTTGCAGGACAAAAAAGAATTTAATTCAGCTGATTCGTGCGTTTACAGTTTATTGACGCTAAATGAACGCTGAAGTGGCTTCCTACGAAATTGTGTAACAGCGTGCGTTTTTTACTTAATTGTAATTAAAAGAGAGTTAAATTTAATATAACAGTAGTTGCAATTTGCTGTGCCAAGGTAACAATAGACCAAAATTTGAAAGTTTAATCGGTTAAACTACTATAACAGAGCAGTTATTTTCGAACAATCTTTTCAACTACACATTTTGATCAATCCTTGAGCGGCTAGTCATTTTAAAAAGGTTGACATAACAAACAAATGAATCTGAAGTAAGCATATTCCCATTTCCTGCCCCCGTGGCTGTCGCATAAGATTGTTTGAGATGTGGTATTTTGGAGCAATTTATCTCATCTTCGCTATTGTATACAGCTATTTTTACGCCCGACAAATAATGAATTCTTTTGAATCTTAAAATTGCAAGCACAGTATCATAACTTCTGTTGAAATAGGGTTGTAGTCTTTTTTTATTGCATTTCTGATTTCAAGCAAACTTTTGATCGACAAACTTGAGTGGATGTATTACTCTTTTGAAATTCAAACAAGGGTTTGATTTTTTCTAAACAAGAATTTAACCGTTTTTGAAACGGATTCCTACCGTTGAGCAAACGCTTGAATGACAAATAGATCTAAAGAATGGAGTCATTCACGTGAGGCAAACGATTTCTGAGTAAATGCTGATCTAAAGAAAAGAGTCATTCATGTGAGGCAAACGACCACTGAGTAAATGCTTTGGGGTGTCCTTAGTCGAATTTTATTGGTGCCGAAACAATAGACAAAGCGATAACTTGCCAACAAAAAGAGCGCCAAAGATTGTTAAGCTTATTAACAAGTCAAATTTATGACTGAGGTTTAGATGACGATAGAATTTGTCGTTCTTCCTACGTGCGCTCGCCGTGTGTTTATTTGCAAACGATCCTCGACATAAACACCATCGTCTGTGGTTTTGTTTTAAAAAATTCCGATCGCAAACTTTAGGCGAAGAGGTTCACGTTTTCAAAGTTAAGTTAAAAAGGCTTGTTTAAAGTGAAATTCCTTAAGAGCAAGTAAGCTTTTCACTTCAGTGACAGAAAGTTTCATCATGTCTAAGAAAGAAGTGAAAGAAACGAAAAAATCTGTTTCTATATTCTCGTTGTGGCGGTGCTGCCTTAGTGGAGAGACGAACAGACCAAAAGTGCAGAAAAAATCTGTGGCAAAAGACCAGCCAGACGCCCCAATAGAAAAAGGGAAAGAAGCTTTGGAAGACAAGGGAAAAGTTGTTGACAAAACTAGTGACTTGGAACTTGAATACGTGGCAACTCCGCCGGAGTCGGCGCCTGTGGTTTCACCAAGCGACGATTACAGACCCAGCTATGAAGAAGCGAATACTGTATCAACAGCGCCGTCTACTGTGGGAAGCGAGGAGGATTCCACCTTAAACGCGCCCGCGAGTATTCAAGTTATGCAAGAGAATGGCACTCCTTCGAAAATTACCAGGGAAATCGGGACGGGTGGACGACTAAATCTGCAGTTCGTGTATGATCCTGCACCATCCAAACTGACCCTGACTCTACTGGGAGTAGAATTCCCTCCATTCCAGAAGTGGAAGATGGATGATCTAGAGGTGAGTTGCACTCTATTGCCCATTCATCAGCATAGCTTCCGTGCGCGTCCAAAGAAGTTCAAGGATCCGTTTACAATGACTCTGACGCCGAAAGAGAAAATCAAAACAATGTCCCTCAGGTTTCGTTTGTACAACCACCGCGCCATGTCCAAACATCTGATTGGCCAGGGAGTTGTGAGCCTTGGAGAAATAAATCTCACTCCACAGGCGGTTAAAATCGCCTTGGATCTGAATATTCCCGAGACCTACGCCATTGACTCCCGCTACATAGAGTCTGTCACGGGCGCTGACGGGCAGACATCGTCAGAAGATTCCAAACCTGAAATTTTACTCTCTCTGGAATACCGTTCCTTGACAAGAAAACTGATTGCTGAAGTTATAAAAACCCGCCATCTGGGTCTCCTCAACAACTCCAAACCGCAAGACCTCGCGGTTGAAATGAAGCTGATTGGAGATAACAACCAAGTGTTACGCGTATGTCGAACCTCGCTAAAGAAACACGTTATCGATGCAGAATTCAACGAGATGTTTATGTTTCGCGTGACGTACGACAAGCTGTCCAGCATCGCCGTCGTTTTCACGCTGTTCCGTATGACAGAGAGGCGAGGAAAGAGAGAGAATATTGGAGAAGTTTGCTTTGGAAAACAGTCCAGTAGTCATGAGCAGCAAAATCATTGGAATCAAGTCGTGACGGGACCTGAGCGCGTTGTCACGCAATGGCACCCACTCTTTAAATAAGGTACGGTTTTGTCGTTTTTTTTACTCTTAAGAATTACACCATACAATCTGGTTAAAACGAAGTAAAATGCTCACTGGGCATTTTGCAGTTAGTGCTAGCCCCTTGAAAATTCTTATATTAAAAAAAATTCAAATTTGTCTCTTTCGAAAACTTGCCACTTAAGAAATGTACGTTACTATAGCTTACGAAAATTGATCAGTTTGTCATAATTGAAGTGATTACAGAGCCTAGAAAAGCTTTATTTCACTAAGCGTCACATTAAGTCGTTGGCTTGCCAAAACGTGTCCAACAAGCGCTTGAAAGAGTTAATCAATTAACTGAAGAGTGGGAGGAATCAATCGAAGACCGAATATAGCCCCTCTGTACATAACGGGAAGACATTTATAGAAACAGAAAGCTGGCAAAAATTGAGCTGGAATAGCACAAACTCGCGAAATCCACCAAATTTTCATAAATTTCAACGGCAAATTTTACTGCAGCCAGATTCAAATTCGATTCAGCTACAAACAATCTTTCCGTGTCCGTCTCTTTTGTTCATTTTGAGGGATGAATCTCTCCGTGAACAAAAAGGCAAAAACGTTAAATTTCCATTTTTTTTTCACAAACCTTTGGCACAACTTCTGTCAAGACTTCAAAAACATCCAAGAAAATGAGCGAGTGGTGAACAATAATTTCCTCAAATTTGCATGAATGGAATTTGCACTATTCAAGCGTTATAAGTGTGTTGTTAAGACGTGTCCCAAGGCAAAGAAAGCTTATGCCCACGACCTCTGACCAATCGAAAGATAAATAAATGACACGTAAGCAATCAGTCTAATTAATCAAATATACAACAGGTGCGGCCAAGCGAAAGAGTTCGAGTGCAGAGGTAGACACGCTTGATTTCTGCCCAGTCATTTAAGTAAATTTGGTTTCAAAAGGATCCGAGAACACGGTGTGGTGATGACGAGTGTTTACAAGTCAGAGCACTCAGAAGAATCTCCTCCACATTACCAAACGCCACAAATGAATAGATAAATAAATAAATAAATAGATAAGTAAATAATTAATAAATAAGAAAGGGGTAACATAGCTAAGTTTGTAACTGTAAGATGCTGAAGAAGCAAAAGACCATCATATACGGTTGCCGGTAATTTGGTTTTAATATATACAAAATTCGTGGATTGAGTTGAAAGAAAGCCTTGATTGGCTACTCAAACTCCGAATATTCTTCGTTATTCATCGATAGTCACAGAACCGCGAAACGGCGAGATAAATCTCCACCACTAGCCTCCACCTCCATAAATAATTGTTAATTATCTACTGGGTTGATGATGTAAATTTGCCACCGGTTTGGTCGTTCGCCCTTCGTCATTCGCTTTGACGAGGGGCTAACGCTCGAAACGACAGCTCTGGAAACGCTAAACGGTAGCCAATTTACAATACTAACTCAGTTGATAAGATCAAATTATCTTGTAATAGTCCCACCAACGCAGCACCACAGTTTTTTTACAAACGTACCCCTTTCAATCACTTAGCGAATGTTGTCTTGGATGAGGTCAGATTAAAAGCCTCTTGAAACCAAGGAACTGGGAAAATCGTCGTTCTCTTTGGTTCTAATCAAAAGAGGAATTATATTGATGATAAACAATTATTTTTGTTCTCTTGCCAAATCCCATTACCATGAAATACATTTTAAGCTGATTTTTTCCAATTGTCTCTTTTCTTTTTAGTATGCAAAGAGTGCTCTGAATGCATCCATTTAGAGGGAAGAACAAGAAATACAGAGGTTTCGCAGTATGATTTAACTCTAATGATTCATTTTTTTATATCTAGCATGACAATAAATATATTGCAGATACTAGGTAAAGCACTGATGATATTTTTATCTGTGCATGGAACATCTATCATGACACTGATTATTTTTTTATTAGGTAAACTGCGCTTGTGTTTATACATGAATTTAGTCGCAACGACTAAAAGAAGGCTTGGAAACAAAGCCATGCTAAAAAATGATTTTTTTTCTCTTTTCCTCTTTAAACTTAATTACTAGACTGAGTGAAAAAAGCATCCATGCTTTTTCATTGGTGGCCACCAACTCTTCGCGTCACAGCGCGGACAATAGTTAATCAATTTGTTTGTCTCAAAATTTTTGGGAAAAGTTTCATTGAATCAGCGGCTACCGTGTTTAATAAGATTCTTACAGTTTTTAATGCTATTTGTTGGCTAATTAAGGGGTAATCAAGTGTGTACTCTCAATGTTGCGTTTCAGAACTAAGCTTTTGGGTGGAAATTTTTACTCTCGATGCAATACTACTCTTTCATGGAAAAATATTTTATAAGATGTTTGTACTCTATGGCTATGAAGACACTTGTTTTTCTAAAATGATAAGACTTTCCAGTGAAAATTTTACACCAGCTGACAGCAGATATGTAGCAAAGCCTCGATAAAACATTGACAATAAGAAGTGCACCATGGTACAAACCCTTGGTTGTATAGTCGATCGATAAAACAGACTTGCTTGCTGGTATTTCAAATTTTTTTCACTTTTTGATCTGTCGATTTTAGACCTTCAGTTAACGTTTTGTTAATGAGGTGGCAAAGCAAATTATCTTTTATAGGCTGCTGTGTGGCAACAGAAAAATATGTTTCAGTTGCTGATAATAACCGGTGGGGTTTTAGTTAAACGTTTGCCCCGTCTTTCCTTAGGGACAAAATTGGACAAAAGAGATGCACACGTAGGGATATTTTCACTCACCCGTGAGTTTCACGCGATACAAAACTTTGTATCTAGAAATACTGGTGAGACCAGTACATAGCACATGCTTGTGCATAGCACAGAAACAGGGTACCATTTTATGGAATGTTTCATTAAAAATTGTTTGCACTTTTTTCTTTACATGTCTGAATTAATTTTTACAATTTATAAATTAGCGGACGTAGTTGTTGGAATCATAACGAGTCATAACTGTTCTGTTACCACTAAATTCATGTTAGAAAATTGAAGCTTCATATAAATTGAAAGTAGGGCCTTATCGGGCTACCTTCACTGATCACTGCATGTCGCCAGGGGGGGAGGGGGTGGGGTAGTTATCGACATGTATCTCCGCTGACCGTGAGATCTATGGACTGAGTTCACAGCAGACAAGTCTCCGCATGTGAGAACGTTGATTTGCTAGGCGGCGCGCTTTCAAGCTGTGCTACGGGAGTTATAAAACAACCACGAAAGCTTGTAAGTCACGGTGTTTTAGAGCCGTACAACTTTTTACACTAATGCTCCAAAGAAAGTGGTAAATCGACAGTATATTTTTGATTTGATAGGGTTTGTGTTCACAGTGTCAAGTTTTACTTTTCCCTCATTGTGTTTCCTTTAACAAATTTCTTTAATACTTTAAATTATTTTGCGTATTTTGCTTGACAATGCCTTTTTCTATCTGACTGTCATATTCTGCAATTTTGCGCGGGAAATTGGCGCACGGCATCGCGCGGCCGGCCAAAAGTGAACCCCTCGCGCATGTACAACGTCTAACAGACCGCTGTGTCGATGGTAGTCCATGTGTCTATCCTCCACTAGTGAAGGTCATGACCCACTCGTCAATTTTTAAATTTTTTAAGCTTTGAATTATTTTGACCTTTACTATGGTATTCATCCTCGGCACGTCATTTGTTACCTCGTGTTATCGTATTTGCCTGCCCCGGAAAAGCCTATAGACAAAATGGTTGAACGTGAGCCATTCCAAACATTCCTGAAGAGTTGTTCATTCAGTTGGTCAGAGACCTTTGTCCTAAATTCTGACGATGATGCCGTGTCTTTGGCTATGTTCATCGCTTAGTGGCAGCTTCTTCAGCTTTTACGCTGACCATTCAAAGGAACAGAGCAAGCTCACGAGGTTTGTTATAACCCGATCTTGTTATTTGGTGCCAGGTACACTTTTAATGTACTTCTCTGTTCTCATTGTTTCTGGTCTGAAAATTACAGTTTGAAATACGATTAAGCTAGTTACTTTACATCACTATCATTTCTCTGCCTGATAATTAGTTTCGCGCCGGTTGAGATTTATGTTACGATAAGATTTCCACACAGCCCCATAATTCATTATGCATACAGTTCTTGGACAAAGAAAACTATTGTAAAAACAATTGATTGCCTTTTAGACTACGGCTTAGTGTTACAGTAGTATCGGGCTGTGTGCAAACCTTACCCTTTGTTTCATTCGGAGAGAAGCGGGATTACTTATCGCGCTCAGTAATCTTTTATTTGTCTGTGATTTAAGCTTACTTAAGTATATTTTTTGCACTGACATTCGCGTCATTTGCATGTTTTGATTCCTGTCCATAAAGCTTGTCCTTAGGAGAGTAAGAATTTCGTCGCAAAGCTGCCTTTTGCAATTTGCAATGAAGAGCTCGGTAGTGAGCTCTAAATTGCATAGTTTTGGGAGTTTATAGTGTGCATTGAAGTCATTTATACAGACTTAAAACATCATCATCCTGTACCAGAAGTTCACTTAAGTGCATGGTTAATATACTATAGCTGCCTTTCCCTTCAACTTAACCCTTCAATTCCAATGAGTGACCACGACGGAATTTCTCCTCACAATACCAATAAAATAGCAAGCAGACAAGAGTTCAGAATGAAGAAAAATGTCAACTAGAGGATTATAGTTGATCCATTATCAAATTCTCTGAGCCATCATTTGGAGAGTTGTATGGCAGACAGTAGAGAGAGTCACTATTGAGATCTTGGGAGTGAAAGCTTTAATAACCAAGCTTTCATGAACATGCCTTAGCACAGGTTTGGGTAGTACCTCTTGTAAGCCTGATCCTTTTGATGCTCTCTGTTATAGACTTTTAATTAAAATTATTAGTTGTTGGACCATCAGCTTCTTGACAATTTGCATACTGTAAGCATCTGTATGCAAAAAAATTAAAGGAAACTAAAGTAAGCTATAATATAGTTACATAGTTCTTACAGCTTCCATGGTTCCAAGACCTTTTCATTGCCAATTTAGCCTGATTTTCTTTTAACACTGATTCTACCACAACACAATTGCAATGCCATGTGGAACCTCTACCAGGACTGGTTGTTTGAACAAAGTTTAGCCATTATTTAACAAAACTTCCTTCCAAGCAATCATTGATTTAGCTGAACCTTTTGTCTGAACATTTATTTTTGTGAGCAGTGTCAAGAGGGTTGAAAGCTAATATTGGAAGGACATTTATTTAATTGAATCAACCCTCTTATAGAGAATCCATGAGGCTCACTGCTCGCATAAAACCACTGTTTGGGTTAGACCTCATGTAAATAACTGGCTTCAGTGTGTGCATGTGCACCCTTCATTCTGAAGTAACACCATGGCAAAAGATTTTTGAATGATTATACTCAGATTGTTGTGATTTTTAACAAAGCTTTTCCTCTGGGTGGTCAACCCTTTAACTCCCATGAGTGACCAATACAGAGTTTCTCCTTACAACATCAATACAATATCAAGCAGACAAGTAATGAAAAAGGAGATTATTAGATTGATCCTATTCCAAAATCTCTGAACCAACATCATAAGAATTGTATGGCGTACAGTAAGGAGAATTACTAATGAGATCTTGGAAGTGAAACGGTCAGGAGGCTTATTCAGATGAGAGTTTATTACCATGGGAGGCAATTAGACTGAGGAAAACAACATATTGTCATCAAATGTGACTAAATTTGCAAAGTTAGATATTAAATTTATTAATAAAATTCCTCCTCAGAGTTAATAATACAAGACAAAAAAATTAACATTTTTCAAATTTAACAATAAATTCAATATTAATTTTATTTTGAATTGTAATAATTACATTTGGAAAACCACAAGCACAGCTAAAATTTTTCGGATAAAAAATTAATATGCAGGAACTGCTACAATAAAAATGATAGTTTGCAATCTAGAGAAAATTTCATGATGATTTTTGTAACAGAAAACTAAACAAAACAAATACAACAGGTCTAAGATGATGTTTACTGGGATCAAATGCGATTCCGAAGTTTTAAACCCTCCTTGAATCAGCATTTTGAACCACACGACTCAAATGATGCTCTTAATGCCACATTACTTAAACCGCTGCCACAAAGTGCGTGGCTCAGGTTGAAATGGGAAAACATTATTTCTTAAACATTTACCTGGCTGGAAACTTTGGACATTAGCATGTTTTTTTGTCATGTTGGTTTGTGAACGCGGCCCTGGTGGGTTAATCAATTTTGAAATTATTTACTTCATCGCCAGATGGTCGCGTTCACGGTATTGCATTTGAAATAAACGCCACTCAGTCTATGTAAGTAAAAAAGCCCAAACAATCGCCTTTGTTGAGGAAATATAGTCTCTGTCGCATCGCGATGAAAGGCGAGTGGTCCTAATCTCTAAAGTAGAAAACTTATGGGTTTGGAAAAAAAAAACCGCAACACCAAAAAATTAGGAATAGCAATTCTCATTTCAAGTTGTGACTTTTTAAGCTTTTATTTGCTAACTGTGATTATAAAAGGCTCAAGAATCGCCCGCAAAAAAATAAGCCCGGCTGTTTAGAATGGAACGCGTTGAAATCATTTTATGGTAAGTCGGATTGCGCAATTTATAACTGTTTCAATTTTGCCGTGATGTGGCTTATGGCTCGGCAAGGCACAAAATGAAACATCTATTCCTAACAAAAAGGTAAATCTTGTGTCATAAAAAATACGACGTGAAGAGTTTATGGGCAAAATATTTTATGTAAATATACACATTTGGAAGCAGGTGCATTTAAAAACAGTATATAATTAATTGATTTTCTCGAAGCTTGTTGGCCAGTATTTTGGGTCTTTGTAATTTGTTGCCAGCGATAAGAACTTTGATGCCTAGAATTCACACAGAGCTAGCAAGGAATTTACCAAACAGCGATTCCCAAACGATCCAGGCACGGTTTCAAGGTATTATTTGGTCATTTTAGGTCAGAGCTGCATAATTTTGACTCCATCTAGATTTTGCATTTAAATAATTCAATTACGTCCACGAGAGATCGTATGCGAAGAAAATGAAATTTTCTGTGTGGGCACTGTAACAATTCCTAGAGCCCGAGAGTAATTTTCGGCGTCTTGTGTAGCAAGTGACCGATAATGAAAAACGGATTGGCTGACGGCATCAGTTGAAGGATTTGGTCAAGGAGATCCATCGAGGCAAACGGTGAGTGCAATCAAAGTATTTTGGGGAGGAAAAAGACAACTTCTCATGTATACTTCAAAAACATTTTGTGTTTTTAGCGAGTTTGCGAGCACTGTTAGTATTTTCCCTTTCGACGAATTGCAATTGTGTTAATTTCTTTCGAGTCCCTATTCGACCAATCGAATCTTGTTTATGTTCCCGAAAAGTGAAAAGAGCGTGTGCTAATTGATGTTCTCTCTAATATTTCCAGAAGTTTGAGAAAAAGTCTTCATTTTCAATATTCTCAACACCAGATGGACGTCTAATGCATTACGGACAACCGCTTGTCTGTTAGCGTTCCTCACTCGCGTAGCGGATGGATTTCACGGCAAAAATTGGTGGTTTTTTTCGCAGTATTATTAACCCAGAGGGTGAAACTCAAAACACAGACAAATCAGCACAGGAAAATAGGTAGGAAATCTTACATAAGGTGTAAGATTATTTTCATTGTAACCGTGAGCCTGTTTTCATATTCAATTGCGTTCTTTATGTCGGTTGTCGAATATGATAGGGTGGGGTTAGGAATTCCGCCGCAAAGAATTTTCTGCCCTCGGTTTGATTAAACAAAGTGGATGCACGCGGAAAATCAGGAATTAGATGGCTAGAAAATCCAAAATAAATTATTGAAACGTGACTAAAAGTCGAGTGTTTGGCATGTTTTGGTTGTAAAGAGCGCGCGAGAGCGCAGAATAATTTTAAAACACAAGGACAGCTGTTGGCAATAATTGTAAAGTCAAATTCATTGCTTAAGAATATTTTGGCTTTTTAGTCAATAGGAAGCCACCAGGTTTGATAAAGTTGACAATAGAAAGAAGTTAATATGTTTGAATATAGCATTTTCAAGTAAAGAAAGAAGAAACGCCAATTTTATTAGGCACTGAGGGAAAATTCAACTGAAATTCAGGCTGACAAAGGCGAGCTTTATCGAAATATTATTTAACGAACGAATGCAGAACACGGAAAACATACATAATTGACCGAGCAAATGTTTTAATTTCGTACATGCATGAAAGCATCTTAAATGAGTCGGGAACCAATCAGGGAAGCGAAACGTGCCAGCAAATAAACAGAACTGGAGCATTAAGAGTTTAGTAGACAAAGATGAAGCAACGATTCTATTTGTTCCAAGCCATCTTCCTGGGGTCTGTTTTGCTAATATGTCGTAATTGAGGCCTCGGATATGAATGTAGTTCGTGTTAAATTTTTCATATGTCCTTTGCCATTGTTTCGCTGTTGTCTGCATTTCAGGCAAGCATCCAGCGACACAAAACAGGGAGAAGAAGAGGGAGACTTCGACGAGCGTGATGCGGAGTATCTAGACGATGACGACGAGGAAAACACAACAGCGTTTCTCACGCGAAATAGTTCCTTACCGCTACCTAGTAAGTCCAAACAAGACTCGTCGTCTAACGCCTTGGCCTTACAAGTGCCTAACACGGCAATTAAACGCAGAAACACCCTCGCTGGTACCCCAAGTTTCGGCCTAAGTAGTCTAACAAATGGCAGATCGGCACCCAGCGTGGTCGCGCGCACGAAGCAAAGCTTAGAAACCAGTAGTATCGTGTCAGACGACGAGACGGTTCGTGGAAGCTCAGCGCGAAGAGAGTTCGGGGGACTTCCGACAAGAAGTCGGAGCGAAACTCCGCGAGCATTTGGTGGCGGTACGCCCTCCAAGAGGATATCAACCTCAAGTTCTGTGTCTGACTGGAATATGGATCAAACAGTACGCGGAGTTGGTCGGCTTCATGTCGTACTTGACTTCACCATGCACACGGCTAAGCTGTCTGTAACTGTAACAAAAATAGAATTTCCACCTTATCACCAAAGGGATACTTCTTTGTTAGAAGTGAGCGTCATGCTGTTGCCGGGAAAACGGCAAAGTTTTCGAACAAAACCGAGAGACTTTAATGAACCCATGGCGATGTATTTGTTTCCCAAGGACAAGATCAAGGATATGTCGCTGAGATTTCGCTTGTATGAACAAGGCACTATGGGCTCTAAGCATTTATTAGGCGAAGGAACGCTACGGCTTCGTTCGGTGGACTTAGATTCTGAAATGATTCCCGCATGTGTTGATTTACAGCCTCCCGGATCGTATGTTCCGGAAGCTGCTTCGGGCGCGATCATGTACGAAGGAGAGCTAGCCATCTCCGAAGAAGATCGGCCCGAGATTTTACTGTCCTTAGAATACCGCCCCATTACGGGAAAGCTTCTTCTGGAAGTTATCAAGACAAGAAATTTAGGAATGTTGACTGACTCAAAAGCACGAGAAACATATGTCGCAGTGAGGGTTGTTAAAAGCACTGGAGAGTTAATCAGCAAGAGTAAAACTACTCCAAGACGGCATATGATAGACCCCGAATATAATGAAATGTTTTTATTCCATGTTCCAGAGCATGAGCTCAACTCAGTGACAGTTTTACTGACTGTTACGAGTATTACGGCGCGCACGCTGGCGCTGAAAAAACATCGATTTGGTCGTGTGTGTCTTGGGCAGAATTACAGCAGCGAAGAAGAATTGCGGCATTGGTATGAAATGACTCGACGGAAAGAAAAATCCATCGTGGCATGGCATAGAATTAATGAAATTTAGGGACAATATTGATACACCAAACAAGAACTATGGCAAGATCATCAGTTTATTTAATACGTTTTACAAGAACAAGTCTGCATTTCCAAAACGTTTCAATTAGTACAGCCGTTGGTTCGCACATTATTGTATTAGGGACGTTGTTTATATATTTTCCAAGTGTTGTTGATCCGATTCACCGACAGGCAAATAGGTTAGTGGAATGTTAATACTTATGACTGAATTATCCCAGAAAAAAATTCACGGGAAGAAACAATTTTATAAAATTATTTTTAACCCCAAAAGGGTCTGTTCCCGAATCAAGGTGTTAATAAGTTTGAACATACTTGTGAAAGTTTGTGTATCTTTTAGAGCAGACAAATAAAATGAAACCACGCATAAATTGACTTTTTCACATACATTAATAATGACTACGGCTCTGAAATGATTTTCGCTGGATAAACGGATACATCTTTTGCTTATAAGTATGCTATCCACGATTGAACCGCACCCAGAGCGACGTTAAATCACGCCCTCAAATAAAAATCGAAATACTGTCATTCCTTTTGCAAACTCAAGTGTTTCAGAGAAAATTTTCCGTGCAACTGTAAACATCAAACTGATGCAACATTTTTACGAAAGTAGAAATTGAATTGTTAACATTGCAGGAAACAAGGAACGTTTTGTAGTAGTTTTGTGAATGAAATTTTGAATTCAATAGCTAAAATTATAAAATTCTGAAGGTTTATTTCTAAATGAGTAAAACCAATTATTTTAGTAACCTCAAGAGGAACATTTCCACGAAAATTTATCTCGTTAAAATATGTTAATTTTCCTCTCTCTTTTGAGAGAATCCTTTTCCTTATTTTCTGGTGACTTTGCTGATTTGAATATCTCTAAAATCAATGCGTTGTTCACTGAAAAAATAAGCCTATAGTTCTCAATTGCATGTCTTTGATAGGTAATACTGTTGATGTGGTAATTCTCCTCTTGGTTAATTATTAACTCAGCTCATTACTCAGCCAATGTAACATATTGGTGATATTATGTTCAGTGAAATGACTCCTTTGAACTTTTACTCTAGTTTAATCATTGGACCAAGAAGCTGGTTTGTCTTTGTGAAGTTTTTCACTTCTGTAAGAGGCAAATGATTAAGGTGTGACATGGAACTGTTTTTGCATATAAACTGAATGAAGTGATACGCACATGCGTGTTTCAAAATGCTCTTCCAGTTTACAAAAATACATCATTTGAACACTTTGCAGGTTGGAGTTTCGATTAGTATTAAAATAAGGAAGTGATTACTGAAACCCCTATTTCCAAGTGAATTTTTTTGTTGTTTTTAATGTAATCGCTCTTTCGTGGTGTATTTTTTTGTTACAACTGCTGGCTAGGAAACGTGCGAGTAGAATTTTGACCACAAAGGTAATTTGAATTCAGTGCACGTGTCAGTATTCATACTCTGTCCTAGCCTCTTAAGCTACAATCGGTATTAACTATGCGGATCCTTGGAATATTACAAAAATCATTTTGGAAGAGGAGAATTAAGATTTTGGTTGGTGAAAAATTTCTTAAGTGCTATGCACAGTTTGTAAGCTCTCCTCGACGGCTCAAGTAAAGAGTTCCATAACTGTGGAAAGCTGACCAAGTAATTAGGGATGTTAACAAGCAGAATCAAAGGCTAAAGCTTTGTGTTACGTTCTGGTACACTGCTCTTTTTGTTTTAGCCATATGCACTCGGCAATTATAGTGTTTTGGGGTCTCTGTTGGGGCATTTGAGGGAAGATGGCTCGTGCAAACTCGCTGACTGAAGGGTACCTGTAGTCTTTGGTCACAGAGACCTCTTAATGTACCACTGCCCTACTGCTACAACTTGTACCGTATTCCTTCTTAAATTTACTACAACTCCGATAACTACTGAGAAGCTACGCTCTTATGTTCTCATTTGGTTATGTTTTCTTAACCTTGGAAGTTGACACTGCACCTGTACGAGTTAGCGGCACATATAACTGTGTGGTATACTATTTGAAGCACTAAAAGCTTAAATTATTGATATCCTTTGTAGTTAGAAAACACTTATTGATGTGAAGCTTACGCCGATATAAAGTACAAAAGTTTTACGCGAGTAAAACGTTTAAAAGCGTTGATATTTATATAAAAACGTCGAATTCGCGAATGTATCATCAGAAAACCCAAAATTATCTTTCTTAATGTACTCTTTAAAACACTTCTTAATTTAACTACAAAGTGGCTCAATAACAGCACATTACGAAGAAGAAATTTGTTTATTCGACTTTGGTGCTCTTCCCGGTCAATACTAATTTACGTAATCATATCAAACAAGGCTGCTTGAGTGTTCACTTCCAATAGATATACTCGTCCAATTTGTCTCACTGATGAGAATGTTCCATTGAGGTAACTACTTGTCGAGTAGCTGCTTAGTGTCATCGGTGAACTAATTTGGACATGGCATCGTTCTTAGACCCATTTTATGATTTTATCAATGCAAGTTAAAGCGATGAATCATAATAATGTTATGAATGGGCACAAAAAGCGTCTGCGGTTTCAACTTTTAAGAACTTTGAATAAAAACAAGTCATGGTAAGGCGCATTTTTTTTTCTCATCCAACAAGTCATCATTCTGTAGCGTTTTGGATTTTTACGTTAAGTGGATCAATCACATCAAGCATAATCTCTCTCATGCACCAAAATTATATCAAACGCATCGTTCAAAGTTGCGTTAATTTTTCCGCATCATGATTCATTCATTCTGTTGAGCCAAGAGAGCATTAATCTCTCCGTTATGCAATCTTAGCTAGCTTTGTATGGCTTTAAATTTCTGCATAACACCAATCATTGTAAGAAGCATTTTTTGCTTTCTGGTTTCCTTAGTTCTTCGAGATAACTCAAAGGGGTTAACCAAAATTTGAAAATTAATGTTCAGGCTAGGAAAAAACTTCTTTCAATCACCTACTGTTTGTTTGCCGGCAATTTAAAAATCTTTAGGTCTGATTCAATCGATATATCTGAGAACCTTGGCGCCTTGGTCGTAAAAATCTTATCATTTAACTTCTCAGTTCCGGTGATTTCTTTCTTTCTTATGTTGTTACGTTTGCAGTTCTGTTTCTTTGACAGCAAAGATTGAAGATACAGGGAGTGTCGTTAAAGGGAAGGAAACCCGAGCGCACAATCCATTTACACAGAAGGGAATCTTAGGATCTTGATTTATCTCTTACATGCAGCTGGCACTTTTGGAACAGACATTGCAGTAATTTAGACCCAACAATTATCCAAATCGACATTTAGACTCCCTTAAAAACACCAATTAATCTACAAAATTAAAATAAAAATGCATCATTTTTTTTTTTTTTTTTTTTATTTTTCAAAAAATGAAAACAAAAAATTGTTTCCAACTGTTGCATTGATTTCAAACTAGAGCTAAATAAAATGAAGTAAATTGAACGTCTAGGACAATATTTGCATTTTAGTTCTCCACGCGAGATGTCAGAAGGACTTGATGTATTCATCTTATTGCAAAGTTATATCTTGCTCTTAATATGGGTAGGTGCTCAACACAGGAAAAGAAATTTAGTTTATTGTTGAATATTCCAGATTAAATTATTTCCAGTCGTTAATGCGCAAAATTTTTATCTTCAATTTTTTGACTTCTACTAAAGTAGGTACCACACTAGTAAACGTCAAAATGTGTGGTAAAATTAAAAGTCAAAATTATGATGGTGGTGCACTCTGCCTGCTTATCAGAGGTGTTTGAATTCAATAAGTGTAATCAATAGAAGTAATCTTTTGGAAAGGGTAGAGATAACTGTAAGGGGCGACAATAACATGATTAGCGCGTCCGTCATGCGAGGAAGTTTAGTTGAATCTTCAACAAAATTCAGTGCTTACCGGAAAATCGCTTGGCTGCTTTACAATCTTTTCAATAAAAGACAGGAACTCGCGGATATTATGTATCTGAAAAATTAAGGTCGTTTGTGTGTCGTGTTGTTGCTGTCCACGCCTAGATTCAATTTAGCGTGCTGAGTTAAAATGGCTCTCAGACATATCTCAGCAAGTCCAAAAGCTACGGCAAGGATACGTCTTGAAATAAACTTGACCTTAATTACCGATCTATACCCTGGCTATTACCGTCTCAGTCGGAAATATCTTCCATCACTAGAGCTATCAAGGTTACGACTCTGTTTGGTTGCTGTTCTCTTCTGCAAAGATCATTGTCATGTGTCCTTATGCAGTCATAAAAAAACTCTGCAGATTTATCGTTAAAGAAGAAGCCATAAAACCATACAATTTTTCTTTCATTTATTTTAAAAAAGTGTGTATTTTAAAAGTATATTAAGTATAGTAAGTAAACATATCTAGGATATTTATAAGAGAGAAGCATAACAGCTCGAAAACTGTCCTATGAAAATATCTTAATATTTTGATTACAGACGCCGTCATTTCGAACACTTCTCGATAATCTGGCTCCTCGCCCAAACTGCTGGAATCATAACTCACCGTTCACAAAATGCCGCTATTTTATTTAACAAGAAGGAAATCCCCCAAAATGAAATTCACCCTCGGCGAGGCTTCGGGGCTTTCCAGTATTTCTAAGGAAGCGAAATTCGTATCATGACCATCTCTTGCCCAGATGACAACAAGAAAGTCAGCCAGGATAAGAATGATTGATTTTAAAAAAAGAGTAATTAAGAGATATAACTTTGAAAGTAGAATTATCACAGGTAACAGCTTCGTAACAAGTTGATTTATTTTGTTCAATTGCATGTTCTGGACACTTAGCAACCGTTTAATTTAGTACGTCACTGAATACATTTTAAACCATTTTCAAAACGTTTGAAATGTGTTTTCTAGAGTCTACAGACTATCAGCTTTTTTTTTTGCGTAGAAGTAAGGAATAAAAGCGTTAATACCCTCGCTGAACTGTAATTGCACATTCCTTCCCCAGAAATTTAAGTTTCTCTCACCCTTCCCCCCGAAGTGCTTTGGCTGGTGTCCAATTAACTGATTGTTTGGCTGAGCCGCAAGTAAAACTTTAAACGCCGTGAACGTTTCCCATACGGGATTTCTAGTTTGTTCACTATAAAAGGGAAGAAGTTAATGATGCTTGTCCAATGTAAAGGAACCTTTGATGTTAACTTGGTCCTGATTAGTATCTTTGTTGAAAACATGGATGTCAAACAAGCCTGTTTCTTGTGAGTTGTGATTCTTCTCAGTTAAATCATTTTCAATTAACCTGCGGCTAGAAGCGTATGAAAAAATACATGTAGCATAAATTTTAGTGACATTAACAACCACACATTTGGACAAAGGCCAAATTGTCGAATCTAGCGAAATTCGTCACGGATATCAATCTACTTAGACAGTTTCCAGTATAGCTGAACACATTTTGGCTTTCTTCGCTTGTCTGTCGTGAAAATTTGGTTAGCATATTCTATGAACGTTAAACTTTTCTCATTCTTTGATGACAGAGGGTGGAAAGACCTGTAAAACGTTAGGGTACCTGAAAACTGTCACAAACGTCCTTTTATCTCTCTATATCACCATTGTTTATCTATTCAAAGGTCTGGTTATAAGATATTTCGGTTGAGGGAAACAAGTGGAAAAACCAGTGGATTCGTTTAAATGAAATTAATGTGACATAAGGAGTCGAATGATAGGTTAATCAAATATTCATAACAATTTTGACCTAAGGCGCGCCCTGTATTTAGCTTTCAACAGGTGTTTGTCCACACTGCGCATGGGCAAAATGCTCTTACCCAAACCATTTCAAGCTACTCTCGTGAATGAGATGATCCGGTTAAATTTGTAACTGTTCAAACCCTGTTTGAGTCCAATTTGAGAAGCGACCCGTCGAAGCTTAAAGTCCGACTGGTCTGGAAGATAAATTCCATCCTTTGGGCATTGATAAGGGAAGGATTGTCGATAGAAGAAGAGTAGACCAGACGCTCTGGTTTATTAGACAGTATCAACACAGTTAATTATCCGAGCGTTACAGTCTTTTTCTCGAATGGCTGACTTGCTACATTGCTTAACGAGAAGGAAAAAAATTACCCAGGAGGAGAAAACAAACACCGAGTTGTCAAAATGTCTTACAACATGGGATTTGACATCTCTTGGGATTGGGGCCACTCTGGGTGCGGGAATCTATGTCGTTTCGGGACAAGTTGCCGCAAGTATTGCGGGACCGGCGGTGATAATATCATTTGCGTTGGCGGCTGTTACATCTATCCTCTCAGGACTGTGTTATGCTGAATTCGGCGCGCGTGTACCCAGAACTACTGGCTCGGCTTACGCCTATAGTTATATCACTGTCGGTGAAATATGGGCCTTCATAATCGGCTGGAATTTGATTCTCGAATACATGATCGGTACTGCCGCCGATGCACGAGCTTTAAGCGCTTGCTTCGATTATGTGATTGGAAATGTGATAAGGAATTTAACGCTGACCTATATTGGAGAGATAAATACCCCAGGTTTGGGAACCTATCCTGATATCGTATCTTTCATCGTCACTATCATTGTAACAATCGTATTAGCCATTGGTGTTAAGCAATCATCAACGTTCAGTACTATTTTCAACATTTTAAATATTTTGGTTGTCCTTTTTGTCGTAGTAGCTGGGATATTTTTCGTCGATACGAAAAACTGGACAGAAGGACAAGGTTTTTTCCCGTATGGAGCCTCGGGAGTGTTAAGTGGAGCAGCGACCTGTTTCTACGCTTATGTTGGCTTCGATATCATTGCCACGACGGGCGAAGAAGCCAAAAACGCACCTAAATCTATACCAGTTGCTATTGTTGTGTCCCTATTAGTTATATTTGTATGTTATTTTGGAGTCTCTGCTGTAATAACGTTGATGGTTCCTTTCGATCAGCTCGACAAACTTTCGCCAATTCCTAACGCATTCGTTCAAAGAGGATTTCCTCTGGCTAAATACATCATTGGTATAGGCGCTGTTTGTGGCCTATCCTCAAGTCTTTTAGGCTCTCAGTTTCCTTTGCCTAGGATCATTTATGCCATGGCGTCAGATGGATTGCTCTTTAAATCGTTGGCGAAGGTGAACCCACGAACTGAGGTTCCTGTGATTGCCACAGTATACCCAGGGCTTCTGACAGCTATAATTTCGTTGTTGTTTGATTTAAATGAGCTAGTTGAAATGATGTCCATTGGGACATTACTTGCATACACTCTAGTGTCCCTTTGTGTTTTAATCCTTCGTTATCAACCTGATGCTCCTGAGGTACCTTCGACATACCTATTGCACTTTGCCGCCGAACCAGAGCAAGATGCGTACGAAAAACTTTCTTCACCCGATTATATGACAGACGAATGGGACTACGAAATATCTACAAATAGAATGGTACCTACTCCAAATGCTGCGGACAGCTGTAGGGAGTATTTAAACAAAGGTTTATCTGCGGGAGAATTGACAAAATCTTACAGAGGAAATACGAAACAATTTGTACAAAATAAACCAAGGAGAGGACCAACGGCACAGAGCTTGCGCATCGTGCAGTGGGCAGTAACTCTAATGTTTTTCTCGTTCATTGGGTTCTGCGCAGCAATAGTTTATGGTTTGGATGCCTTACAAAGACGAAGCTACGTGATTGTAATGTTTCTTGTTATTTTCGGAATCCTGATTTTATTTGCTATTGTTGTGATTTGTTTACAACCTCAAAACGCCAAGAAGATCTCATTCAGGGCGCCTTTTGTGCCGGCTCTTCCAATGCTCGCCATCTTCTTCAACGTGTTTCTGATGCTGAAACTCTCCCGATTGACATGGATCCGCTTTGGAATTTGGATGGGCTTAGGTGGGTACTTTTTAAAAGTTATAATGAATAGTCATCGATCAAGCAATAATCCTTCGGCCATCTACTGTTCCGAATAAGTATATGTGCCGAAATGCGCCGGTAAGGGCGTGCCAACACGTACCAATAGCAGATAACCATCATGCCACATAAATAGGACTAAATAACGACACCACATATTTAAAATCTCTTGACTGAGAAAGACTAGCAAAGAGCACACTTAGCGTTGTGGTGCTCATTTTGATTGGACTTCCGTGGGTCTTTTCAGTAATAGATCACAGAGGATATCAATATGGGGTAAGAGCATCAAACACTCACGCGCGCGTGGCTGCGAAAAGACGCGCGGCAACATGGAATCCATTTTTTTAAGCAATCGTGAGTTAGGTAGCCAATCAGATTACAGCAACTGTGATAGAGCACTAGTATATTTATACTAGTATGGAAGCGTTTGTCAGATATGAACTTCTGATATGGTTCAGCCCACCAAAGATCTCTCTGAGGCTCCATGGTAGAGAACTGGACTACAAATTCCAAAGGGCTCAGCCGTTGGATTTCCTCAGTTACTTTTCTTTGTCTCATGCTCGTGACAGTGATTAGTACGTTTTTCTTCATTTGACGACCGAGAAGAGAATGAACTATCTTTCTCTTAGTACGTTTATCTTTTTTTTTCTGTAGTTAAAATCACGAAGTTCTCCCTTATCTCTTAAACAGGTGTGCTGTTATATTTTGGGTATAGCATCTGGAACAGTCGCGAGAGAAATAGAATGCTCCAAGGACAAGGATCATTTGACAGACAGGTTCTGTTAGCAGAAAACCTTGACAGCATGGACATTGAATATGAGATGGAAACAATTCCAGCTCATAGGGACGATGTGGAGGATTTTCCACCCAGTCCGTTTAAATGGGACAGCTTGTAACTATACGGTAATGGTAAATAACTTCCCGTCTCCTGAATGGAGATTGATGCTTCTCTTCATCTGAACAGAAAACTGAATGAGCCACGAGGAAGTGTTTTGTTGGAAAGGAAATTATTTGAGGTCAGATTGACGGCGATGTTGAGACATGTTTGCCCTTCCTGCTCATTCTCTCCGTCTTCAACAGAACTTGCGTGCTTCGTCCCATCACTTCATAATTATCGGACTGAGTTCTCCTTTGCCAGTCTGGGAAACACTCGCAGCATCTAATTTCACCTTGTGATTAAACCCTTTTGATACTCAATTAGTTGTTGTATCACTCCGGCTCAACGCATAGGCAAAATATCAATAAATATGATTATATAACGACCGCTCACGTAAACTGACGTAACCTGACAACGAGGCTTCGAGATGGAGTTATTGGGGACATTTATATAATTTGATTCAACAGTGTTAGCTAAGTGAATAAAGGGTTTCTGGCATGTGGCATTTTCTCGCTATTATGATGGTGTGAGTAACAGTGAACCCCCTTTGTTTAGAGCTCCGATTATAGCTGAAGGACTTTCCGTTACCTCAAGCTGTGTTAGTGCATCACTGTTATTTTACCTTGAGTCTCTCGTACCCTTCTTTTGGAGCTGGAGCTTTTCAATGAAACTTAAATAATTGGAAAACAAATCTAAAATGGTTTGGTGTAGCAGTATTTGCATAAAACTAGACTAGTCGTGTTGCAGTCACTTATGCCAATCAACGTCGCTTGAGGAATCTTGAAACGCCTTACTTTGAACCTGATAATGTTCTGGTATCCTCAAATACCTACAACGTCTAATTTCCTCGAAAGAAGCCGCCACAGACGGTTTCTTTTTCCCCGAAGCTTTCTCTCGTTCTTTTTGTTTTTGTATTTCCAACATGGCAGTCCTAAAGTCGCCATCAGAACGAATTTGAGATAGGGCATGAAACCATTTCGACTTTTTTAGAGGCTCCGTTATTTCTCGAAATTTGACTGGCTTGTGGAATGCTGAAAGTTGTGTTTTAAGGGTAAAGGCTGTTAAATTACCAGCAAAAATTTTATCGTCAGAGGCCTCGTGAACTTTTGACATGGACGATGCGCGAGTCCTGTAGGCGGGTCGTCTGTCTGCGCAAGGCGAAAGGGTCATTTGGTTATAGGAGCCTTGTTCTATCGAAGTTTCGTTCGGTTGGTTGATTTCAAAACCCATCGCGCTTTCTACTTCCTCAAAAGGGTCCCACAGTGGTTCCAATTCCTTTGAGCAAGTTTGTAAAGCCTCCTGAATGTCACCTGTGGATTTACGCATGAATGAAACTTCATCAGTTGACAGAAGATATCGAGTTTGCTTTTGATTAGATGGAAGTGGCACGTGATCACATATTTTAGCAAAGTTATTCCTGTCGTGGTTTTCTTGCTGTACGGTTTCTTTTTTAGGATAATTGTCGTTTTCTTTTTCTGATTTTTCAGCCAAAGGTACTGAAAGGCTTCGGCTCCTGTTGACCTTGTAAATGCCTTTGCAGCTTGAGGTCTGTTCTCCCAAAGTACCATGCTCGTTGATCCACGGATCAAAGGCCACAAGCCTGGCGCATGCCCTAGCTCTGTTCAGTTTAGGACTTCTGTAAATTTTGCTCTTGTCCAAACTGTTAGCATCATTTGAGACGATGGTTGAACCAGACGAGTTTCGTTCGGGTTGGAGAGGAGGGTTTCGAGAAGTCGACTGTAGTTTTGGTGATGATGGAGTCAGAGAATTACTAGAAGAGCCATCAGAGCTATGTAGTTTCGTTTCCTTCGGAAATAACTCCCCTTCTTGATCTTGGGCTTTTATGATATCTATTTGTGTTTCATTTTGTGATTCCTTTTCAGAGTTAACTGTACCACTTGGTGTATCGGTCTTCTTTAACTCTGAATTTCTGGGCATTAAGTTTGTATCGTTTTCCTCTTCCTCCATCGAAAAGACCACACCGCTGGATGTATTCGTTTCCTTTAATTGTGAGCAACTTGACCTTACATGCTCCTTTTTTCCCCCATTTTCCCCATCGTCAAAACTAACTTTAACTTTATTGGTTCTCTTTGAGCGTGGGCTTTTGGGCTCTGTGTGCATCTCTTTTTCCCTTTTCTCCCCAGTGTCAGTCTCAACGTTTGGTATATCGGCCCGCTTTAATTGTGAAGTTGACAATCTAGGGTCTTTCTTTAACTCTTTGTAACTTTTCTCCACAGAGTCAAACAAAACCTTAAGTGTATCGGCCTTCTTTAATTTTGGGCTTCTGGCCCCTGTGTGAATCTCTCTCTGGGATTTTTTATCTCCAGAGTCAACCATGGCGTTGAGTTTATTTGCCCTCCTCAGTTGTGGACTTCTGGGCGCTGTAAACGTCACTTTTTTGTTTTTCTGCCAACAATCAACCATAGCACCAACTTTATTAACCCTTTTTAATTGTGGACTTCTAGTTCCTTTGGGCACTTCTCTCTGTCTTTCTTCCTCATTGATGACCATAACGGCAGTACCCACCTCCATCGACTGTGGACTGTTAGAATGCGTGGAGACATTTGAGTTGTCGACGATCTTGACTTCGGCAGCACTATTTGGCTCTTTGCTTAAGCACGAGAGGCTTCGTACTCGCTGAAGAATAGGGCTTCCTTGTTGTTTTGCTGAAGGTAGCACTTCGTTCTCCTTTGCAACCATTTGCTCCTCAAGTGATTTAATTTTCAGTTTCTCTTTAGTCATAATATTTCTGCTTTCCACTGCCGAATCGAGCTCACCCGAAGTTATTTCTGCTCTCGTTGACGGTTGAATTACAGAGACGTTGACGAATTTGCTTTGATTAACATTAGAAGCATTTTTATTCCCTGGAGGTTTGGTAAAGCAAGCCACCGGGCTCATTGCCCGCAGAAATTGAGGACTGGAACTTAATTGTACTTTGTTAGGTGCTCTCATCATAACTGGAGTACCCACATGGCTAACGGTTTCCCCTATCATCTTAAGATTTTCCTTCACAACTGTAAGGATTGAGGGGGTGGAAACACAGAGGTACCTTTTGTCTTCGGTTTTCTGAGGGTTTACTTTAAGATGACCGATCGGAATAAACTCTTTTATCTCTCTTGTGACTGATATGGATGGTACTGACAAAGACTGTTTAAGACGCGGACTTTCAGTAGCTTCTCCATCGGGTGGACTACCCAGAGTTCTAAATGAAAAACAAAAAAAAAGTTTGCTCAGAACCTTCAGAGAATACTTTTTTTAAGCCTCGAAAAATACATCACCAAGAAGAAATTAACCTACTTTAATTTTGCTTGGGTTGAAGAAGTGTTAAAATGACTTTCTGTGTCGATCCTTTCAGGCCTCCCGTGTTGCAATGTGTTCTTCAATATTCTGGATGAGGTAGAAGTATCTTCCTGCTAAGATGTAGAGAAACTAATGTTTACTTATGTATTCACGCTGGAAACTCAAGATATTAGGGAAACTCAAGACGTTAACAAAATAGGACAAAGACTTCAAGCTATGTGAAGATGGTTTTCATATCTTAACGGTTTCCTGTTGCCCAAATACATTCACTGAGAAGACAGAGTTGCTCACTAGTGTACCGTGAGTAGCTCCTGTTCATCTCCAGCCCAAGTTTTTACGCCCACCATACGTCGACATTGATTAATGAAATGCCTGAATTTGCTATTTAACCGCTTTAAACTTTGTTGAATTCAAGGTTACTTCGCTCCTTTAACTTAGTTTGATTCTGCATATCAAAACACTGAGCCTTTAGATAAACGTGTGGAAATAACCGGCTTTTTTAACGAAAAATTGTGTGCCACTCATCGAGCTGGGTGGAAATTAACTTGAGTGTTCCATCTCCAGTCCCAGTCCATCTCCTGTCCAATATAAGCCTGTAGCTGGGTAATGTTAGGGTATTTTTGTTTCTGTCAAAAAGTAGTTAGTTTTACCATGCGGTCGAGGAATTAAACCCTTCGAGTGACTAGCATCTAATTTCTCCTTACAATATCACCCCTGATTCAAACATTACGGTCACGACATTAAAGGAAATGATCACCAACTTGATAAGCTCTTGATTGTTAAACAAATTCTCCTTGTCAGCGCCTTAAGACATGGATGTAAAACATTATGGAGGATATGCATTCTGATATTAGGGTATAAAGAGTTGATCAGGTGCTTTGTTTATGTCAAAGACTTGCACGATATTTCGCAAAATTGAGCCAAAAGTTCGTATTGTACTACAATGTGAACGTAATAACTTCCTAAATCCTTTTACCTCAGCAATTAAGAAATCGTGTTTCACCTATAATTAAGCTATTGTGGTTATTATGACAATTGTAATCTCTTTTCAATGTTATTGAAGAAAGATCACTTCTTTTCTTTAGCAGGCGCCAACCAGACTACTTGCTAATCCATCCATTAGCTAATGGCCTTACTAGCAATTAAGACAATTTTTAATACATTTATAGAGTGACCACTGAATTTCTTACTAGTGAGCACAACTGGGGCTGAAAGCGGCAATAGAACTCAGATTTCATAACGATTTGTGTGCATTGTGCGATTGTAAGTAAATACACTTTGACAAAATGAAGGAAACTAATTTGAACCCACACACTAAAATATCAAATTTATTAGATCGTGAGAATAGTTTGGGATCTACCGTTCTTTTTCAATTTACTTCTGGTTCATAACAACAGAAAAAACAACAAAAACCACTGCTATAATCAGCGTGACATGTTAGACAGTCTAGCGCTTAGTCAACGTCGCTCAAAGTGTCATTTATAGGTTGTGAACAGGCTATAAAGATGTCAGCTCTAAGTAAATGTCTAAGGAAAAGCCTTTGTCAAAGCGTGTCGATGAGATGTCTTTGAGTAAACTCATTAAATATGTCGGCATTTGTGAACGACAATTACAGAGGTGTTTTCCTAGGTTTACTGATTTTTGTAGCGGCGAGGAATGATAGTCTCGAAGTGGGAGAAAGGAAAAAGCTTCAAACTTTTTGTGGTTTTCTCTAATCTATTTTTTATCTAACCCTGCCTTTTTATATTCCGGCAAGCACTACTCTGCGGAAATAATGTGGCAAACACCCGAAAGAGCGATTAAACAACTTAAAAAGATTTGACGCATTATGACGCGTTGATAAAATAACTATACAGCTTGCGATTCACGCCTAATCATGAGATAAATAGAAACGTTGCATATCCTATATAAAAATGCTCCTACGGCAGTTTTCACCAGAAACCACGAAAATTTCATAAATTATTCAAGCTTATAAGACAGAAATGTTAGGGCTAATGAGTAGTTGTTTGTTTTGACTGCCCTGCACGATTATGAAATCACTTAGATAAAAACTTTCACTGGCCCCTTGTCCAAAAGGTAATTCTACTTGTTTTCTCTAATCAAAAGACTCGCTTAAACGTTAAAGACGCACCACGAAACAGGGGCTTAAAGGAAACAAACGTCAATGTTCTTCTATCACAGGATTTACTTGGTGTCTCTTGTTCGAATCGGCCCGGCAGTTTTAAAGTCTGCTTCTCTGTCTTAACTAGTTCAGCAAAAATAATCGATCTAATAAAAGTCATCAATGACAAACCTCCACGTTTGCTCCTTGCTGATTTGTATTCCTCTCATTTCTTCTGTTTCGAAGCTTTTCAAATATATTTTCTGGCTTTGAGAATTTCACAGCTTTGCCTTGGGCATCAATAGGTTTTAATCTCTCTTCATCATTGTCCGAAAACGTAGGTGTTTGTCTCGAACTTTTCTTATCCATAGCAGTTTAAAATTACAACGAAAAATTAACAAGAGTTACTCCTCGTGATTGAAAACAAAGAGCAAAAGTAATGCTTTTCTCGTTTCCGAGAAGAAGTCGTAAACAAAGGTTTTGGCTTATTACTCTTTTTGCCGTGGCTTATTTTAGGGCGGGTGTGATGGATGAGCGGTTATTAGGCCTGTTATTTGCTTGAAGCTCATTGGCTGTAAACAAGAAAACCTATTATTTGTGTGTTCAAGTTTTTTCAAAATATCATAAACCACTCATTAGCGTATTGAACGAAATAGAATATATTGTGGTGGATTGTTTCAGTTACTAATTACCTATTTCGCAGCTAATTGAAGTTACGCTAAGCTATTATTCAGCAAAATGAGTGCGAGAGCACCCAGGCAAATTTGTTTTCAGAGCTTCATACATCTTGCTTGTTCAAAGATAGCCTCGCCACTTTAACCTTTTTTAAAAAGAAGATCACAAGTTATCACCGGAGGTTTTTCAAAACAGTCTCACGATTTCAGTTTTTATTGAGTTTGTATCCAGCAAACCACCCTTCACCTGTAAATCATTTTAGACTAACGAAAGTCACTCCCAAGCTGTAACTGAAAGACGTTGTATTCAGTGAAATTTTCCCAAACAAAAGAGTATCACCCGGTCAAAGTTAGTACAAAGTTTCCAACGAGCAATGTGAAAAACTTTTAAAATACAACTGAACTTCACCCTTCATTGCACTTGAGCAATGATTATCAATTACTGAGCAAATCTATTGAATTCTGATTTGCCCAATATACGCTATTCAGTCGTGCTATTTACATAGGTTTATACTGAAGAAAAGACCTCGAAATTTTCTTTACAGCTTCAGCTTTGATAGCAAACATTAAACTTATGAGATGGTCAAATAGATAAAGATTTGAAAGAATTTGTAAAACAAGGATTCAAATGTTGAAAAATAACTACTATGTAAGGTTTAAGTATCGAAGGGTTGCATGCGCTTTTTTTAGAAAGGCATTCTTGTGAAATAAATCCACATATTTTTTCTCTTGCATAATTGAGGATATTTTATTATTCATTTTTCGTCTTTGCGACTTACGAAGTTGCATTATTTCTTACCCGCGGAAGGCCTGAATATGACTCACCGGGTACTTCGAGAGCGTACTTTTTCTTAAATGAAAATACTCTCAGGCCATGTTTGTGAGGTCTGCGATAGGAACCGAGATATTCTTTGGTTTCCAGAACTTTTACCACGAAGGTTTTTTTAAAAGATGGCTCTGCTTTATATTTACACTACTAAACGGACACTCAGCTGTCAATTTTTGTCAAATACCCACGATACACAGTCGCATTGTTCTTCATCTTCTTTAGAAGGCATCCTCAGGTATCTGCAGTTCTTCAGTTCTTCATATAATTGTTCCAAAGCAGCTTTCTTTTTCTCTGTAGCCAAACGATCAATCTCCCGTTGCTTCTGCAAAGCAGTCATGCCGTTCAAAAACATGTTCATATTGAAGACCTTGTGCAGAGCTTTCAACCAGTTGGCCTTACTGATTGGTGTGGTGACATTCTTCTCGTTACTTTCAGCATCCTTTTCGAGGACTTGTTTTGATTTGGATTTGACGCATTCTTTATCGTTTCCCCTTTTCTTCATAATTTTTTGTCCTGTGTCTTTTCTGAAACTCGGACCCGTTGCTGAAGATAAAGAAATAGGTCCTACAGAAAGTCTTTTCTTTTCCAAGGAAGAGTTCTTCACCAAATTCTTAGATTTTAGACCATGGCTAGACTGATCTACTAGCTTTCCAGAAACACCAGAACTTTCCTCGCCATCTCTGAGCGACTGCGTGGTATCTTGTGTTTGGCTGCTTGGTAACCTGATACTTGAATCGTCTTCCTTTAAGCTTTCTTGCCTTCTTAGAGTACGAGTTCGGCGCTGCTGTAACATACTTGCCGCATCTGAAGGAAGTAAGAGACTTTCCTTGCGGCCGACAGGAACGACCTGAGCCTCTTCAAATACCTCTTCTTCTTCTGTGTCAGATTTGAAATCCCGATCCTCGAAAACTGGAGGGAGACTTTCAAATGATCTCAGATAACTCGCTGAATTTGAATTTCTTAATGGAAAGTTTGGCACGGTAAGAGTCTTTCTAGGCAGTACATCTTCGACTACAGGGTAAGCCGTCCTAGTGAGTCGATTAAACTTGTTCACCAGAAAGTCTTGGGCTTTACGGTCGTCAGTCTGAATTTGCGAGATATCCGTAGTGTTGGTGACAGTTGAGGACCAAGGATTCGTTTCTTGGTTTCTCAGGGAAGACAAATTATCAGAGTAACTATTTTTTCTCTGAGTGAGTGGCTGCAACGTTTGCATTTCAGGTGGCGATTTCCCGCACCAAGTCTGCCGTCTCAGACGAGTTCCACTGGGTTTTTCCCCTGGTACGGTGATGTTCTGTGCATACTTTGCGTCACTATGGTGACGAATAAGTTCGTCCATTGACTTTGCCACTTCGGACTTGCTCTGACTTCGCAGAGGAATAGCTGAGGTCCACGGAGGTTTTTTATCGCCAGCAAATGGGTCGTTGTTCTTTGATATTGAATTTAAAGGTTTTGTTATCTTCAAAGGCTCTGCTGACTCAACACTATTCACCAAAGGTAACTTTGGTAGCCTAGATGGAAAGGAAAGGTGAAAATGATACGGAAGTTTTAACAGAATTACAAAAAATGTTAAGTCAGTTTTGGCTGGCGCCAAGTCCCAACTGCCAGAGCTTATCCCGTTTTAGCTACATCCCGTCTCCCACAAACTTCAATTACATGTATGACTTAAAAAAAACCAAACAGTTTTACCAAGATATGTGTAAAAATTATTTCTCTGACCTAGGGGAGGGTTGGGCGAATTCGTCAAGAGTTGATGGTGAAGTTCCTTTTGTGATTCCTGGCGACTCTACACTGTCAGTAGAACTCAAATGCCGTCGTTTGTCAGCCTTGAACTGCAACTTCACGAAGTCAAACTGACATGGTGTGCCCTGTAGAGTATAGTTTTGAATTCAAAGGGAATATTACAAATTTTAAATGCGTAGTTCAAAGATAATTTTTTCTGAAGTATAACACGAAATACATGGGTGGCATGGTTGCATCATGGGATTCCTGGTTATGTGTACGTGCTCGCCTACACAGCTGGACCACCAGCTATACTCTTAGTGATTTGTTATTGTTTGTTGTTCTTTATTCGTATCTGTGAAGTTTTGGATCCTTGGGTCTTGGATCCTCTTCCTCGCAAATACTCAGCCATAAATTCAGTTACCTCGATTGCTACTTTTATGCTTGGGAACTTTAAAAAGCTCCCAAGCATAACACTGATCAGCTTAAAGTAAACATGTTTGATACAATTTAAGACGAGAAAATTACAATTCTATGTGACGATGTGAGGAGATCTTTCCGTTTGAAGTGGTCTTGTTTTGTTAATCGAAACGCATGTAAACTTGATCGGGTAATTTTTTAATTTTTTGATAGAAATCTTCTCATCAGTTTCAATATCGCTTCGTGATTTAGCCTCACACCTGGGAACCATAGACTTTGGGTTTCCACTTTATTTGTCAACTTTTAATCTGTTGACGAAGACTCAAGTTAACTGGGAACTAATCAAGTCAAAAGTTATCCATCATATTTATGCTTTCCCGAGTTAGTTTTCTTGAGTGGGTCATAAAAGAAATATCAAACAAGTCTACAATTCACAAACCGCTGAAAGAGGAGTCGAACTTCCTGAGTTGTTTATTTGTCCTCCATTGACACTATTTCTTCTGCACGTCAAACTTCCCAAGCGTTTTTCTTGTTTGATTTTTAACAATCTCTTTTCTGAGCTTAGTCGTCTAAGCGCTCTTTTCTCCTCGAGGTCAATAGACCCAAGTCTTGTTCTCAAGTTCCTTTCCTCCATTTGATTTCGGGATACTGCAAAGAAGTCTTGCGACGAAGCTGCCTCAGGACCCTTATGTCCTTCGTATCCGGTATTATTCGTCTCATCTAATGGAATCATTTTTGCATTAAATTATCCAGTCACATGCAAAGTGGTTGAAATTAATCTGAACTGGACGAAGCTTTCTTCACTAATGACCTCGTTCATTGCTAATTAGCTTATATATCACCGATTCTGCTGAAGGCTTTTTGTTTGTTTGCTCATCATGTTTTGTGCATCCTTCGGTCGATATTCAAAGACCCAGGATATTACTCCTAAAAGGAAACAGCAAGACTGAATTTACATTTCAATCACAGCTGTGCTCTAAGCGAGAGAATTGAAATGAGATCTTGATGTTCTCAATGTGTGGAAAAACTTTCTTAAGAAAATAAGATTTCTCAAAATTTTGACTTTTAAGGAAAGATAGCAACTTTTTAACAAAGGTTTTCTGTGTCTTTCCACTTTGATAAAAAGGCTCATTGTTATTTCATTAATTTTCGCTGAAAAATGAATCGATGCGAGTATAATCATTTATATTTCGACTCCTCCCATTGACGTAACAGTTGTCCTATGAGATTTTGTAGTGACGACGCATTTCGCAATAATCGTTGCGAACTTACGATGATTTTATTTTATACCTTATTTAAGTTAATACTGTAAATCATCGCAAAATTACAAATATCAGTCAATTTTTAGTACAGATTGACAGACAGGTATAACAATATTTTACCTCGGTTTATTGGTTTTGAATAGGCAAATTTCTAAGGAAACAATTGTGATCTCAAGTGAATCAATTGAGTGTGAAACGTAGACAAAACAGAAGCTTAGTTCTTAGTTCATGTGAAAGGGTTTTGAACGTTAATATTCAATTTATCTTAATGGATCACAGGAATTGACGTTTGCACCTCATATATAATATAATGTTGTGCAACATTTTCTTTCACGTGGAATACCACGAAATATCCCACGATACGTGTGTATTCCATGATATACACATCAGCCTGGATGCACGAGTTAATAGAAAGAAAATACAAGTGACAAGAGAGATATGCTCTGATATACCACTCGAATATTATCCTCTACTTATCAAAAGGATTTCATGTTTCCGTGTCTGTTCAGTCGTGGATCGTTTATGACGTCAAAATGAAGTAAGTAAGAAATACTGGCACAGTAGGAGTCGATGAATATTGCCCTTCGCATATTTTCACGTCCAAGCTACGAACGCTCATCCTAAGAAATGGAATTTCCGGCGTTTGAGTGGATACGAATTAGCCGGAAATAAAATATTTCTGCGGCACGGGAGCAGTGGAGACTGGGGCAGTTTTAGTGCAGCATGGGTAGAATGGAGTGCTATAAAAGGGATGTTTATCACGTGGGAAAGCATTCTAGGCCGACACCTCGTCTTGCTCACGTTATTTTTTAGTATATATTTGATTTACTAGTGACAGTTCGAGTTTCGCAGCGGTTTCTTAGCTTGTTTGCGTTTCCTAAAATTATCTAGAGTTTTCCGTGCTTTGTTGGAATACATGTGTAGTAAATAAGGGCAAAGACCTTCCAACCGTGTAGCCTTCGTAGGATGGGCTTTTCAGAGCATGAGCCACGGATCCTACCCAGATTTCCTGAGTTTTTTTCCCTATTGGGGTTTTTTCCGGCAGGTTTTTTCTGGCCTCTGTTCTGACTGTATTCAGTGTAAACTGTCGCTCAGCTCTGTTCTAGTTTTTCCTCCACATGTTTGAATGTAATAAAGGTTGTTGTATAACGTAATGTTATATGCGCGGTACTCGGCCGAAAAAACCATAATAAACCTAATGGTTTTTCTAATTCATGTTGTACTGCGTTGTGGAGCCGAAATCGTTATTTTTGTCAATACCAACCGCTATATATATATATATATATATATATTTTTAAGGAGTAAACACGACTGGATGAGCGATGCAGCTGCAAAGCTAGTAATTTTCATACAGGATAACATGAGTTTAAATAAAACTTGGCACAACAGAGAGCATGTGTCTGATAGATTATTATGTATGGATCATTTCTTTTTATTGGTCCACCAGGATTACCACAGATTTCACTATAACGTTTGTAGCTCGACCGACTGACCTGAAGAATATACTGATTTCTCAAACTCTTACTATATCATATAATTACTAGTCTAATAAATTTACTGAAATGATAAACTGGGTTTTATGGTTATGTTTACGTGCAATTCGTTTCTGAAACCTGTCACGATTCCTCTCTTACAAACAGTTTCAAAACATGGCTGCCGGACTTTGTTCTTTTCTACTAAAGCTCCTTATACATTCTTCCACAGTTGGAATGATAAAGCTTGTTTAGTGGGAAGTCCAACTACAGGAAAAAAATTTCAACTAATAGAAGAGTATTGAATATGCCTTTCATTGAAGAATGAGACGTGATGAAGATATGTTCACTCATACTCTATAACATTTAGAGAAGATTTGTCTTGATCTTTCTTGGAAAAAGTTAGATATCAATGAATGGTTGCCATGACAACGTCAAGAGAATGTTAAAACAAATGATATTGACTATATTTAGTGTTACCAAAGAAATGTTTCGTATCATTACATTTGTAGATCTTTTTCAAATAAATCTTCAAATATTGAACGGAATTGACAATTTTGTAAAACCTAACGCCCTGCAAACCTCAATATAATCTCTGTATTTTGTGGAATCATAATTATTTTCAGCTATTTCACTCTAAAGTTTCGACATCCTTATCTTGATCATCTTTGCCGTCAATTCGTTCTAAGGGAACGTATCCCTCTTGTTCATGTTGTCTCTTCCCTTCCACGCTGTGTCGGAGGCCGTAGAAAATGTAAATGGACAGACCTGTAGAGTAAATAATGAGGGTATCAGTTCGACTCTTTGCATGTGATATCAAGTGAGTTTGGTTCCCTAGTTAGCTAAATAAAAGTATGTTTCGAGCGTTAGCCCTTCATTAGAGCCAATCCGCTCTTACGAAGGGCTAACGTTCGAAACGTCAGCTTTGAATCTCTTTACGGTGTCCAATTTACGTTCTAAACTCAGTTGATAACACCAAATTATCTTGTTATACTCTCCCACCGACGCAGCACGACAGTTTCTTTACAAACTTACCCCCTTTAAATAAAAGTATGTTTGCTATATATTTTTTTTTAATCCAAGAAATATTCTGGTCTCCTGGTGCCCAACAGTTCTCCTCTTCCCGCAGATTTGCAACGAATTGCACAACAGTTAAGTCCAGGATTTCTAGCTAGGTTTTGAAACAGCTTTGCTTTAGACAAAATTCCTGACTAAGAAACTTTGCTATATAAGGTTTACTCTTAAGCGAAGTGATTCCCTTTTTCCTTAGTAAGAGTTCCAGCGAGGGAGAAGACTTTTTACAGAAAACTAGTTGATAAGCCGGACCATGAAATAGATACGCAATTCTCAGGTATCCAGCAAACGACGGCTAGAGTCGGGAATTTCAAAAAGGCCCTAAAATAAATTTTGAATCAACGTAAGGAAGTAAAAAACGCAATTGTTCTCTCTGCTCTGTGATAGGTCCAGGAAACTTACGCCACTCGCTCAAATGATTGGGTGCAAAATTAAATAAACTAATCTTAAATCTCGCTCTTAGCATCGACTTTATGTATTTTCTTTGAGCTCTTGTTAACTTCTTGCGAGTTTAACTTTTGGCTGCACTCGCTGTTTCGATTTGGTTCTGGTATTAGGAAACTCAATGGGGAAGCACCATGGCTTCTAACCATTAATTTAGCATGGTAGAATCTCTCTATGCATGCATTGCATGCCTATCTTTTCATGACCGGCCGGAAAAAGGAAACACACACACCTATGGCCATCCAAACAGCGAATCTCATCCACGTGGCTGGATTAAGTTCCATCATCAAATAGATATTAATAAACATTGATGACAAAGGGAGGCCTGGGACGAGCGGAACTTTGAATGGTAATGGCGTTCTACTTTTCGGCTGCATAGACAACATTACGACTGCAGCTACAAAAGCTATGACCAACAACACGGCCAGAATAACGGCCCATAGTTCTCCTTCATACATTGGAATGAGCCCATTGATCAAGAACGCACTGAGACCGAAGAAGTAAAAGAAAAGGAACCATATGATACATCTTGAAATCCTCCCTGACCGTTCTGTTGGTTGTTGTTGAGGCTCCTTTAATTCAGAGCTCGACTCAGGCTCCTCAGAACTTTTGACAAAGCCTACAGTCCCAGGTTGATATCTGAGAATCAAAACCGATGTGGAGACGATGGTATATGCTTGGAGGGTACCTATAGACATCATCTCTACAAGGGCCTGCAGTTCAAAGATCATTCCTAGTATACCCGCGAGAATCCCGGAGAAAATAGTACCTACAAAAGGGACCTCGGTGTTTTTACTTACACACGCAAAGCATTTAAAAATTAATCCGTCGTTAGCCATGGCATACAGTAAGCGAGGTAAAGGGAAAAGCCCTCCATTTATAGCAGCTGTCATTCCGCAAAGAGCACCAGCCGCAATGATGTATTTTGCAAAATCTGCTCCTCGGTGTTCAAAAGCTTTAGGTAAGGCTGCGCCATAATCCAACTTGTTATAAGGCCAGATTAATGTCACCGCCGCAGAGACACCGAAGTATGCCAAGAAACAAACCGTTAGTGCCAACATAATTGAAAGTGGTATGGTCTTACTAGGGTTCTCGGCTTCTTCGCCAGCAGTCGCAATAACGTCGAATCCAACGAAAGCGAAAAAGGCTGTAGCCGAACCAGCCAATACTCCTGTGGGACCGTAAGGCATAAAATCTGACCAATACTCTGGTCTAGCTAAAGTTATACCCATGACGATTATAAAGAGGATCACGATTATGTTAACGCAAGTCACGACAGAAACGAACACGGTGGATTTCTTTACACCAAACAGCTGAATAATCATCAAGACAAAAATGATTCCTGCTGACAAAAAATCCGGGTATCCCCCAAGTCCATCGATCCGTATTGGTCCAATATTTTCTAAAACCCAAAGTTGAACTTTATCATGTATCATAGAATCGAAATACGCACTCCAAGCTCGACCGATAGCGGCAGCTCCGATCATATATTCCATCACAAGGTTCCAACCAATTATAAACGCTATAAGCTCGCCAACAGTTACATAACTGTAGATGTAAGCTGATCCAGCCTTTGGCACGCGAGCACCAAATTCAGCGTAACAAAGTCCTGACAAGACAGAGGCAATACCAGCGATAAGAAATGAAATCACTGTCGCCGGGCCGGCTACATCTCGAGCAATTTCACAGGCGATTACATACACACCAGCTCCCAAAGTACAGCCGATGCCGAGGGCGGTAAGATCAAGAAGTGAGAGACATCGAGAGAGTTTTGTCTCTCCTAATTTCTCAAGAGAAATAAACTTTCGTCGTGAAAACTGCCAAAGACATCCCATTGTTCGATCAGGAAAGACAAGTTCTCTGCACAGCCCTAATTTTTAAAGAAGCAATTGACATTTAAGGATTTCCTTATTAAAAAAGCATATCAAATTCGATGGATCTTGTAACCTGTACACGATTTTTCAGTGCTCACAACTCTGACGACCAACAAATGCCTTTGGGATTACAAATGCGCCAGGTAGACTCGTCCATTCTCAGTCTTTATATTCTCCCAACTCTTTAAGCGCTCCACCGGTTGTGAGAAAACAGCTTTTTAATATAACATCCCCCAGAAGGTGACTGCTGAACTTTTGTCTGTGAATGCCTGTCCTGTTCTGAAGATTTTGGGAGAAACTATATTTTGATAAACGAGCCACAATTGGTTGAATGGTGTGAGCAGGTTGTTACAGGTAGATAATACGGATTGTTGGTCTTTGAAGTTTAACATGGTAGTATGAATGTGGCACGTGTAAATAAAGCAATCTACCGCATGGGTAATGTCAAAATCAACGAGATCAATTTCTTGCTTTCGGAAGCAACATTGAAATGTGAAACAGAATATTGACATCTACGATTGCTTCCAATTCATGTGCCCGCAGCGGAGTCAATGATCAAGGATGCAAGTGTGGACAATTTGCGTACAAGTTTCGATTGATTTTACACATCATTCGTCGAGCATTTTTTTTTTTTTTTTTTTTTTTTTAATTTCAGGAGTGCGCATTTAGTGACAAAGGAAGTATGTAAGCTTACTAGAGCCTGCGAGCGTAGGAAGGTCATTATGGCAATATAAGCTTTGGACATTTTTTGTGAACAAAACTCATCAATAAGGAAAGTATGAAATCAAGGAGGCGAAATACAGTCACCATATCCGATTAACAAAAATCTACTTGTTTGTAAACAAAAACTTGATTGTATGTATTAGCCTACGGGATCGCACCGTTGGATGTTCATCAATCAAGTCCGCTTTCGAACTATTTGCTCTGAGGGAAGTCGCCCTCCAAAATGTTTTTTATGCTCCGCTAGGTTTTGAATGAATCACCTTTGGTTGTTAAGCGCTCTGATGAAGCGTTTGAGGAGTGAATCGACTATTGGCACGAACTGTCACATTCCACAGGTTGTATGAATGGAGTGAGCAAATTTACACCTGGTCCAATCAGTGTGATTACAAATTTTTACAGGTGATAACCTAAACAGTATGAGGACTGGGTATATCTTCATACTTAAAGTCATACTCAAACACAACCATTGAATTTATCCAGCTACAGCCGGAAACCTGTCTTAGACGGGTCCCATATGAAGCGGACACCTTGTATCGATAGTGTAGAAGTGGAATAATAGTGAAGAATCCTTTGACACCAGTTGACACGAGTTTGCCGTCGTCAGGTATCTTCACAGTCTTGAAGGCCGCAACGAAGTCCTCGGCAGATTATCATTTGCGTCTAGATTTGTCAGTAAGCGTTTGTAGTGCGGTAGATATATGGGTAATTTCAAAGTTGGTCCGTAAAAGACCCTCAAAACGAGACCACAGGTCGCATCAGAAAACAAGGTCTAAGTAGTTTCATTAGTATTTTGTTGTATGCACTGATATCTTCGCATTAAACAACTATGATTATACAATCTCTTGCTAAGGCTGAACTTAATTCCAAACAATTTTAAATATTTCTACAGTAACATCGTTCCAAGTACCCCCCCCATTAAACCCTTTAACTCACCTATTGTCATCCATACGGCGAACCTAATCCACGTCAAGTAGTTAAGCTTCAGAATCAGAAAAACGTTAATGAAGATCGAGAACAGTGGTATGGCCGGAACACATGGCACTTTAAATGGCAGGGGCGTCTTGTTCTGGGGCTGTCGTACAAGGAGCACGATGAAAGTGACCAAGAGGATCCCTAATAAGCATGCCATGAAGATGGCCCATGCTCGCCCATTCAAAATAGCATGGCCTCCCCAGATGAGAAGAATACTTATGAAGAAGTACATCACCACGTTGCAATAGATTCCAATGGCAGCGAGTCGTGCGGTTTGCAAAGTCGGACCATCAGTTTCTTGCGTCAATCGAGTGTCTTCCCTCGGGGCCTCATGGTCTGCAGTTTCTTCGTTAGTTAAGAAAATCTTTTCCCCTCCTTTGACGATTCCTACACTGCCGGGTTGATAACGAAGCAACAACACGCACAGGGCCACTATTGTGTACGCTAACAGGGTACCGATGGACATCATTTCAACCAAAGCTTCAAGGTCGAATATGAGGGCCAAGAACGCCGCAAGGGCCCCAGACAGGACGGTGGCAATAACTGGAATCTCCGTCTTTGGATGTACCTTGGCAAGAAATCTTTTAAAAATATAAGAATTACAATAATCCTTAGAAACCACAAAAACTACGCCTAAGTGAAAGACAATATTTCTGTCACGTACCATTACGGAAGAGAGAATTAATCAGCGGAAATGTTGCACTAAAAAAGACTCGGATCTCAAGAAATTCAGTATTTTTCTGTATTGCAGTGTACTAAAACGATGTGTAATCACTTATTACAAAATATGTATCTTTATGCCATAAAAATACACTTAAGTTAGCCTTTATAATAACGGAGACTCAAGGACGAGAAATGCGTCCAGCAGGCTTAAAATGAAGTTGCTTACTTGAAAATGAGGCCATCGCTTGCCATGGCGTACAGCATTCTGGGTAGAGGGAACAGGCCTCCAATCAAAGATGCGGTCAATCCACAGAGGGCTCCCACAGCTATGATGTATTTGGCCCATGGAGCTCCTCGCATCGCAAACACCTCTGGCAGAGCACCTCGTTCAGCTAACTGGTTATAGGGCACCATGAGAGTCAGCACGGCAGAGACCCCAAAATAGGCCACGAAACAAATTCCTTTGATGGCAAAAAGGATGCGTATAATTCAAATTAGTCCATAGTAACATGAACAGTTGTACCATATTGGCAAGAAATCTCAAAGATAAAAGTTTGGGTGGATAACAAATAACCTCCCAAGTGATATCTTCCATTATTCACATCATTTGACTGCTTGTTGTTGTATTAATATTAAGCTTGAGAAACCCTCTGCAGTGGCCAATTTACATTATCAGTTCAGTTTTTAAAACAAAATGATCTTAAACATAAGAACCGCCGACCAGATGCATGTGCTCGGCTTACCACTTAATATCTAGAACGTTTATATCACTAAAGCTACAGCTGTTCTGCAGAGAATGCGGTTGATCTTTCGAAACGTGAAACGTGACTCAGCGTTGTAACAATATTTCAATATTTGAAGAGTAATTTGTACTCGAGGGATTTCCGTCCTATAAATTTACGCAAGTGCAGAGGAGATGTTTGGAGGAGATTTTCATATAAACGGGAAATTAACCAAACGAAGCTAAAATAACCAATGATTGAAATTGTATGTAAATGAAGGATTCCATCTTGGTTATTTTAGGATAACAAGTAGCTACAGGTTCTGCCGGTGACCATCACAGCGGCTGATGAGAACAAAACTTTTAAGCAAAGAGTAATATAACGGCAAATTACAACCAACTCATTTTAGTGCTGGAAAAATCGTCGGCTATAATTCCAGCTGTCAAAGTCTACGATTAATCAAGAGGAAACTGAATTTGAAATTGTTAACTGCTCTTAACAAATAGCCATTATAATCAGTGAAGCGGTGTTTGAAGGAAATTAAATGCTGCGAAATGACCACTTTGATCTTTTTTGAACTAGCCGTCCGGCGAAGGGAGAAAATTTTGCGGTCACCGACATATTTTTTATTCGGTAGTATTTTTGTCTTAAATCGTGTCGGTAAATTTTGACAGATCAAACCATGCATCAATTGTCTTTGGCATGGGTGGAATTCATTCCATAAACAGAATTAACCGGATTATGACCTTACCTAAGGACAGAACTATAGATATAGGAATCGCTCTGCTTGGATTTCTTGCCTCTTCGCCAGTCGTAGCAATAACGTCAAACCCAACGAAAGCGTAAAAACATGTCGCCGCTCCCGTGAAAACTCCAGAAATTCCAAACGGTGTAAAATCATTTGTCCAATTCTCACCTCTGGCGAAGTATGTTCCAACACAAGTTATGAATAAAATCACCAAAAGATTTATGCCGGTAAATATGTTGTTGAATCTCGAAGAATTCTTAACTCCAATCCCAAGAACAAAAGTCACCAGCAACAAGAGCACGAGGGCAAAAAAATCTGGGTATCTTGAGAGTCCAGATGTATGAATTTCTCCAATGTGGGTCAATATATAATTACGGATTCTCCCGTCGAGAACAGAATCGAAATAGTCACTCCATGCTCTAGCTACAGAAGAAGCGCCGATAACGTATTCAAGAAATAAGTTCCAACCGATCACAAAAGCACAGAGTTCTCCGACCGTTACATAGCTGTAGATATAAGCGGAACCAGCTTTGGGAACACGAGCGCCGAATTCGGCGTAACACAGCCCCGATAGAATGGAAGCGACGGCAGCTATGAAGAAAGATACAACAATGCTCGGTCCGGCCATAGATCGAGCAACTTCTCCCGCTAACACATAGATCCCAGCTCCAAGGGTACTGCCAATCCCTAAAGAGGTCAGGTCGAATATCGATAAACAACGAGACAGTTCAGATTGCGACAAAGTCTCGGGATCCACGAGTTTCTTTTGAGTGAATCGTTTCAAAAGGTAAGCCATTTTTGGGTGTGCGATCCCTTGAACCATGAATTTGACTGGTTTTACATCAACATCGTTAGCCGAATCGTCGCTGTTTTAAGTGCAGATCGAAATGAACAGTTCGTGTCGGCGAACTCAAACAGATCGTTTCCAGATCGTTACAATTTACATCTAAATCTCTTCATTATGTGTTTGTTGTCTTTTGCCTTTGCCGCTTTCGTCGTAAAGCTTTTAAGATTTTTCAATTTTCCTTTTTTTTTCACGGTGAACCCAACATTATAGAAGAGGAAAAGTCTCCTTGACAAATCGACTTCAATTTATCTCTCTTGATACTTTTCTTTTCAATCACAGGAGAAATTTCCGCGCGTTCATTGGTCGAGAGCTAATGACCATGAAATGACGTCACACACACCACATAAGCGCGGGCTTCGGATATATACAGCAGATTTGGCCGATCGATTAGTGAGAGCGAATTTATCTCGTTTCGAGAGGGTTAAGTAAGCTGTCATTTTCAGTTACGGAAATCAGGCACGGACTTTAGCTAAAATGTTCTGTCGAGAGTAAATCTTAGAATATTCACATGAGGCTTATTTGCATTTGAATTGTTTTTCGGTTAGAATGGTGCACGTAAATGGAAATGATCTGTGTGCAACGCTTAAAGACTTCGCTTTGTGGTTTCACTTTAATTTTGCTCACTTTGATTTAATTTCCACGAGCGATAAGAATATAGACGATGGAAGATTTCGTAAAACTAACAATAGCTCGCGAGCAATCTGACCAATGCGCGCGTGAACGGTTCTACAATTATCAAGAAATTTATCCACGACTTCTCACATAATACTGACCTCAAGAAAAATGAAATCTTTCAAGTATACAGACGGCTATCTTCGTTCGAACACTATGATAGTATGAAAACTCCTTTGAGAACAAGGAGGTAAATTAATGACAAAAACAGCTGAATATCTCCTGAAAGAAACTATACTTTCCAGCTTGATCATGAATAAAAGTACCGGTGTTTCATTATTCTGTCCCGAGGGTTTGAAAAAAATTTGCGTTAGGTGTAAACATTGACAAATTCTAACTGTTAGTCGTACAGGAAGTTAACCGCAAAAATGTAAAGTAAAGAATTTAGCTGAAGGCCGTACAATGGCCAAACTTTTAACCGTTAGCTGTTAAAGCGAATGTCGGTCGTTTCGCCGACGGTCGTTTAGAAAACGTGTAGAAGTCAGTTCGCAAACGTTATAAGCAAGCTACGTCAACTACTATCAAAAATAACCGATTCATTTAAATTTAAATACCTTATTACATGCGGGGACGTGTGGGCCATCAGAGTGGCACCCGCCCTTATAAAGACGATTTCAAATCATTATATTAACTACTGTTAACTAAGTTAACCAATAATTTACGCAAAAGATTTCCTCTCCTGATCGCACTGCAGCCCTGTAGTCTTCCCTCGTGATGCCTGTCTGGCATCGCCGGTGTTGCCACCTGTCGCAGCCATCACATGAAAGCGCTTCCTGACGTGAAGTGACTTCTTCGGCGCAGAAGATACAATTAAAAACTTTCCATTTTGTATAACGCGGTGATTGATTGCTAGTTGTCGAGTGATCGTGAAGCCAAATTGAACGAAATGAACAGAACTCGCAGCCCTTTATATACTGATTGGTCGTTGGCGAAACGACCGCTTACCGTTAAAGCCATCACCCTATAGAGACCCTCTATTCCAAGCGAGAGTTTCAACACGTAACTTTTAACCAATTACAGTTCCAAATTCGTACAGCAGGAAATTCACGCTCATTTCATTAAGTCAGGAGGTCCAAGGTATCTCTTGAGCCACTTCCTTTTTCCATTACACATAAAAATTTTTGCAATCGCTGATAATAGTTTTTGCTAGCGGAAAGGTACCGGGGTCCAAATCTACATATTTGTTTATCTAGACAGGGAAGACGACAACAGATTTCTATACTTTTTTCGAAGAGATTCAGTCGCTGAGATTCAAGTGGTTATCAAAAGTTCTGGATACCTTCTAGACTCTGTATCTGTTCCGTTTGAGTCAAGGATTTTTAAATCAAAAGAACACCCCTCTGGCGCCAATAAGAGTAAGTGAAAGCAAAAGGCATATTAAGCAAAACACCCCGATTTAAACGCGATGCATGCTCCTTGTGTGAAAATTAAAATAGTTAGCCTTCATCTTTAGCTAAGCTATGCTGAAATTTTTACCTTCGGTGTCTGAAGGAAAGTTAGGTATAGCCCGTGTTGAACAGCAGCACGCGATGACAAACAACTGACAGACTTACACACTTAAACTTGTTCACCTGTGATGAGACGTGTTCAGATCTTAATCTATCGTCTGTCTTTATTTTTTGGTTGTTTTTTTGCTTGTTTTTAATTTGTATGTGTGTGTGTGTGCGTGTTTCACTTTACGGTTACTTTTTCTTAATAATAAATAATTGCTATGGTCCATATTAAATGAGGCAAAATGACCACTCAACCCCAAAGCGCTAATTATTTGAATTGAAGCCAACTAAAGTCGTTTCAGCAAGATTAAAAGTGGACCAAGCACGTAATTAAGTTTACATCCAGCTTCCACCCTGTTCGTTAAGCGATGGTTATGGAACCGAGTGAAGTTCAATTCGGCCAATAGACATAACAGTGATTGACAAAAAGCGGGTACAGAATAATCAGTGAGCTGATCAAGCTGTTCATCCACCAATCACATTGAACGAAATTGTAATGGTTATGATTAATGTTAAAATTATATGCTGTAATCATTTAATACTTACTTTTAAAAACCATAACATGCACACGGTAAACCTGTTTGGGGCCAAAAAATTGAATGCTTCCTGGAAGGGGAGGGGGGGGGGGAGTTACTTACAACGGTGTGCGAAAAATACATGATCTCAAGAACTCTTACAAGTACAACTTACCAATTGTAAGGATCATGGCGACTGGTACATCCTTAGAAGGGTTGTTCGACTCCTCCACTGCGGTTGCGATCACATCAAATCCCACAAACGCAAAGAAGGCAGGTGCTGCAGCTGTGAGGACGCCTGAAAAACCATAGGGCAAAAAATCATCCGTCCAGTTCTTTCTCTCGGCAAAGATGGCTCCAAATATGATAATAAATATTATCACAAGAATGTTTACCGTTGTTATAACATTAGTTGTCACTGAGGTAAATTTCACTTTGAAGCATAAAATCGCGGAAACAACTAATACCAGAAAAAACGCGAAAAAGTCGGGGTAGCTCACGATTACTCCGGAAACGCCGAGTTTTCCAATTCCCGTGATCGTAAAGTTCTTGATAGCGTCATTTAACAAAGAAGCATCCAAGTACGAACTCCAAGCACGAGCCATTGACGACACTGCAATTACATATTCAAGGAACAAGTTCCAACCGATTATAAAAGCGCATAGTTCGCCGATTGTTACGTAAGCGAACGTGTAAGCCGAACCAACGCGCGGAACACGCGCCGAAAACTCAGCGTAACAGAGTCCTGCCAATAAACTTGCCAATCCAGCAATGAAGAACGATATGACTATCCCTGGTCCTGCCACACCTCGCGCTAATGTTCCGCTTAATATGTATATTCCTGCTCCAAGAGTAGTAGCGACGCCGAGGGAGGTTAAATCAAACTTGCTCAAACAGCGAGATAGTTGTGTTGTGTGGATGGTACTGGGATCTACTGCTTTCTTCCTGCCCAATGTTGTCGACAAACGCTCCATAATGTTCAAATCAAGTCATGGATCATTCACGCATTTTGTGTTCTGCTGTTAAACTCTTGTTGTCTTCAGCCTTGTTCATTTTCGATTGATTGTTCGAAATGCACACCAGCCAGCTGCCACGGGTTTGAGAACCGAAATGGTCACATAATTTAAGGAGCTGTAACAGAAATAAATTCATAGTGGAGAAACCTAGCGCTCATGTTTGATATCTTTTCAGATGCTACGTAACCACTAGTGTAGGAAATTATTTCAACTTTTTTGCTGTTAAATTTGTTATGCAAATGTATAATCCTCAAGGCTTTTGTTTATTAACATAATAATTTTCGATTACGACTTCCCGCTAAGCAACATTCTTCATTCGTTTCACCTGGCGTAAAGCCAACAGATTTTTAATTTTCCTCTTTTTCTTGAAAATTTTTACTTTCAAATTTTGTTATAACTTTATACTTGGCTTTTTCCCCAACTAACAAGATTTTAAAAAACTTCCATTAATTTTTAATGATTAGAGTGATCTGAGCACAATCAACCATCTAAAAGGTTAAGAATTGTTTTAAATTTGCATTCGCTAGAACATGAAGTAATTTGAGGCGTAAGTCTTAGTCATATTGCTGATTGTGGAATGAAACTAACTTGAAATCCAAGTAATTTAGTGTTAACAACTGAGTTGAAAACGTAAATTAGCCACCGTAAAGGGTAAAAAAGCTGACGTTTCGAGCGTTAGCCCTTCGTCCATGGGCTAACGCTCGAAACGTCAGCTTTTTTTACCCTTTACGGTGATTAATTTACGTTTTCAACTCAGTTGTTAACACTAAATTACCTGCTATACTCTCCCACCGACGCAGCACCACAGTTTCTTTAGAAACTCACCTCTTTATTAACTTGAAATCCAACCATTTGATGCACGATTTGCTTTTTGCCGCGTTAACTTCGACTTTCTCTGTGGTCCTTTCACGCAATGTGATTAATTATTTATGTAGAGGGAGACATATGAAAAAGCAATCAAAATATTTCGTTGAAAGCACTGTATTCCCCCTCAGAGTTTTCCGATGTCAAGCCAGCCAGTTCAACGGTTCTTTTGCACTTCTTAACAGTCGCTTGACCAAAATAGCTGACTTTTTCCTCCTCCTGGTCTGAAATTCTTTCTAACATTTGTTATTTATGGGGCCGAGTTCAAGGGCTGCTTCTTACACGTGAGAGTAAATCAGCTCGCGAGTTTTTTGCTCAGCTCGCGCGTTTCTTTCCTCCTTTCTTCCTCACGCGCGTAAGTGTATCGTGTGGCCATTTCGTGTTTAGTCCCTACCACAGGAATTAAGGTGTTGGCAGGGGGGTGGGGGTGGGGCGGTAAATATAATACATTTTCAAATCATTCTTTATTCTGCTGATCAGTTTTTTTAATCATTCATTATTTCTTTTCATTTATTTTGTTTTTTGGAAGAAATAATAAAGCAGGGAAAATTTCAAAATACATGAGCCTTGTGGGATTGAAATAAAAACTTACTCAAAACAAAAGAATCTGTAAACATGGTAAGTGGATTGCTAATTAATGAACTAACTGTGTCATCTAGTACCAACATAGGAGGAAATCTGGGTATGTTATGAAAGAAACATCAGATAAAGGAAAGATTCCTAATTTGAAAGTAATCGACCAAATGGGAAAGGGTAGGGAAAGAAAGAAGAGAAATGGGAACGAGAAAAATTGTCAGAGGAGAGACTGGTATCAAGACTTTTTGATTGGCCGATTTTCTCCGTTCGAAAAAAGGCGGCCATTTTTACTGGGTGTTTATTTGGAATGAAAAGTGAAGTTTCCCTTTATTTTTTAATTGACAGAACCTTATATACACTTTTACCGAAATAGAGATACAAATTATGGATGAAGACTTTGTAATTCCCTTGTGTAAGGACGATTTATTGAGCAGTGAAGAAGGATCTTACGTTGTGGACGAAGTACTCTCAGTGCGTGTTCTTCCGAACAAACTTCGAGGTAGATTTTATTGTAGTTGACGAAACATTTGCCGCGTTTTTACGCTTTTCTGTTTACGTTGTCATGTTGACCAACTTTCAGAATGCTTGTCTGATCTTCGATCTGGTGTGCCCACTGCCATCGTCCAAAACTTTGACTGCTTGTTCAGTCTTTTGAGGTAAGATTACTTCTTCGTTACTGTTTATCTAAACCCTATGTCTGTCCCACCATTTTTCAACTTCCACATGCCCTTACCAATCGGCTTAATGCGTAGCAATGACAGCTGGAAGGGTAAGGTGTACTTGTGTTTTTAAAAAGAATTGTTTAACGTTACAACCACATGAACTTCAAATCAGACAATTTTTCCTTGCAGACATTTTAATGAAGTGGACAGTTCTCTTCGAGAGAGCACTTGGAATATATTGCTTGAAGGTATTCATTGTTACACAACAGTTTTAAAAATATGCACAGTAAGAAGAAAATGTATGACTGTATACAATGGAATTAAGACCTGATAAGAAAGTTCCAAGTAGATTTTACTATAGCGGGGAAAACGGGTATCATCCAGGCTGAAAACTAAAAATAACAGCAATCCTTGGATAGCTGACAAAATTTACTGCCTGTAGTACCAAAAAACACGTGAATTCTTGGAAATTCAACGTGCTGAAGGATTGCTCTACCAGTTTGAAAATTTATTTTCCCTTTGGTGCTTGAAATAAGGGAGGATACTGCTCATGAAGAACCAGAACCCTTACCCTTGGATTTGGGCTTTGATGCTCCACCATGGTGCTACCAGAAACTCTGTGATGAGCCTGACAGTACTGAAGGCCATTACATACCAAGTGTGGCTCAGCACAGAGTTCTCCACAGAACATTGGTGGAGCATCAAAGCACTAATTCAAAGTTATTTTATTTGTGGGGACTTAGATCTTTTATTTTTTTTGTCCCACAGCAATGAAAAACACATCTCTTTGTTGCATTTGCCCATACATACTTTAGGTTCAGCAGTCATTTTGACTGTTTACAATGATAATTCTTGTACACTGTAAGTTTACACCTTAAATGCATTAACATGAAATTTATTTTTATTTCATGGTGAGTTCTACTGATCATTGATTTGCCAGTCAACAGGACTGGTAAAAGTGTGAAAATATATTAGGCCTTTTCATGACATAGGGAATTTGATAAGGAAGAGTTGAACTTCTTTTAATGAAAAACAAATTTTGTGTGCCTTTCATTTAGTTCTCTGCCAGTTCACAAATGTACTTCCAGAAATTTTAGAAGATGGAGACATTGATTTTCAAGTTAGAAGGACACATCTCAATACTCTTAAGGTATTCAAATTACGTCAAGTACATTATTGTTATATTTAATGCATTTATAGTCTCATTTCATGGGCTGCAATCCTTTAACCCTGTAGACACTAGCACTAGTACGGATATTCTCTTCTGGGGCCGACATAGATACTTTGTTTAACAATCAAGAGCTTCTTTATTTGGTGATCATTTCCTTTTTTCTTGTGACCTTAATGTGTGATTCAGGGATGATGTTGTAGGGAGAAATTAGATGCTAGTCACTCGTAGGGGTCAGAGGGTTAAGACTAGGGCCACTGATCAACAGGCTCTGGAAGAAACCTTTCTTTCCTTACATCTATCCAGTGGATAAACAGACAAAACAGATAAATACAAGGAAATGAGTTTAATGCCATACTCAAACAAATGGTCTCATTTCAAGCAAATTAACCCTTTAACTCCCAGAAGTGGTTAAAATGTAACGCCTTCCTACAATATCCATACACTATCCAGCAAACAGGCAATAAGAATACTCAAACTTATCAGGTATAAGCTGTCACCTTGATCTAACATTAAATTTGTGTAACTTGTTTAAAAAGAAATGTGTACCAGCCAGAGGGGAGAATTAACAATCTGGGAGTGAAAGGGTTAAGAATCTTGAGGGTTTGCACGAGATTGTTAGCTCTGTTAAATTTGAAAAATCATCATCAACTAAAAGTTGTTGTTTGTGAATTATTTTATCATTGTCACTCAATTTTTATTACAGATGTTGTGCTACTTAATAGTGCAGTTGGCAGATGCATTTGAAGTAGAGGCCACCAAGCCTTCCACTGAGGTCATAGTCTCTGGAAAGGTATTTGTTTAAAAACTATGCATGATATTTTGTAGTCCCTGAGTTTTGATTGGTTTACATGAGATAATTATTATGGTTATTGGCTATCTTCCATCTCATATTAAATGTGATCTCATGGAATAATTATAGTATATTATATTTAGACAATGTGTTTTCCTGGTACAAAAAACATCTGCAACCATGCATTTTTTAGCAGTGTATTTTAGGTTAATTTTATCAGATTGAAAACCAAAAATGACTAAAAATATTAATGTTACTTAAGATACTGACAAAACTTAATTGGATGTTGGTTTCCTCTTACATTTGATAATCATGTTTACATTGCAACTTCATTTTATCTATCTTTTGGTTTTTCAAGCGGAAGGGAAAGGCCACCAATTCAAAGAAAAAGACATCATCTTCTTGGGAGTGGGAAGAACAGCGTGACGTTCTGATTCAAACCTTGGGACAACTGATGCAGCTTGATGTAAACAGACTGTGGGATCCACCCATTATAGAAGAAGAATTTGTCAAGTATGGGTGGAGAGTCTTGTTTAGATCAAGTTCAACTGCACTTGAAGCAGATTTGTTTCTGTTATTGACACATCATTGTTAAGAATATTTTGGTATATTATCTATCTGTTTTGCTTTTTTATCAGTTTAATCACTGGTTGTTGTTATAAATTCCTGGAGAATCCAACATCTGTTAAGAATGGAACAACAAAAGATCTGATCTTTAATCTCCTGGGAGTAATGGTGAAGAAGTACAACTATGGTTTAGGTGAGTCAAATTTTTATAATTCTGAATTGTGCATTTAATGCTACCACAATAATTTTTGGAATCACACTCTTTTGCAAGGTAATTATGGAATTAAAATGATTGTAACTCTATTTAAATAGGGTGAGTGAATTTGCTTGTAAACTTGCATAAACACTGATATATTAAATCGAACTGACAGAGAAGACACAGTCTTGTGATGGTTATTTATCAATTGAAGTATTTGTCCCAATATCATTTTCTCTTAGGCATCAGTCTGAAGATTGTTCAGCTTTTACAACACTTTGAGCATCTTGTCCAGCCACTGGCTCAGGCTGTACAAACATTTGTGGACGAGTTTTCTATTAAAGGTGTTGTCTCTGAGGTTATAAGGTGAGGTGGTACAAGCATGGCATTTCCCTGAGTTATGTTCAAAATGTTACACTTTACATGAATTAAGTAGAATGTGTGTAATTTTTTAATTTCTAATTTTTATACAAATTGCCCATGTTATACATTTCTGGTGTCAGATTCTTTTCTTTGATGTCAATCAAACTATCTATGTCACCAAGTTATTTCACACTTCAAGAGGATTTGATACACTGGGTTTATTACAAACAGCTTAGCTATGACAGAGTTGATTAAAAGTGGCATTTAACTACAGAATTACAAAATAAATGTCTTACATATGAAATGCCCATGATGTGTGACTTTTACAGTCATACCTAATTGGGAAATTGGCAACGAGTCTGTTGACTGTGGTAATCTGAATGAGTGAAAATACTGAGGTGGATGCCCTCGGCACTAGATGTGCTCCTAAGCCCTCCCTCTTCCCCTCCCCCCTTCTAGATTTAAGCTCTACTCTATACTCCCATATGAGAGCTCTTGCTCAAACTTTAGACTTCAAATTTACCAGCACTTCCCCTTCCCAGTGTAGTTTACTAAGTGAACCAACATTTTCTGTCCAATGACAGTGAATATATGAAAATCATATATATGTGAGCTGTGGTTTAAATAATGAATATGAAAGTGATCTCTATAGTAATGAACACCACTTAAGCAGTAATGAAAAGTGAAAATAAGGCCTGTATGTACAGGCCTGAATTGTTTTCAGGCCTTATTTTTACTATTGCTTAAGTAGTGTTCAATACTGTGAAGATCACTTTCATATTCATATCCTGTCCAGTTGACCCACCTTTGTGTAATGGATGATGCTGAGAAGAAACGACTGCCTTTAATCTTTTTAATATCTGGTAGAGTCTTCTGAGCTTAGGACCCTACAACTAGGAGTTTACAGTGTATGTATGTTCAATACATGTAATTGTTTTTGATTCTACAGAGAGATTGGTCGCATGGATCCAAGAGATCTGGCACGAGACACCAGTGGCACACGTGCTTATGCAGACTTCCTAGTAGAACTTGCTGGTCGGGTCCCAAGTCAGATCATCCCCAACATCAGTGTACTACTTTGTCACCTGGATGGAGAGGTAAATCTCATAATTTCAGAGTAACAGTTGTCTTGTTTTTTTTTACCCAAAATACAGTAAATGTAATTTTGACTAATTTATGATATTCATGTTATTGGTCAGTGAGAACCTGAAGAAATGTTTTAGTTTCCAAGCAAGTTTTCAGAGTTTTGATCAGGAGATGAGCATTCATGGAAGCATATGGAAAATTATTCTTTAGAAAATGGATCATTGAGTAAAGATAAAGTAAATGAACTTGCAAATGCTTACTATAAATTTTAATATGTCCTATATATTGATACAATAATATTTCATAACAGTCTTATTCAATGCGGAATGGTATCCTTGCCTTGATGGGTGAGATTGTCATCAAAGTCCTCTCCAAAGAAGATCTTGATGATGCTGCCAAGAAACTTAGAGATCAATTGTTAGACAAAATGGAGGTGAGCACTATGCCTGAAGAAACAAATGCACATAAGACTTATTATAAAAATTTAAAGAAAAACGTGCACACCTGCAGTCATGTTATATTCAAACCCTTAAAATATTTGCAATGATATCACAGTCAGATCAACTAGGGTACAAAATTAATAGACATGACAAGACTTTCAACCATCAGGGGCACAAAAAGTGGTTGTAATGAAGGGAATGGTATAAATTCTGTAATTTTTTCCTGGGTAACCCAAGAAAGAATAATGAAAAATATTGTATATTTAACAACAAGATTCCATGTTGCTGTACATCTGTTTAGGAATAGAGTGACAGAGAATGTCAAAATGTGGTTAGAAAAAAATAAGTGGTAAACAAGGTGCAGCTGAGTGTGTCAGTAACAACCACATTTTGACATCCTCTTTTACTGTACAGACCCATGGCAACAATATGAAATCCACTGTATATCATTAGTAAGAACCAATCAAAATTCCAGTATAACTCAGTTTATCATGCAATGATTTTTATGTTTTCAATTTTTTTGTCACTTTGAAAAGCAAATACCCAATAATATTGGAGATGTTTTTAGGGGTGATTACTATGTGTACATGTATACATTTTAACTTTTTTTTATTCTCATTAGGACCACATTCATGATGTCAATGCTTACGTAAGAAGTAAAGCCCTCCACATTTGGCTTGAGCTTTGTAAAGAAAAGGTAACTTTAGCCACTACACCATGAATACTGTGGACCTCTTTGTATTTAAGCCATAGGTACTGAGCATGATTAAATTATATGCACCAGTGGATTCAGTGGTAATTAGTTGAACATTTCTCCACTCTGGGGCGTACTTGCTGCTTGCAAACCATTAATTTCTCTACGTGTGAATGAAATAAACTTCTCTCTAAAGTGTCACTAACCCTGAAATTTATTTTTTGAAACAATTGAGAAATTTTCGTGTTTTACGGATCATCACAATGAGAAAATTGTCAATTCTACAAGCAAGCATTCTAAAGCTCAATTTTTTAATGTTCATGGCCACACATCTTGGGACCTGGGTCTGAAAGGATGTTGTGTCATCTTGGGAACCGTGCTACAAGGTGGCAATGAAAAACCTAAAAGAAACAGAAAGAAAGGTAGAAGGATAACAGATTGAGTCATGCAAGCTGCATATCTGGAACCTGTCAAATGAACTAATGACAGATGAACAAACTTATGGCTGATCAATCTGCCTCAGAAAATACATTCTCAGACACTTAAGTGTGTAAAGGCAATAGATCAAAAGGGAATCAACCCTTGACTTACAAACGCATTACAAACAGATGGAGACCTTCCAATACACAAATTTTTATTTGCATTATCCCCCTAGTGTAAAGAAAGAATTCGTAAATGGAGAAGTGCTACATTTCCTAAGAACAAATTTATCACGCTCCATGTTTAATAAAAACATACTGATTTTCAAAATGGCCTTTAAGAGTAGAGGATACTCAGACATAATTTTGCACAAATATATCTCTGCAGCTAATTTTTATTGGGAGAGAAAGAGCTCTCAAGAACAAAGAAAATAGTACACAGAAGAAAAGACTGCCTTTTTATACATAATGTCCTCAGAGAAAACAGAGATGGAGAAATTGCCCCTTATTCAGAACCAAATGCACTCTAAAGTGGTATTTAAGGAGCCACCCCAATTATGATATAAAAAACCAGAGTCATTAAAAGATAGCCTGGTCAGAGCTAAACTTTAAAAGCCAAAGATTTAAAATTGCTCACAAACGGCAGGAGTCATGCCAGCCTATAAACATATTTATAAGCAATCGACCTATTTTCTCATGCAATTATTTGCTTATGGATGGTTGTCCTCCAAATACAGGTTGGTATGAAGAGTGATCCATCTTCTAAGGAAGCTGTATCACCTCTGATACAGCCTCTGTTGACACCCTCCAGGCATAATTATATTATAGTTCTTTCCTAAGTTGTAGTTTGACTGCTTTTCACAAAAGGTTATGAATAATGTTGAATTGGTTCCCAGGATGATGTCATGAGGCAACCTGCCCCATTCTCCCTTTTTCTCCTGAACATGGAGGAGGCCAATTTTGGGATCTTTGAAAATTCATAAAAAAAAAAATATAATAACTAAAATAGATGTGACATTAATTTTTTTCGACTTTGATATCAGAAAGATAGGAAGATTTGTTTTGTCAAAAAAACCTTTTTGAGGTTAGTGGCACTTGTGACCAAAATAAATGAACCAACTTCCCATTGGAAATAAAATCCCATCCTATCAGACCCACTGAATAATGAACAAATGGCCATAACACACTAGATATTCCATGCAACTCTAAACTTACATTAACTGCCTGGTAACAGCTGAGTCAAATGTCTTTGCTCAGTTTTTATAGGAAAATGTAGCCAAGACCGAACAGACAAACAAAACACAAAGTCTACATGTATATGTGGCTTTGTTTGATATAAGATAATACACATATTGTCCTTTTTACAGGCAATTCCCCTTTCACGTCAGCCTCACCTTCTGGAACTAGTGATAAATCGTCTTCAAGATAAATCTAGTATTGTGCGCAAAAATGCTATTCAGCTTCTGAAAACATTTCTCATTTGCAATCCCTTTGGGGCACAGGTGAGTTAATGCAGAGGTTGTTTAATGTTGTGAGTAATACTTGGTAGTTAAAGCTATTATTTTCGAGGCAAGTCTGTTGTTTAGACTAGTAAACATTCAGAAACTGGTAGCCAAACATTAACTGCAGAGTGCTGCAAAAGAGAATTCCGTTTTATGATCAGGCAGGGTTGTCATTTTGCACTGACTAATGTATGAATTGTGATCAAAGAGAGAAAGGAAATTCCCTCTGACCCCCTCCCCCCCTTAGAGGGAGTAACAGCCTACTCAGCTCAGATCATGCGTGGTTTTTCGCGATACTCAAATGTCGGTGATCTAACTTTTTAACAATCTCAAAACAAGAGAAAATTATTTGTTATTTCATGCGTCGTTAATCCTATTTACATCAAACCTATTCGTGAAATCTAGGTCCAAAAAACAAAACACGGCGAGAACTATCGAAATACACAACACTCAGAGCCAAATAAAACTTCTGGTTACGTTCGGAAACACAACACAGAGCCAAATAAAACTACTGGTTACGTTCGGAAAACTTAATTCCTCTTAGGTAAGTGTCCACTGCTTTCCTGCAGTCTCTCCACTGGAAATCTCTTCCTTCGGGTGGAGCTGGATAGAACTTGCAGACTGCATCCATGATAACTTTAACTTTGTCAGGATTAAGTGGCTGTTTTCCTGCCACCCCTCGCACATTTCTGCCCCTTAGTTCCTCTGGTTGAAACAGCATGCGAGTGAGGTGGACGGCAAAGTTTTTAACAGAGGCTGCCTTTGTTCTTATTTCAAATAATTCTTCATGACTGAAGAAGTCATTTTGGTCCGTTGGAGTCAGTTCACCCTGCTGCTCGGCTGATGTGGACGGCGTTGTGTTTAGCTGGACTCCTGGCGTGTCTCCTGATAGTGTCAGGATTGGAACGACCTCCGGAATTGCAATGGGAGTAGCTGGCGCAGTTACTGGCAGAAGGTCGACAGGCGGCGGGGTTTCCGGCACGCGCGTTAACAAATCAATCAGCAGAACATCGAAGTTGTTCGCAAACTTAATACGGCTAGAATTTCATTTATTTGGTAGCACAAGCGCCGCGACTTGTGATGAATTTCGAGACATGCGATCGACCAAAAAAAAAAAAAAAAGACAGTTTGGGATACAGGTGAACGAGAATTTCGAAAGTATTCACAAATTACAGGTTGTAAAATGAAATCGCTTTTTATTTTTTTTTTTTATCGGGAACAGATCTTTGGATAACGCTTGTTATCGGGAATACACAGACGCCGTGGAGATGCTAAGGCGAATGTGACAAAAAAGTCGGCTTTGTTTGGGCCTCTTGTTATGCAAAATGGTTTTAAAGTGTGATCTACTAATGAGCTTCACTAAACGCGTTTGCGTTTGCGTGGACACGCAAACGCTAACGCGTTAAGTTCAAAACGCCGACGCGTTGGCTCTGCGTGGGGAACGCGTTGAGTGGTTCGCTTATCTTCGAGCGGTACTGTAGTGCATTCTCTAATGACAATTATGACAGGCTCTCATTAATAGTGCAGTAGTAATTGGCAAAGCTGAAGAAAAATAAGCAAGTGGTGCCCCATCTATTAAGACTCAGAGTCGCACACAAATAAGATCCTGTTAAGTACAAAGCTGAGCAGTTGAAACAAAAAGAAAGGTCCTCCCTAGGTTACAAAAGTACGGGAAGTTTCACAGAATGTGACTGGTGTCACAAACGTTTAAAAAAAAAATACAAACCCCTCTTTGATATTTTCATGTTTCTGTAGTTACCTTTGGACCATTTGCGACAGAACTTATCAAAAGAAACTGAAAAACTAAAGGAAATGGCTCCACAGTTATGTGAGGAACATGATGGCCAAGGTATGGTATTTTAAATGTTTTTCATTTAAATGGTTAGGTTTAAGGCTCCTCTGCAAAGACTCAAACAAAAGAACAGTTTGGGCTGGCTCAATAAATGTTACCACTTCCAAAAGTACTGCATGTAGTCAGAACAGCATGTTGGCCAACTTTATCAAAAGAGGAGTTTAAGTAACAAATAAAGGAGCTAAAATGTGCAGAGAGGTTAGTTGGCCCAAACCAGTTCAACCAAGTTGTTGAAAGATAAGTTAGCAACAAATAATTATAGGCCATGACATCAATATTGCATTCGCCCCAAGACCAAATGCAATTTCTCTAGTCTTTGAAAAATTTACATGTGCTTATTTCACCAAATTGCAAGAGAAATCGTTTCATTATTTGTTAATAATTTACATGAAAAACCATCACAGAGAGTCAAGACAGACAAAATTTGAAAGAATTCAGGCTATTTGCAATTTGCACTCGTGTCACAACTTTGCACACGTGTTGTACATGAAAATGCACTTAATTTTAGCCAATCAGAAGCACATAATTTTTCTTGTATATTATTAACTTAGTAAAATTCATTGGGAGAGAATGTAATTACTCTAAAGGTTCACTACAGCTCCACAAGAAATACATGCAAGTGTCTTAATTCCAAGAGCACAATATTGCAATGGGCATTTAATGCCACTTGTTACAGGATCCACTGAGCTGTGTAGAAATATTATTAGAGTGGCCTGATATTAATGGTGTGTGATTAAAAATACATTTTTTGTTGTTGTGAAGAACTAGGTCAATGGATAATGGAATTCAAGAGTATGATTAGCTAATCTGCACTAACAATTGAGCATTTTAGACTGTGGTCAAGGCAGTGCTATGTCAGATCCAGTGTTCCATAGACCACTCCTTTTGTCCTTGGGTGACTTGTACATGTTTGTCTCAACAGTCCACTCAATTCTTTACAAATGAAAAAAAGGGAGAAAGTTTCTTAAGAAACTGGTGCTGCGTTGGTGGGAGAGTATAACAAGGTAATTTAGTATTAGCAACAGAGTTGATGACACAAATTGGCCATTGTAAAGAGTTTCAAAGTTGACATTTTGAGCATTAGCTAATACTCGAAACATCAGCTTAGAAACTCTTCACAGTGGCCAGTTTATGTTATCAACTCAGTTGATAATACTAAAGTACCCACAATTCTTTACCCATTGGTTATCTTTCTCATCATCTCATGTCTTACACATGCATGATGGTGATTTCAATAATGATTATTTTTCAAAAGATTTTTCTTTGAACTGAGAGATTTAATTTGGTTTCATGTGCTGTTAGTGCCTGCCGTCCTTGAAGTTGAGGATGTCAAGAAAATCTGGGAGGCCATTAAACCTGAAGTGCAAGCCACTATTGAGGAGTATCTTGATCTGGAGGAGATTATTGATGAAGGGGATGGTGCAGTGGAGTTCCAAGGAGATCGGGAATCTGCTCTGGAATGGTAAGGACCTTAGACTTACTGTTTGTCATGTTGATTTATTTTTAGGGTCTTCACCCAGGGTTTTCAACAACATCTCTATGTTGTCTATGTACTTTACAGTGCACTAAAGCAGATTAGAGGTCATCTTCACAAAGGTCATCATAAGAAAGCCCTTGCAGTACTGAAGGCTGCTATGGTTACTTGGCCAGAGTACACAATGTTTTTCCGTGCTGAAAGGGATCCAGAGCTGCAGGAAGATGGAGAAAGGTACTGGTATGAGAATGATTGTGCTCCCTTGTAGCCTACAATGGCTCATTTCGAAACTGTAAAAATGTGTCACGTAAGCAAGTTACTCTCTTCATCTCAGGCCAGTTGAACAAGATAACGACAGCCATTAACTTCTTGACACAACAAGATTGATCTCTTGGCTCACAGTGTTGCCTTAACCTTTTGACTCCTAAGAGTGACTAACATCTTGTTTCTCCTTGAAATAACATCCCTGAATCAAGCACTAAGGACACAAGAATAGAGGAAAATAACTAATGATCACCAACTTTAGAAGATCTTGACTGTTTGACAAATTCTCCTTGGGTGCACCTTAGGGAATGTGTTGAGAACAGTATGGAGAATATGCATACTGATGTTAGGTGTTAAAGGGGTAATGGTGTCTCATGTAGATCAATCAATAGATAATCCACGGGCACCAATTTTTTTTTTTTTTTTTTTTTTTTTTTTGTAGCATTTTCTGAGATAAAATCATTAATTAAAACAGATCTACAAAATTTCATTTTAGTAACAAGAGTACAGATGAAAATCTTGTAAACAAGAGATCAGCTGAAGAGCAGCTGTCAATCATGCAGGCAGTATTTCTGGGTATGTTATATACCTCTGTTTTCAAGCTTACTCTGTTAAGGTCCTTTGGCGATAATAACAGGATGTTGAGGACCACGCCGATTAAAAAAAAGGATGTTTCTGTTTAATTTCCACACAACTGCCAATATTTGGGTGGATTCAGTTTTCTGAATCGGTGTCACAACCATCGTCAGGATATTGCGAACGAAAAATAAGTGGAGTTCTTCAAAAGACGACATTTTACGTTCATGCTTTTCAGAGGATAGCAGTGACAATACATTTTCCTCACTGTCTTATTTTGCAAAGGAAGAGGGGGAGGGGAGAAGTGAGAGGGGAAAGTTGGTTCGCGGGTGTTGTATGATCCACGGGGTCCAGGAGGGAACAAAGCGATAGCATCCTTGCCGCCCGCGAGGCTTTCCCTCTTAACACCTAACGATAAAGCTAGCTAGACTTAAACTCAAATTTACTCCTTGTCATCCTGGCCTTTGTGAGCTGATCACATTGTCCAGATGGGACTCCGAGGGACTATTCATGGCGAAGTCATGTCGTAACCTAATCCCATGAGATGATCATTATGTTCTTAAATCTTTCCTTTGTTTTGTGTTGTTTCTCAAGCCGGCGACAATGAAGAACCTACACCTCATGTTGAAGGCAAAGACATTGATCCTACAGAACTTCTCGACGTTTCTGCTGAGCATGAAAACCGTGATACGTCAGCGGAGGGGCCTAACAATGGATTGGTTAATGAAATCACCAAACAACAGATGGTGGTTCAGTTTCTGAAGGTAATTAGTCTGAATAATGACTACTGGCTTTGCGCAATTTTCAACCAAGCGTAAAAATTTATCCACGATTGAACTGATATGACTCAATTGCGCTTTGTGATCGAGCAGTAAAAGTCGCTTCAAGTGCACCCTTTCCACCAATAAGATACCTAACTGCAGCCAATTGCGACTTGATCACCAGCATTTTCCGCGCTTGAGGTTGCGCACTAAGTTTATATTTACTTCGCATGTTATGAGCGGATCCCAATTCTCTTAAGCAGTTGTGATTACTCTAGTTGATTTCACGACATTTCAAGAAAAAGAGCCCTTACTGAACGTTTAGCCAGGATATATGACGACTTTCTCACCGACTGCTGTCGTCTTTAGAGCAATCTTTTGCTTACAACAAATTTTTATTTGACTTTTTCTTCCTCTATTTACCACTCGAAGATTTTATTCGTTATTGAGTTGTTTCACATCCGTCAACCTTTTTTTGTGCTCTCAGGAAACGATCTGTACTGCAAAAAGACGTGAAATACATCAGGACTATTTTCTCAACTCAAAAAAATCGTCTGCCTCCAATTGACCTGTGAGGGGTGAAAATGTGCTCGTTATACAAATAGGGGTAATTTTTAAGATCAGCTGTTTTAATTGGTAGGATTACGTACATTTTCAAACCCAAATGGAGAGAGCCATCCCTACCTTGTGTCAACTTCTCGGCTCCAAAAGCATCACGGATGTTAATGAGTCTATCGAATTCTTTGTGGTCGCCTCTGAGTTTGGCTTGCAGTCTGCCATTATTGGCGTGCGAAGGATGCTGGTATTGATTTGGTCGCGTGATACAGCCGTTCGGGATGCTGTGGTGGAGGCGTACAAAGGCTTGTACTTGGACCCAGTGGCGCCAAATGCTAGGTATGTACTTTTTTTTGTTACATTTTGAACTACATTTATTCACAACTTATTGCCGTCTCGAATATTAGTTAGAGTGATCACTGTTTTTATCTCTACAATTTTAACCTTTCTTATAACAGGCTGTTGTGAGTACATGTACTTTGATTTTGGTCTTATGACACTCATTCAAAAAGGCTTCTACAGCGACGCGATGACTTAAGTTTGAGGAATGGTTATGAGGTGTAAATTATGACGGGATTTCCAGGAAGGAAATCAGAAATTTTATAGTTATGTGTGTAAGAAGTACCACGCCGTCTCCGAAAAATACTTCGTGATTGGCTGGTGGCATTTCTGTAACAAATCAGGTACTGAGAATTTAGATAACTTTTCGATTGAGCGTCCTTAAACGATAACCAAAGTTATTTACAATAGTCCTGCGGATTACTTTTGTTATCTATAATTTTTCCTAAGTGCGTATTCCCCTCGTAACTGTGAAGCATGGGGTACGTTTACCGATAACTTAATCCTTTTCAGCACTTGTAAGTGAAAATTTTTTGTGCATGATTTGTTATTCTTTCTTATTCCAGAACTAAAACATCATTGATTGTGAAAAACCTGATCACTCTTACTCAAGGTGCTTCAATGGGTGATCTGACTTCTCTTGAGGAGCTGGTAGGTTTAGTCACCATTACTTCTGTACAAGTTTGAGATGGCATCAACTCGATTTCCTGATTCATTTGCAAATTTGCAATGTTCGCTGAAAAATCATTGAGGTAGCTTTCAAATATTTCAAATCTCTTTCTCATAGATGAGTGAGTTGATGAAAGGAAAACTTATTCCTGTTGCCGTTATAAAATTACTGTGGGAGAAATTCACCATGAAGGTAAAAATGCAAAAGTTTGCATAAAACCTTTATTCAGTGTCTTGTGTTAGGGTGGTATGCGTTGTTTTCACACGTTGTATTTGTTAAACTAGTCAGAACCCTTCAATTACCATTTTTTGATCGCGAGGCACGAAGGTACTCTCAGCTTAAAGACATTTGTTGTTTTAGATCGCAGCTAAGACTCAAAGTAACAGTGTCACATGCTGATCTGAAATTGTTCTGACAAATCTTTTTATTTTGAAGTTTCGTGGAAGGCTAAAACTAGGACTTCAGAGGGGTTACAGAGGGTTATCCGGATAGCATAATCATTAAAATTTAGATTTGAATTACATCCGTGTAAAGATTATGATGTATATTGTTTTCCTTATGCAGAAGGGCTTTTGCTTCTGTACAATAAGCAATCCGGTGATCTCATTTTCAGGATCCACAGACCACTCAAGAGGAAAGCAGAATGGCGTTAGTTCTTTTGGGAATGTTGGCAGGGTAAGATCTTATTGGTTCTGCGTCATACACTCGATTGCTAAAATGTCGACACCTAGAGGCGTTTGCAATAAACTATGAGACCTTATGGCATTATGGGCAAGCTGCGCATGGCCTCCATTTGTTGCTTTTAGTGAATGAAGGAAGCTATCCAAGTTTTCCAAAATATTTTCCATGAATAACGAGAAAAAATGAATCACTAGTTATGTTTCCTTGCAAACATTTTCCATGAAGCCGTTGGGTCTCATCGTTCATGAATCATTCTTTTAGGGGTCAAAATTTTCGCAATCGAACGTACGCAAAAACAATTGTTATTTTCATGATAAGTACTTTTGGCACTAACAGAAGTGAAGGAAAATTTGTGATTGGTATAAAATTTCTGATCAATAGTTTTCTTCTGCTGTCTTTATGTTCACTTTTATGTTCTTAAATATCCTTGGTTGTGTTCTAGAGCTGAGATGGACATAGTTCGTACTAACATTGACGTGCTGGTCTCAACGGGCCTGGGACCAAGAGCTGAAGAGGACTTTCTCTTGGCACGTGACACCTGCGTGGCTTTATTAAAACTTGGCCAAACCCATAAGGTATGCGAGTTACTCTTACCAACTGAGTTGGATGCTGATGATGTTTGGAGCAGATGCTAATTTTGGTTTCACACTACTTTCTCAACTGCGAAACATCGTGTTTCCTTATTTTGTATTTTTCTTGTCGTCCTTGGGGGTTTTGTCTCTTTTTTTCTTTTGGGGGTGGGGAGGGAGAAATCTGGTGGATCTTCATCTCGATCTTTTGATATTTGCAAAATCATTTAATGGTAAGAAAAGGGTTTCTATGTACTTTTATTGATATTTTACTTATAATTCGTATACGCGGTTAAATTTTGTTTCTTTGTCTGTTTTTCAAATAGAAACCCGGCTGCAGTGCAGCAGAACCATTCCGACTTCCTCCCAAGCACACGATATTTGAACGGCTCACAGAAATACTAGTATCAGGTTTGTACGAAGGTAGATGACGGCTGATGGGGATACAGACATTTCCTTTGTAACTTCATTAAAAAAATAGAGGGGAACGGTAATTTTTTACCAACCAACTGGTAGTTTGGTTAATGATACATTTTTCTTCTACGATATTTTTAAATTAATATCATTGTTAATATTAATAATAATAATAACATTATTATTATTATTATTATTGCTATTATTATTATTATTATTATTGCTATTATTATTATTATTATTAATTGATCATTATTATTATTATTATTATTATTATTATTATTATTATTATTATTAGGCAGTTTGGTTGTTTTTACTTTGAGCCCCATTGGCTCTTAATGGTATTTTCCTTTTCCTCGGATTCGGCACTTAATCGAAAGGTAACTAACTTTTGTTCAAAGGTTGCGCACAACTCTTTTTTGCTCATGAGTTTATGTGAACATTTCTAGGTGTCCGTAAGCTTGATCAACTGGTTTGGACTCCGCTAATGGAAAAAGCAATAACTGTGATTTATGTCCTTGCTGAACATCCTGAAACAATCGCAGAGAATATTATCAAGAAAATAGCAGCTTGTTTACTGGATAAAACTACACAAGATAAGGAGGAACCTCGGAACAATCAAAACGGTAAATACGTTGTGTGATGTTTCAAGACTTGCGCTTGACAAACAATTACACAACTGCAAAATTGCCGAGCGATTTCAATAAAAGTCAGTCAGCAGCGGTCCGCCGCTGCCTCAAAGACCCCTCACCGCTGTCTGTTTAGCCTGCTCGCAGGCTCTCGTGTTTGGGTTTCACCTTACGGCCCAGTTGCCTATTACACCATCGGCAGCCGCTTATGGAAAAAGGTCAATGAAACCATCGATGACCCGTCATTAACTGTGTGAAATCTCAAGATACATGGAGCTTTGCTTAATAAAAACATTGGTCAACTATTGCTTTCCCTTCCACTGTTTTATTGGCGGTGCTGTTGGCTGAAATTTATACGTTAATCCCTTATTTCTCCGTGTAGCTTAAAGTTATCGTGAACTGGAATACGAGTAAATAGAAAATTTTCGATAAAAATACCTTAGTTACTCATTATCACTTATTAAAGCAAGTTTCAATCAGTGTCAAAAATAATCCTGGGTTCCCTTTGTTTTTGCTTTAGTTTTCTCTGCGATTGGTCCAGAAAACTCGCGCCACTTTCTTAGCCAACGTGATCCAACCTGACTCTTGTGCTGCCTTGTGAATGACCCGATACGTCAATTACAATTGAGAAAGAGGCTTCGAACCGCTTGGTTTCGTATTTATCCGTTTTAACGAGCAACTTTGTTGAGTTTGAAATGAAGTTTGTTTTATATGGTTTTTCAGATTCTGTAGAAAGCAACCCTGATACAGACAGAAACGCCGGAAATTCTCCAACCACGTGCCACGCTGGTATTTTGGCGCGATTCTTCAGCTTGTCTGGTCACGTGGCCTTGCGTCACATGGTTCATTTGGATGTGGGAGTCCTGGGGGAAATCAAACGACGACAGGTGATCGAAGAGAATGATAAGGAGAAAGAGAAACAGGCTAAGAAGACGAGAGGAGCTGGGAGCGAGTGCACTGCCAATTCCACAAAGGTAAGGTGCAAAGTGGGTTGGACAGATAGGAATGGTATGAGAACATCACTGGGAAGTCCCTAGCAGAACAGTTGTTAGAACTGTTATTAACAATTAAATTGCAACAATGTGACAGTTTTAGTTGCCCTTCAAGGTTAGGATGGCACTGACCCGTGAGTTAAACTTCTTAGGCAAATGCAGGACTTTTTGATTGGCAGAAATGTTTAACAAGCACTGGTTGAGCTGAATATATCTATTTACATATATGGACATATTTCATTTGAATCCTTTAAGGATCCAGGTGCGTCGGAGACGATCGAGGAGGAACTGGGGCTGACTGGGGCCACAGCCGATGACGTGGAGACGGAATATGTGAGAAAAATCTGTGAACACGAGATTGTTACTGGTATGACGTACAAATATTTGGACAAGTTGTGCGGTTTAATTTACATTGTTATACCAGTCAGTGTGATGATTTTGATCACCATCAGTATCTAAGCAACTGCGCACCCACTTTTCACAAACCCGGTATTGACAGTTATCAATAAAGGGGGTAAGTTTCTAAAGAAACTGTGGTGTTGCGTTGGTGGGAGAGTATAACAGGGTAATTTGGTCGTATCAACTGAGTTGATAATGTAAATTGGCCTCCGTTTTGAGTTTCAAAGCTGACGTTTCGAGCGTTGCCCGGGCCCTTCGTCAGAGCGATGACGAAGGACTAACGCTTGAAACGTTATCTTTAAAACTCAAAACGGAAGCCAATTTATTATTCTTCAGGTAACTGTTGGGTTAGGAGAGGAGAGGTGCGCAGTTGCTCATGTACTGACATTGATACAGATCGTTTGCTGTTTTGTTTATAATTTCCTTGCGTCGTTTTAGTAATGTTCTCAAAACGTGCTCGTGTTGTGTTCACAACAAAACAGGGGAAGAGGTTGTTTGCAACCGATTCAAATAATGCTCGTAATAAAATGGAGAGTTTGATTCGTTTTATTTTGTAGCGCTATGCTTTATAGAGAGAAAGAGAGAGTGATTAGAGGGCAGGGAAATATTTTTTATTAGCATAATTTGATTCGTAGTTCAGTTGATAACATCATTTATTTACACACACCAATTATTTTAACCAAGCTAAAACAGTTTCTTATATGTATAGGCAGCTGTAAACAAATTAGAGGTGCTAGCTTTCTAATCCACTAGGAACTTTTAAATATTACTGTAGTGCCCACAGCGGGCTTACTAAATGTTGTTCAATGAGCATATTTCCTTTCTAACTTTGGATTCTTTAGGTGGTACGCTACTGGCCACCTTGCGCCCACTGTTAGTGCATGTCTGCAGTAATCCTGTAAAGTTCAGTGATACAAACTTGCGAGCCGCTGCGTCATTAGCTCTTGCTAAGTTCATGTTGGTCAGGTAAGTTCATGGCTAAACTCTAATTAATCATATCCCGTAGTTCTACACCTCATTTGTTTCCCCCCATCCCCCCGAAAACAAACATCCATTTGTTCTTTCGTAAGTAAAACAAGGCGGTCATGTCGACTGATAGTTTTGCAATACAGTGTGCTATACTTCCTAATTTTCAGTTCTTTTAAGTCTTTCAAAAAGAGAGAAAATAAAAGCCAGTAAGTTTCATTTCTAAAAACTGTTTTACCAGTTCTTGATTTATCAGATATGAAATTGGAAAAAAAAACTGGTCGCCAAAGGAAAAGATGAAGAGTGAAACGACATGTTTGAATCGCTTCTTATTCATATAGATTTTTGCAAAACTGTCTCTGTGAGGATAAATATTCATCATAATTAACAGCACAGTAGGTCTGTCAGCTTGGATTCTCTGCACATTGCTGTGGAAGCGTATTTTGTCTTGCATTAGCCGTATGTTTGTGCCACGAGGTTTCATTTTTCCAAACTATCAACTAATTTTTTATGTTTTTACTTGTTTCAGCTCTGAGTTTTGCGAAGAGCATCTCCAACTTCTGTTCACGATTCTAGAAAAGGTAATTTTGCTTTGTTTAGTACGTCATGTACATACTCATATCTTGCAGTAAACAACTGACTAACAGCTTTGGTAAAACTGCTGAATCAAAGCAAAAAATTCATTTTTTTCTAAACCTGTTTAAGAACCTGTTTTCTTTTGTGTGCCTTTTAGGCTCCACAAGCCACTATCAGAGCAAACACTATAGTTGCCGTTGGTGACCTGACGTTTAGGTTTCCTAACCTGATTGAGCCATGGACACCTCATCTGTACGCCAGGTGACGAAACCCCTCATGTTACTAACCCTTTACAAACTAACATCACTATGCATGTTCTCCATGCCGTTCTATATAAGTTTCCTAGGGTGCGGACAAGGAGAATTTGTTTAATAATCAAGAGCCTCTTTAGCTTGCGATCATTTCCTTTATCTTCCTAACCTTGATGTGTGATTCAGTAAGGAAATTACATGCTAGTCACTCTCAGGGGTTAAAGGGTAAAAACTTCACCTGAATGGCATACATTTCCTAAAAAGTAATTTTAATAGTGTTTAGTAGTCACCCACTTTTCTTTCTGAAAAATGTCACTAACACTTTACGATTATCGAAGTACAAACTGCAAAATGTCAATGAAAAACTGTTGAAACGGTTAAGAAACCAACCATTATTCGGTTGCCTTTCCCGTGCCATTAAGGGGGAAAAATTCATTCGAGCCTTAAGAAGCCAACCGTGACAACTTTTTTTTCGGTACATTGTAGATTGCGCGATGAGTCTAGCCACGTGCGTAAGAACACGCTGATGGTGCTCACGCATCTAATTCTGAATGACATGGTCAAGGTCAAAGGTCAGATCAGTGAGATGGCCACGTGTTTAGAGGACAAAGACAGTAGAATATCCGATCTGGCCAAACTGTTCTTTTTGGAATTGTCCAAAAAGGTAAGATTCTTTCAATTTGAGGTTACTTCTATTTAACTTTAAGCTCTACTTACCCCAATATAAGCAATAGCGTTATACATACTAATCTGAACAATCGACTTTGAAAGCTTCAGAACTCAAGACTAGCCCGAGCAGCCATTTATCATTTCCTTTACTTAAAATCACTGAGTTGAGACATACCACACAAATATCATGAGGGAGATCGTGACCCGCTAATTTCACCACATCTCTCACTCATGATGTGACTTTAAGATGCACACGCTTCCATTTCACACTGATAAGCTAATAAGCAGCAAGTATTTCTCACAGTATAACCACAAGGTTTGTAAGGGTTCTGGAAAAGCTGGAAAGGCCTGGAGTTTTATCCTAACGTTTTCCAGGACTAGAAATACCTGGAAAAAGACTACAGGTCCTGGAAAGTCCTGGAAATCTGCGCAACTCAAGAAATACAGAGAAAGATGTTTTTCGTCTTGTCACGAGCGTGGGACAAAGTGAAAATTTCTGAGTTCCCGTGAGGAATCGAATCGGGGGGCTCAGAAATTTTTTCTTTGTCCCACGCTCGTGACAAGACGAAAAGCATCTTTCTCTATTTCTTTACCGCACTCAAAACTTCCCATCTCTCTTATTCTATTTTCAAGCAATGCAGCTTTCAGAATTTGTTAGAAATGTGTGTAGACCGTAAGGAGAACTGATTTTGAAATCTTGGGAATGAAAGAGTTTAAGGTGAAATTTGGAGTCCTGGAAAAATCGATCGAGATCCTGGAAAGGTCCTTTAAATTTTGTTTTTGAAAAAAGGTACGAAACCTGTAATCAGGCTAATGTTCACTTTAGGGCAACGCTATCTACAATATTCTACCAGACGTGATTAGTCGTTTATCAGACCCCGACTGTGGTACTGAAGAAGAACTCTTCAGAAACATCATGAGGTATGAATATTTACAGGATGAATTTGTATAATAATTTGCTTCGCTATTGTAATTGTAATTGCATATTGAAATATAAATCATAAGATAGATCAGACCATCTTCGCTCCTACCGGGGAACCTTGGGCGTCGAACGTGGATCGTCTCCGGAAAATGTTTTCGCGGTTCTTTTCACCCCTACCCAGGTGGTGATATTCTTGTCAAGCTCATCTTGGACAGTGCTTCTCTATACCCTATTCAAACTTTTTTTTCTTTTTTTACTATATCACAGGTACTTGTTGTCCTTTATCCAGAAAGATCGTCAATCTGAGAGCCTTGTGGAAAAACTGTGTCACAGATTCAGAGCAACTAAGTAAGTGCGCTGTTTGTATTGCACAGAAAATTTAACAACCATTTGAACCAAACACGTAAGTAGAGGTGTGAAAACAGAGGCAGCCCCATGAACAACTAGTAACCTTGGAAGTAAAACCAAGTTCACTTAGAAAAAGATCTTTAAATTCCTAAAAATAAACCGAAACGATCAGGGAAATGTTCTTTCACCAACCACTAAGAGAGAGAGTATGTTGCATGACGAGACCAAAAAGGTGATTGATAGGAAACCAAATCAGATGAACCGACAAAATCTAAACGTCCAATCATGATGTGTAATCAAACAGGGGTTACGTAGACTCGGAACCTCAGATACACCTTAGTTTATCGGATAGTTTTTAAGAACCTGTCTGTATTTTAACAACCACACTCGTAGCATTTTTCCCTGTAGTGCATCATTCATTTCTGAGCTGTTTGAAGACAAAAACTACACTATCCTCTTTTCTTGATGGCACCTTTCCCCTTGCATCTTCTTTTCAATCAGGACCGATCGTCAGTGGCGTGATCTCGCTTTCTGTCTGTCCATGCTTTCGTACAACGAACGAGGAATCCGCAAATTGCAGGAGAACTTCTCTTGCTTCCACGATAAACTGGCCGAGGAAGATGTGTACCACTCCTTCCTGAACATTGTCGGGAAAAGCAAGAAGTTTGCCAAACCAGAAGTGAAGGTAAGAAAAGCGTCAGTACAGAGCCTCACCCCAGCTCTACTCTAATTATCTCGCAAAAAATGAATCCAAGGGAATTTTGAACGCAAAGAAGATTATGTTGTGATATTGCATCGGTTTTGCTTTTCTTCACGTCGTGATTAGTCGGGAAAAGTCGCGGAATCCTCTCACCCAAATAGTTGTAAAATTTATGCCAGTGGGATTGCAGGTATGTAATTATGGTTTTCATTGGTTCTTTGTGGTATTTTGTTACCGCTGATTGGCCTTTTTTTGGTGTTTTGGCGAGTAATAGAAATACGCTCTTTTAGGAGGACCGTTTTTACGCCTGATGTTGATTTTCCACAACACGTCATCAATCTTTGCAGTCATAAAATGTGTGAATTACTAGACTCTCCACTCAAAGTAAAGCAGTGTACGGTGATAGGAAGAGAGAACTCATCTTTTCAATTCCTTGTCAACAGGCTTTAGTGGATGAATTGGAACAGCGCATTAACTTTTGTCACACAAAGGGAATGGAAGACGAGGAGGACTATGAACGAGCTTCCAAAGCCGTAGGAGCGGCAACGGGAAACAAACCTAAAAAGAGTGCAGCTACCCCTGCAGGTGAGCGTTTTTTGATTTGTTTTGTTTTGTTTTTTTTTTTTTTTTAAATAGCTCAACTTGCTGTTAGTTTGCTGTATGTGATACACCGGTGTGAGATTCTTTCTTTTTTTTGCAATCAAAACGATTGCAAAAGGTAAGTACACAAAGAATATCTACAAATCTTTTCGCGAATTCGGAAGTATTACGTAAACGAAGTTGTTATTTTTTAGCGAAGACAAGCCGAGGCCCTAAAGGTCGCACTCCAGGTACCAAAAAACGGCAACCAAAAACTGTCGACGACAGTGACGCTGAAGATCCGAGTCCCATGCCCTTCAAGACCCCTCGCAGTGTTGCCCGACCGCCGAAGGCTGGAAAAGAAAAATCTACCAATCAGAATCGGCGAAAAATGCCTTCGTTTGAAAGCGACGAGGACGATAGCATAGAGTTATTTGACGTCGGCGAAGAGGAGGAGGATTGCCAGAGAGGAATTGATTGGAATGACGAGGAAAATGTCAATCCAAATGTAACGAGTAAAAATAAAGCAAACGACGCCATATCGAAGAAGGGAAGAATCAACTCGCAAAGAAAATCAAACCGAAGGCGTGTTAGTAGCACGTGACAAGCTTACTTGTCAAACCGGCTGTAAATATGTATGGTTTATCTTATTATTCTTGAGTGATTTCAATAGCCCGAAATGTAAATTAAGGGACTGTTTTAACTTACTGTGTGAATCAGTTTTAGCAGCATCGAACTCGTAGCTTTATGGTATTGTTTTGGGGGAAAATCAACTCAGAATACAATGAATCTTTTATCGACAAGGGGCTCTGTGATAACTAAGAGAAATAAAGATATTTTAAAGTTATGAAAAGGAGCTTGTTCATCGTTTTTTAGAGAATATAGTTGTTGGTGTAAGTTTGATTTCGTGTTACTCATTTTTTAGTGAATTAAACTTAAAAGTTTCGTGAGACTTTTATTTTCCATTTTACGTTAAAGCCTGTACATAAACGTTTTTCTAATTTCTAGCATTAAAAGACTTAAGTGTATTATGTCTGTTATTTCTTATGTCATTATTTTGCTGAGGTCAGCTCATTTATGCTTTTTCACCTAAAGCAGAGGAAAAGTGTCATTAAGCCTGTTTAAGGCGCAGCGTAGAAGCTTGAGCATTGCCACGATCTGGTTGTAACTTTCGTTTGAAGTCCTCAATCAATGAGTTACATAGGCAGGTCCCATGGATCTTTATTCTGCGTCATCATCAGTACGAGTTTCCCATCTGACTATTATGGGCTCTGTTAACTCTAAATTGTCAGTTGTACGAATGATAAGGCAATACCAACATTTGCCCCCAGTACTTCTGCAATCCAGAGTAACTGCGACACTATGGGGCATGTGTCGTTTCGCTGTACCCTGATCAGTGATTGACAACTTGATGCCATGGCAACGGACAGAAGACTATTTGTGAAAGCTAACATGAAGAAGAAACCTATCACGAACAAATTGTTATAGACTAAGAAAGGAGAACGAGTGAAAATCACGGCACAGATGATAAAACCAAGGCGAAGAATTGACGCTGATAAATATAGGAACATCTTTACGTCGTTGTTGAGTTTTAGCTGTACATTGTAGCAGAGACGAGATAGAACTTCTCCAAAAAAATGACCAGCTCTGAAAAATGCGATCAAAACTGTAGCCAGATAGACTCTCCAGAAAGGTTCAGTGTTTGATTGTGGACTTTCGAAGGTCGCTTCATGAATAGACGGTGCTAAAGACAGTACAAAGTAAGTTGTAAATGAGAGCGTAAACTCCACAAGTAAATACCACTTTATTGTGTGGTACCGTCTTTTAGCTGTTTCTGGGACAGATCCTAACGTTATATTCTTAGGACTGTGAGCAATGCAGTCACGAGCCGCAAATAGTTCATATATCCCACTTTTACGTAGCTTTAAGAATGATACCAGTCCTGTTATGATTCCAAGGAACACGACACCAAACAACGCGTAAAGACAAAGTGTGGTTGAGTCAGTCAGCTTTGGTTCGGTGAAGTTTATTCCAAGGTAAAGACACAGTATTAGTTGAACCACTGCTGGTAATAAAGAACCAAGACCTGGAAAGGAAATCAAAGTTAAGAATATAGGCGATCCTTGCAGTTATGAACACTACTGAACTAGTAGTTGAAACAAGGCCTGAAAACAATTCAGGCCCGTACGAGATTTGAACCCATGACCTTTGCGATACCAGTGCAGCGCTCTACCAACTGAGCTAACAAGCCAACTGGGAGCTGGTCATTATGTTGGGTCTAAATAAACCTTCCAAGCGGTGAATAATGTCAATAAACATAAGAAAATCATATATGTGCGCTGCAGTTGAAAAAACAAATATGATTTCGACACTCAATTGAAAGTTGCTCTATTACCGAATCAAAGCTTTGATTACATCTATATTAAAATTCAGTGTAGACAAGCTCATAGGAAACTTAATTGTTGACATAGTGGTTTTAGTGGTTTGCTAATGCTGATGTAAATGTAGAGCAAAAATTCACTCCTCGCGAGTATGGTTGTCGGATTTGCCCAGTCTTTTTTCTATGTGTAATGAAATATTTGGCTGTCTCGAATTTTGAGCATGTTCTGCCGGCGCGGTTGAAAAGAAATTTAACAAACCTTACTCAAAAATCAGTCAGTTCGGCCAGCATCGGTGTTTTTGCTTCTCGCTTAAAACGAAGGAATTTTTTTAAGGACAGGAAGATCTTACAGACGATTCTGATGATCGGCAAGCACTCAAAATTCCACCTCCATAGTCTCTATACTGTCGCTCAAGTTATTCTCCCATCTCAAATTTGCCACCTACCTTCACCATAGCGAACCAGCAAGCTGCTTTTCCCGCCAGGAAACAACACAACCATACGATTGACTAATGATTGGCTGAGACCTGCACAGAGACCACTGATTGTTATTACACCATATATAACAAAGATTGACAGCGAAATCCCAGCTGCCGTAAGAGACGGGAGTACGGCCACAGAGGCAGCCATCAAAACTAGGCAGATGGGAACAGTCGGGAGAAATGGTACCCAGTGTTTCTTACCGCACAGTGTAAACAAAATGGAGGCTAGAAACGGAACGTGAAGACAAATTCCTGAAGAAATAAAAAGCAAAACAATTTACTCACTGTAGTGAAAAATTCCCAAGTCCTTACGTGGTTGATTACGTAAAAATGCGAAAAAGGAAATGGCTCACGCAACAAATAGTTGTATATTTCAGAGGTACTTGTCGTTTGTGGCTTTTTTTCCTAGTACTAAAAATAAAATTGACTTTATTAGCACCCAGGAATTGATTTTAGAATCGCCTCTCAAACATCTCAATGATGATTGTTTATTTTTGCAATTCTCTGTTTCTTTTTCCTGTTGATTTGCTTTCGTCTTCTCTGATGAGAAATCTAAAACAGATGAAACTGTTTGTAACTTCTTAGGTGTTATGTATGGTTATTTAATTCAAGGATCCATACTTATACCTCAATATAATTCGTGGTTTGTTTGTTTGAAAAAAATATTGTTTCTGCTTCGACAAAATGATAATATTCTTCCGTTTTTGAGTACATATTATTGTCACATTTCTAAAAGTTATGCTGAAGTTTAGCGTCAATTCTTTGTTTCCTTTTCTACTTTTTGTTTACTTTAAGCTGCCAATAAAAGGGAGTGAATGAAATTGATCTTTAAATGCTAATTTTGCTCACTAGAACCGAATTACCGACTAACAACTTATGACACATGTTAGTGAATTGCAAAAACGTCAGAACTGTCCTTCAACCTTGTCGCATAAACGTCACTGATATTTTGTCTCAGCTTGAGTTATATCACGGCGTACGTTTCAGAAAAAAGGGTTTGCTAAACAAAAGCCTCATAGCGTGAACAGTGTTAAAAAGCTTACGTTAAATTACTCAATGAGAAACCCTTAGACAGGAATTAAGAAAATCCCGTAAAGACGACATCTACATAATGATAATTTGATCACGATATTAGCGTGTTTGACGCCTATAGGGCTAGCAGATGTGATGTGTGAATTGCCTCGCACATCTCAAACTGTTGTTGCCACATAAACAAAGCATTTGTGGGTTATTTATAGAAATACAAAGACTTCAGCGAGGCCCATTTCAATCAATTTTCGTAACATCAAATCGTCTGAACTTGTACAGTTTATTTTAAAAGGTGAATGAGCCTAAAGACAATTTTTTTTAATTTGGAGAAAATTCAAACAGCGCGTGTTTGGTAAATTCCCACAAGCGGAATCAGGCAGATTTCCTGCTGTTTTCACGTATGTTTACCGGTGAAAAATTCAACAAATCAAATATGAAAGAACGAAGAACTACCCATGCATAATTAAACTTTTTTTTCTGATTTTTTGAACAACTTACCTATTTTTGACAAACCTTGCTTTCCGAGGAATGGAAGGAAAAACGCAATACTCATGTAAAACGCGTTCGCTGCTAACACGGTAGCTGCACCAATAGAGAGCAAGTAAAATTTTTGCGGTGTTGAAAAATGAACATAGGTTGGCAGCCTTTTGTAGGGTGTCAGCGAAATTCGCGAATTCTTGTCATTGAAGGACTCCCGCACCACTAAGTCATCAGAGCTTAAATTCAAATACGCGGGTTGATCGGAAATGTTTGTAGAACACTCGGAACTTTTGCTTCGGAAACTTCCGTCCGTGTTTGGTTGTTCCGGCGGTTTTGATAGCGTTTCTGCATCTTTTCCGTCATTTGAAATATATTTCATTTCAGCTCCATCAAACAAGATAAATCCAGCGTTTAGTTTTCCTGGTTGCCTTATTGCAGTAGCTTGGTTCGGAGGTTCCAGCAACATCACGTCATTGTTCTCTAATTTCTTGTCATGTCTCCCCAGCTCCTTGCTAGACTGGATACTCTCATCTATAGCGTTCGTTTCGTGATATCGTATGCTTTCATCCAGACTGTTCAGTGCTTCAAATTCCAAACTCGATAGCGTAGTAAAAGACAGGTTCTTGAACGGTTCGTTTGGGGACGAAATTTCGGTTCCATGTTGGTGAAAATCCATCGCTGAACAGGAAGGCGGACTTATGGACTCAAAAGACTCTAAAATGTGGTGTAACTTGCCACTGAACGAAGGACATTAAATGTCAAACGCTGCCGTGCTCTCAGTGGTCGTTGCCACCGAGGACAACTGTCGACTGTCGAAAGATTCACTTAAATATTGCAGCTAAAAAGTGAGACATGACTTAACATGACAATGTCATCTTTTGTGAGGAGGATGACTGACAGGATCAGAGATGTTAAATACAATTTGAATACACCGAAGATCTATTTGAGGACTAATCAACTCTTCAAAAGACGAGTAGTTGTTTTTCCCGGTCCGGTTATGATGAACCTGTGACTTTTTAATTAGAGTACAACTGCACTTCATAACACAGAGTTAGTCATGCATTTTGCCGCTCGAAAAAGCGAATATGTGCATTTCGTTTACACGCCATCAATGTAAATTCAACCACTCGCTTACTTAGCAATTAAAAGTTATTGTTTTCATTGAATTCCGCGGTTACAGAATATTTAATAGCTACAAACCGTGTAATACGAGCCAAATTAGATACATTAAGGCATTATCATTGATTCTTTGTGAAACCCATCCACTAAATGTACTTCGTAATTTTTCGTGTTAGCATTATCTCCTAAAGCCAACCAAAATCTCCTAAAACAAATGTTGTCATTTCACAGAATGACAACCTCATAACAAGGTGCCAACTTGTACTAATTAGTTGATGACGTAAGAGACAAAATTACTGCAACATCATTCTCGTTCCCAGAGTCTCTAAACCTTCTAGTTACCAGATCCACGAGAAGGGCTCTGGTGACGAATAGTCGCATTGATTCCCAACCAAAACGATACCCTCCTTGTTTTGCTGGAGCGAAGCCACGTAGAAAAGGAGATAAAAACTGAATCATTTACTTTTTCAGTCTAATGCCCCAATATCACCAGCACAACATTTAGACAATCCGGTTTTAACTGAATGAAAATCAGAAACAGAACTGAATTTCCATAGGTTTCAAGTCGTCTCTTACTTGAAGTAGAAAAACATTAGTTTATGGTTACTTCCCACCTTCACAAACTGAAAAAATAGTCTTTTCTTCTGGAAGACTAAATCGCTGACTCTAAACATTTTACCCAACGTTTCCAACAAAAAAAGTTTTAAACTCTCCAAAAGCACCCGAGTTATTTAGAAAAACGTAATTTCAAGTAAAAGTTAATAAATCAATAATATGATAATACATGTTGGTGCAACGAAGCATGTGATACATAGTTGTGTGACAGAGTTAAAATCAAACTCCAAAGCAGTGTCTAAAGGGGATGTCCCAGAGTTTCTTCAGCTCTCATCAGACTCTCTAGCTCTTTTGGGACACTCTATAATTGAGGTCAATATAAAGCATCATGAGCTTATACAACCTGACTTAAATGATCAGTTCAAGCAACTTTGCAGTGCTCAAACTCCTGTGACTAAAATGCTACTTGGAGATGATTTACCCAAGTCAGTGACGGAAATTGCTGAAACAAAGAAAGCGGGTGTCAAAGTTTCATCCAAGCAGTCAGGACATTACCACAAGCAGCAAAGGAGATCAAATTTCTCTTATTGCCAGCACCACCAGAATCAGAAGCCTTTTTAACGGAAAACTTACGGGCTGGGGAAGAGATCTTCTCTAGACCCCAAAAGGAAGGGGAGACGCGAACAACAACAATAACTGCTGCTAAACCTCAAGACCACCTAAATTTGCAGGTGAGTCTTAATAATGGTAATGATCATAGCAATGCATATAGCATATCATTTGTTGTTGGTATATTAAAACATTTTCAACCTGCATGACAAACTATAACCTCTGACTATTCCATACTTAGTCTTATAACATAGCTAATAAATTTGTCTAATCAAATTCAATTGCGCGAGCGTGCTTCGTATTCCTATTGTGCACGGACACGACGTCAGTAGACAAATCCCTCGAGATAAAAATTTTCCATCGGGTTGAAAATGTTACAAAACAATTGATTCATACGTCAGCTGTGCGCCTACGCCTCGAGCAACTCTAGCTTCTTGAGTGCTCTCCAAACTTCCCACGTGCTTCATATCTCGATGAACGCACGCTGACGTTTGAACCAATTGTTAGTCATAACATAGCTAGTAAATTTGTCTAATCAATTTTAATTCCTATTGTGACGCTCATGACGAAAAAAAAACACCAAAATATGGCATATCTATTCACTGAGATTTTAATCATCGGCTGTCACACAGAAATATAAAATAGGGTTTGTGAAAAATACCAGGTCAATGAAATTAAGGATTCAGGAGAAGTAAATGACATTAACTAGTATAATGACGTTATCACCTGAATTCAATCTGGAAAGAGAACTCTGCAACACTTCTGTTTTATCTGCAACACTTCTGTTCTCACACCTGTATTGAAACATAAAATTTAATTATTTTCAGGCTGGCTAAGGGGGAAATTAAAGGAATGGATAAATGTTGCATAAAAAGAAACCTCCTACAATAAAATAAAACAGAAGCACATTACCTATATCTGTATGCTTCTGAATACAGCTATAATAGATATTTTTTAAGCAGTTATCTACATATGTAAACCGGGTGCAATATACGGACATAAAAGCAAATTTATTCTCACCTTCCTCGTTGAGGGGTGCCTTGTGTATCAAACTGATATCAGTACCTCCAGAGTCACAAGCCGGGCTTTTGGGGCAACAGAATAATAAAATAATCAACGAGTTATGTCGGGCCAATTTATCGAGAGTCAATTAAGTATAGTTTCCTAAAATCGTATGGAAAGTTTAAAATGTGCTTCCCTTGTGCTACGAATACGGATTTAACGTTCTTAATTACTGGTAAAATTCCGAGGGTGTGACTCAATTAATTCAAAGGAAAATATCAAAGCAGGTTGCAGAAATGGTTCACAAATTGTAAACTGATAATGTGTTCACAAAACTACCCGAAATTATGATGCCGATAAGAATTTACCGTTCAAAATCACTAATGAAATTCCCAGATGGAACCTCAATGAATTCAACAGAAAATATTCGGGAAGGTCCGTGTGTCATTGATCCATTCAAGTTTCGTTTAAATCAAAAGTTGAAAATCGATGTCAATTTTTTATTTTTTTAATTTTTTATCAGAAAAATACGAAAGAGCGCGAAACCTTCACTTCCTTCGCAGACTCCAGGCAGGCCATTGGAGGGGGTGGTATCAGAAATTTACCCCCTCCCTCTCCTTCACCTTCATTCCAACCATGTTTTACAGTATGGCGTCTGAAATGTCGATATGGCTACATCACCCGCTCCAATATGCTCCAATACGAAGTCTAAGATATTTTTAACTTCTTAGTGTCCAAAGTCTGGCTGCTCGCTGTAATGGACAGAACTGAGGAAGACGCTCTAAAACGTCATGAAAGACCGCGGAGACAGTTAAACTCTTACTTCCTTCCCAAACCCCTTAAGCAAGGAGACGGACCTGGCCATGGGGAGGGCGCTGGGGGCAAAAAATACCATTCGAATGGACCCCTCCCCCCTCCCTCTTGGGTAGTTCTGTCAACGATTTTGAATGTTTTGGCCAAAAACAAAAATTGAAAATTGATTGCAATTTTCAATTTTGAATCTTTAGACTTCGTCGAAAACAGAAAAACTAAGCCATGCCACAGACTGCAGCATCGTCGGAAAAGCAAAATTGCCGCTCAGTTTCATTTTTCTCTTTATTGTTGACAGGATTAAAGTAAAAATATAAGTTATGTTTCAATACTCTATCAAAAGGAAAAAAAAGTCAAATATTTTCGAGTTGGCACTTTCGTGTTTTTTATGATAAAAAATAACGAAAATCAAAAATTGACATCCATTTTCAATTTTTGATTTTAAACGAAAATTGAATGGACAAATGCCACACGAACCTCTATCACTTCGTTCTTAGCGTAAAACAACAAATCTTCGACAAAGTGCTATTTACCTAAATGAATAATGTAAACCTTGCGATAGCTAACTGAAGAGAGAATGATAGAAACTTGTACACGCTATCATTTGAAAACTTTCAAGACAAAAATAATCCGTGAGATAACTTCTTTTCCCTTAACACCATGAGTGTATTAAACATTCCAAAAGATAGGAAAAGAAATAACTTGAATAATACGAACACTTTGAAATGTTATTTTAGCGATGAACCGGCGCGAGGGTTTTAAAGCGATGAATGCAAATGTCATTGTTTTACTGAAACGTGATTTGAATTATAAATTGAAGCTAGCTTCAAACGAAGATTAAAAAAAAAGGTTTGAATTTTTTGGGGCCTTAGCGAAGGAGAAAACCCAGATAAGACACAACTTACCTCCTCTTCTTTGTCGAATCCTTTGTGTTCCGCTTCTCTTTGTTGATGACCTCTTTTCAGTCTGTTTTCTGGAGCTCTTCGTATTTCCTTCTCACGTTGCTCTTTGCTAGAAACTCGCCTTTTTACTTATACCTTCTCTTTGTTCTCTTTCGCGTTCCTCCTGCCGTATTCCGCTTATTTCAGCGTCCTTTCTAACTTTCTTGCGCGTTTTTCTCGACTCGCTTTACGCCTTTTACTTCTTGTTTTCTTTGATCGCTCTGTATCTTTCTTTCCAGCCTATTTTCACTGAAAATCCTTTCTCCACCAACTTGAATTATAACAATTTCCTCCGGTTGACAAAGCTTTAGCTCTGTCGGCATAGTTGCTCTGCGAGTTAATTAAAAATTGCAGAATACTGAGAATTACTGTTCAACTACAACGTCACCAGTTTGATTTCCCGCTCAAAACGCGTGTTGCAATTTATTTGCTTACGCCGCTTCATATCTACTAGCCTACGTGAAGCCCTCGTGTAATGCCTAACTGTGTGCCCGCTGTACGCTGTACGCTGCACTAAAGCTCGGCACTGGAGTATGCGTACTTCATGGTCATCTGCTGGTGTCCCCTGGCCCACACTAACTGGGTATCCTACTTACGCACGTAATCGCGCCTGCGCATAATCTTCTACTTGGCCCTTCCATTACGTAATGGCTAAGGTAGTATCCGCAATGCAGTTGGCCGCGCATACTAAAAGTAGCACCTTGTATGGTCGGTCTTACGGTCGTAAGTCCAAATTTTTTCGGCTTGATGGATTATTACTATTTCGTATAATTATAGGGCTATTTTGCCCGCGCTGCGAGCTCCGCTATTAACATTCGCCTCAAATCGTAATTTTGAAAGCTGTTAGTCGATTCTTTGTCTTACTTCTTGGCGGTTTTTCCATTTTTGCCGTGGGGTTTTTCTTCGCCTTAAGCAACTTTACTCATTATTGTGTCGTCCTCCTCAACACTCTAAGTAGCGATCGAAATGAAAAAACGAGTCTACCGTGGGTACCTTTCCCGGGAAATGTTGACGAACCTTTGTGGGCTAAAATCTCGCATTTGATTTTGGGAGGACTACATCCACTTCGAGTGGATTTATAGGGTATTCAGATTTGACTGACTTTTGTCAAATTTCGTCGAAAGATTCCAGGAATAATGACAAAAGAAAGTGTGTCGGGAAATTTTGATATTTAAAATATTTGTCCTGTGGAGTCCATTTACGCAACACACCTCGCATATTTTTAGCTACAGGGTAATTTAGTGTCATCAACTGAGTTGATAACGTAAATTGGCCACCGTACAGGGTTTAAAGGATGACGTTTCGAGCGTTAACCCTTCGTCAGAGCGATTGGAGGAATTTTGGATTGTGTGTGTGTTGAAGAAAATGGAGTTTCGCTATTGGTAGGATTATGGTGAGGAGAAAAAGAGGAATAAATTAGTTAAATGAAAAGCGCTCGTTGATACCGTGGGGATTGAGAGTGCCGATTTGGAAGATAAATTTTTGTTCTAAAGTCTTGCGGCTTTCCGAACTGCCTAGATGTAAGGAAAGGCAGCAAACTGCCATATGCTGCTTAGAGTGATTAGGGAGATAAAAGTGTCTAGCGGCTGGTTTGGATGCGTCCTTGTCATTTTTTTCTATGTCGCAAAGGTGTTCCCGGAAACGGTCAAGTAGTCGTCTTCCTGTTTCACCAATGTATAACTTTTTTTCTTGACGCGTGATGGATGCGAAGATGAATACAACAAGTAAGTATGTGAATCTGTAGGTTTGTAGTAAACACTAGTGCATAAACCGTTGCCTTAAATTGAAATTTTTGATGTCTAGAAAAGCCGAAGAAGAGTCGGAAATTTCCCAAGTATATCTAACAGCCGGGTGAAAGAAATCGATGGCGGTAATAAATTGGGTGAGCTCATCTCTGGTAAAGGGGGTGGCGCCGATGAAGTCGTCAATTTAGCGGCCCATAGAGTTCAGCTTCGGAGCCGTGGTATTGACTAAAAAAAATTGGTGTTCGATAAAACCTACGAAAACATTGGCGTAGCTGGGTCCCATTTTGGTACCCATGGCCACGCCATTTGTCAGTTTGTAGTCGTTGCCATCGAATGAAAAGCAATTGGGTGTAAGTACTAGTTCGGCGAGACGGAGAAGTGTTTCGGAGCTAGCTTCCTTAACAGTGCGTTGATTGAAAAAAATCATTGTTTGAGAATTACATCTCTTTATACAGCCATTAGGAATGAAAGTATGAAGAGATATAATGTCCATGGCGAAAGTAAGTTTGTTTTGGCCAAGGAAATTAAAGTTACGAAAAATTTCAAGTGCATGTTGGCTGTCCTTAATGTAAGATGGTAAAGTTCTGACGTAGGTGCCATAATTTTGAATAGTGCAATTTCTAGACAACCAATCAGAATATCGAAAAAAGCCTGACACACTTTTGTTGATTGATGCCCTGTGAATAAGACTGTACAGCCATTAAGTGGCTTGAGCGACGGCATCCGATACCAGAAGAATTCTCGGTCGTTTCACGCCTTACCGACTCCTGACACTTCTTAAAACAAAAACTTGTATAAATTATATTTTTATCTAAGTCAAATAAATGTAGATTGATTGAAAAAAACTATAGGATTTATCTGTGAATCTATTCAACGAAATCCATTATACCTCAAACGACCACGAAGAACAACCTAAGCTGTCTTCGCAAAAACGAAACTGAAGATGAAATTAAACAAGTCGCGAGGAGATATTCAGGTTAACACTTTATAATCCCCCATTGTTCTAAATTTGGTGAACCACCCTTTTCTCTTGTCATGAGGACACAAATCTCTGAAGAACTTCAGTCCAGTTACTTGAATGAAGCCAACGAGAATCTGAGACTCCTCATCCAAAAGGAAGCCTGCAATGAGGGATAAAGCAGTAAGTAAATATATTTCGGAATGCATGCACGCATCTTTTGCAGCTATTGCTCAGTTGCAAAAGGGAGAAGGATTGCAGTTGGCTTGCATTTCGGTAGTGCTGTATGCCAGATATCCTACGGAAGCCGAAAGGGACAATCCATAAATATTTTGCAAATCCGAAAAAATATGAAGAATCGATATCTTTAAGACAAATTGCTTTTGAAAAGTTTGTCAAGTCGAGAAAACAATTTCAAATCCTGGTTCAATTCATAGATCCATAAATAACTTTCATGAAAATCCAAAATAGTTTACAATCCAAGAATCTTTCCCAAATCCAGAAAACTTTCGCAAATCGATAAAAATATTCTGTCTCGTGACACTTGCGCCAATAGTCGGCACTCTGTCACAATGCAGCACGTTGTCTCGCACTAGGTTGCACTAGGTCGACTTGGAGTCACTACGCCAACGGACTAAACTGTATCAAGTGTATTGCGATGTTCTGCCACAAATGTGAAAAAGAATTTGTGAACAATGAGCTATCTGCCGTCGATGTGGAACATTAAAGAGACCCAAACAGAAAAATGATTCAGAAGCAAGATCAAGCTCTCGTAAAATCCGCATGACCATGTCCCGAGGAACAGCAATGTAGTAGCTTGTTCTTTAGCTTGTTCCACATCGCATAATTGTCAGATTTTTCTTACACGTTCAACGCGGACCCATATGAACTGTCACGTTTATTTAAACTTCTGTCATGCGATGTTTTGTTTGTGCAGTGGTGACCTTTGATCTGAGCGACTAACATTTGAAACTAATTAATGTATATTCACATGGTCTGTGTAGTTTTCGACATTGAAAAGGAATGTTCGTCGCGATTGACACTAGCTTAGGTTGGAAATAGGCACGAATTTCGATTAAACGACTCGAAGTCTTTTAAAACGATATCCAGGAAGTGATGAAGGGCCTCCGATTTCACGATTAATTACCTCCCGAACTTCGTACTCTGAATGGACTTCATTTCTCCTTCTCAACCCATACTCACGCAATCTTCTCTTTAGAGTCCTCAAGTTCCTACAAATACCATAGTATTTTTCTAAAAACTTAACAATAGTACCATAACGAAATCCTCTTTCAAAGTGATGTTCAATGGCAGATCTCTCCTCTGACGAACTGTGCAACACATTTTTCTGTTCGGGTCTCTTTAATCAGGTTCCACATCGACGGCAGAATAGCTCATTGCTCACACATTCTTTTCCGCTTCGATATCTCTTAGCTAGCTATTTCTTAGGAAAATTGACCGTAAAATAAAAGAGTTTCTTGACGTCATTCGACTGAAAAACTTCGCAGAAAACAGTCCCGTTTTACGACTTCGTAGCGTGTCAACTCCATGCTTTTACGATCAGAGTGAATCATTCTATGTGACAGGGTCATACTCGGTGTTCAGAAGCTTTTTTCCGCACGGCGCCAAGCAATGTTTAAACCTAATCAGATGCATATAAGCTTCTTGTCTAACATATTATGCACTTGGAAGTAAACTAAGGGGAGCTTTCATCTGAATTCTTTAAAGCTTTTTAAGGCAGGTTGACAAGAATGGACTTACCATTCGACCTTCCATCAAGGACCAAACACACGTGGCATCCATCGCTATCATCTTTCGATTTAATGTTGGTAAGGTTGTTCTGTTCTGCAAAGTTGATCATCGCTTCTAGGGCTTCAAACTTAGACTCACAACTGCTTGGTTCCTTCGACTTCTCGACTGCAAATCCGACCCTTGGTTCCGACGGATGGAGGAGAAAGTTGAGCGGCAAAGGAGGACATGAGCTATCGGACTCACCAGTTGGACTTCTCCGATACTCTCGAATGGCTTCGACCTCTTCCAAGTAATATGTTCGGAAGGGATATCCGCGAACGTTCATTGGATAGTCATTAGGATTTTTGCTCGCTTTCCATTGCCTCGTGACGTAGTCAGACGAGGGCCAGCCGGGAATTCTTTGCTTGTTTCCTTCAAAAATAGCGAGATAATCTTCTACGTCTACACATATATGTGCATGGAACTTGTCCTTTGTTGTCAACCACGACCCAAAGTGGATTGACAAAATAGCCGACTTTTGAAGCTTATATCCAGAGACTATCGACAATGCTGATTTGACTACCTTCGGCCTGGCCTTTTGATCCAACTCAAAGTATGTGCTTATAAACTCATTGCGGGGTAAAATGATAAAATGAGCTCTGGGACTGTAGTAATCGAACACTACCTTGAACGTATCGCATTTTTCGTTTGCAGGAATCAAATCAAACTCCTCGGCCATCTTCAGTCAGTTAAGTTGATCTTCTCACAGATGCTTCTTTTCTTTAGATACAGACACCTTTTGACAGCAATTGCGTCAAAGAAATCAGAAAGACTACATAAAACACTCGATGATTTTTTAGTATCGAAATTTCTGAGGCAGTCTTAAGATTCTCGTTCCGCGTCATGGCCAAGTTTGATCCTACGAAATCAACCAATCAGGGAATTCTTTTTCCCCAGTAGTCAAGGAAACCTTAGGACGTCATAATCCCTAAGTGGGCTGACCTTTTCCCCGAAAAGTCCTTTCTAGGAATTATCGAGTTGATGTTAAGTCTCCTCTTTAGCTGCACAGGAAACGTATTGTATTACAAGCTTTGGATGCAAATCGTAATCAATTTCTCAGAAACGTCCTGACCCGAAACTAATATTGCTTGTGAGCTTATGCAGACTGAACGGAAAAAATAAATTTAAACGATTTAAATTAGTTTTCCTACAATCCTAATGAAAAACAATTGAGTGTAAGTACTAGTTCGGCTAGACGGAGTAGTGTTTCAGAGCAAGGTTTCTTATCAGTGCATTGATCGAAAAAATGTTTGAGGGCCCGGAGACCTTCGTCATTGGGAATGACAGCATTAAGAGATGTAATATTTATAGTGAAAACAAATTTGTTTTGGCCAAGGAAATTAAAGTCACGAAAAATTTCAAGTGCGTATTGGATTTCCTTAATGTAAGATGGTAAAGTTTTGACGATGGGTACCATAATTTTGTATAGTCTGATATCTAGACAGCCATTCAGATTATCGAAAAAGCCTGACACACCGCTATCTTTGTTGATTGATGCCCTGTGATTAAGACTATGCAGCCATTTAATGACTTGAGCGGCGGCATCCGATACCGATAAATTCAATAGATGAACCCTCGGTCGTTTCACCCCTTACCGGCTCCTGACACTTCTTAAAAAGAAAACTTGTTTAAACTCTATTTTTATCTAAATTTGCATTTATTAAGCTTTCTTCTAGTGTATAGTTTGCTAGGGTTTTAGCGAAATTAGCACGAGTAGGAGTTTTATCCCGAAGGACACCAGCGAAGGTGGAAAGTAACCTCAAAAAGCTTCAATGAAGAAAACAAAACCCTCGGTTAGCAAAACAGCTTTAAAACATGTTTAAACTTTAGTATGAATTGGGAATAGTTTTCTCGGTTTCTGGTTAATATTGTAATTTTGAATCTTTCGAGTACAAGAAACCAGGAAAATGTTGTTTAAATGGCACTAATAATGAAAATTCATTGACTTCAATTCATTGCGCAATTATCAATGTAAAATTTTCAATTGCACTCTACAATGTTAGAAATTTCAACTATACCCAGATATTAGAGCTAAAAATTAAAAAAGAAATTGACTTAGAAATATAGAAACCAAAAAGACATACATTTAAATTTAAAAGCTTTTGCGAATACTGAACTAAGTCAACTAAATGCAGATTTATTGAAAAAACTATAGGATTTATCTGTGAATATATTCAACGAAATTCATTATACCTCGAACGACCATGAAGAACAACCTAAGCTGTCTTCGCAAAAAGAAACGAAAGATGAAAGTAAACAGGTCGCGAGGAGATATTCAGGTAGATACTCTATAATCGCCCTTCGCACTAAAGTTGGCGAACCACTGATCCTTCTTGTCATCAGGACACAAATCTCTGTAGAACTTCAGTCCAGATACTTGAATGAAGCCAACGAGAATCTGAGACTCCTCGTCAAAAAGGAAGCCTGGAATGAGGGATAAGCAGCAAGTAAATATATATCGGAATGTATGACTGCATGCATCCTTTGCAGCTATTGCTCCGTTACAAAAGGGAGAAGGATAGCAGTTGGCTTGCATTTCGATAGTGCTGTATACCAGATATCTCTTAGTTAACTATTTCTTAATAAAACTGACCGTAAAATAAAGGAGTTTCTTGTCGTCATTCGACTGAACATTTTTGCCAACATCCGACCCGTTTTACGAATTTGTAGCTTGTCAACTTTATGAAGCTTTTATGAGCAGAGTGAACCTATTCAACTAAATCTTTAATACTTCAAACGGCTGTGAGGAACAATACAGGCTGTCTACGCAAAATGGGACGAAATATGAAACTAAACTAGTATAGTAAGGAAGATATTCAGGTTAACACCTTATAATCTTGCTAAATTTGGCAAACCACTCTTCCCTCTGGCCACTCGATAATTATTTTTGCTTGACTAATTAACAAAATATGTCAATACTGAAGTTCCCATAAATATTCAGGGTCATACTCGGTGTTAAGAAGCGTTTGTCTGCACGGCGCCAAGCAATGTTTTCTTTTGGAAGTAAACTAAAGGGGCTTCAATCTGAATTCTTCAAAACTTTTTATGGCAGTTGACAAGAATGGACTTACCATGCGACTTTCTATCAAGTACCAAACACAAGTGGCATCCCTCGTCACCACCTTTCGCATTAATTTTGGTAAGGTTTTGGTCTTTTGCATAGTTGAACATCGTTTCTAAGGCTTCAAACTTAGACTCACAACTTCTTGGTTCCTCCGACTTCTCGACTGCAAATCCGACTCTTGGTTCCGACGGGTGGAAGAGAAAGGCGAACGGCAAATGAGGACATGAGCTATCGGACTCACCAGTTGGACTTCTACGATACTCTCGAATGGCTTTGACCTCTTCCTTGAAATATGTTTTGAAGGGATATCTGCGAACGTTGATCGCATAATCTTCTGGATTTTTGCTTGCTTTCCATTCCTTTGAGATGTACCTACTCAAGGGAAAGTCGAGAATTCTTTGCTCGTACCTCTCATAAATAGCGAGATAATCGTCTACGTCTACACAAATATGTGCATGGAACTTGTTCTTTGATGTAGACCAGGACCCAAAGTGGAGGGACAAAACAGCCGACTTTTGAAGTTTATATCCAGAGACTATCGACCAAGCTGATTCGACTATCTTCAGCCTGACCTTTTGGTCCAACTTCGTGTATGTTCCTGTGTGCTTATTGCGGGGCAAAATGATGAAATGAGCTCTGGGACTGTAGAGATCGAACATTACCTTGAACGTATCGCTTACTTCTTTTGCAGGAATCAAATCAAACTCCTCTGCCATCTTCAGTCAGTTGAGTTGATCTTTTCTCTTGCTAGCAATTGCGTCAGAGAAATCTGAAAGACTACATAAGACACACTCGATGATTTTATAGTATCGAAATTTTTGAGGCGGTCCGAGGATGCTATTTCCGCGTCACGGCCAAGTTTGACCCTACTAAATCAACCAACCAGGGAATTCTTTTTTTCCCCGTAGTCAAGGAAACCTTAGGACGTCATAATCTCTGAATGGGCGGACCTTTTCCCCGAAAAGTCTTTTCTAGGAATTATCGAGTTGATGTTAGGTCTCCTCTTAAGCTGGTCTGTCAACAGATGAATAATGGCTGTAAATAGGTGAAAATCATATATGCCATTATTACCACTTGGAAGGTTCATCAAGTTGGGTCCAACGTAACGACCAGCTCCCAGTTGGCTTGTTAGCTCAGTTGGTAGAGCGCTGCACCAGTATCGCAGAGGTCATAGGTTCAAATCCCGTACGGGCCTGAATTTTCAAGCCTCATTTCAACTACTAGTTCAGTAGTGTTCATAGCTGCGAGAATTGCTTCTCTATTCGTAGTCAACAGATGATTTTTTTTTCCATTTCTACTTTTATTTTTACTTCTTTTCGTATATCAATTCGATCTCGAGCCCAGGGTTGTTTTGGCTCCTTGTCAGCGGTATGGTCGCCAAATAATGGTGGATATTATGTCCTATACTTAACTTGCATGCAGTAATAATTCCCCATACATGACGTACCAAGACAAATAATGACAACCATACCGCTGATATGGAGCCGAAATGACCCTGGGCTCGAGATTGGTAGCAATCATAATCCCTTGCGACGTATGGTAATATAAACTTTGGATGCAAATCGTAATCAATTTCTTAGAAACGTCTTAACCCGGAACTAACATTGATTGTGAGTTTATGTAGACTTAACGGAATAAATCATTTTCGATTTAATTTAATTTTCTTACCGTCCTTAAACAACTTCAAACACTTTTTGTTTATTGGTATTGCAAATGATTTCTCTTAAGTAAACGAAAGGCTGAAAGCAAATGGTCAGAGCACCGAGGTTCAACCATACGCCGTTTACCGAAAAGGTGACACTTTGATTCTTAGCGTCGGTTACGTGAAACAGGGTCTAATTTTGGCCGCGATTTTTGAAGATCAATGGGCTTTGAAAGTTTCTTACACGTGGGTTGTGTTGTGTAATTTGATCTTTTGCTAGTACCCCTGGTAGTTTCTCGAATACTTAATGTTTAGGTGATATTTTCTTCTTGACGAAAGATTGTATAGAGCGCAGTTTGGATGAATAATGGCTATTTGAAAGTTGTTTTAATAACCGGCCTTTAATGTCGCTACGTTAGCAACAAAGATTTTTTCTAAGCTAGTTCCATGTTTCCCTTCTTGTGGTTTTGCCTACACGTCCATATTCTAGACACTGTTGTGACAGAAGTCAATTTCTTACAAAGTAAACGTATCTTCAGTTTAGAGGCGTATACTCTCATTCCGACCTTTGTGGATTTTTTAAATTCCAGAGTACCAATCATTTTTTTTAGTAAAAGATCACACCTATCGTCGGCTCAATTGAGATCTGAATAAAGGGGTAAGTTTCTAAAGAAACTGTGGTGCTGCGTCGGTGGGAGAGTATAGCGGGTAATTTAGTGTTAACAACTGAGTTGAAAACGTAAATTAGCCACCGTAAAAGGTAAAAAAGCTGACGTTTCGAGCGTTAGCCCTTCGTCAGCGATTAAATTACCTGAATTGAGATCTCACAGACAAAGTTTTGTTCGTTACCAACCGATAATTCATATGAAGTAGTTTTCATTGAGGGTCGCAAAACCAAAACCAAATCTATCACAGCAACAATCAGAAGAAAGATTAACATGAAGACTAAAGTGAAAACAAGCAAACCGCTTGAAGGGCGGGAAACACCAATGACCAGGTCGCCAGGTCGCGACTTAGCATCTGATTGAGAGTGTGGTGCGAGTTTTCAAAAACCAATCACGAAGTGAAGAAAAGTAAAACCAATACAATTCCGGATTACCATCGACACTCAATTGAAAACAATTAGAAAGCGTTTTAGACGCATAAACTGACCTGATAATCAACTGTAATTGAGCAGTATCCACTGAAAGTACGGAAATAATTGTTTTGCTATGGTTACTCAAATAATTATCAGATCGATAGTACTTTCCTTCGTTTAAATTATTTTATCTTTATAAAACGTCAAGAAATCACAGGGTGTTCAGTTTAAAGGGCTTTGCCTTGTTCGAGGGAGCTTTTATCCGCGACCAATTAGAATGCACTTATCCCTTTATGGTTACTTGTGAAGTTGAGCTAATGGATGATATTACTCTGTTGAGGGAGAATGAGCCTGCATTTGTTTAAAAATGTATTTGAATGCATCATTTCTAGTATATTAACTTTTAGGAATAACAACAGTCTTTTTTACGATATCACGCGATTAGTTGTTTGTCACTCGAGTATTTTAAGTCTCGTTCTTGAGGACCAATCGGTCATTTTTGCCGCGATTTCGATGGCAACCAGACTTAAGTAACGTAAATCAGTTCTCAAAGAGCCCGCATCTATGACGTAAGAATCAAAAACTAAACAAAGCGGAAGTGCATCACGAACGAAACAATCAGACACGTAACACAGAGAATGAGTATCACTAACATAACAGTCAAACACTAAACAGAGAGCGCGCGTCACCGACGTAACAATCAAACACCAAACAAAGAGAGCGAGCATCACGAACGTAATTGTCAAATAGAATGCGCATCACTAACGTAACAGTCAAACATTAAACAGAGAGCGCGCGTCACTAACGAAACAGCCAAACACCAAACAAAGACAGCGAGCATCACGAATGTAATTGTCAAACAGAATGCGCATCACTAACGTAACAGTCAAACATTAAACAAAGAGAGCGTGCGTCACCAAAGAACTAATTTAAAAAACTGCAGTGCCGATTTAACAATTTAAACACTGAAAAGAGTGATAGGGCATATATTTTCGTAACAATTTAAACACAGATCAAAGAGAGCGCACATCACTAACGAAAATTTGAGATTTGCCTCCGGACAACATATGACACATATATGAAAACAGATGTCACCTCCTTTGAAGCGAAAGTCATCTCTTGGTAAGATTCCAATTCTGCGCATATTCGTTTGAACGATGACAAGTCATAATTATTATTATTTATCTGGCTGAAAGTTGGGTCACCTGGAAGAGCCGACTCACTCTGAATTCCACCCATCTCAAAAAGAATCTTTCTGACGGTCAAGTAGATGTGAATCATCAGAAACGACTTGACCTGTTCTGGAACGTTATCGAGCACTTCACGAGATATTCCACAGCCTGTCGTTGTGCACCATACTGCGAAGTTCAGCTGTTGAGTCCAGTAGCTCATATTCGGCCCCGCGAGCCATCTCCTTTATTCTGCGCATAAAGAGTGTTTTATTTTCATCCTTGTGAATATTCCTCTGAATTTTGCACTGAAGTATTGATTTGGAGTAACAAAGATCTTAATCTCCTCGTTGAAGCGGCTGACAGCATTCTAGTTAAATAGAACTGCTGGCACTCCCTTCTTTCCTATTCGATTCAGAGTGACTTCAAGGAGAAAACCTCCAATTCCAAGGGCTGTCTTCGTATCATCATCCCAATATCTTCTGTCTGATCCTGAGACGCTCGTCTGAACTCCATCTGATCGATTTAAGTAAACTTCAGTTGTTGCCTGTCTTTTGTTATCGAACGACACTTGCGCACTGAACTTGCTCAAGTCCGCATTTGGATATCGTGCTTTGAAGTCGTTCCAGGCTTTTGTCTTTTCTTCATCTGCTATTTAATACGCTTCATCTAATCTTAGCCGCGCAAACATTTTTTATTGCTTTTTTAATCAAAATGGTTGTTTTGACAATTATTGCAGATTCAAATGATCACACGGTTTGCTTCAGAAAACCTCTTGGTAAATCAAACTATATCAGACTTTTGACTTGTTCTCTCTATTATTCATGGTATAATTTGAGGAGAGGAGGAGGAATATCTCTCTTCGATAGACATAACAATGCAAGTGTTGAAATAATTTGCCACCCTCTACCAACGGCGCCAATTGCTGACGGAGCGCCTATTCAGTGAGATCAAAGACAACACCTGCCACAAATTACATGGCCTTTTGCCGTCATGTAATCTGAGTACCCTAGCCTTAAGGAGAAAGCGCTTTTAACGTACCTTTTTGCAGAACAAATAGACTGAAGAATAGTTATATCATGAACAACGCGGCTATTTCCTAATGGCTTTATCATGTGTAATGCGACTTTCAATATACATATATAGTATTTTTTAGCCTTCTTTTATTATTTAGTTTTTCTATTCTTTTTGTATTTAGTATGAACTAAACATTTGTACAGTCCGTAATCCAGCCTTTTGGCTGCAATGGATTTTAATAAGGCTACCTATCTATCTGGAGGTATTGCTGGTCTTCTCGGCTTCATTTCGGCCGCAGCGACCATCGTAAGCAAAAAAACTCACCAAAAATAATCAAAACGTGAAAAAACCGTATCTCTAGCTGAAGCAGACTCGTCTCAAAGGCTTTGCAAGACGTCTCGATATCAGATACTGAATTCGCTTCGATATTGAATGAAGTTGAGCAATATTATTCATTGAAAGAAGGACTAAGAAAAAATAACTCGCGAATTTTTTTAGAGAAAGTTGATGACACAACTCTCAGAGAGGACATAAAAAAAAGAGTTTCAGAAGAAATTAAGCTCTCTGCTTACACCCAAAAAGAGTTGAGAATTCAAGTTGAAGGAAAATCAAACGGGTTCTCACTGTTTATACCTAGACATAAATACTAAAGATATGCAAATTCGTTACAAATAAATATTTAACACCTGCGCATCACACTGCCCACTTATTAAATGTTCAAGGTATCAGCTGATTGATTTCAAAAGTTATGAATGGTTTATTTTTTGCCTATAATTAAACAACTTGGTCGAAAAGTTGGCTAATTTTTTGGTCTTGGTTCTGGTTTTGGTTTTGGTTTTGGTTTTGGTTTTGGTTTTGGTTTTGTTTTGGTTTTGGTTTTGGTTTTGTTTTGGTTTTGGTTTTGGTTTTGGTTTTGGTTTTGGTTTTGTTTTGGTTTTGGTTTTGGTTTTGGTTTTGGTTTTGGTTTTGGTTTTTTTGTTTTGGTTTTGTTTTGTTTTTGGTTTTGGTTTTGGTTTTGGTTTTTTTGGTTTTGGTTTTGGTTTTGGTTTTGGTTTTGGTTTTGGTTTTGGTTTTGGTTTTGGTTTTGGTTTTGGTTTTGGTTTTGGTTTTGGTTTTGGTTTTGGTTTTGGTTTTGGTTTTGGTTTTGGTTTTGGTTTTGGTTTTGGTTTTGGTTTTGGTTTTGGTTTTTGTTTTGTTTTTAGTTTGGTTTTGGTTTTGGTTTTGGTTTTGGTTTTTAGTTTTTGTTTTGGTTTTGGTTTTGGTTTTGGTTTTGGTTTTGGTTTTGGTTTTGGTTTTGGTTTTGGTTTTGGTTTTGGTTTTGGTTTTGGTTTTGGTTTTGGTTTTGGTTTTCACACGAAGAAAGATGCCATCCTCAGAGGAACTTGCCATGAGATTTCAAACAGTCTGTAAATACTCAAGACTCAATCAAAGTCGTTGAATCACACATACGATAGCGAAAATGGTGTCACCTCGACATTAATCACGCAATATGTAACCTCGAGAGTATGGATGTCAGAGATTTGGATAATTATATGATCGTATTTGAAGAGTACGAGAAAATTTTGAGAATGGAGGGAACCCAAAGCAGATTGGAAATGGAGACAGAAAGAAGTGATGAAACTAGGAATTTCAAAGAAGAATTGAAAAAGAAGCGTCAACAAAGGAGGACAGCGAGTAACCTATATTAAAAGAAGGGGGAAAAAAAAAGAAACTGAACAGTAATAGTTCGCGTGAGGAAGTATGACATTCTGAATGCGATTGATTATGAAGATAAACGAAAATTGGTGAAATTAGCCTCAGCTAAATCTTGTAAAATCAAGAACGTACGATGTGTTATGCGAGAAAATAAATTTTGAAATCACCTCCCGAAAAATTCACGTGGGCTTTTATAAAAACAAAAGCCTACGTGAATTTTTGTTTTAAACAACGTTTTATCAAAAATAAGCGTGCGCCTGTGAATAATCGGTTAACTTAATGATTGTGACACATTTTTTCCTGAAATTTCTTTCAGTCTTTTTTCAAACTTGCCCCTGCAAGTTTGAAATAACTCAACATGTATCGAAGAAGCTTCTCATAAAAAATAGTTACACCTGTAACACCTCGATGGCGCGACAAGAGAGTCGTTTAAGGGAATCGTTTAAGAGAATAACATTCACACCCACTTAAGAACTCACGAGTGAGACATTGTGAACCTGTGACAAATTCAAGTTGCCTTGAAATCAAGGTTGCGCAAAAACTGGTTTTTTTAAATTCAGGATAAAATCAACCTTGATTTCAAAAAGACATTCAAAAAATTTAAAAGCTTTTGCGAATACTGAACTAAGTCAACTAAATGCAGATAGATTGAAAAACTATAGGATTTATCTGTGAATCTATTCAACGAAGTCCATTATACCTCAAATGACCATGAAGAACAACCTAAGCTGTCTTCGCAAAAAGAAACAAAATATGAAACTAAACAAGTCGCGAGGAGATATTCAGGTAAATACTTTATAATTTCCCAACGCCCTAAATTTGGCGAACCACTGATCCTTCTTGTCGTTAGGACACAAATCTCTGTAGAACTTCAGTCCAGATACTTGAATGAAGCCAGCAAGAATCTGTGACTCCTCGTCCAAAGGGAAGCCTTCAATGAGGGATAAAGCAGCAAGTAAATATATTTCGGAATGCATGACTACATGCATCCTTTGCAGTTATTGCTCCTTAAAAAATGGAGACAGAATGCAGTTGGCTTACATTTCGGTAGTGCTGTATGCCAGATATCTCTTAGCTAACTATTTCTTAGGAAAATTGACCGTAAAACAAAGGAGTTTCTTACCGTCATTCGACTGAATAATTTTGCAAAACTTCCGGCCCATTTTACGACTTCGTAGCATGTCAACTCTATGCTTTTATGAGCAAAGTGAATCTATTCAACCAAATCTTTAATACCTTAAACGGCTTTGAGGAAAAATACTGGCTGTCTACGCAGAATGGGAAACTAAACTAGTATACTGAGGAAGATACTCAGGTTAACACACCTTGCAATCTTGCTAAATTTGGCGAATGACCTTTCCCTCTGGCCACTCGGTAATTCTTTTTGCTTGACTAATCAACGGAACATGGGAATACTGACGTTCCATAACTATTCTATGTAACAGGGTCATACTCGGTGTTAAGAAGCTTTTGTCTGCATGGCGCCAAGCAATGTTTTTTCTTAAACTTAATCAGAAGCATATAAGCTTCTTGTCTAACACATTATGCACTTGGAAGTAAACTAAGGAGGCTTTAATCTAAATTCTTCAAAACTTTCTTAAGGCAGGTTGACAAGAATGGACTTACCATGCGACTTTCCATCAAGGACCAAACACACGTGGTATCCATTGTCACCACCTCTCGCATTAATTTCGGTGCTGAACATATCGCATAACTTGTTTGCAGGAATCAAATCAATCTCCTTGGCCATCTTCAGTCAGTTAAGTTGATCTTCTCACAGATACTTCTTTCCCTTAAATACAGACACCTTTGCCAGCGGTTGCTTCAAAAAAATATGAAAGACTATATAAAACGCACTCGATGATTTTATAGTATCGAAATTTTGAGGCAGTCTGAAGATTCTTGTTCCGTGTGGCCAAGTTTGATCCTACTAAATCAACCAATCAGGGAATTCTTTTTCCCCAGAAGTCAAGGAAACCTTTGGACGCCATAATCCCTGAGTGGGCCGACCTTTTCCCTTTATGTCTTTTCTAGGAATTATTGAGTTGATGTTAGGTGTTTTCTTGGGCTGGTCTGTCAACAGATGATTTCATTTTTTTTTCATTTCTACTTTTATTTTTACTTCCTTTTATGTATCAATCCAATCTCGAGCCCAGGGTCATTTGAGCTCCTTGTTAGCGGTATGGTCGCCAAATAACGGACGACCATATCGCTCACAAGGAGCCCAAATGACCCTGGGTTCGAGATTGGTATCAATCATAATCCTTAGCGACGTATGGTGTTATAAGTTTTGGATGGAAATCGCATTCAATTTCTCAGAAACGTCCTAACCCGGAACTAACGTTGATTGTGAGTTTATTTAGACTTCACGGAAAAAATCATTGGCATTTAAATTTTAAAATTAAAATTTTCTTACAATCCTTAAACAACTTTAAACACTTCTTGTTTATTAGTATTGCAAATGATTTCACCTAAGTAAACGAAAAGCTGAAAGCAAATGGTCAGAGCACCGAGGTTCACGAAACGAGGTTTAATTTTGGCCGCTATTTTTGAAGATCAAGGGACTTCGAAAGTTCCTCATATGTGGGTTTTATTGAGCAATTTAATCTTTCCTTTAGTACCCTTGGTAGTTTCTCGAAAACTTAACGTTTAGGTGATATTTTCTTCTTGACTTAAGATTATACAGAGCGCAGTTTGGATGAATAAAGGCTACTTGAAAGTTGTTTTAATAACCGGCCTTTAATGTCGCTACGTTAGCAACAAAGATTTTTTTCTAAGCTAATTCCATGTTTCCCTTGTTGTGGTTTTGCCTACACGTCCATATTCTAGTCGCCGTTAGGACTAAAGTTAATTTCTTACAAGGCAAATGTATCTTAATAAAAAAGGTTTAAAAAAGATTGCCTCTGTCAAACTCGCCTAATCCTATATCAGATAGTTTTGCGGCGTGTACTCTCATTCCAACTTTTGTAGTATTTTGAAGTCCAGAATACAAATCATCGTTTTCAGTAGCCTGCGTTACTGGCGGTCTGCGGTTTTAGGGGCGGGGAGAAAAACGAAAGACCTTTTTTTTTTAGTAAAAAAATTACACCTATCGTGGGCCGAATTGAGATCTAACAGAAAAAGTTTTGTTCGTTACCAACTGAAAATTCATATGAAGTCGTTTTCAGTGAGGGTCGAAAAACCAAAACCAAATCTGTCACAGCAACCAATCAGAAAAAAGATAAACACGATGACTAAATTGAAAACAAGCAAACCGCTTGAAACGCGGGAAAACACTAATGACCCGGCCGCATCTGTTTTTAATTTTGCATCTGATTGGTTTAAGAGTGTGGTGCGAGTTTTCGAAACCAATCACCAAGTGAAGAAAAGTAAAACCATTACAATTCCAGATTACCATTGACACTCAATTGAAAACAATTAGAAAGCGTTTAGACTCATAAACTATGCTGATAATCAACTATAATTGAGCAATATACACTGAAAGTGCGGAAAATAATTGTTTTGCTATGGTTACTCAAATAATTATCAGATTGATAGTACTTTCTTTCTTTGTTATCATTTTCTCTTTATAAAACATAAAGAAATTGCAGGGTGTTCAGTTTAAAAGGAGTCACCTTGTGCGAGCGAGCTTTTATCTGTGACCAATTAGAATGCACTCATCCCTTTATAGTCTCTTGTGAAGTTGAGCTAATAGATGATATTGCTCTGTTGAGGGAGAATGAGCCTGCATTTGTTTAAAAGTGTATTTGATTGCATCATTTCTAATATATTCACCTCCATAGATAATTAGTCTTTCTTAAGATATCAAGCAACAAGTTGGTTGTCATTTGAGTATTTTAAGTCTTGTTCTTGAGGACCAATCAGTCATTTTTGCTAATTACAGCATTTATAGCAGTGACTGAATATCAAGAATGACCTACAGAAGATTGAGCTCTAATAAATCTCATTTTTCACATTTATTTATTATTCACCTCAGCATTTTTGTTTTAAACCTTTAACCCCTAAGAGACTGGCTTCTAATTTCTCATTACAATATCACCCTTGAATCTCACATTTAGGTCACAGGAATGAACAAAATGATCACAAACTAAACAACCTCTTGATTGTTAAACAGATTCACCTTATCAGCACTGTGGGAATGTGTGTGAACAATATCAAGAATATGCATACTGATGTTAGGGTGTGAAAGGCTAAATACATAAATTATACTTAACGGAAAAAATAGTGTTTCATAAATTTAAAAAGCCATAAACCTCAGAAGAATTTATTGCTTTTCTGCTTTCTGGAGTGCAGCCAATCCTGCTTTCTTTAAAAAGGTACCATTTACTTCCAGTATATGCAGAAATGTGCCATAATGTGCAGAAACAAGTTTTCCATAAGTCCTTATCACTGCTAACAACATTTTTGCAAACTTAAGTGACTTTGAAAGGTGGCACGACTGTAGTTCTAACACTCCAGCAAAGACACCAAAAAAATTGCCACTGAATTCTAGCTTTAAATCAACCATTGTCTGTACAACAGAGACAGTATTCTCTGACCATGTGAAAGGATGACCTTGACTATCTGTCCTGATTGCAAATGTTAGTTCCATCAAATGAATTCTTGTATCTTCAGTGAAACATTCCTTGACTATTTTACCGATAATATCTACTTGTGGAGTGTTTAAATCTGACTCCTGAATAAGTTTTACAGCAACACCATCACAAAATGCTCTTGAGTGTTTCTTTGAAAACAGGGTTACAGCCATTGAAAGACCTCTTGAGGCAGCTTGCTTTAATTCCTGTATTTTAGGAAGAAGACACTGAGAGGCAAAAACACATGCATTGCTAAAACTTGGTTCTGCTTTCAAGTCAACAAATTTTGTACACAAAAAAATTGCAGTGGGTTCTTGCAGGCCTTTAATGTGTAACTGGTTACAGATGTATTCTACTTCAAGACTGCTGCATGTTGAAAACACATCAAGTTCATTGGAAGAATAGTTATCTTCTTCTTTTACTTCCAGGCTAGTAAGAAAGTTTTTTAAAGCAGAAATATTTGGCTGAAGAGCATGATAGAGTTTAGATTCAGCTGTAGCTTCTTGGTCTGTGATCAAGAGTTCTGGAACATCCTCTGCCTCCATATTCCAGTGTTCCGGGGGTAGAGGCAACTTGAGGTGTGGATCTTTAGCTATTATATCTGTGCAGTGTTCAGGACTTTCATTAGTATCATTTATTTCAATATCATTGTCATAAAAATCATGAGGAGCTTCCAAACAAGTTTCAAGCAGTTTTGTGTCAGATTGTAAATCAACATCATCTGTACAAATGTTTGTAACATCAAGCATGTCAACATTGTCTTGATCAATAACTTTACAGTCTCTGTGTAAGGCAGGATGATTTTCTGACCAACTCTTGTTGCTTTTTCTTATCTCATGAACTTGCTGTTGGCTCAACCAAGGAATGCTTCGCGACGATTCAGCTATTTGGTTCTTCTTAATAAGCTCATCAAACCTAGATTTTGACTCTTCCGTGATGCAATTTAAATAGAACAAGTTAATGTCTTCTCTATCACCTTGGTCAGAGCGGTTGAGTTTTTCCCTTTGCACTTTCTTCAGATCATTCACTTTTGACTGGAGAATATTAACGTACGCAGCACGCCAATCTTTCAGCTCTTTTATTTCTTCTAGACTGACAATCAACTTTTCCAAAGATTCCGAAGGTAACACATTACTTTGGTGTAAAATAAACGCCAGAGTATTCCTTTGCATGTTCAATGGAAGAAGTAGAAGTTTTGGTTTGAAAAATAGTCTATTATCCAAAACCACAGGAAAATCGCTCGCGAGGTGATTAACGAAATCGGTCCAGTTCGGAGGAATGTCGGACAACCTGTTACTTGACAACTTTTTCTGAAGCCAAAATCGTGCTGCTTGAACTGGTGAGAATTCTGAATTTAAAGCTGCAAATATTCCACGCCATTCACTTGGAAATGATGAAATAAGTGTGTTTAGGAGGTTTACAGGGGGGAAATCACCGAATTCTGCTTCGTGGGTTGAGCAACTAGATTTGTCCGCCATCTTAAAATTGCTACAGTCGAAATAAGCTGGAACTAGCGCGCAATCGAGGTTGAGTTCCAGCTTCCTGTGGGAGGAGTAAAATGTTCACTTCCTGATCATTAGCGCTTGCATCGTCGACCACAATTTTGTCTGCGAACTCTCCCACATCTATTAACTAAATATGCCATCAAGAAGGTAATTAGTATAAGCATCGTACGATATATGTGTTAGTCGTACTTTTCTAACGGAATGGGGTGGTTTTTGCTCGTTATTGTAGATGGTTTCACTCTGACATATCGGGCTTCGATGCCGAGAAGTTGTTGCTTGAGCGAGGATTTGATGGCAGCTATCTTGTCCGGCCTAGTAAAAGCAATCCTGGCGATTTTACACTGTCAGTGCGGTACGTATTAATTTCTTTATGATAAAAAGGGACTTTGTATAAATTCGCGAGTAACCATAGATAAATTTCAGCCTTAAACAGAGTTGTGTCAGTGTGAAATAAAGACCCTAATGACGATTCGAGTTAGGAAGCTTTATGCTGTAGCCATATTTGAGATCACTTCCTTGCTATGCTAACACGACAAGGTACAAACGTTTGTCATTCGTTAGATGAATGATATCTCAATTTCTTATTTAAAGTAGATGTTTTTAGCAATGTTTTCACTAGAGATTATGCGTGCCCTAACACAAGAGTTTTGGGCGAATATTTTATTTCATTTGCATTTTGTAGGCACGACCAAAAATTTGAATGTTAATAGTGTTCTATCAGATTACTATCTTACATTATAATTCGTTGTGTTATTTATATCATGTATTAAAAATTCATAAACGGAGCGTCAAATTATCTGATCCAACAGTTCTTGTGGTAAAACTCGATCTGAAATTCAGCCCTCTTGAATAAGAGGTCAGTGGTGCGGCTGACAGCTCGAGAGATGGAAACATTAAATTTAGAAAACCCACGCATTTCTGCAGATGTCACACCAAGGAAATTTCAATTCGTCACGAACTGAGCAGCTGTTTTTGTTGCAATTTATCTTATCTTTAACTGCACTATTTGAAAACTGAAACAACCCTCGTTTAAGCAGATTATTGTTATATTGTCTAAAAACCACGATCGTGTGAGCCATTTGTTTTTCGAAGAAAAAAGACGTATATTTTGCTTACGTTTCAAAAAAATATACCCCACGTACACAAGAAAGTGAAAATAAAATTTAATGAAAGTCTAAACATACCTTTATGTCGGAACATTTTGTCTGGAAGTCTCAAGTTATTCCATGGTTTGGAAGATGTAAACATGTTATTTTAATTGGCTTTGTGAAGAATCATTAAATCATTATGTAGATCTCCTTTGCACATTTGCTTTAAAGATAAGAACCGACAATTTTGAGGAGAATCTTAAGAGTTACCCTTCAGTTTGAATGAGGATAATGCCTCCCATACTGAACTTTGCCAGACAGCTCTCAGAGGTCATAATAAGAGACTGTGTGAAAAATGCAATATTAACTTTGTTATGAACTTTGTATGTAGCTTTTTACTACTTGAGTCAGGAAAAAAATTCTGAGGGGGAGATACCATGTCAGTAGAATTATACAGCCTTAATTTTTCAGTGTGAAATTGTGTTTTCCTGGAAAGCATTCAAGGAATTGAAAAAGTTGGGTTGGGATTCCTATTTCCTGCTTTTTGTGATCTTATATTCCAAGGATATGAACTCCAGGATGGTACTTTTATTGTATGCATTTAGTAAATGATATCAGATACAGGGGATTCAGAAAATATAATGAAAGACTGACACAATTCCATGCCCAAAACAAAATGGCTCTAAGTTTGGAGAAAATTTTGTGGCATGTTCATATGTTTCTGTGATAAGTTTGGATACAAGCCTCTCTAGAAATTTTCTTCTGACGGGCATTTCTGAAATGGATGGTATTATTTCTGCTTGAAAAACTTTTAACATTTATTTTTTTTTCTAATTTAAAAACTTGTTTATGCAATGGCACCACATCAGTATTCAAATTTCTTCCTATTGCTTTCAAGAAGCAATATATTCCAACATAATGGAATGATTCAATATTGTTTTCATATACCTTGTCAACTAAGCAAATAATGGATTGAATCACTTAGAATGCATGAACCAATCAAGCTCTCATTGCTTTAAGTTGAGGTAAAATGTACTGTATCTTCAAAAGGCTTTGTTGCTTAACATTCCTTGAAAATGTTTCATTATCAATTCATTTGACCATATGGTAATCAAATGTGATCAGGATTTAGAGTACTCTTGGAGAGGTGGTTTTTACTCCATTTGAAAATTTGTAGAGTGATGTAAATCGAAAATCCACAAATTTTGATTTTATTACAAAAAATATATATATATTCCATGATTTTACATACTATATTACTATTAGTAGTAGCAGTTGAGTGATTGGAGTGGATTCCACATCAAGAGATCTAGCGGTAGATGTGAACCCTGGCTAAAGCACTGTCTTTTTGAGCGAGATTGTTTACACTCAGAGTGCCTCTTCCACATGAGAAAGTTAATTCCAAAGATCGGATCATTAATTCTCCTCTCTAGCTACTACTCATTTCTATGTAAATTAGTTATGAAGAATTAGTGTTAGGTTAAGATAACAACTTTTATTTGATAAGTTTGTGTATTCTCATGAACTGTTTGCTGGATAATGTACATGTTTGGTTATTAAAGGGAGAAGTTACAGGTTAATCACTTGTGGGAGTTAAAGGGTTAATGGTAGCTATGAATTGGTGGGAAAACCTGATAAAACCTAGGGGAGGGGAGTGTGGGATAAGCTGTGAAGGTCTGGAATCCCATCCAGATGTAGTAGCATTAGCATTATCACTAGTCACTGAGCATTACAGAAACTTGAATAAGCTGCAGCTAGATGAGTCATTAGACTCTTGAGCTGACTCAAGTACTTTTTTTCTTACCTTTTAATTGATATGCCAAGTACTACCATCAGAAGCTCTGAAAGTTAATTTTTTTGACTACAGGCGAGATGGTGAGGTGACGCACATAAAGATACAAAACACAGGAGATTTTTATGACTTGTATGGAGGGGAAAAGTTTGCCACCTTGTCAGAATTGATCCAGTTTTATACAGAAAACCCCGGGCAGCTGAGAGAAAAGAATGGTCTGGTCATTGAAATGAAATTTCCTCTCAACTCCACAGATCCAACAACAGAAAGGTTAGACTCATTGTTTGTACTCAGAGTATTAATATGTAGATTTAGGCAAGCCTAAAAGCAGAGCTTGCATTTTCTTTTTCCTGCACATCTCTTCAACAAAACCAAAGCCCCTGCTATGGATAAAGTGCATGGTAATATTAGTGGATTTTCATTCGCAACTTCTCCGTATCTGTGTAGAGGACTGATTATAAGATAATGCCCATGGTGCAATTGGCTGTGCATGCTAAAAGTAGCACCTTGTACGGTTGGTCGTATGGTTGTACTGTCGTACTGTCGTACATCCAAATTTTTTCAGCTTGATGGGTTACTACTATTTTGTATAATTATGGGGCTACGCTCTGCAAGCTCCGCTATTAAAGTTATGAGCTGGTGCTGTTTTCATCTGTTCATGCTGGGATTTATAATTACAACTGGTAGAACAGGGGGATGGGAGTATTGTATAGATTCACACATTTTGTGTAAGTTCCACATTTTACATGTTACTAAAAGTACATTATGAAGTTCCAAGTAACTTGGGACCCAAAGAATATCAAGCACTGAAGTCATTTGCACCTGAATAAGAAACTTTATTTATAACATGAATCAAATACTTCTTCAACAGGTTTCACCAATTAGGATCACTATAAATAAGCTAAAATTGTTACTTAAATGTTTAATCAACCTTTCCATTACTGAAAGCATTTTTACATCCAAAGTGCCAAAAAAATGACCAGTAGTGAATAATTATGTCAATTTTTGGGTTTGTACAGATTCTCTTAATCTTGAAAAATATTTACATTTACTAGAAAGATAATTTTCAAGCCCTGAAGAAAGTAAGGAAAATAATGAAAAAGTATGGAAAACCAGGATAAACTTGAGGGGTTTTTAATTTTTTTCTTTGTTTGTTTTTTGTCTTTTTATTGTAGCATGCAAGAAGTTCTTAGTTACGGAGAGATGTCTCTCTGAAGGAGTGGAAAGTGATATGCAAATGAATTGTAGCTAAAATGTTCCATGAGCACAATAAATGATAATTTTCAATTTTGGGATAAACGCTTGACAGTACTATTTTGCTCGGGCCATATGATTACTAATAATAATGTTGAGTCTGAAGGAAGCAAATAAAAATACTGAAAAAGTAGCAATAAACCATTAAATATTGTGTTAATCTGACAGCAGTTTTTTTTGTCTCCAGATGGTTCCATGGCCATATGTCTGGCAAAGAGGCAGAGACCATGATGTTAGACAAAGGAAAAAATGGAAGCTTTCTGGTAAGGGAAAGTCAGAGCAAGCCAGGAGACTTTGTTCTCACTGTCAGGTGAGTTATGTGAGGAACTATCTGATTCTCTGAAAGTAGTTTATAGGGGCACTGTGGGCCATAGCCTATTAGGTTACAGGATTTTGTACCATTTTGATTAGTTAATTTGTACCATGAGGTACAAAATCCTGTAGCCTGATTGGCTACATTACTGCTCAAAAGTAAGCCGACAGTCTCGACTTGAATATCAATCATCCATACCCAAAACTATTGAGGAATAAAGAATTGAGGATGGAGGATCATGGCACTCAAAGAAATATTTAAGGATCTTGATTTCCAGTGTAGAGAAAATAATGTAATTTTTGCTGGATGTAGTGCTTGACATGCAGCTCCTCTTTAAACACACAGACTGCCTGCACACTGACAAATAATTTCATATCCTGCAAGACTCAAGCTTTAACCAAGCTCTGTTTTAGCGTCACTCATATTTACATCTAGAAAACCTATTAATTTCCAACACATGACTTTTAAGTGTATGGGTACCAGCAGCATTCTTCAGTTACAGAATAATCATTCGATGGATAAAAATCTAAACAAACATATCTCCACAGAAGCTACATGTATCATGCTCCCTTACACTTCTTCTCATTGCAAAATTAAAATTTTGAAAAACATTTTACATCATAAACAGACTGATAAAGATGGATAAATCTTTTTTCAGTTTTGTCATGCATTTACAATGTTGTAGATGGAAGCAATAAAAAAAAATGTTCATTCCTATCATGACTGAAAAAGGAGATGGTGAGCTTGTTTTAGGTATCAGCAACTGAGGATAAATTTAAGGTTGGGCTAACTTTGCTGTTAAGTTGAGATGAAAGCAGAAGGTTATAATGAAGATGTCTGACAAGAATTAGGCCTGTTTGGTTATATTTGGTCCCAAGCTTCTTATTAATAATAATTCATTGAAAGTGAGCAGTGGTTGAAACTTTGATAATCATAATTACTCTTCACCCTTTCCACCTTAACATTTATTTATTATGCGAATTCTCCAAAATACTCCCCATGATTAAATAAAGATCACAATAATAAAAGAAATGATCATTTCCTCACATTCTTGAAATGACTTCATGATGACCATTTTTTTTATACATAGACTGGAGGACAAAATCACTCATGTTATGATCCGTCATCATGTGGATGGAAAGTATGACGTGGGTGGAGGAGAGAAATTTGATGATTTGACTGATCTTGTGGAACACTATAAAAAAAACCCTATGGTGGAAAAATCTGGCACTGTTGTGCAGCTTAAAACAGTAAGAAGCTGTTTTATTTTTTTAATCTTTTTCTGTATCTATGTTATTGAATCCCTTTCAATCCTGTCTCCATGGAAGGCGTCCAATCTTATTTGTAGTTTTCCCCTCCAAGCTTCTCTTCTTTTCCTGGTAAATTAGCCTGAACAATTAACTAGTATGTAGCTTGTAAATTTGTGCAATAATTTTAATTTGATAGCTCATTTCATATTCCCCTTCTGCACACAATGAAGTCTCTCTATACAACATTTCAATTACTGTCAGTGTTGAAGATGTTATTGGATAATTGTTTCATGCATAAGCTAGGAATTTATCAAGGTACATGTAGGAAGCATTTGGTAAGTTTGGAGAGCATGTAATAAGACACATATAGTTGCTTTCAGCTGCACCTTGACCAACTCTTGCATGTTTGATGGCTTCCAACCTGCCTTTGAGCTTCATATCTCAATGAATGCATACTGACGTATGAATCATGAATTGTTATTTAGTGCCATATAACACCCTCCAGGTAATAAGTTTGCATCCATAAAACACCTGTTCATTGGGTAATGTATTGATACTATGGGGAGGAAATCACATGTTAAACATTTTGTGGAGTAACAAACCCTCCCTGCGTTATTTTAACCACTAAAAAACTCTTTAGAGATTCATGCAATGTCATTGATGGGCTAATGCTTGTAATAATTGTTGAATTTTAACCACAGTGGCTACAAACTTTGTAGAGATTTATGCAATGCCACTAGGGACAACAGAGATGTGCATCCTCCATTGGAATCATTGTATATTTTAAATTTTTAATATGCTGTCTTTCAGCCATTTAACAACACAAGAATTAATGCTGCTGCAATTGAGGACCGTGTCAAAGTTTTACAAAAAGAGAACAAAAATGTGTCAGGAAAGGCTGGATTTTATGAAGAATTTGAGGTAAGCTTTTTCCCATGCTGATTATTTTTCAATTCTTGTTACTTGTGTACTTGATAAGGTAACAATACTGTGGGGAGAAATTGTATATTGATGATTTTTGTCCCTTCTCCACACAGGTTCTACAGAAGCAAGAGAGCAAACATCTGTATAGTAGAAAGGAAGGAGAAAGGCCTGAAAACAAGGCAAAGAACAGATATAAGAACATCCTACCATGTGAGTATTTGTGATAATGATAAGGATACTCAACCCTTTCATTCCCAAGATCTCATTGATAATTCTCTGTACTTCTATTTTAAGTCTTATGATGTTAGTTTGGAGAATTTTGTCTCAGATGAAAGATCAGCCCCCTAATTGATATTAGACTTAAATCTCATCACTTGTCCACTTGATATTTTGTTGATATTGTAAGGAGAAATTCTCACTTGGTCACTCATGGGAGTTTAAGGGATAAAACAGGATTTGGCTTCTTTTGAAAGGTTGTTGTGGTTCACTCACTTTGTAATTACATGGTGCTGTTAAAGTTATCCCCAATTTTTATTTTTGAATTCCCTTTACTGTCTGCTATGCATTCCTAATCATGTTTGTTCTAAGTATTTGGTATTAACTCAAACATTATTTATCTATTGATATAATTCTCTAATACTCTGCGCCTGTCTTCTTGATTGTGTACTGATATTTTAAGGGAAAAAAGGTTTTAAACTTGGTCAGTTCAGATAGGAAAGTTTTAAGAGTCCTCACACTGCCTTAGCTGTGTCTCTCCAGGGATTGGAAGACAGAGAAAGTTAGATAAAGAACTTGTGCTTTGACAAAAAGAATCTTATCTTGAATTTCTGAATGATGGATTACTCAGGTTCATTTGGGTTTAATTTTAACCTTGCAGTTGATCACAGTCGTGTTATTTTGGATAATGCTGAACCAAATATCATTGGATCAGACTATATCAATGCCAACTATGTTGGGGTAAGTTTCCTGCTTTAGCTGTGTTGTAAAAATAACCAGACTTTGTTTCATTCTTGGTGCATGAACATGCCTAGGTGTTCAACAAATCCTGCATTATCATTGGTTCTGAAAGTGGGAAGAATTTTCCTATCAGCTTACTCACTGTAGGCAGAATGGCCAGGTTGTTGACCTTTTGTGAATGAAATAGTTTTAATCACAAGGGATACAATCCCATTTTTTCAATCAACAAACTTGCACTTGATTTTAATCTAGCTTCATCTGACCCTTTTTATCTGTAGCCCAGTGACTCAGAAGAAGCATCAAAAAGATATATTGCTGCTCAGGGTTGCCTCCCCAGCACTGTGGAAGATTTCTGGCATATGGTTTACCAGGAGAGCAGCCGAATCATTGTCATGACAACAAAGGAAGTTGAAAGAGGAAGGGTAAGAAGCAGCAAATAACTTTTAATTAATAAATTACTTTTAAGTAAGGCTTTAAAGAGCTGCCATGAAAATACTGTCTCTATGTATGAGAGACAAGATTTGCACTTTTTCTATCTTGTGCAAGAGACATGATTATGGACTTGGTAAAGCAAAACCTGAAAACAATCACAGATATGGATAAAAATGTTTAAGTACACTCTTTCTTTTGCTTACAAGCACAGAGTAAACAGGTTATGGCAAAAAAGGTTTTCTTTTATGAGACTTCAAAAGTTCTCATTTTTCAATAAAATTTCTCCTTACAGTATGGCCCTTGAATCAAAAGTTAAGTCCATGAGAAAAAGAAAATTATCACCAATTTTAAATGCCCGTGATTGTCAAACAAATTCTCATTTTCTAGTACCACAGGAAATGTACAGAGAACATAATGGAGAATATGGATACTGATATTACAATAGGGTTTAGATACTAGAGAGCTTTTGTGCTGATACTTTTGTTTGCTATTGTATAAGTGCCCATTTGCAGTCCTTCATTACAGTGACTAATACAAGCCATAAATTTAAAATTTTCTCCTTGCTTTGGATGGTTTTGTTTCAGAATAAGTGCACTCGTTACTGGCCTGATGTAGATACCACAAAGGATGTTGGTCCCTATCACGTCAAGCACATGAAGGAGACAGAGTTTACCGACTACACTTTGAGAGAATTTGAAATTATTTCAGAAACCAATGTGAGTGCTACAACCAAAATCTTACATATGCTGGTTCTTCCATTCTTTTACGATATGAAAAATGCTAAATTTGCTTTATTTTGGAGAACAACGTGATCGACTCAATTGTTCCCAAAGACAATTTTTACAGTTTCTTTAGTCTAACATTAAAGTTTGTTTTAAATAATTAAAATTAAAACATCTGCAGCATTTTTTGCAATCAAAGCTGAGAGGAGGGATACATACTTTCTTTATCAAAAACATTTAGTTTTTAACTTAACTGAAGGATCGTAATATCTCTGTTGCAATGAAATTTTGTAAAATTTTGTATCATATCAGGGGTTTCAATAATGACCAGTACCGCTGGTCTCCCCCCCCCCCCATTTTATAAGAGCTCTCATCACTGTCTGTTTTTCGGACACACCTGCCTGGTACACCATGGGCAGCTGCTAATGGAAAACTGAATTTGGGAATATCTTTAGTACACAAAGTTGTAGTCAGTTGAATGGAAAATAAAAGCAGTTTCTTTGATTAATTTCATTCTACAGCCCATACCCAGCACAATATATCAGTTCCATTACACAGGATGGCCTGATCATGGGGTACCAAAGGATCCAAGTCCTGTCTTACACATTCTCCATGAAGTCAACAGCAGGCAGCAGTCCATTCCAATGGCTGGGCCAATCATTGTGCACTGCAGGTAACACCTGTGTTCATTGATATATCAATTATCCTCCTCACTCTTCTCTAATTTTGTTTTGCCTTTAACCCTTTAGTGGGAGATGTGATGGCCTAATTGTTAGTGTCCTGGACTCTGAGTGGAGAGGTCTGGGTTCCAGACCCAGCCAAGTCATTGTGTTATGTTCTTGGGCTTTATATATGCACTCTCACAGTGTCTCTCACTCTCACCATGCCTCTATCCACCCAGGAGTTTAAATGGGTACTGGCAAATTTCCAGGAAAGCCTGATGAAATGCAGGGGGTAGCCAAGCAATGGACTGGTCTTTGAAATCAAAGGGTTGACAGATTTTCTTTGAATTTGCTTTCTAGTGCTGGCATTGGAAGAACTGGTACATTTATTGTAATAGACAGTCTGGTAAACATGATCAAAGAGCAAGGTAATTATTTTTATTTTATTAATGAAGAGTGGCTCTAATTGTTAAGTCTCAGAGATGATTACAGCACAATTATACTTTGGTGATCTGTGGTAAATGGTGTGGACTTGCTGGGAAATGATCCATACTTTTATTAGCTTCACCAGATTTGTTTCTGCAACATTCTATTTCATCTCAATTGTCTATTTGAAATATGGTGAAATGGAAAAAATAACTATAGATATTAGACTGTTTTTGTGTGTATTGAAACTCAGAAAGTTTTGTTGTTTGTTTCACTCTCCATAGGTCTTGATTGTGAAATTGATATTTCCAAGAGTATTCAAAATGTCAGAGCACAGAGGTCAGGAATGGTGCAAACAGAGGTAGATGCAACCATTGCTTAATACTTCTTTGAATTTTTAGAGGCCTGAACTATTTTCACTGGTATTTTTATGTTGAAACTAGGATTTTTGGCTTGTAAGGAAAGGTTATTCTTTTTTCAAGTTCTCCCCATAGCAAGCTTGTCAGCAAAATTTTCCCATTTTTATTGCAGCTGTGAAAATTATTAAAAGCATAGTAATCTGCCAAAAAAATCTTGGTTTCACCCTACCTTGTTGCAAGACAGGATAACTAAGTGTCAGGGATTTACCACTGACAGTTGCATCAAAATTGATTATGAATGACATCAAGAACTTGCAAAGTACAGTTTAAAATGCACTTGGGGTTCATGCAATTTCATTTGTGTATGTGTGTGTATATATATATATATATATATATATATATATATATATATACATAGGAAGTCTGCAAGTCGATTTTTGCGTGGAACAGTGCTCAATACGTTGAAGCAGAGCAGAATAAATATTATGAATACTGAACTGTTCATGGTCAATAACTGATTTCTCTGATTCTGATTTTAGGCACAGTATGAGTTTATTTACAAAGCTATTCAACACTACATCAGCACAGAGACTGCAAGATTAAACAGTGACAATGTAAGAATACACCATACCAGTTTCCCTGAAGTGTATCTGTCAACAGTCTTTCCTTTTACATGGAATTATTATTTAAATTACTTTTACTTTGATGTTTGTACCTTAGGTGGCTGAAATTTGTATTTTATTTGTTTGGCACTGCTTCTTTCGCCATAACAAACAGTGAATGCATCTGTATTTCTCTCTAAAATGGCGGTCTAAAATGTGTCTAACTCCCAACCTGTGGCTTTATAGCTCAAGATAATTTTGGTTTTATAAACTGAGTTGATAATGTAAATTGGCCACCTTAAAGAGTGTCAAAGCGGACGTTAGAACGAAGGGCTAATGCTCGAAACTTCACTTTGAAACTCTTTATGGTGGCCAATTTACATTGACAACTCAGTTGATAAAACCAAAATTATCTTGTTATATTTCCCCACCGACGCAACACCACAGTTTCTGTAGAAACTTACCCATTATTCACATTTTCGCTCAGTTGGTAGTAGCGACCAACTCGTATCTAGGAAGTATGGGCTTGAATCCTGTCAAAACCTTTTCGGGCTTCTTTTCTGAATTGCTAAATTTCAGTCCGCGTGCGAGGATAATTTCTTTGCTTGATATTTCTCTCTGGTGTTTACCTACCTATATTTTATTATATTTATGACTGAATTATCGTGTCATGAAATTGTAATACTTCTTTGAAAAGCCAATAGAAACAATTTGAAATCATTTCATTACTGTGAATTTTTTTTTCTTTCAGCCGAATCTTGCTGTCTACGGGAATTTGGCAAACGTCAGAAAGGGAGGTGAAAGCGAAGCTCCCCCTCCGATTCCTGCCTATACTGTGGACAAACCCCAGCCAAGGTTAGCTCTTTTTGACGTACATTCTCTCTTTCTATTTATTCGCTGCCCCTGTTAGCCGCTCCTCTCTTTTTTTCCGAACACATGTAAGGTTTGTAACTAGAATAAGGAAGATGGTAAGTTTGGGCTCGGTTAAGAAATAGATGCTTGGGACAAGACGAACATCTTTCCTAATTTCTTTACCGAGCTCAAAACTTACCATCTTCCGTATTCTATTAACGAACATGCTGCTATCGACATCGCTGATCCTAGCAGTGTGCAGGACGCGTGTCATATATGAACTTCGTAACGTTCACCTTAGTCTCTGTAGCTCGGTGGTAGAGCAACGGAGCGCGAAATCCGAAAGTCTGAGGTTCGATTCCTCATGGGGACTCAGAATTTTTTTTCCTTTGTCCCACGCTCGTGACAAAACAAAAAACATCTTTCTCATGTGTAAGGTTTGTTTCTAGTAAGCCACTGGACGAAGTTTTTTCTTCTGTGACTGGTTGATTGTAACTTGCACCTCTTTCTCAACTAAGTGGCTATAATACCGCAACAAATCGTGGTTTTCCTGGTCAAGGGATTTCTGCTTCAATTTCCTCTTAGATTATTTTTCTGTTTTCTTTTACTGAGATAGATGTATGGAATTACTGCATTACCTGATATAACATTTTTGCGTCCTACGACGTTGTTACTTTCGATCAACAACGCAACTTAAGTGCGAGACAAATCGCTTATGTAGACCGCAACTTCGTGGAAAGGCGTACCATTTTGAATGTTCTGTAACCCCTTACACCCTTAGATCAGTATGCATATTCTTCATACTGTTCTCTGTATATTTCCTAAGGTGCTGACAAGGAGAATTTATGTAACAATCAAGAGCTTCTTTAGTTGGCAATAATCATCTCCTTTATTCTCTGGACCTTAGTGTGTGATGCATGGGTGATACTGTTCGGAGAAATTAGATGCTGGTCACGTTCGGGAGTCAAAGGGTTAAATTGAACTAGTTGTCAGTCTCATATCAGATGGCTTATAATTGACTTGTGTGTTTATTTTACTTCATATAAATCAGTGTTCCTCTTCTGCCTCTTTCAAGTACTACTAATATTACAGTCGGTGTTATTTTAAAAAAATACAATGATTAAAACAAAGAAGTGTTAAAATTAGCATTAATTCTTTCTAATTTCGTTGTTGGTCACTCATTGACATAATTTTATTTTTGTTATAGACTTCCCGGCGAAGGTGCTCAATCCAATACGTCTCCGAAACTTCCCCCTCGAGTAAGTGACGCATGGGTAGATATTGAATGAGTAAGATATCTTACTGAAAATTACTAGAAAGAGGTCGCTTGTAGAGGATTCACGGGGATAGGCATGAATTTTCACAGGATCAATTAAACCTTGTCTATCTCCCAGATACTGATTGACCGTCAGTATCAGTTAAATTCTTGAAAATTTGCCACGCTATTAACATGTTAGCTAAGGGAGCAATCGGTGTCCAAGGCCTAGGTGCTCATTTACCTTTGATTCAGTCCTTTAAGGAAGTGAAGTTCTAAGATTTAATAGCACTCTGTGAAATACTTTCATAGAGAAGTGCACCGTGACCGTACAGCTAATGAAAGTTGAGAATTTTACATGTCCTCTCTTGTGAATGTTCATATGCTTTAACAGAAAGCTGCACAAGTAAGTTCTGAGAAAAACTTGTGTTAATCTTGAACGACAATAATTGGGTTCCACAAAGTACAAAAAAGCGTCAATCGGCAAAATTTAACTTCGCATAACTTGTGAATTCGCAGAAGCTCCTAAAGGCAAAGAAAATGATTTTAGCTTTTTTTTCTCTCCCTGAAATTCGCGACAGGCAAAATCCAACTTCATATATTTTATTTCTTCCCTTTGTCTACATTCTTGCTGACATCATCGTGATATCTCTTTCATACGTGTGTTTCAATTTCTCTGTTGATCTGAATGATTTTCTTCTCAGGACGGTGATGGAACTCCGCCTCCTCTGGCTCCTAGAAAGATGGCAAATGTGTAGTTTTAAAGAAGAAAATCAGCACAATTTTTATACAAGAAAACAGTGATGAGTAATTTATACCTATTTGAATACTTGTAGCTCGACCGCTATGTCACGTCACTTTCCATTACTAGTTCGTCATGCAATCCTTCTTGTCACTAATGGAGTTGTATTGCGTGTCGTGCGTAGTAACTGCAGGCGTGCTTTTACAGACTAGAAATTATTTGTTTGGCTTGGCGCTGGGACAACATGGGTAACGAAATCGATATCTGCAAATCTGGGAAATTATGACCTTCATAGATTGCAGGTGCACATTTCTGTGAAACTGAGGAACCCTTCCCAGCTCTCTCCACTGTTATGTTTGAGATAGTAACCATGTTAGGACGAATACAATCTTTTTTCCTATTTTTTTTTTTTTTTGCTCTGCTTTTATCTTTGCATTGATGGCAGTATTTTTAGTTATATAGATGATCAATAACATTTTTTCCACGAATTACGAGCTACCATTTTTATTAACCGTTAAACACCCAAGATCTGATTGTTAATTCTCCTCTCTAGCTACTAGATATTTCTTTGTAAATTAGATACGAGAATTTGGTGTTAGATCAAGATTACAATTTCTACCTGATAAGTTTGAGTATTCTCATTAACATGTTTGATGGATAATATATGGATATTATAGGGAGAAGTTGCATGTTAATCACTTCTGGGAATTAAAGGAAACATGATTGCATGTTAAATATAGACAAATTGACGGGCTGGTATAGACATGTAGATAGCAGGTATTTTATAATGTAAATTGAATGCTGTTTACCCAATAATGCAGTTAGACTTGAATTACACTGATTTAATTAAATGAGGAATCTTTTCTCAAATAGTACTCAGATTTGGAAATGAAGCTCTATTGAATATTACCAATGATATAATTTGATGAAATTACAATTAGTTTAGCTAGAATAAAAGCTGCCAAAATGCAGTTACCAACTGATTTTATAATCAGCTTCTGAGCAAGCGTGTCTGTACAAAAATGTAGTCCTTAAATTACGTCCTAATCATTTTGTTCGGGTGTTTGCAGTTTGTTCTCATGGCATCGAAACGCTTTAAAGGTGCAATTTGAGAAGTGTGTGAAACCATTATTGGTTGCATGTCAGTAAATTTTCATGTTAATACCATATTTTAACTTGCGATTACATTGGCAGATCCAGGTTGGGGGGAGGGGGGAGGTATGGGGTACGAATCCCCCACCTTCCTTATCATACCCGCGCAGGTTTTTTTTACGTGAGTATCCACGTTACGATCCAATATGAAGTATTTAAAATTTGCTTTACTGGAAATATTTCTAAGCTTATTTCGGCTATAGTATTTCCAAAAGCAAAGTTTCTTCCTTCCCCTCCCCTCTGGATCCGCCCTTAATAGTCAGAGTTACATGTTTTTCATAGACAAGCTCAAGTTTAGGGTACAATAGATTTTTAAATAAAGAATTGATGCACAGAAGTGTCTTAATCAGTGAGTTAATTCTCTAAAGTGATGCTACTCACTCTTCGTTATTAACCCTTTCGCGCGCCCAGCGTCAGAATGCGTATTCTCTATACTGTTGTCCATGCACTTCCAAGGGGGCTGGCATGAAGAATTTGTTTAACAATCGGGAGCTTCTTTACTTGGTGATCATTTTATTTATTCTAGTGACCTTAGTGTTTGACTCGGGGATGATAAGTAAACATTGAATGTACTATTAACTCTTCATATTGTAATCACCTCTCACGTCCAGCCTCAAACGTGCACTCGCAGCTTTAGGCAGGACAAGGGCCCGACATTTGAAGTCTGCGAACAAAAAAGAATACAATCCAAATTATGACCTCATCTCAGAACAAAGCATTACATTTTCCTTCTCCTTTCCGGACTTTGGCCTCCAAAATCTTTACCCGTAAAAACTTGAGATACTGATGCGTCATTAACACAGTATGATAATGTCATTGATTAAAGACCCTTATGTTCAAAATGTATCCCTGTTTTAGAAAGCTAGTCAAACACCGTAGCATGTGGGGTGAAATGTGTCTTAATGGCTTATTTAGGAGAATCCCCCTCCCCCCTTCCCCCCTTGTGCCTTTGGCCGCCAATATAAGTGATGTAACGATAAAGTCTTCTATTGGTGAGCGCTAAGTAACACCAACGTCAGTATAAAGTTGACGTCAGGGAATAGGCCAAGAAGTATGAAGACGGTGTAATGGGAACTTACATAGTGAAGCATGTGCGTGGCACTGACAGTTTTGTTTTGAAAAGCTTGTTTGTAACATTGTGCTTGAGCTATCATTCCTTATCGACTGCTTTCTTCAAACGCGTCCCAATAACTTCATAATCGTAGAAACTACTGGTCCTGAAGGCTAGAGAATGATCTAGTTGCGCTTGGGAAGTTGACAGCATTTACCAAGAGCGCAGCAATAGGACAAAAGTTAAGGGAACAGATTACGCACTCAAAGTAACAGTGCGAGTGTAAGGCGACAGGAATAGATGGAAGAGAGTAAACGGCAAAGAAACTACTTTTCTGAACAGACTCAGCTTTAGTTGAAGGTTAAAAGTTATTAATAAATTGGCAATAGAAACAGGTTTTCCCACTAATTTGAGAAAGTGAGGGAAGGAGAAGGAGTGCTTATTCGAGGGAGGTGCCTATTTGATATTTTGGCCAAAAGGGTAGCGTTTATTCGGGGGAGGGCGCTTATTTTGACGTAGGCGCTTATTTTAGCGTGGGCGCGCGGGAAAAATTGGGTAAACCAGTTTATGACAGCTACACCACACATAGTACGTGTCTATAATTGTACAGCGGTGATTAGAGCCCAGCCTCCTGGAGTGTTAGGAAAATCACTGAAGTCTTCATTGCGTAAGAGAGAAGGTGAAGTATTCTATTTTTCGGTTGGGTTGTGGCATCATTTAGACGATTTTTAGCGTTTTATCGGAGTATTTCCTCGCTATGGATGATCCTGCAGTGTTGGGTGAGTATTTGAGCGGAAGTTACAAGCCGTATTTGGGCCTTGAAATTTCCGGGAAATCATTATTGTATTCGGTGCCATCGTAACACTTACAGAGAAGATTCACCAAAAGCCACTGTATTCGTTCGGAAAACACTGGACAGTTTTTTTTAACACCAACCAGGAGCTATGTACCCCTGACAATTATTTTAAGCCCAAGTGGTGCTTAAAAATTTAGGGTCAAAAACCTGTGACGTAACATGTTATTTCACTCACCTTGTCTAAGTAAGATTAGGGGTACTTTAAGAGACAAAATATACAGTCCGTGTTCAGAGTAAATTGTTTTAACGCGAGTTTCTGATAACCAGATAACTCACCCCTCTGAAATCAGGCCAGGGCAACAAACCTGGCACAAGAAGTTCAAGAACCATGTGTTTTTCATCTCTGTGAGGATAGCGAAGGGGAGTACTAATCTCGTTTTACTCAAGAGTTTTTTAGAAAAATGTATACTTAAAAAACATTTCACATGTCACAAGGTTAGAAGGGAAAAGTTCAAATCTCTTTCCTCATGTGTGAGGTTTCAGGAAATCTTGAGGTTTTCGCAAAATGCAAGAAAAAATTCACTGATTACTTACATTTCAGGGGGCAAATTATGCCTCACACTTGTTTACAAATTCATAGATTTACACATCACATATTTATTTTGGCCTTAATCAGACATCATATGTAACCCTTTGTCGCTTTCCTCAGTGAGATGAAATATTCTAATGTATGCCCTTCAGAGGGGACCTCATCAGATAACATGTGTCTACTGGAAGGAAAGAACTAAAATAGTAGATATACCTCTCTCTTACAAGTGGTACTGTGGTTTATGCCTTTGGGTAGAAGATTCAGCTTGTCTGCCATCTTTTACCACTAACTTTGACCTCATTTTATTATAAGTGCTAATTGAAGATTATGCAATTACTGAAATACCATCAAAGAAATTTGTATCACAGCCATTCCCAAGTTTTTAATAACAGGTTTATATCTGTGAATTGATTCCATATTCAAATTGTGCCATTAAGTTTGCAAACTTTGTGAAATCCTTGTGATATTTTCACAGAACAGCTTCCAGTCTTGCATCCAATCTGACAAAACAACATGGCATCTACAGTGACCTGCCTTGCTAATATTTCTTAGCCCTTCGTCTTTGAATTTGGTATTAAATCAGACAATATCTGCTAATAGATAAGTTTCTCCTTCCTCATCAACCTTCTTCTCAAAACTGTTTGTGTACTGTAAAGCAAAATTCCATTTTGATCACCCCTGGGTGTGAAAGCCCTTTATTTTTGATACACTTAATGCTGATCACTCAAACATTTTTTCTGTCAGCACTCACTCCACATACTGTTGATGACCCTGAGTCAGCAGCTACCAAGCAGCTTGTAAACCCAGACCGTGTTCACAGACATGGTGATCCATATGACTTGGTGGTGTTAGCCCAAGAGGTACAAAAGGCAGATCAGTTTGTTAGGTGTGCTGCAAGTAATAAACTGATACTGATTGCAGAGCAGATCCGTCATCTTCAGGAACAAGTAAGTTTTATATGGACTTACATTTTGGAAATTATTTTCCATTTCTCCTCTAGATTTTTCAGTAAACATCGCAGGGGATATCTCTTTAAACATGTTACTGGTAATCAAAAGTATCTAATGGCCATAAATCCTTGGCAACATGTATGGTTCATGCTTTTCTTTAGTTATTTTATTTTTCCAACTCCCTCTCCCCCCCTCCACTTTGTTACTCCCTTCAAACTTTATTTTACACCAAATGAGTTTTATGTTGTTGCTATTGTTGTAGAATGTCTACCTTGTTAGTACAATCATCAAGATATGGAAGACTTTTGAGGGCCAATTTTGATGATTTTTTTTTTTCACCTCAAGCTAAGCATTATTATCTTAACTATTGTTTCCAAGATGCAGCTATCAAAGAGTAACGTGTGATCTTAAGAGTAGTATTTCTGGATGTTTCATTGAAACAAAAACAAAATGGGTTGTGCTTGTATGGAGTTTTTTTAATTCATGGATTCCCACAATCAAACAGTAACAAATGACCTAAATCTTTTTTTCAGGCAAGGAAAGTTTTAGAAGAAACAAAAAGGGATGCAGAACTTCACCATGCTGCTTGCAACTTCAAGAAAAGACCAGGCCAAATGTATTACTTGTATAGACGAAGTAATGGAACAACATACTTCTCCATTCTATCACCAAAGGTAACAGGATTACAGTACACTCTCAAAGGATTATGTGTAGGAAAACATAACTAAAGTATGGACATTCTTGTGAATTAAATTTCAATTCTGAATTTTCTGGCACCAGATTATCCAACCACAACTCTAAGAATTTTTTTTTTCCATGAGCCCAGTGCTAGTGAAGGCAAGGTTGCACTTAGGAGAGTGCTGGCCAGCTGTGTCCCACATATTTGTGTGGTAGTCTAACTGTTTCATCAGACTTCAGTTATACCCAATCTCTCTGACAGAGGTCAAACAATTTTGTTCACTGTGCTGTCTTATCTTGTAAGTTGCAGTGAAAGCCATTTGTTCCTCACCCCACCTTTCCTATGGCAAATTAGGGAATTATTGGAGATTGCTTATCCCTTTGAAACCAAGGAGTGACTAGCATCTAATTTGTCCTAACAACATTGCCCCTGAATCAAAAGTTAAGTCACAAGAGTGAAGGAAATGATCATCTGGTAAAGAAGCTCTTGATTGATAACAAATTCTCCTTGTCAAAACCACAAGAAATGTATAGGGAACAGTATGGAGAATATGCATACTGTTGGTAGGGTGTAAAGGGTTATTGATCAATATGTTGAGGAAAGCACTGATATCTTAGGTAAGTAGCAAGTATATCATAAACTGTAGATGATTGTGGATTATTCCACATTAAATGTTAAATGTTGCCATTGATCTGTTCAGTGTAAGATCACAGATGACATAAACATTTGGTGAAAAATAATAAGTGACTTACATGACACAGTGGATTGTATAGCTGATGCTCTTACCACACATTTAAGCCTTCTGTGATTTGTTACTGAATAGACACATGGCAAATGGAAGCTATTTGTTGAAATAATTTAGTAGAAGAAAATTATCAATGATAATGTTATCTGTGATACATATATCCTCGAATAGATCAGAATTAAGAACCAATCAAAATGCAGGTACTATTAACCCTTAACTCCCATCAGTGACCAAGACAGAATTTCTCCTTACAACATCAATACAATGTCAACCAGACAAGTGATAAGAATGAAGAGAAATATCAACTTGGGGATATTTAGTTAATCCAACACAAGATTCTCTGAACTAACATAAAGAATTGTATGGTTGACGGTAAGGAGAATTACAAATTTGATCTGGGAGTTCAAAGGGTGAATAAATTGATTTTATGTTGTTGTGCATCTGTTCAGTAGTAGATCACAAATGACATCAAAATGTGGTTGGAATTAAAAAATATTCATAATTGATCATTACAAGTTTTTTTTTCTTTTTTTTTACCTTAGGAATGGGGCTCAAGCTGTCCACACGAGGCCTTGGGAGCCTATCGGCTTGAAGCAGATATGTCTTGGACAAAGGCTGAAGATGTAGAGCGTCGCAGCAAAGACATTGCTATGGTTGATCATCTACTTTCACAAGAAGTTCCAGCAATTGAATATGTTTTACCTGCTCATGACAACAATGGATTTTCAACCAAGCCAGCTATTAAACACAAGACTGTGATTGAAGATGTCAGCAACCAGGCAGATCCAATCGTGGAAGAACCACACTAAAGCACAGGTGGTATTTTGACAGAAGACATTTAATTACAAGCTTTTAAGGACATAGCAATGAAAGAAGGGCAGACACTTAGAGGAAGGATTTAATTTTTGACAATGATGACTACGCCTAGTGGAGCATAGGTGTGGACGAGACTGGAAAAATATTCAGAAAAATTTTAAGTGTGAGGTCCATTTTGAAATTACTCCTGAGTTCTTCAGCTGGGGGTCCTGTCTTCATCTGTGGAAGCTTCTGCAGTGAAAACTGCTATGTTATTTGCAAATATTTGGTAAACAATTTGATAGAAACCCATTAGCCTATAACAGAAGCAAAGAATGGCTTAGGTGTCCAATCACGGGTATCTAACAAGTTCTCATTGACCAGCACAATGATTATGTGCTACTTCAACATCAAATACAATAAAAGTTATCAAATCAAGACTTTGATTATATACATAATTAATGCTTTTAGAATCCAATTGATGGTTTTCAGTTTGCTCTGAAGTATAAATAAACAGAGGACCTTGGTTGGATATTAAATGTAAATCGCCTGTTTACCCTTGGTCAGTTCACAGGATTAGCTGTGATTCACTGGAGGGCTTCCCCTTGTACTTTTTTCTGTAGCTCACAAGGAAATTATCCGTCAACAGTGTTATGTTTATCAGTCCGTAACATGTAGTAACAATTGTATTGAATTAGAAACATAAAATGGTGGTACTTGTAGAAAATCTATTTTGTTTTTCACTTTTAAATTACAATTTATCTCTTGCTCTCCCCTCTTTCTATTATTTTTTAATTTTTTCTTGAGAGGGCACGGTAACGAATCTTGCAATCTGATTGGTTCCTTACCCGGTCAGTATTTTCCTATCTCTGCCCACGGGCCACGGTAACGCTTTCGTGAGTCGCCGAGTACATCCCAACTTTCGTTGCCATTTTTCATAACTATATCTCGTTTTTCCGGCTAGGCAGTGTTTTTAAGCAAACACGTCGGTCACTACCTCAAGCCGATGAATAACTTTTGAATCCTCTCTTTTCTCTCACTCAAATCACTTTGGTTGACAGAAAAATATTGGTTTCAGAATGAATTTGTATAAACAATAGTGTCATTACGTTGGTTAGCAAGCGGCCTAAAACCCGTCTGCAATTAATTCTAATCGTTCACAAAAAGTACCTAGAAAGTTAAAACGTGAGGTATTTGGTTACAGTTAAACTGAACGATGGAACTTTCATTCATTTAATACCTGAATTTTCTCAAGGAATTTGATCGCAGTTAAAGAGCGAGTGAAGGTTTAATTTAAGTTCTACAACAAAGAAACGCTCTCGGTGAGTCTTTCCAAGTCCGTTCAATTTGAACATTTGTACCGTAAATTGCACAACAGAAACAGAAGGAATTTTTTGAGAAAAGGCCGCAATAACACTCCTACCAATTAGTAATTTTTTCCTAGAATCTCTCAATATTGAACTCTACTGATCAAAACTGAATCGAATCGCAATTGTTAAGATGTTTGGGTATGAAAGAAGAAAAAAATACCATCTTTCCTATCCTAAAGTTAATAAAGGTTACAGATACTTGTAAAAATAATGTTTCAAAGTTTGTTTGGAAGCCTTTTAAACTATATTTACGGAAATGAAAATGTTTCGCTGAGGCATCTCTCTTGAATTTGCATCACCTCTATTTAACTACCATTTACTCGCTCAAAAACCGTTCAGTTTATGGAAGATCTTGCCGTATTTTCAGCCCTAAATCATTTGGGTTCTTTCGGAAAGAATTTCGTCAAGTTTAAAAAAAAAATATATATATTATTTACCGGCTAAGGGTCGGTCCGTATGGTGAAAAACTGTGACTTCGGTCTTGAAATGCTGCCCTCGGCCAGTATTTTCAAGACCTCGGTCACAGTTTTTCACCATACGGACCTCCCAGCCGGCAAATAACATATATTTACTCATTGCCGAAGAAAGAAATATTTATTTTGTCAGAACCTTGTGCACGGTAATATTAGAATCCATATTCCCCATACTCTTCTCTGGACATATCTTAGGGCTCTGACAAGGAGAATTTGTACAACAATCAAAGCATCTGAGATTGGCGATCATTTCCTTTATTATCATGATCTTAATGATTAGTTCAGAAGTGTTGCTGTGAGAACAAATTAGACGCTGGTCAGTCTTAGGATTTAAAGGGTTAGTGTTGTGCGCCCTTTTTTTTTTTTAGCTTTTTTGTTTTGTCTTGTTTTGTTTTATTTTGTTTTTGTTTTCTTGTTACTTCAATGTCGCGAGCTTCCTTTGTTTTCACTTCCCTGTTACTAAAGTGTCGCGCGCTCTCTTTTTTCCTGTTTGCTTGTTATTTAAGTATCTCGCACTCGTCTTGCATTTGATTCTCTTTTGATTGTTTTACGTTAGTGTCGCGCTCCATATCTCTCTGTTTTCATTTAAATGAAACATTAGTGTCGCGCGCTATCTTTGTTTTGCATCTGATTCTCTTTTTGCTCGATTTACGTCAGAGTAGCGCGCTCTCTTTGTTTTGCATCTGATTCTCTTTTTGCTAGATTTACGTCAGTGTCGCGCGCTATCTTTGTTTCGTTTGAATGTTTCGTGAGTGTTGCGTGTTCTGTTTGTATTATGTTTGATTGTTACGTTAGTTTCGCGCGCTTTCAATGTCACCCTTAGTTGTGTAGCACACTCTATGATTTGTGTTGGCATATTAATGTAGCGCACTTTCTGAATCATGTTTAACTGTTAAATGAGTGTTGTGCAATCTGCTGTCGTTACGTTGGTGATGTGCACTTCCTTTATGTTTGATCGTCAAGTTTCCCGATCTATTTGTGCCTTGCTTTATTGAAACGGTGGTGATGCAAGCTCTCTTTGTTTCTCCTGTCGTAATGGCAGTGATGTTTTCTGTTCTTGTTTCATATTTGCCTGTTAGATTAGTGATATGCCCTTTGTTCATTCTGCGGATTCTGTGGTTGATTGTTACGTTAGTGATGCGTGCTCTCTTAGTTATGTTTGATCGTTACCTTCCAGAGTTGCACGTGCAGTACTTTCGTGTTGTTAGTGATAAACGTCATATTGTTTGTCTTCGATTTCCTCGATGGTAAAGTGCGATCACCCGGCTTTTTATTCTCTTGCATTCCTTGACTCTTAGAACGTTTTACTATAGTTGTTGCAGGTGGGTACGGAGAGAACTGTTAGAGATCAAGGAAAACGTGATGCTCCGACTGAAAAAAAAGGCCATCCCCTTTTTTCCGTTTAGCGTCGAATGCGTTTTCTGATATTGGTTCGGTCGGTCAGATTGAAAAAAAAAACCGAAAAAACGAAAGAAGTCTCTGAATAGGAGGCCTGGTACCCCAGCATCATTGCTGTGGAGCCTGGAAACAACAAGACATGAACCCAAAATCAATATGGCGGAAACGTTGGTAGGTGTTAATGTATTATAAAGACAACGTGGGAAAATTGATAAACCACCGAAACTCCTATGCGACATGCCATGGCGATGAGGATGACGTTTAAAGTTATCATTAATATCTCAGTGGATTAACATCGAGGATGACGATAAAAGTTAATATTTACGTACTTGGATTAACAAAATGCACAATATACTGTAAAAAATGTTCCTGTTTTTTTTCCTGTTTTTCTCTAAACTGTTGCTATGCTCATTTTTCAGATTTAAAGAATTATTTAAAGTGAAAAATTGTTTAACTACGTCGTTACTTTTTTCTTTTTATTTTGAAAATCATATTTTGAAAATATAAAAAATTTGGGTCGGTCGGACGACACTAAACGGGGAAAGTAAAGAGGATGGAAAAAGATAGGAATCAAAGGAAGAGAGAAATTTTGAAAAAGAGAGAGACAAGGATTTAACATTTTTAAAAGCATTTAAAAAAACAGACAATTTTCCTGAGTATCGCAAAAATCAGGGTGATATAAAATATTTTCCTTCTTTTCTCTTCCTTATAATTTAAAAGAGATCTCTTTTTAAGAGGTATGGGTAATAATTATGTGCTGCAAAGATAGGTAACATAGTAAATGAAACGATGCCTGGTCATATTCAGAAGAAACATTAGCTGGTGGTGATCGGCACGAGATAAGAGAATTATGACTGACTTCACATGCATCTCACATGGTATTAAAAATCATCAGTTGTTCTGATGTACAGTACAATGTTTAACTTAAAACCAGTGTAATTTTCTGATATTCTTGTTCAAACGAGGCTGAAGTCTTATTCAAACTTGATCCTATACTAGAAGTCAGAGTAAAACTACTCAGTTGATATTTTCCCGCTTCGTTGCACAAGCTACAGTCGAAAAGAATTTGATTGGTGTAACGCGGTCATTAAATACCTCCAGGTTAATAAATATTGATGTGATGTAACCACCCTTTTCAGCACTTGCTGTGCACATCCCAGTCTCAAGCGCCTGGTAATCACTGTAAAGAAACATGGCTGAACAAAAGTGAGTGAATATTTCTGTTTCTTTACTCGTTATTCCCGACGAAAAGTTTCGACATCACTGTAAACTAATAGTGTTATGAGCCCGTGATCTTCAATAACTATCATCTCGTACTAAAATGGCATTCCATTCGCTCGACGTGGAGCTCTGAGTTCGAAGAGTCTAGCCCAAAGTTGCAAAATGTTAAGACATTGTCAAAATTCTCAACGTCTTTCTGTTCTCTCTTCTCATTTGCATCGCAGGGCAGACATAGCTTTGATCGGTTTGGCTGTTATGGTAAGTAAAATTATAGATTCTGAAGTTGTCTTAGTCAATATTTTGGCCAAGCATGATTGTGCAAATTTCGACACAGCTAGTTGAACTCAGAGATTTTTCTCTTATCTTTTAGGGTCAAAACCTGATCCTAAACATGAACGATCATGGATTTGTGGTAAGTTTTACTTCTTAATTTGCTAAAAGTTTAATGACTGCTCAAGTTTAAGTGAGTTTTGACAATTTAGGATTGCATGACATCAATTTATTCGTGTGCTTTTAATATTTATTTTTTCTTTGTTCTTAGTCTTTGTAATTTATTATAATATTTACGCTCAGCGCTAAACATTAATTCTTTCGATGTTTTGGAGTTATGTAGGTATGTCTTGCTCGTATTTTCAGGAGTTTCAAGTAATCTGTTAGTTCAAAATCTTCCATTTTAGAAAAACAGATCATTCCCGCTTCACTGGTTACACATCACTATCATTGCTTTTTTCCTTGTTCAACTTAGCTTTACGTCATGTGGCAATGAAAAGAACAAGGCAGTCTGACTCTTTGATCTGTGGTTTCCCTTAACATCAACATCAGTTGGAAAGATATATAGATAGCCAATCGCATGATAGCAATCAATGGCACACTTTTAAGCCATTGTTTTTTTTCGTGTGTTAGGTCCAATATTTTACACCTAGTTGAATTGAATATTTGCAAACAAGGAGCCTTTGCAAAATGACATAGTGAAAATTATTTGTTTGGTAATTTGACATTTTGTGGTTTCGTCTTGTTACATATCAAACTAAAATTCATTCAGTGATATTAATAGATAATGATAGATAATGATATTCAATGATATGAATAGAAGAACTTGATAACTCCTTAACTGTATTTTCCCTGTACAGCTAATTGAAAGCAAGTCAGCAACTATTCCCTCAGACTTGATCAGTTTTAACTATATAAATGCAATGGATTTTGTCGATACAAAGTAGTCAAATTTAGGAACCATTGTATATTGGCATATTATGTTTAGGAACTTTTTGGGACAGTTTGTTTTTGCATATAAATTACAGGGCTCTCTATGAATTTGAAATGATACAAAATACAGTCACCAATTTTCTCTTCACTTGGAAACCTAAACAGAATGCCTCTTTTAATTTTCTATCTACACACCCTTAGGGAATTTTTTCCTGTTACATAGAAAGTCTTGGTGCTATTTATAAGTATTGAGTGAAAACCATGACGTGCTTTGTCAATCTTAAAGGGTGGACATCATGCGACATTAGACAATTTCATTACCTATGACTCATAGAGGTCAACAAACATTCACAAAAAGCTGCCAAATAAACAAGGATGTTAAGCATTTACGTCAAAGAATAGACGATTGAAAGTAAAACTCTGAATTCTTCTCAATGATTCTATTCTCAGTTTGTAAATATTTGCAATCAGGTAGGAGAACTTAAATGTATGAAATTAAAACAGGCATGGATGAAGAATTAATGAAGATTAAAGCTTACTTAATTCATAAGGGTTAACTTGAAAAACATTTCCTTTCTTTTTCCAAGTTTATTTCAATTTGGATCACTCTTTGTCTAGTATCATTTTGTTTCTTGGAAGTCATCCTTGTTTATTTTAAATTTGTTAATTGGCAAAAAGAAGACAAACTTTGATTAATTTATGAACTATTTTGAATCCATAAATGTGTTTCTTGATAAACAGTAACCAAACAAAAAATATTTTTTAATGATTTGAAGCAAGGTTATTTCTTTTCCACAAACAAGTAACATCATTTTACTTTGAGTTATACTCATGGAAGATTGATATTTTATTTATTTTTTTTTTTTTAAGGTCTGTGCCTTTAACAGAACTGTTGAAAAAGTTGACAGATTTTTAGCAAATGAAGCTAAAGGTAATGATTTAATGTAGACATAATCTTTGGAAAACATTTATTTCAATAGGCAGATGCCTTCAACAAAGATTTCTTATGTGCCAGTGAAATTCAGACCAAAGTGCATGTTACAATCATATGGCACTCACTTGATGCAGACATCAGGCATGTATGAGACAGCTACATTTGTGGGTTGGTGTACCTTATGGAAAAGAAAGTTCACCAGAACCTCATTTGATGAATGTTATTGCTTTTTTTTTTTCTTATGCATGCATGCATATAACTTAAACATTTCATTTAATTATAGTTAAGTGGAAACTAGTACCTCTATCAATTGTAGATATTCAATTTGGTAGGATATTAGATATCAAGGATGCATCCAGAAATTTTTGGGAGATGCGGAGGCTTAATGATATGATAAGTTTGCTGGACTCTGGGTCAATAGGTGCAGGTTCAAGACCTCGCCTGGTCATTGTACTTTATTTTTGCCAGCAAACTTTAGGGTAAGTGTGATGAAAATGGTGAACCTTGCGGCAGACAGGTATCCCATCCAGGGGGAGAAGTAGTACTCCTAGTTGCTTCATGCAACAGAAACTAAGATAACGCCACTTGGCTCAGGTACAGACTTTACCCTTCCCCTTAAAATTGACTGACCCACACCTGCAGAACCTCCTGTTGTATGTGCCTTGAAAATTTCTTTTATTTGAATTCATTCCCTTGTGTCCCATAACAAATCCTGTGGGATTAGACTTGCTTCTAAACAACTATCATTTGCACACACCATACTCTCCAGGTACGAAAGTCATAGGTGCCAAGTCAATGGAAGATATGGTATCCAAGTTGAAGAAACCAAGACGGGTCATGATGCTGGTTAAAGCTGGTTCTGCTGTGGATGATTTCATTGCACAGCTGGTAACTTCAGCAGAGCAATAATCCAAGACTAGTTGATTTTCTTATTATTTCTTCATGATTGTGAAAATACATGAGATAAAAGGGTTTTTTTTCTCAATTTTGTCTTTTTTTTTCTTTTCATCACCAGGGGTTTGATATTAACCCTTTAACTCCAGATCAAATTTGTCATTCTCCTTACCGTCAACCATACAATTCTCATAATGTTAGCTCAGAGAATTAAGTATTGGATCAACTAATTATCCCCAAATAGATATTTTTCTTTATTCTCATCACTTATTTGTTTGATATTGTATTGATATTGTAAGGAGAAATTCTGTCTTGGTCACTCATGGGAGTTTAAGGGTTGATAGTTTTTTTTATATAAAGGTTCATTTTCCTTTACCAGTGTAATTGTTTTCATCAAAACAGCATGAAGTTAGTCACTCTATTGAGGCAGGAATGCTACTGCAAATATTATACAACAGAAATTCACATCATGACATCTACTTCTATCTGAATAGGTTCCACTTCTGGAGCCAGGTGACATTATCATTGATGGAGGAAACTCAGAATACAGAGATTCAATTGTAAGTGCTGTTCAACAGACCAAAAAAAATGGACTGAATATAAATTCAGTGACCTTCATTTAGTGGAAAAAAGGTTCTTAGCAGCATTTTACCTGTTTTAAAAATGGCACACTTTCTGAGGGCTTAGGTTAGGGAAAAGTAAAAGCTTTGTGGAAGGAAAATGTATGAATGTATTTTTGGGCCATATAGAGGCTATGATGTTTTATATGCATCAAACATAAAAGGCAATGCATGGAACGAAATATTTATGAACAGCTTGCTTTAAATTAAAAAAACATGCAATACAGGATATCAATCATTAGCATAGACAAAAGCTGGTCTTACTTTTCAAAACTATTTGAAAAACAGAGACGCTGCAAGGAGCTAGAATCCAAAAAATTGTTGTTTGTTGGGAGTGGAGTGAGTGGTGGTGAAGATGGTGCCCGTTATGGTCCTTCTCTTATGCCAGGAGGATCAGATGCAGCATGGTATGTTGTGCACAATATTTGAAATGAACTGATCAAACATGTTATGTCTTATTTGCTAGAGACTTTCACATTGCACAAAAGTAGCTCCATCATGCTGTGACAAAGGGCTAACACTTGCAACATCAGCTCTAGAAACTCTTTACAGTGGCTAATTTACATTATTAACTCAGTTGTAAAAAATAAATTATCATGTAATATCCCCCCTGGAGACAAAGAACCACAATTTTTTTAGAAATTTACCCGCCTAGCTTCAACAAAGTGGTGTATTTTGAGAGACTACATTTTTCAAGTTTGTGATATAATTTATATGATTCATGTCATTCTTCTCCATCCCATGCCTATTCTTCCCTATTTGGCGTCCTTTTACACCAGGAGCAATATTGTAGTTATAACCTTAACTACTTCACATCATATGAAGAGCAATTTTATAACTCAAAATATCATGATTCATTAGTTCCCTTCAATTTTCTTTTATTTCAACAATTCTCCTGATAGTGTTAGCATAAGTTGGTTATAGTTGCCCTTCTGTATGCCAGTTATTAGATGCTCAATGGGTAGCATGAATTCTGTTTGTCAGCCCTGAGTCAGGTCTGACTAGATGCTCTAGACAACCCTAAAATTTAGGGGTAAACCTTGAGTACATGCAAACCTTACAGGAAACCTGATAGAATATTGGGGTAGAAGGCATATCAATTCTGCTGTTCTTAGATTTGATAGTAAGTCATAACACCTGAATTTTCCTTCTCCATTCTTTAAAGCAGATTACATTGTATTGGCAGCAGTAATTATTATTATGATCTATAAATGTGATGGCACATTTTAATTTGTTATTTTGTGAAGATATGCAGCATTTTAACTCATCTTCCCATGGCCCAAGGTTGTTACTAAGCCACATAAAGCTGATCAACCTGATGACTATGTGTGTTTGGATATATTGTCCTGAGAATATTAACTGTCTACTGTTTTCTTTTGTGTTCATTAGGGCACACATCAAACCCATCTTTCAGTCAATAGCTGCTAAAGTTGGATCTGAGCCATGCTGTGACTGGGTAAGGGAAATATTTGGATTTTACTGCTTTTTGAGTTACATGATACAAGATTATCTTGATGTGTTTTTGTATTTTTACGTTGCACAAACCTTAACTTTATCTAACAGTTGGATTGCTCTGATTTTTCCAACCCCCTTGTGTTTAGACGTGGTTATGTTAAAGTTCTCTAAGGCACTACAGCTGTAAGATAACAAATTCAATTACTTGTCTGATCAACCCACCAAAAAAATGGGGTAAAAAAATGTTTTTTTTGTGTGTTTTCATTCTTTCAGGTTGGAGGAGATGGTGCTGGTCACTTTGTCAAAATGGTTCACAATGGCATTGAATATGGAGATATGCAGGTATGTGAAAATTATTATCTTTGTCATTTAGGTGTGTAGACTTTGGATGGCATAGATTCATATTTTTATGAACATAATTGTGTTGCTTTTATTTGATCTCATGTACTTTTTTTCACAATATTGCTCCATATCCTATTGATATTTTATCAGGAGCTATTTATTTGGGCTCTGGTTTCTACTCTTGATTCACTCAGAGTGACAGTTTTTAACAATTGACCCCCTTAAGTGAGCAACTAATTTTCTAAAAGGTCAAGAAATTGCCTCCAGTAGAAACCATTATGGTTGGAAAAGTGTTGCAAGTAACCACATACAACTTTGGGGTTTGGTTGTATTTCATGTAATAGAACACTTGCTTTATTTGTAACCTTGACTTAGTCTGGGGTCTGCAAAACCCTTTTGAAGCTTTCAATATTCCCTCAAGGTTAGGATGTCTTGATCCATTATTCTGCCCCTTTGATTTGCTTATTGTCAACATTGAAAAGCTTTCTGTTATTTATTCATTTTTTTTTGTTTGCTTTTTGTAATCTGAAGCTGATCTGTGAAGCCTATCACCTCATGAAGAATGCCCTTGGCATGTCAACAGATGAAATGAGCAAGGTTTGTACATCACCTTATGTCAACCTTTTACACCATAATATCAGTATTCATATTCTCCATACTGGTCTCCATACATTTCCCAACATACCGATGAGAAGAATTTCTTAAACCAACAATCCAGAGCTTTTTCAGTATGTGATCATTTCCTCTTAATCTTGTGACCTCAATATGTGATTCAGAGTTGATAATGTAAGGAGAAATTAGATGTCAGTCACAAGGATTCACGAATGAGTAGTAAACAACTGTTGAAGAGATAGATAAAGATTTTCTATTTATTTGAAAACAAACCACACAATGAAGCCACAACAATTAACATGTGCTGTTTGCATGACAGGTCTTTGTGGAATGGAATAAGGGAGAGCTAGACTCATTCTTGATTGAAATTACCAAAGACATTCTTGCCTACAAGGATTCTGACGGCTCCCCTCTGGTTGAAAAAATTAGAGATTCTGCTGGCCAGGTAAAGTGATATTGTTTTGGTACTTTTGTAGCTATTAGATGTGAATATGTGACTAGAATATCTGATCATGGTGACTAACAATAATTCTTTATTTATTCAGAAAGGAACTGGCAAATGGACAGCAATTTCAGCCTTAGAATATGGAATGCCAGTCACTCTCATTGGTAATTATAAGTTATTTCAAATTTAATTTATTCAGTGTTTCACCTATTTTAAAGAAGTGTTTTCTCTGTGTGTACTATAGGTGAGTCTGTGTTTGCTCGTTGCCTCTCCTCGCTACAGGCAGAGCGTGTTGAAGCCAGTTCACATCTCAAAGGACCTGCTACCTCAAAGTATACAGGAGATAAAAAGGAATTTATTGAACATATTAGAAAGGTAAATTAATATCAAGTGAACCACAGCTTAAAGACAGATGGGTTGTTCTGAGGTGTAAGCTTAACCCATTAATTCCCAAGATCTGATTGCCAATTCTTCCCTCTTGCTGCTACACATTTCCCCCTAAATAAGTTACAATAATTTGATATTAGATCAAGATAAAAACTTCCACCTGATAAGTTTGAGTATTCTCCAATACTGTAAGGAGAAATTAGATGCTAGTCACTCTTAAAGGTTAAAGAGTTAAGTGACTCAAAGTATAGTAACATGACCTGAAGAGAAGGATATGGAAGGATAGCTCCCGGCCAGAAATAACAACACAAGAGGCATGAAGTTGATATTTTGTATGTACGATATACAAATACAAGCAGATACTTTCCTTTGCGCAAGAGTCAGCCACAACCACACACTTTACATTTATTCACTCAAAACTTAGTACACCTTAGCAAGGTTCAGCAACTTAAGTGAAAAATAATCTAATTTCTGATTGTAATGAATTTATTTAATACCATTGAACAGGCTCTGTATGCATCGAAGATTGTGTCCTATGCTCAGGGCTTCATGTTGATGAGGGAGGCAGCCAAAGAGTTTAATTGGACATTGAATTATGGCGGTATTGCTCTCATGTGGAGGGGAGGCTGCATCATAAGGAGGTAAATCCGGCGATGTGTTCTTGTTTATGAGTCTCTGCGGGTAAATTGATTACTTTGGATATCCTTGTCTTTTTCTGAACATTCGGCATTGGCAAAAGATTTGTTATAACTACTTGGAGCGCATTTCGATTGAGTATCGTATCCCATCAGAGCAAAGGAAATATTACAAAGAGCTGATGAGAACTTAAAGTATAAGGAGCAAACTATCATTCAAGTGATTAAAGAGAGGAGAGATTGAAAAGGTGTCTCGTCAGCCATCATAGAGGCAACAAATTGAATTACATTATTCAGTTACAACCTTCAGAGTACTTAGCGTTGAGGAAGGCTCTCTTGTCAAGCAAATCCTTCGAGGTCGTCAAAGGTTTTGAACTGGATGGGGCGGGAGTCTTCGGTTTGCCATAGATAGATGGTAAAGCTCTTACACCAACAAAACCTGAAACCATCACGAATTTGAATTTTTTTTTTTGTATCCGCCAGGAGTTGTTGGACTTGCGGAGTAAGATTATCGTAGAGCTTCATGTTCTCTAAAGTGCAATCGGCTGGTAAACCTATTAAAGAAGCTTATCTTTCATGTTGATGTTACTTCCTTCTCAACAAGTGGTACTAAGAAATCTCCCATTTTACTTCGTCACTGTTCATAACCTTTTCAAATTCTCTCTCTTTCGTTTATTTGCAGTGTTTTCCTAGGTAACATCAAGGATGCATTTATCAAGAATCCTTCTCTTCAGAATCTGTTGTTAGACGATTTCTTCAAAGATGCCATTCACAATTGCCAGGTAAGCCATGCACAGCTTCGTTTTTAAATATTCCTTTGACAGACAATCCGAAAGAAGGACATTTTCGAAAGAGCCAATGAAATCTTTCCGTTGAAACTCTTAACCGGCCTTGAGTGCATGAAAGCGAGAGTGAAAAAAGTTCCATCTGATTGGTTGAGAAGTTGGCGACAGCATTTTAAAGCAGTCCTAGAGCTCATTTGCTCTTACTTAAGCAAAACTATCACATTAACGAATTTCTTTCGACGCCCCATTTTAAACGTTGCCATCGTTCTAATAAAGACTTAGAACAAATGTTTGAAAAATCAAATTTCAAATTTGATGTATTTGAATGTTATAATTCGAATATATGAAGTGTGGCAAGAGATGTGATCAAGGTGACGTGGTTTTTTCTTTGGCTAGTTTTCTTGATTGCATTTCTTTCATTTTTGTAGGATTCTTGGCGAAAAGTGGTTGCTGCTGCTGTGACTCTTGGGATACCTACTCCAGCATTCAGCACAGCACTTGCCTTTTACGATGGCTATAGGTAACTTCATTTCTATTCTTATGAATTATAAAGATGATGTGAAGTTAACTTAAGTGATCACCCTTGCTAAATGAAACGTTACTCCTCTTAGATTTAAATCAGTGAAATGCATAAACATTTAGGAACAGAATAAGAAAATCCACAGATAAATATTTTTATGTTTTCATTCTGTTTGCAGATCGGCCCGCCTTCCAGCCAACCTTATTCAGGTAAAGGCTAAATTCTGTGCTAATAGCATTTTATTTTTACGACTTTGTAACGCAAGCAACAAACACATACAATTTTGAACAAGATCACTCAAGTAGACTCACTGATTAAAGAAACACGAAAAAAAATTATAGTAAAAAGTTCTGAGATCAAACGTTAGAATCATTAAACCCTACACACCTCAGTGGTATAAACTAAAGTAACTTATGCCACAAGGACTCTCGTACATCCATGGCGATAAGAAATCGTCAAAATACCTCTCTCATTTCCACTTGCGTTGTAATTCCGCTGATCGTAAAGAAGTTCGTGTTTATTTGTTATCGCAGGCGCAACGTGACTATTTTGGTGCCCATACCTACGAGTTGCTAAGCAAACCCGGTCATTTTGTGCACACCAACTGGACTGGTCATGGAGGCTCCGTATCCTCAACCACCTACCAGGCCTAATCAGCGAGGGACTCAAAACACGGAGAATGATGAGCGACAAATGGTTTTAATTGTTGCGCCGTAATTTGTCTTTGTTGCAGTCCAGTGAATCAGCACTCTCCCATACGTAATTCAGTATTTCAATGTTAGCTATGAAAAAAAAATTGCAACAGTAGTGTTTTAGAAGAAATTCGCAGCAAGGAATTAAACAGGAGGCTAAAACACCATCAACTGTTAAAGGAAATAAAACATTTGGTTTTCTAAAGGGTGTGATTTATTTGATTTATTAGCATGGCTGATGTTCTTCCGATTTTAAAGTTAGAGTTCACAAAGTACGGTAATAAGGAGAAGGAAAAAAAAAAAAGAAAAAGAAAACACTGTTGACGTTTCAAAGTCTTGCTTCTTTCTTCGTTACCTCCGTTGGAAATCTTCTTTACAAGCTCTTTGTCAAACCGTCACCATAGGAACGAGTACCATTTAAAATTATTCTTTTACGAATCGCTGATAAATGTTCCAAAATCAATTTATCCGTTCCGAAATACTTCTTTTCTTTTCTTGAAGGTGCTCTTCCATGATTTGTGGCTTGTTCTCGAGCCATGAATTAAAGAAGGAACCGACACCCACTGTGATTTCGACGGCCATCGAAAGTTTGATAAGGCTTTTCGCAAGCGCTCCGTGAACAATTTCAGTGTCCTGTATAGCCAAACCAACCCTTATTCGTAAGTAAACCAATTACAAGTGACTCAACAGGAATCGTTTCCGTGGTTTTTTGCGAGCGACTCGAAAAGAATGTTCTGAGGTTTTTCACAAAGTGGACTGAATGTCGTTAAATCTCTTTAGTAATGCAAATTAGATCGACTCTCTTTGCCGGTGCAGAGAAAGACAGAGATCTAGTCACTTATACTTGCCCATGAAAATGGTTAATAAATACCATTTTCTAGGAATTTCTCTGCAACTTTTTGTTCTATTCTTTTTATATCGGCTTTTCTTCGTAAAGGAAACTGTTATTGTTCATAGCTCAGTGTCGGGAAAGTTTTCCAATCCCCAGACGTTTAAAAGTGACAAAAAATTGCGACAGCGGACGGTGGATTTTACCTGGAATAATATACCACGGAGATCTCGGCCCCCTGAAGATGATATGCACGAGAAGTGGATTGTTCTTACCACTGTAAACCCACCCACGGCAGATGTGAAGAAGTTAGCGGGCATGAAAGGCTGGAAGGTTGTAGTAGTCGGTGACACAAAAACACCTACGGATTGGAGGTATGTTGTTAATATTTTGTTACTTGGATGATTTTTTATTTCATTTTAAGATTTGTATATTACAATTTTAAACAACAACAACAGAGTCAACAGGTGTCTCTAAAGCTAAAAAGACTTAGGAAAAAAATGGTGTTTTTCGTGATAAAATCTGAGTTTGTTGTTCAAATAGGATTTTGTTTCGAAATTAAGAGATCCTCGCAACTAAGAACACTATTGAACTAGTAGTCAAAAATTGGACCTGAAAAAAATTTAGGCCTGTACGGGATTTGAACCCAGGACCTCTGCGATACTGGTGCAGCGCTCTACCAACTAAGCTAACAAGCCAACTGGGAGCTGGTCACTGTGTTGGGTCCAAATAAACCATCTAAGTGATGAATGCTGATTTTAGATGTTTTGTGGAAATCTTAACTTTCTTGTTTTGTTAATATATTTTTTTGTTATCAAAATCCGTATAATTTTCTTGTACAAAAAAAAAACTCTTGATTTCTTTATGAACTGTATCAGCCCTCTTCTTCTTTCTACCGATGAGTTTCCTTTGTCTTGGGCAGAAAAACTCATTTTATTCCCCTCTGTTTCTTCGAGGTTGTGTGACAGTCTGTAAGATTGATTAAATATAGTTGAATTTCAATTCATTCAATTAATCCCACATTGATTTACTGATGTAGAGCAGTTTTCAATTGAATTTCTTTAACAAAACCAAATAAAAATAATCACAACAACCAATCATAGCAAAGTTTCGTCATCAGTAGTCAATGAGGACTCAAAAGGACTCAAGGTAAAAACAGGCAAACTACCAAAACAGTGAGAAAACGCAGGCGACTAAGGGACGTTACTAAAGTGTGGATGAGCAGACCGCGGAACCTGCAGAACCATTAATTTTCTGGTTAAAAAAAAATGAAGAGCGCAACTGTTTATTTCCATGCAAACCCTTGCATTTCACCCGTTGCGCAACGTGAACATATTTGCATATTCACAGATCGAGGCTGACTGTAGGAGCTTAGGCTGACTGTAGGAGCTTAGGCTGACTGTAGGAGCTTGGGCATCCTGTGGTTGGACGTCAAGGTAGATAAAAAAAAATACATTCCCCTCCTGAAGTTATCTTCTTTTTAGCTGGAAACGAACTTTCAATAAGCATCAAGGTCTTTTTGTTTTTAATTTATTTGACTTCTTTTCTTTTACAAAAATAGTATGGGGTTCAGCAGGTTCCGGGGGTTCCGCGGTTTACTGATTGGCAATTTAGTAACACTCACGATCAAGTCACAGTTGGTTTTACTTTGGCGTCTGATTGGTTAAGTGCATAGAGTGAGTTTTCTAGACCAATCACAGACCAGAGTAAAGCAAACTCGAAGCAATCCTTGACTTCTTTCTCCACTCAGTTGACTGTGACGTTTCTTTTTTCTATTTTTATAGTTATCCCAATTGTGTTTTCCTCAGCATTGAAAAACAAAAGACTCTAGGGTATCGCATTCATGATTTGCTGCCCTATAACAGTTATGGTCGTAAAAACATCGGCTACCTGTATGCCATCCAACATGGAGCAAAAATAATTTATGAAACAGATGATGACAACTCACCAGCAAGAGGAGATATTGCTTTCCACCATCAGCTGGAAACCGGTGATTTCTATGTGTACAAAACGGATTCTACGGTAGTAAATCCATATGAACACTTTGGACAGACTACTATTTGGCCTAGAGGGTACCCATTAGAACGCATTGCTGATCGCTCATCACACAACTTCCTCAAATGCAGAGGGGCGGACACATCCATACAACAGGGTGTAGTAAATGGTGACCCGGATGTGGACGCCATATTTCGTTTAACAAGAAAAGACAAAGGTGTAGACTTGAAAGTAGAGTTTGATGCTGACGCACCTCCTGTTGTTCTTCCTCCAAACACGATGGCTCCATTTAACTCACAAAACACGCTGTTCTTTAACAAAGCCTTATGGGGCATGTTGCTGCCAATCACCGTGTCATTTCGAGTATGTGATATCTGGCGTGGTTACTGGGCACAGCGGTTGCTATGGGATGTTGGATCGCAGCTGTCGTTTTTCCCGCCAAACGCTGTTCAGTTTCGAAATGCTCACAATTATCTTGATGATTTCATCGAAGAGAAACTGCTCTACCATGATGCTGGGCGCTTGGTAGAATTTCTGGTAAAATGGAGATCTGACGAAAACGATTTCTTCAGCAGAGTTCTAGATCTGAGCATAGCAATGGTTCAAGAGGGCTTTTGGAAGACTGATGACGCCTTCTTGACAGAAGCTTGGCTCGCTGATCTGATTAGCGTTGGGTATGAAATGCCAATTTTAAAAAATTCTCATAAGCCATGTCAAGAAATTATAGGCGAGATTGAGCTTCCACCGAAAGAACAACCGTCCTCGTATTTACGAGAGGGTGATGATCTGAAACTTTTATAATCAGGCGGAATTCTTATATTGAAGAACAGAGATCTAGTTTCGTCTCACGAGTGAAATCAGAAAAGCAGTCATTTTTGAGCTCAAGAGCAGCTCATTCCCGTAAATTACCCTCAGCTTCCTCTATTTCTTAGCTTGAGCCCAAAGGATGCAAAATTATTACAGGATAGATGCTAAGGGGCGAAGGAACGACTGTTGCCCCCAGAAAGTCAATGTGTTTTTCATTTAAAGTGTTCCGTGCAATGAACTTTGCAAAATAAGGAGCTGAGAACAGTCGATGCTGTTGAAAAATGCATGAAGTTACCTTTTTTGATGGAAAACAGAGGAATTTTTTTATTGCATTTGACTATTATTTTACATGGGAATGATCTTGTCAATCATTAAAGGAAGTCTTGTTATAAAATGGCACGATGTTATATATGGAAATACTGCGATTAGGTTAGTCAGAGATCAAAGGAATCTGACATTTAGAAGTAATGTCTAACGGGGTTTTATGCCCAATAGTCTCCTTTGCAGCCTTTCCTTTCAGTGCTACGTAACGGAGGGCGAGTTTTCTTGTCCAGTTACGTTTCCCATTCAAAGGCTTTTTAATTCTTATCATAAAATGTAAACCTTGTGCTTTGTTGTCAGTAGTCCAGTTCAAACTTGAAGATTCAACATATTATTAGAGGCTCTTTCTGGTATTCTTCTTTCGCACCATAATATTATTACAGATGCATACGATAGCCTACTTAGATGATTATAAGCGATAACACGGCTGTGGAATAAAGGTAAGGATACCTACACGTTATAATTCTCGCTTTTACTATCCATTTTTTTTCTTCAACTTTTATATTATTTTTCTTTCTCTCTCTTTTTTTTATTTATTATTATTTTTTTTTTTTTTACGACACACGCCTACGCTTATGATAATGATCTTTAGACCCCTGACACGCAGAGTAGACTGTGCCTACTGTGCGCGAGATAAAACAGCCCGTGATCAAATGCAGTCTGAGTTACCCTGAGTATGGCTCGCAAGCGAAAAATGGCGTAGCCTGCGTGTAGCTGTACCCCTCCCTCCCCCTTCAAGGAGTAACGGGGGAGGGCACGGCTACACGTTGCCTAAATATAGCGGGACTCTCTCACCCCCTCCGGAAAACTGATCTTCAGCATTCTTGTCAAGGGGTGCGCCGCCTTAATTGGCTATATCGTTATTCTTTCCTTATTCGTTTCCACACCTTCGTTGTGAAATTTCAAAAGTACGGGAAAGCCATAGAGAACCAGGCTAGAAACTCACAGAAAGAAACCAAGTTTGTATTAGAAAAACAAAAAAAATAAAATAGTGAACCTTGCAATTAGCCTCGACCTGATGTACTCGACCCAGTACTAACAAACAGGGTAGGCAGAATGAGAGCTCAGTAACAGCACAACTACAAGACCGATCTCTGAGCTAACAATTTGTGATGTCTAGGGCTTGGACTACCTTTATCACGGCATTTGCCGTTGTACTGCTACTTGGTGTATCTTATACACTCATTCGCAATAATACTACGACTCCTCTCATATCTGCTTCAAAGGATTACCTTGTAAATTGGAACGAACGGCAACGATTGTCGAAGTCTTCAAATAACACCAACTCCGCTGATTCGTTTGTGGAGATAAATTTGAAAGAAGTCAATTGGAAAGAAATCCCTCGATTGCCATCGCCTCCGAAAGGAGAAATGCACGAAAAATGGATAGTTCTGACCACGATAAATACTCCTACAGCAGATGTGAAGAAGTTGGCTGGTATAGAAGGCTGGAAAGTTGTAGTTGTGGGTGATACTAAAACGCCGGCAGATTGGAGGTAAACTATGTTGCTCTTACTTTCCCTTGTAGAGAGATTATATTTATGAATGCAAGCCTTGACGTAACGAATTTAAACTAAAAACTGGGTGTCAGTGTGCGCATTGAAGTGGGACAATTTAATGAACATAGCGTTCCGCGAGGCAATAGACGGTAAAATTTTCGCACAGCCCCATACTTCATTATGCATTCAGTTCTTGGATAGAGAAAACAATGACAAAAGCAATACATTACCATTGGGAAAACAGATTTGTTTACAATAGTATGGGGCTGTGCGGAAATTTTACCGATTCCTAATACAGCGACTAAAATGCCGGAGGTTTTCTTTGTTTCTTTGGGTGTTCTCTTCGAAAAAAAATATCATTTTCTGAATTATTATTATTTTTTTAGATAAAGGATGCAAAAGTTCTTTAAGGCTGGTAATTCACTTTTTTGGAAGTAGAGTTTTTAAGAGGCCCATTAATAACGTTACATGCATGCAATAAATATTAATTTGAGGTCCACAGAGAGAACTAGTTAAACTGCAAAAGTTGCTAAGAGATTTTGGTTTTCTCTGTGAACTTCAAACCATTATTTATTAAAACTGAAGCAGAGGAAAAATAAGTCAGATACATACTTCAGTTTCAAGTGGCCAAAAGGCTTGTTGTTTCTTCTTGTACAATCAATCGCATGCAGATGCTTTAAATTTTAATGCAAAAATTCAAATAGAAAAAATGGTAAAACCTAGCAGTAAAGAAAACTTAGTTTTTATGGAAGGATTACTGTTGTTGAAACACTTGACCACTCAAAACTGTGTTTGTTACACATGAGCATAATCTTTGAAAATAAACTAGCTGATTTTCAATAATATTTGGGATGGTAATCCAGCAAATGTGAGGTGGTGGTCTTAAAATGTGACTTTTCTATAATGGAAAGAATGTTAAAAAATGCTTGGGTCAATAAGATACAAAACACATCCAACGCCTCATGGAAAACCATCGCAACCTTTGCCTTTCTAACTAAATGTAATCATAAAATGAAACTGCTTAACCTACAAAAAATCTTGTCCCTTTTTTACCTAGTGATTTAGCAATACAGGCAAGTATTTTATAAGTTTAAACCCTTCAGAGGGAAATAGAACTAATTATGAACCTGAAATTATATTGATCAACAGGCAAATTTTAATAAAAAAAAAATCAGTTTTTCTTTAAAAAAAAAAAAATTCTTGAATGACATCTTACATTTGTGTAACTTAATGAATACATGTGGGGAATTCTTCTCATTTTGATCATTCAGAGCAAAGTTCCTAATGAATGTACCCTTTTCTACTCACCATGGTGAAATCAATACCATCCCATGCAAATGGAAATCTTTTGTCAAAAAAATGGGCTGACTGAGGTCCAAAATGTGATGCATAACAAGGGCTTTTTTGTGAGGCATATTTATTCTAGAATTCTAAAAACTATTTTGGAACCACCATCAGTTGGAGATAAAATCTTTAGACATGGCTTTTCAAAACTCAATGTACACAAAATATACTTATTACTTTTTATTATAACGAAAGATGTATGCTGATGATGCTTGTATACAGAATTCATAACATACTTCCTATCACAAACCTGTTTTGGTACAGAATCAGACAGTGTCTTCTGCTCTTTGGGCAAAACTGAAAAGAAACCTTAGACTACTTGTTACTTCAATGTGGCATCACAGCAACCTTTTTGGTATAATTTGAAGATTTGTGGCATAGACATAAAACCAAAAGCTTTCCAAATGCTTGATATTTGCTTAGCATTTTATTTAGTGTTTACTAGGCATCTTTTCAAATAAAAGAATGCAAGAACATTAGTACTTATACAAATGAAAACTCTGTGTTGCAGTTTTTACTTAAATTATCTTTCTATATTTCTGTAAAGCTACAAGAAAAATTTTATTATAAACTGAAAAATATCAAAAGTTACCTTTTTTTGTTTTCTTTTACAGTCATCCAAACTGCATTTTCTTGAGTGTGGAAAAACAAAAGTCATTGGGATATTATATTCATGATTTACTGCCTTATAAGAGTTATGCCCGTAAAAACATAGGTTACCTTTATGCCATCCAACATGGAGCAAAAATAATATATGAAACAGATGATGACAACTCACCAACAAGTGGAAAAATAACTTTCCACCAGCAAGAAACTGGTGATTTCCTTGTGTACAGGACTGATTCTGTTGTGGTTAATCCTTACGAGCACTTTGGACAGAGTACTATTTGGCCTAGAGGGTATCCATTGGAACACATTGCTGATCCACCATCACACCAGTTTGTCAAATGCCCTGGGGTGGACACAGCCATACAGCAGGGTGTTGTTAATGGGGACCCAGATGTGGATGCCATCTTTCGTTTAACAAGAAAGGACCAGGGAGTGGACTTAAAAGTCGAGTTTGATGCTGACGCACCACCTGTTGTTCTTCCACCACACACAATGGCTCCTTTTAACTCACAAAACACACTGTTCTTGAACAAAGCCTTATGGGGCATGTTGCTACCAATCACAGTGGCATTTCGAGTCTGTGATATCTGGCGTGGGTACTGGGCACAGCGGTTGTTGTGGGATGTTGGATCGCAGCTGTCATTTTTCCCACCAAACGCTGTTCAGTTTCGAAATGCTCACAACTATCTTGATGATTTCATAGATGAGAAAATGCTCTATCATGATGCTGGGCGTTTAGTGGAATTTCTGGTGAAATGGAAATCTGACAAAAACAACTTCTTCAGCAGAGTTTTAGATCTTAGCACAGCAATGGTCCAAGAAGGCTTCTGGGAGATGAAGGATGCCATGTTAACAGAAGCTTGGCTAACTGATTTAATAAGGGTTGGGTATGAAATGCCATCCATTCCAACTGAACCAAAGGCATGCTTGAGACATACAGTGGGTGGGGAAACAGTACTGTACTTCAAAGAAAAGCCGTCCTCGTATTTGAGGGCAGGTAAAGAGTTAAAGTATATATTAGAGCAAAAAGCAGGATCAGCTTTTTTCTATAGGGAAAAGAGGGGATGATATGTTTGGGGAATCTTTCAAGTTAATGCCTCCACAGATCTAATACTTTTATGATTGGAATTATAGATAACACCCTCCTCATAGTTGTTATCAATTCTCTCCATTTTCAAGGTTGTTCTTGAAAGGTTATTTATGTCATGTCATGTCATTCTGTACTCAAGCCATAACACTTTCATCAGTGTTTATGCTGTTCCATGGTTGGTGGACTGTTTTGCACATCTAAGAATAATTATTTACACTGTATTGGATAAGGTTGAGTATGATATCTTGAATTATCAAGATCTCATACTCAACTTGGCTGTGGCGGGTAACTTAGACACAAGCTTCTTTGATTCATAATATGTAAAAACCAAATTCAACAATTGCTTTGTCATACTTTTTTAAACAGTCTGCAAAAGAAGACAAATTCCAGTACCAAAGACCATTTGGATTCAAGGTATTAAGTCTATTGTAAAGTAATATTTGAAATGCCCAGCTTGGCACACAAGAGTTTTGCAATTTTCAAGGTTGTTCTGAATGTGCCAATTAAAGATAAGATGACAATTGCTATTATTGTTATTATTATTTTCGTTGTTATATTATCAATCAAATGTTAAGTTTCATAGCGAGTGACTATAAGGTATCCATTCCAGTCTGTAAAGTAAGAAGGCCCTTTTGGCCATGATTGAACCAATGCAAGCTTGACGTGTGAATCTCATAAAATTTCTGGTTTTGAAGTTTGGTTTTCCATTTTTTTGAGTCCAAATCCTGAAAAGCTGTTATCTCTAAAGGCATGGCAGGGGGTTTGCTGGGTAGGCCAGTATATCAACATTTGATGGCAACTTTAAGTAATGTGATCACATTTCAACTACACAGAGTCCCAAGAAATTTGGTATTGTAAGTCCAGGGTGGTTGAATGCCATGCTAGAAAATTAGCATCCTCTGTCACCCCGTTCACCTTGCTATTAAAAAATTGATTAAAAAAGTGAAAAGTTAAGTGGATTGAGAACAATTTCTGGGGATAAGTAATTTAATTTTCTTCTTGAGGTGGATTGAGCTGGGATAGAGAGGTAGGTGGAGATCTAACTCCCTTATAGACAGAAATCCATTAAATTACAAGGAATGAAAGTGTTTTACGCCAGCAATGAAAATGTTTTTAAACCATTGTATTTGACTAAGAGAATATCAACAATTGCTCTTGAGTTAACTGTTCTTTGTCAAGTATTTAGTATTTGATTACAATGAAATTAAATTCTGAGATGTATTGTCTGTGGAGAACAGCTTGGGGTAACCTGCATGGCAGATTTTATGGTGAAAGTAATGAAATTACTTATGGTCGTTGGGCAGATTTTAGGCCGTTTAACTTAGCTTTAGTTCGTCGGTATCCAGTCGTTTTGTACCCACAGTCGTTTCGTTTCAATTCTCAATTGAGAGCGAAGAAGATGAACGAAACTCGGCAAAAACTATTTCCTGATTGTAGGAGATTCGTTGTTACTAAAACAAGGGATGCCCTTAAATGAGAAAAAAATGACCTAAAATGACCTTGAGTGATTTCTGAAATGACCTAAAGTAACCTTGACTGATGTCTCGACCTAAATGATCGAAAATAACCTTCACTGACTAAAATGACGTTTAAACTTTACTGGAACAATTTGAAATAGTAATTGCCAGCGATATACAACAGAACAACAGAACTGAATGCGCGAGCTGAGAGCTTACCTTCTCGGTTTTATCTAATAGTATGCCACTTTAGATCACTTAGAACAACCTTAGATCATTGTGCTACAACCAGCTACTATTGTGGATCTCTTTAGCTAGACTTAAACGTCATTTTTGGTTATTTTAAACATCAATCAAGGTTATTTTCATTTCTGACCATCTTAGACACCATCAAAATTATTTTAGGTTTTTTATTTTTATTTTAGTTCACTGTGCAAATCACTCGAGGTCATTTTAGGTCATTCCTTGCTTCAGTAATTACGGTCGGAGATTACAGTATGTAGTGATGGCGTAGCTCAGTATCTAGTCTTCTATAGCTCAGGGGCAATGTATTGAGGCGCGAATAGAAATTCAGAATTTTTCCTTTATAACACTCTCGTGACAACAACGACCCAATAATGAAATTACCTAAGGTTAATGTATCGCTGGCAGCATCCGTGGGCAATATGAAGGGAATCATGTGTTCTGATTGGCAGTCCAAGTGGGAAACAAAGGCCAAACTTGTCAATATATTTACTTCCTCTCGGTCCATAAAAACGAAAGAAGAGAACTTGGCCAATATCCAGCCATCTTCAGCCTCACGCTTGGTCAATAACGCATATACAGTAGATCCTCGAAAATTCTTTCTCTTTTAAAACAGAATCGAAGTTAAGGTTGTTGTCAAGAAAATCTGGTCAAAATGTTAAGAAATAGGAATCTTCATCAAACGTCAAAAACAGAGAAAAAGTCGCGAGGGAGCCCGAGCAGCGTGAGGCTTTTACGAAATTCGAAATATTTCTCTCGCGAAGTTCCGGAGCGTGACAACAACCGAGGTATTTTCTCTTGTCCAACTTTAAAAAATATTTTCTCCGGAACAAATCACTCTATGTTAGCTTATTATCTGCTGAATGATACTGTCCAGTTTCTATGTAGGTCCGCGGTAATGCGGAGGCTTCTCAGTTTTGCGTTTAGAGCTTGCTTGCGCCTTAAAAAAACAAAACCTGAGAAGAATTTTGCTGTTTTCATAAGTTTAACTTTATAAGCTTTACATTTATAAACAGTTTTTTATGGTTTCTGTTGTAGTGCACGTAGGACGATTTTTCCGAAAGGCACCTTACTACAGTAACCTTGAGCAGCTGTATGGGAAATGAGCCCGCGTTCCTTCGCCCGCGGGTAAGTTTTGGAAAGTTCCAAGTCCGCAACTGAGGAAACAAGAGAAGGCGAACAACAATGTTACTCTGGGAGTAAGTAATCACACGATAAGAAAATTTTGGTCAAGCCATGTCTAAATCGTGGGTTTTAGTCGCGTTGTTCATTCAATTAATCATCTTAATTTTCGTGTATCGACTGTTTAAAAATGATTCCGCTCATACTGAACAAGGGAAGATTATTGGTGCGCAGATGGACTCCACTCAAACGCAGGAGTTGACAAACTCAGCTTTGAGACAAATAGAAGCCATTGAAATCGACTGGAGTAAAATACCACAAAAACAGACGCCTCCGAAGGGAGATATGCACGACAAATGGATAGTTCTGACGACAATTAATGCGCCGACATCAGATGTGAAGAAGTTGGCCGGTATTGAAGGCTGGAAGGTTGTAGTTGTAGGTGATACGAAAACACCGGCAGACTGGAGGTACACCATATTTATATGTTTATTTATGGTAATAACTCTTTGAGGGCTTTGATATTTTTCTGCGGAAGGAAAATCTGCCGAATTTAATCAAACTAGTGAGATTTCACGTCTTTTCTTTCAGAAGCAAACAATAATTTGCATTTGTTCAGGTGTGATATGCCACAAGGAATCGAAACAAAAGCTTTAGCCCCAGTGGTGCGTAACGCAGAATTATGGTATATTCTTAGAACGTCCTTGATTTTTTAGTAAATGAAGAAATGATTCGATTCACTCTTTCTCAAGGAAATTCGAAAGTTAGGATTCTACTGAAGTTTTGGATGTGACAAGATCAATATCAACCCAACTTTATATTATTTTGATCGCGTGCAACACGTCATCGCCAGATTAGCACGAAATTACCATAGCGCTATGTGATAGTTATTTCCCGCATTTGGTTTTTTAAGGGCAACAAATACTCACAAAAAATATACAACAGTAGCCACCGACTTATATTTCGTTAATTTGCATTAATTAACTAGCAGGAAGATGTACTATTTTCCACAACACGGGCGCACGTAAACTTTGTTTCGTCTTAGAGAGAAATCAGTGTAAATTTTTTGCCTGTTCGACATTCGAAAAATCGAATACATGGTTTGCCATAGTTTTATCCACGTAAATTGGCGCTCGATATCAAGCTGGATAAAATTTGTGAAATGGTCGTGACAATAATATGAGTCGCAGAGGATTGTTTTGGAGATAAATAAACACGAAGGGATTTGTCCTAAGGACCTGTCGCATCAGCTTGTTACATGGTAACACAATTTTGTTCACATGTATCCAGTGAAAACGATCACCGAAAACACATCTTCTCTAAAATGCATTCCAGAGGAGAGGTTTTTAAAAGCGCCATTTTGCTGTGCTCGTGTGGACAGTTAAAACCATGACGGAGGTTTCTGAAAATATATTCATGATTTATTCGGTCGGGCCGCGCATGAGAAAAGACTAAGCAACATGGCGGACGGATGCAAGCTGTTTGTTTCACTCCTAATTTGGGCTACTTGCACTATTTGCAAGCATCAAGCCTTTTTTTCAGCTGCATTTTTTATGTCAGTTGTGCCAGGCGATTACGTAGGAAGACGACGCAACATAATCACGCTTCTTTCTGCAGTGGTCTCTAAAACAGGTGGCAAAAGATGATCAATTGAAAATCGAATACATGGTTGCATGCCTTTGAATACCAACTAGTCATCGCGAAAGACTGGAGGGAGAATTTGCTATCTCCATATTTTTTTAGCGCAAGATATTAGTGGGTACGCATGCTCATATCAAAGGTGGTTCGGTTTTTGGTCACTGTTTCGTTGGTGTGCGAACTGGCAAGAACGATTGAAAAACGCAATGTGTAGACTGGCGATTTATTAGTCGAAGGAAAATCCTTGTATTAATTCAAAAACGAATACGTGTAGGCGGGACTTGAGAGCTATAAACGCAGGTAACAACAAAGGTCGAGAGGGTCTGGGTATAGGGAAGAGTTGGGAACGGTCAGAATAAAGAGCTTGACCATATTTTGCTTTGTTCATTTCTACAGCCATCCCAATTGCGTTTTCCTGAGTGTTGAAAAACAAAAATCTCTGGGATATCGCATCCACGACTTGCTTCCGTACAAAAGTTATGCGCGGAAAAACATCGGATACCTTTATGCCATTCAACATGGGGCTAAAATTATCTACGAAACAGATGACGATAACTCACCAACAAGTGGGAAAATAACCTTTCACCAGTCAGAGCTGGGTGACTTCAACGTCTACAAGACGGAATCGATGGTAGTTAATCCTTACGAACACTTTGGACAGAGTACTATTTGGCCTAGAGGGTACCCATTGGAACACATAGCTGATCCCCCGTCACACAAGTTTGTTAAATGTCAAGGGGTGGACACATCCATACAGCAGGGCGTAGTAAATGGTGACCCAGATGTGGACGCTGTCTTTCGTCTAACAAGAAAGGACAAAGGTGTGGACTTAAAAGTAGAGTTTGCTGCTGACGCACTACCAATTGTTCTTCCTCCAAACACGATGGCTCCTTTTAACTCCCAAAACACGCTGTTCTTGAACAAAGCCTTGTGGGGCATGTTGATACCAATCACAGTGGCATTTCGAGTCTGTGATATCTGGCGTGGTTACTGGGCACAGCGGTTGCTATGGGATGTTGGCTCGCAGCTGTCATTTTTCCCGCCAAATGCTGTTCAGTTTCGAAATGCTCACAACTATCTTGATGATTTCATAGATGAGAAAATGTTTTACCATAATGCTGGGCGTTTCGTCGAGTTCTTGATTAAATGGAAATCTGACAAAAGGGATTTCTTCAGCAGAGTTCTAGATCTGAGCATAGCAATGGTTCGAGAAGGCTTCTGGGAGATCAAGGATGCCATGTTAACAAAAGCATGGTTAGAAGATTTAGTTAGCGTTGGGTATCACATGCCAGCTTTAAACCCTGCTCATCAGTCATGCGAAAAGACGATAGGAGCAGAAACTGAACTGCGCACGAAAGAGAAACCATCGTCATACCTACGCGCGGGGAGCAAACTACAAAATTTAGAATTATAATAAGGTTATAATTACTAATGTCGAATCAAAAAGGTGTAAGAATTTAAATGAATAAATTGGTTCGCTTTTGTAGTCACCTTTGTGACTGCTCCTCCAGTTTTCCAGTCAAGGCAGTACATAGCCTGACATCAGTATGCATATTTTCTACACTATTCACCCATTTCCTATATATATCGTTAAAAAAGGGGGATTTATGAAACAATCAAAAGCCTCTTTACTTGGCGATCATTTCCTCAATTTTCATGTCCTTAAAGTTTGATTTAGGAGTAATACTGTTTGTGATACTGTAATCACTGTAGCATGTGTAGGGACAATTATAGACACTGCATAAATTGGAAGGGCTGTTTATGTTAATGTGATAGAATAGGTCGTATGGTTACATTTTGTATTGTTCCAATTTTTGAGGATAAAGTTTTAATAAAAGTCATGAGCAAACTTGTTTTAGTATTTGGTGTATCGAGTTATCTTAAAACTCACCGATATTAACGTTAAGCTCTGAACTCCCTTGAGTGGCTAAAACAATTTCTCTTCACAATATTAATGCAGCATCAAGCAGACAAATGAATAGAATAAAGAAACATAGCGATGAGGGGGTTTATTAGTTGATCCAATTTTAAATTCTCCGGACTGACACATTAGAACTGTATGACACACAGTGAGGAGAATTACTAGTGAAAACCTGGGAGGGGAGGGTCAAGGAGAGATTCTTATGAATACTGAACGGTTCCGGTGGAGGCATTTGTGAGAGGGTCTCAGAGGGATGATGGCTTTTACGGTTAACAATTAAGATTTCGGCCACTTTATGGGTAACGGTTGACTTCTTTCCACTTTTTTTCAAATGATAATTTTTACGGTTAACTTTTTTTTTACGACCAACGGTTCAAACTCGTCCGTTATTACGCCTTACGGCTAATTTTTTTGTGCCGTCTTATGGCTAACGGTTAACCCTATTTAGATCATCTTGAGAATGCAGTTCATGTGAAAAGTTATGTAGGTGCAACGAAGGATAAGGAAACAACACAAAAACACGCTGGCTTTCTTGTTCCTCGGTCCAAATTCAAAAAATTGCGAACGGAATATTTGAAATTTATCTAAATCAAAAAGAAATTAAAACTACTGAAAGTAACCACTGATAGCTTGAGGCAAAAGAGAGGTTAATTCTGATGTTAAATGCAAACAGAAAAATTCAAACTTGACCGTTTGTTTTTCTCAGTCGTGCGTACGCTGGGACGAAAAGTGAATAGGAAATTTTCTGCTTTTTTCCAATAAAGCATAGTTTTAAGGATAGGAAAGTTAAGTCAAAGATCATTTTTGCGGTAAGTGGATAACGGAGCAATATGTCTGGCACAGTCTAGAGACTGCGATTTTACGCCTCTATCTCCTTCGGTATACATACTGTAAGAATCAGAAGAAGCAAGGACTTATTGTAACAATTTCAATAGTGCGAATGCAGTAATTCGTTCGCATTTAATTCTTGCGCATACTGAACGACTCGCTCTAATAAATGCGACAGAATTGGAACGAAATGGCTGATTTTCTTTATCTTAATTACGGAATTTTGAGTTGTGATTGAAAAGAACATCGACAAAAAGCTTGCCAATAGAATTAGTTTCCAAATATGATATGAATGACGCTTCAAGGGATATTTTGTTAGGGTAGTCCAATCCTGCGAAGAGGGATCCATACCCGCTAGCGGATTTGGACGTGGGGGGTACAAATCAGCGGGGGTCCTAACCGCTGTGACACCGGTAACTAACGGCGTGATTTCATTCAGTCTGTATGTATACATAACAAACGGCTTAATCTGGCTTAGTCGGTAAATATATATACTGTAAGATTTAACGCCGTTAGTTAAAGGTGTAATTTCTTACAGTGGGTAATATATATACTGTAAGATTTTACGCCTTTAATTAATGGCGTAATTTCTTCAAGTCGGTGACACATGATATAAATACTGTAAGATTTTCCGCCGTTAACTAACGGCGTAATTTCATCCAGTCGGTTATGTATATATTGTAAATTTTACGCCGTTAATATAATTTAATTACATATCAATTTATCATAATTAATGTATCGACGCAGATAGTAGGGTAAAAACGTGCAGTCTCTAGACTGTGTTAGTCACACTTTGCGCCGTTAGGCCATCCTTTTTTTCTCCGTTTAGTGTCGTCCGACAGACCCAAATTTTTAGCATTTAAAAAAAAAAGAAAAGGCAGCAACGAACTAAGTTAAACCATTTTTCACTGTAAATAATTATTTTAATCTGAGTAATGAGCATTATAACAGCATAGAGAAAAACAGGGACAAAATCAGGAACTTTTTTTGACAATATATTGTGCATTTTGTTCATCCAAATACGTAAATAATAACTTTAAACGTCATCCTCACTGCCATGGTATGTCGCATAGGAGTTTCGGTGGTTGATCCTTTTTCCCAAGTTGTCTTGATTAATATTCCACGCTCCACGGCAATGATGCTGGGGTACCAGGCCTCCTATTTAGAGACTTTTTGTAACTTTTTTTTTTCCCAGGCTTTTTCTTTTCAATCTGACCGACCAACCCAATATCAGGAAACGCATTTGATGCTAAACGAAAAAAAAAAAAAGGAACAGCCTAATCTTTATTCCCGCAGCCCTCTTCCTTCCTTTTCGATTTAAGTTCAGTAGAAGCTCCTTCCCCTCTTGGTTTATTCTAACACAGGCAGCCCAAGCTCCATCAGTGAGATGATCATCTTGCGAAATAAAAGTCGTAGCAAAGTTATAAGAGTTTGTATGAGAATATTTACGACCGCTTTCAGAATTTAAAAAATACAGTCAAATTCTCACAAAAAGTACCTCACCTTACTTCCGCAGTGCATCGCTTGTTATTTAACCGCTTTACTATGTTGAAAAGAACCCATTTTAGCGAGTTATCCATTTCTTGGTTTACTACTTAATTCCCATGTTCTAAAGTTTGAAGTAGGAGTAATACTGTGATACTGTAATCACGGCAGCATGTCTAGGGACGATTCATTACTGCGCTCAGCTGGACTGTGAATAGTTTGCAGTGCTCATTCTGTCGTTTTAAATCCTCTTATACCCTCATGTGAGGTTTATTACAGTAGATTCGGTTGAAACCTCAACGAGTAGAAAGGATTGTTTTCAGTAACTATTTCGCAAGAAACAAGACAATTTTTTAAAATAAAACCATTAACTCCTTCATTCTTCATAGCAAAGGAAAGAAGGACAACTTTCCACATGAAACACGGGCCAATGGTTCACCGGATCTCAGATAGAGGGAGATGGGTTCCTCGAGACCAGGATGGATTTGAGCCCTGGTAGATATCATTATAAGGCCCGCATTCCTCTAGCTTCCTCCAGCCTCTCGGTTAGGGAAGACAAACGTAAAAATCAGCGGGGCTATAAGAAGGAATGGTGCGAATCTCTTAGTCCCCTCACCCACCTTCCTCCCCCACCTCGCGCTTTTTCCCTCGCTCACTCTACTCTTTTGCTCTTTTAAACTGAGTCCCTAAACCAAAACAGCTTTTTTTTTATTATACTTTTTATAAAGCAACATCGCGTGATAAAAACAATCACATGTCAGGTAATGTTAAAGCAGCATGGACAGCATTTCGTGACGCCTCTAGATCAACTCTTACAGGCTTGGATATCGACTTTAAGTAAAAGGGTTGGGATTAATTCGCAAAACAAAAAAACAAGCCAACACGCTGCAGTTCTAGTTTGCGTCCAAAAGTTCAAATCTTCCCATATCCAAAGTCTACATATAAAATTGATCAAAGGTCACGTCATAACTTATTTACAGACTAGCTCCAAGTACGCCTGGGCCTGCACTAAAATTTTGTATTTGAAACGAAGCAAAATGTATAATTTCTAGATTTAAGTACCATGTGCAAAGTTCAATCCTCTTGATTCCAGTCATTCAATCCATCGAGTTTCCTACTTCATGTGTCTCAAAAAGTTCGTGCCCAGAATGAAGGTTATAGCTCTTTCTAAATCGACGGGGTTCAATAATCGTAAGAATGAAGATGCTCCTTGCCACTAAATCGAAAATCCTACCAACCTCACAGCAGATTTTCTCACTAACTTCCACTCCACGTATTTCATTTTTCTGTTCTTTGTGCTTTTTCTTGCCAGGACCAAACATAGGAGACTAAAACATGAGTACAGCACCAGCGCGAAGGCCGACCATTTACTAACAAGTCCATTCGCAATTGCGAGCCACAGTACGACGATTGTGCCACAGCTGAGAGCTACAGTGTTTATAATTAGCCTGAGAAGGGGAGCAATTCCCAGAAGAATGAATACTACCTTCAAGATTGGCGGCATTTTGAACGAATACAATTCACATTTGTTGGCTCGTGAGCATTTTGTCGTATTACTTGTTTTGATTCCCAGTGTATCCTAAGTGGGTCAGCGGCTAAAGTCACGTGATCTCCTCGCACATGCCGCCAAAAGGGAACAATATGGCGTCCTTCTCTTCTACGACCACAACATTTCGTTTGAGAATACGAAAGATGAAACGAGAAAGTAGTTAGAAAAAATATGATATGAAGGAAAATTAACCCTGTTAAACGGATTTTACGATGATGTTCCAGCAGGCCCCCCAACAATCGCTTAAGATTGTCCCAAAGCCTGCAACAACGTCGACAGCTCAACCTGCTACTGCCTCTGCCGAGTCTCAAGATGACAATCGGTTTCGGCAGCCCATTACTTTTGATGGAAAACGGATGAGAAAGGCTGTTATGCGAAAAACTGTTGATTATAACTCCTCTGTTGTTAAACTAATCGAGGTACGACAACTTTTTCTCGCCGTAAAACGGTTGAATCAGTCAACTTCACAGTGTCATGCTTGCATGACGTTGTGAGCTCTGAACATTTCTTTGTGTTGCTAAAGAACTCACTTTATATTGTCACTACAAAGAAAGTCCTTAATGTGAATCAGATCATAACTCAATCTTAAATAGTTTCTCACGTACACGCAAGTTAAATGTACTGAACGAGCAGAGATCCTTAGTAAATGTGCAACATCATTTACTAGACTTCGACTACACTGATTTCGTGAAAAGGTCAAAATTCAAGGTTACCACGATCTTTGAGTCATCCACGATAAAAGAGAAACTTGCTCTTACCTTTACTGTCATTTGATTTTTAATTTTTTCAAAGGGTTGTTGCAAATTTTTTTGTAGCCAAAATTTCAGAATTCTATTTATTCACAAAAGGCTATTGTTTCCTTTTTTAGAACAGAAAATGGTTCAAAGATTTAAGCAAGAGGAGTGGAATGCAGCCAGATGATAGCTTCTCTTCTGATGTAAATATTGACTCTTTGACTCCTGAGATTGTCAAGGGAATTCTCCTTACTGTGTGCCATACATTTTGTAATTATTTTATAGTTGAGTAATTTATATGAGCTCTTTAACTCCCTTGAGTGACCAACATAGAACATGTCCTTATAGTATCAAACAAGCATGTGATGAGAATGAATAGAAATATCAATTAGTAGATTATTAGTTGATCCAATACCAATTCTCCAATCATAAGAACTGTATGGTAGAACTGTATGGAGAATTACTACTGAGATCTTGGAAGTATCTCCTTTTCTTTATCCTGATTTACCATCTGCTTAGCAAACTTGTGATAAGCAAAGAAATTTCTCATTCCTTGGAGAGAAAGGGTTTTCTGAGAAAGATAATTCAATCGATGTTAACTTCAGAAATAGTTGCTACCAAAATTGAACACATTTTTCAAGTGTTGTGTAATTACAAAAAAAGGCTAAAGATAGAAATATCAACAAGAGCCATAGAAAACTTAAATTAAAATACAGTTGATCTCAAGCTGAGGAAATTGATTGATATGGTGGCACATGGTTTAAGGTGTGCAGTGAAATGGTTGAGATAGTCTGAAGGGTTTTTAGTGTTGCTCAAAAATGGCTAAGCAAACCACAGAAATTTAAATTTACTCAACTCACTTTGCTAGTAATCATTAAATAGCTTTGTGGGTTGGTTTTGTCGGGTGTTTTGATTTATTGTTTACATTTTGGTAGATTACAGTGTTTTCTCTCTTCTTTAGGTGTTCCCACCAGCTTGCCTCATGGAGAATCCCATCAATGCTGTTACCACAAAGTTTGTGCGAACGTCAACCAATAAACTGAGATGTCCAATATTTTGTGTTGCTGTATGTAGCACATTGTTCAAATACTTACTTGTAGTTAAATGTAGTTATCATAGAGTGTATACTTGTAAGCGTAGTTCATTTGCTGTTCTTCTCATGAGCCGATATGAATTATAATGTGAAATGACAGATTAAATTCTGATTTGCTGAGACATTTTTCAGTTTTGGTTAAGCTGTGAATAGTGGCTTTTTATCTGATATATTTTCCAAATATCATTTGAACTGAATAAAATGCACTAATGAAGAGGCTGAGGAAGAATCTTCTCATCCAGGCTCTTTCTTCAAGTCCAAGCCTCTTTCAAAGAGTTGTGAACTTTGTTTGCTGACCCCAAATTTGTCTCTCAAAAGTTGGAATTTTCCCGGTTTTTAAAAAAAATTCCCAATTCTCTTTAGCTTTTTGTCCATTTTTTTGTTTCCTGACTTATGTTATCAATTCCAAACAGGATTTTTAGGATTGGACACTCACACTGGTGGAAGCGTACTTTTTGAAGAATGAGATAAAATGAATATGACCATGAATTTGTGTTGTTTAAGTTGAAATTCAAGCTCTTTTTACACAATTTTTAGTTAAAAATCATGCATTATGATTCAATTTCTAAAGTGTTGTGTCACTTTTTGTTTGGATTTAAATTTCAGTGGACTCCAGAGGGAAGGAGACTGGTAACTGGAGCCTCCAGTGGAGAGTTCACCCTCTGGAATGGATTGACATTTAATTTTGAAACAATTTTGCAAGTATGTAACCAGCAATGAAATGCATATTATAACTTTGAATGAAATGGGAATGGTTGGCTGATTGAAATGATTATTTCAGTGACGGCATTCCAGAGTGTGGTAAAACACTGATGATCATTTTTGAGACATGATATATGTACCCAAGGAAGGTACAGTAACTAGTTTTTTAAAAAGAAAAAGGGTAAAAAATTTGAAGAAAATATTAATTGAGGGATTCTTAGTTGATCCAACATGAAATTCTCCAAACTAACATCATAAGGATTGTATGGTAAACAATAAGGAGAATTACTCAGGAGATCTGTGGATTGAAAGGGTTAAAGTGGTTTTGATTCCTTACAAGATCTTCCTGTTATACTGATTCAACCTGTAAAACCTTTGGCTGATGGAATACTGGTCTTACATGACAGGCAATAGCTTCAGGAAGAAAAAGCATACAGAGGTTTGACTGTAGTGCATGTGGGTGTTAAGATTATGTGCACTGAATTGGATTGCAGAATTTTCAAGTTTCTTTTTTTTCCCAATACTGTTTGTATTACCAGTGCATGTATGCTTTGTTTGTCAATTTTTCCTATAGGCTCATGACAGCCCTGTACGTTCAATGGTGTGGAGCCATGCAGATAACTGGTTGCTATCATCAGATCATGGTGGATTTATCAAGTACTGGCAGTCCAACATGAATAATGTGAAAATGTATGAGGCACACAAAGAACCCATAAGAGGATTAAGGTTAGACATCAACTCCAGGAACGAGATGGACAGTTTTTAAGAGCTGTTCTTTTCTGTATAGTACAAATTATAAAAGTTTTGAGAGCTAGATGAAATATCTTTTCCCCCTGCAATAATCTCTGAGAGTACAGAGGTGAAATTATTAAAGGGTAATAAAGAGTATTGCAGGACATTGTTTGAATAAATATTTCTCAGTGATTTTGATTTAAAAAAAAATTGCATACACTGTATTTACCAATTTTTTAAAATTATCAATTGGTTTATTTAGCTGGGATTTTGCAAACAGTGTCCTGCAGGATATACTACAGTAAATAACAATTTTGGTGGTATCATCATATTTTTAGAGATGCTTAAGCTACATTAAAAGAGGAGTATGGCTTAAGCATAATTATTTTTGTTTAGGTTATTAGTATTTGATAAATAAAGAAATAAATACATCTGATTTGAATAAAGAAAGTGCAGCTCACAAGATAATTCATTTCGAGAGAAAATAAAAGCAATCAATAAATTTACTGCTATACAAGATCCTTAAACCTCAGATTTTGAAACAGTTATAATCACAAATAGGAATCACAAGAGTTTTAAAGCTGTCAACTTTGATCATCAACATGTTTCTGACATGTTACTAATAGCTTGATCAGATTAGTATGCTTTGCACTGGTTGACCGTTCATCCAGTTCGAGCTAACAATCAGCATTCCCTCAACTGCCTGCTGAATCCTTTAATAGTGAAACGATGTATATTTGTTGTCAGCAGCTCATTCCTAACAATAACCCCTCCAGGAAAACCCTCGCCTAGAAAACCACACTATTGATTTTCAAAATTGTAGCTGTGAGCTCAAGTACAATATTATCTCATCAGAATCTCTATCTGGTTAGGCATTTTCAGCCAGGTCTACTACCATTTGAGAAACATAAAATTTCCAAGGCTGCTTTTTTTCCCTTTGTGAAATTTTTTTCTTTGAAATGATTAAGCTCGTTGAGGCTCTGATATTCTCACTTTATGAAAGGTTTGTCTGCAAAAATGAAATTTTCTCAACAAAATTATTAAAACAAGAACCAAGGATTAATTTCCAATACTTGATGAAAAGTTTTAATGTACACTTTTCTGACATATTAGATGAAAATCAAGATATCCCATGCACCTCTGTTTTTAGTATTGTCTCTAAATGAGGAAGCCAAAACAAACCTATCATTGCAAAATTTGAGGTAAGATGGCACTTTCACTTTCCATCTTTGGAAGCCTTTATGGTTGTGCACTGGTTAGCCATTCCAAGTGTAAAAAATAACTTGTAATTTTGTGATGAGTGTGGTACAATTATGACTTGATTATCCAGACCTCAATTACCCAGATTTTTCCATGATTGGGGCTTGCTCCACTGTTCCTATTTTAATACAGATACTTGAAATCCATCACAATTCTTTTCCATCAGACAAAGCACTTTTTGAATGTTTAGGTAGTGTTCAACATGGATGGAAAGAAAAAAACCATGTTGAGGCTTTTCAACTAATGCAGCCTCAAAGGATGATGGCGTTAGTGATGCACACTTGCTGTAGCAGTTTGAAACAAACTGATTTATGTCAACATGCTAGGTAGATGTTGAAGGTGGTAATTTTTCCTTTGCCCTCCAACTGATTTGAAAGGTTTCTTGTCCTCAGTGTGGAACATGATTCTGTATGTGGTTTTATCAAACTTTGATTTGTCGTCAACTTGCTTGCATTGCTTTTCACAGTTAACAACATGCATGTGATTTGAAAATGCAAGAGATTCGGAGAGTTTTTTTTGAACACAATGGTAAAAAATTACAATCAGAATTGTCAGTTGTTGAAAAAAAAAATTAGAATGCACTATCTTTGATGTTTTCCTTACTTTGTCCTCACCACATATCTGTCAGAAGTTGCTTTTTTGTGTGTGTTATGTTGGCCACCAGGAAATAGTGCAAAATTGACTGCAAATTTGTTTCTGTGGACAAGCACTAAGTAGAGGAAATTACTGGAGTATAGAGAATTTACAGTTTGCCCTGAGAAAATTAGAGAAAAAAGCCTTACCTGGCACTTGTTGGTTTCTGCCCCCCATAACTGATTTTTTGGCTCTATAAAAATATTGTTATAAAAAGCTTGATTAACTTTAAGACTGGTCAATGGTCAGGAACCATGCAGATATGTAGAGCTTAATTTAAACTATCTACCATACAAACTCTGTAAACACAGAGTTTTATGGAAGTTTAACAGGATTTGGTAAGGCAGCCACAAGTAGAAATGGTACTTATGGCTGTGTCTCAGTAAACGTAAGCTCCCATCATAGCCCAGAACTTGGTTGTTGGAAGGGTTGATAATGCTATTTGCTGAACAAATCTCCATCTGGTGAATGGCACAGGATATTTATTTACACTTAAATCTGCTGGATAGTGATTTATCCCTTGAGTAAGCATTATCCCCCTTTTCACAACTGTGTTTGGTTTGTTAGATTTAAGGTAAGTGCTGGTTGATGGATCACCTATTGTTAGATAACGTAAGTTTTCTTAATTTTTCATCAAAATTAAGCTACACTTTATTTCACTTACCCCTGTTAATGGTCAAGAAAACTTACTCAAACTCTCTACTAATTGCATGCAAAATTCAAATTGATGCTTTGCTCACATCTTTTACACACTACTGGGTATTTCTACCAAGGAATTAAAGGTCACTGACTTTCAGACTTGGACAGGGATCAACAGTGCAAGCAATCATTTGACAATGTGCTATCAACCTATCCCTGTTCAGATTTGTCTTGACCTGGAATATCAGTGCAGCATGAATTTCCTTAAAGCAGGATAAGAAAGAGTACATTAGATCATTCATTGGTTGGTGCATGGAGCATGTAGTGTTTTATACCATCAAGGATGGCTCTCCATGTTCCCCACCCATTGTCAACAGCTCCAAGGGACTGGGAAGGGTAGACAGCTTAAACCAAACTTCCAATCCAATCATCAATGAAAGAACAATTTTGCTTGAAAGTAATACCATCTAAAGGAGTCTGAGAAGATTTTCATAGTATAGTGTTGGGGATTCAGTGAAGCATCATAGGGGAGTGTCTAATGCACTGAACATGCAATCTGTGAGACTGAGTCAAAGTCCTATTCCCTTCTTTTAAATGGCATTGGTACCCAGCCTGCCTCCTGGTGAATTATTTGGGTTTTTATTTTTTGGTTAACACTCGAGTAGGAATTAGTTAATTGGAATAACTTAATTGGTCACTTTCTAAATCTGGTCCAGGGCTCAGTTTAAGTCTGGAACTTGTCCCAAAGAAATTTCCTTTGAAAGTGGACCTTGTTTTGAACTTTGTCCCCAGTTTTTCTGGAAAGAAAACATTTCATCTTGATTTCATACTCTCTACACCTATGAACTCCAGTGAAGAGCTAGTGCTACTCCCCACTAACAGTTCAGACTGGTGTCGTTTCCTCATCTGGGGGGGGAGAGGGATTGAAAAATTTAGTTATCCATAATCTGTGCTGTTAGGACCAGAGCAGTATGAATCAATGACATAGAAATTTGCCCAGGTGTCAAAGGTGTATCTGCCTGGTGTGGATCTGGAGAATTGATAATTTCCTTAAAACAACTTGTGATATTCCTCATTCAGAACAAATGTATGCTATGCTGCTGTGTATGATTTTGTACAAAAGAGTGAAGAATTGTGTTTGGAGTTACTTTACAGTTACAAATGAAACAAGGACATAGAGGAAAGGGCTAGGTTTTTTTTTTAAACTTTTTTACACCAATTCTAAAAATCACGGATATTCAGTTGTCAATCCATTGCCACCCTTTTCCTTCTTGCTCAGTACTTAACAAAAGTTTTTTCCATCTGCACTGGAGAAAAGTATGCATATGAGAATATAACTTAAGACCATTAGATTCCACCATTTTTTTCCCCTAAATTAATCTTTGCTTGTGGATGAAAGTTGCTATGTCCTGTTGAGTTGCAAATTTCAATTTAATGTTGTCCTGTACCTTTGGTCAGCATCTTATTGGAATTTAAGAGTATACCAGGTTGTTTTTCATTCAAAATTCATCTAAAACCAGTTGCATGCACTCAAGACTATCCCTTCTTAATTGTGGCCTACACCCCTTGAAATAAGAATCCAGTTTCCTTTCAACTTGCTTTTCTATTGAGTTTAGAGAACTAAACGGAATACGTAGTGGTTAATGCCTTGTATCTCTCTCGGTTCTCTGATCAGGTTTTCCCTGCAGTAAACTTGTGTAAGCATTTTCTTATTCTTCATCATAAGAACATGTTTATTGAAGGAAAAAATATTTTATTAATTTTTTTTGAGTGCGTGTTACTTCTCAGTCCTGTACATAATGCTAGCTGATTGTTGCGTGGAGTTCCTAGTTTTCAAACTTTAGATTTAAAAGCAAAAAAAGACAAAGGAGTAGTATGCTCAAAGGACCATATGATGGCTGGACAAAGGCTCTCTTTTTTTGCGTATTTATGGACCAAGACAAAATTGCGATCAGTATAAAGACAGAAAAAGGACAAAGTTAATGTCCAACCATCTTGACCCGGACAAGCTTGGTCAGCAGAGGATTTATTGTACTGCAAAAAGATTTGGTTTATTGAGAGTGAGGAATGACTTGTCTATTTTTGAGCTCTGTGAAAGGAAGCCAACTGTGATGCCATGTGCTTGTTTCTCATTTCACAAATTAAAAAGTGATATGATTTGATAGGCTTGCAATGACATCAAACGTCAAAATCTCAGTCTAATTATATGAGAAAGCTGCTAAATTACATACTCTATAAGTCTGCTGGCTCAATTTTTCCCATGTGCTGAATGAAAGCAGGTACTTACAAGTGAGCAAGATTGTGTAGTCAATCTAAACACAGATTTCGCTCCATCTTGATCAGGGCACTGCCAGCTATATAATAAAACTTAATATTGACTTAAAGGTTATACTGATATTTTCCTTCTTACTGCATTTTGAGAGTGCCAATAGTAGCTAAGCTAACTCCCTGAAAAATCATTTGCAAATGTGCTTTTATCTAGACCTTGAACACTGACATGAAAACAACTGAGAAACCTTTCTGATCATGCACCAAATGATGGAAACCAAAGCTGGTAGTTCAGAAACATCTGCCGCTTTGGTTACTGTAAATTCTTATATTTTTTTAGATAAAAAATGCCTTTAATATACAGTAGCTCTTAACTGTGCCAACATTGCTAGAGGTGTGAGACTTATCAACCTTGCCAATAAGCAGCCAAGGTACAAGGCAGCATATAAAATCACAACATATCAAGTAGAAATTTTGAATAGAATGAAAGACAAGCTTTTAAAGGTAGATTACTCTTTTGAATCTGAAAATGCTAGTTGTATGATAATTTCACACAAACTTTGTAAGGCAGAGATATATGCAGTTTCTGGATGATACTTTTTCTTTAATAATTGCATCGTAGCATAAAATGAGAATAGCCTCTTAAAGTGTAGCTAATGTTATTTTTATTTTCCATCTTAATCATAAGAATTACAATTTCCTCAATTGTGATTTATTTGAAAAACTCCTATTTTCCACTTATTGGACAATTTGTTATTGGACATTTTGTTATCAGAAGGTTCAATAAGCTAATCTCATTCAAAGTTGTAGTTTAAATCAACCAATCACATTCAAAGTTGTATTTAAAAGACTCCTATTTCTGCATCCTTTGTCGGTCTTCTGATGCAAATTTCCTCTTTCTGTTATAACTTGGCTATTCTTTTCTCAGAAATTGTAATTTTATGATCAATTGATAATAAGACTTTTTGACGTCTAATTCAGTCTGTAATCATACTTGCTGTAAACAAATCAGACTCCCCCTTTACAGTCGTCCTATTTTGTTATCACTTGTATCATTACAGACAGAATTGGACTCCAATTAGTCCTATTACCAGTACATTTTTGCTGTCATGTCATTCATACATGGTCCTATGTGAAGTTGAGTGATTTGCTCCCCTTTCAGCTTCTCTCCAACTGATCAGAAGTTTGCCTCATGTTCAGATGATGGTTTAGTGAAAATATGGGATTTTTACCGCTGTTCAGAAGAAAGAGTACTGAGAGGTAACATTCTCAAGGATGTTTTGTCCTAATCTTGCTAATCTAATCTCTTATCCAGCAAAAAATTAATGAGAATGTTCAAACTTATTGATATCTGCAGGTAGGAGTTGTTATCTTGATCTAGCACCACATTCTGGTATGCAAATGTGTAGCAACTAGATGGGAGAATTAACAATCAGATCTTTGAAGTTAAAGAGTAAGGGAGGTTGAGTCAATATATAGGTTGGAGTATGGGATTACAGAGGTTTTCAGAAGGGGTAGTGGTGGAAATCACACTGTAGGAGCTTGAGATCTAAATCTGAGAAAGTGCTACTGTCCCTTAAAAAAAAAACTAAACAAACCTGAGAGAGTGCAAGTAAATACAGTTATTATATACTTCTCAGATTCTTCACTGGTAGCTTTTATTTTTTGGTAAGAGGAGACATGTTCAAACCTTGTTTTTTACAGCTGATCGTTTTTTCCAAATATGAAGAAATACTCCAGATATATTATAACTTTGCATTCCCTTCCCTTTTTTTGCCATATTGCCATATGGCAACCTTTTTTTTCCCATTAATGTTAGCTTGATAAAACTGTCAACAAGAATCTTAACCCTTTACACCCTAAAATCAGTATGTATATTCTTCATACTGTCCTCTATGCATTTCCTATAGTGCTGACAATGACACTTGTTTTAATAATCAAGAGCTTCTTTAGTTGATAATCATCTCCTTTATTATAATGACCTCAGTAAATGTTTGATTTGGCTGATATTGTAAGGAGAAATTAGATGCTAGTTACTCCAAGGAGACAGTGGGTTAACCAGTAGTAATGTTCAACATATCAACCATTTCTTCAGGACATGGAGCTGATGTTAAATGTGTAGACTGGCATCCAACCAAGAGTCTTGTAGTGTCTGGCAGTAAGGACAGTCAGCAGCCAATTAAATTGTGGGACCCCCGCACTGGATATGCACTGACAACTCTGTAAGTTTGATCATTTACAAAAGAAAAGGCTCAAGCAAAACAAGGATACTGATACTCTTTTTGTGATCCTTAGAGTTACCAATTTATGGTAATTTTTTCTTTGAACAGAGGCATTTAGGGATGTTCCCAACAGAAACTCAACATAGACCAGAATTAAGCATCATGGAAAATTGCCAAGTAGTTAAAAGATTATCAGTAAAATACCCTATTAAACTTTACATTTTTTCTTGTATATGCTATGTAACTTTCCTCTGATGATTTTGGGTAATTTTTTCCCAAGACATGCTCACAAGAGTACAGTAATGCAGATCAGATGGAATCAGAATGGCAACTGGTTATTAACTGCTTCGCGGGATCATCTCTTAAAGTTGTTTGACATTCGAATGATGAAAGAAATGCAAACATTCAGAGGCCACAAGAGGGAAGCCACAGGTAGAAATAATGTGACCTTTGAAATACTTCATTTTATGTTTTTTAAAGCATTTCTCTGGGACATTGGACCAGTCTAGGTTGATCCATAGGGGGAAAAGACTGTGACCTTGGTCTTGAGTACTGTTGTTTTTTCCATACAGACCACCTGCTATCTTTTGTTATTTCATGCTCGTCCAGAAGGCATCCAAACCCCTTTCCCTTCACAGTGATTTTTTGGTAACATTTGAAATCGAATAAAGATGAATATTGATTAGGGGATTACTACTTGATCCAGTACCAAATTCTCAGACTAAAATCTTAAGGATTGTATGGCAAATGGTAACATGAATCACAAATTAGATCTTGAGAATGAATGGCTTAAAGGAGTTGCAGACACACTTGTACAGAACATGTTGTAAAGAGTTTGTGGAAGTATTGTGAATACAAGTAGGATTTAATTTGTCATTTAAACAATGTAATCAATAGAAATAATTTTTGCACCCACTCTGAAAATGAGCCACTCTGGTGTAATGAGAGCTGCAATTGCCATTCACCTCTCACTGTTGAAAGGTACCAAGTTATGGATCTAATATGTGCTTTGAAATAATTTGAAAATACAAGCTTGATATTTTAAAGGATTCACAAAGTTAAATCTAGAAGTTGCTATTGCAGGATTCCAAGTCCTTACCCTCCTACTTCTAGTGATCCTTCATTAATTTCCCAGGTGACTGAGAGAAGTATCACGTGTTTTAGATTCTCAATAACAAGATAATTTCATCTTTTGTAGCAATCAGCTGGCATCCTGTTCATGAATCTCTGTTTGTCAGTGGTGGTTCTGATGGTTCAATGATGTTTTGGGTTGTTGGGTAAGTTGGCTTGAAACTGGAAAGAGGACCACCTTCAGGGATGGATGTAGTGGAGGGATCTGGGGGTGCACATCCCCCACCCCCTCTGAGAGGACCTTTGGCTTTTTGATACAACCAATATTTTGCCAAAGAAAAAATAATTTTTGGTTTATTTGTGTTGAAGTAAAACATGAGACAAGGTTGGCAAATTTATGTTAACCAAAATGGTATGTTTACAATAAACATTGTGCAGTCTGCTTCAAGGTTATACAAAATCTATGGTATGGTTTGCTATGTATTCCTAGCATTACACAATATGTTACTGCCTTGTTACAAACCTTGTTGGTTGTTTGCTTTTAAAATTTGTTTTGCAACTCATCAATTTTGTTGTTCCATAGAGGTGCACCCTCTCCAGAGAAAAATCCTGGGTCTGTCCCTGAACATATTAACCTTCTCTTTTCATTCAGTGCTTTACCCTGATTTTGATATTTCCTACTTTTTTAAGTATAGATTTGAAACAATTGGAGATTATCATTGTTTGATTTAGGGCTGAGAAAGATGTTGGAAACATGGAGATGGCTCATGAGGGAATGGTGTGGAGTTTAGCATGGCACCCATTGGGACACATCCTGTGTTCAGGATCTAATGATCACTCCAGGTAAGACAAGATGGAGTGTAACAAATTTCAAGTCGGTTGAATGTTGACATCTTGATATGTAGAGGACTGGGAAGGGTCTCTTGTAGAATGAAAGTCTCCATTTGGCTATAATTGAAGCTGACTCTGTATCTCTGTTAATTTGTTCTTCATGAAGACATGAAGACAGTATAAATAGAGTTTTTCTTTTCCTCCCTTCCCTCAGGCCCCCATTGTTTTCTGTTGCTTGTATTGAATATTAATCTCTATTAATATGAATCTAGAAATTGATAACTGAGAGGTCTGGACTGGGTACAGGCAGGGTACATTTTAGACTTTTCCTTAAGATTGAGCAATTTGTTCAGCAAGCAATTTAAAAACTTTGGTAGTGTTAATGGCTCTGCACCTTGCTTGCACATTTTAATTGCAAAATTACTTAATATAATACGGCTTAGGTATCTGTACACATGTTATTAGTAATCAAGCAAGCAAGCAAGCAACAAGTTATTTCTAGCTTCTAAGAAAGTTTTAGTTTCCCTCCCACTCACACCATCGACAGTTTTGATTGTTCCTTAATTTCATTTGTGTTTTTAATTTATTTATGATTACTAGACTGTTGTTTTAGTGTATTCATCAAATATCCTTTTTGTAATAGTTTTATGTGAAATTTACATAGGAAATATACATTAAATAAACTGTATGGTCCCAAAACATGCCTCTGTCTGTTGTGGTGTTTAGGTAGTTCTTAATACCTTGTCTGAAATCCAGCCTAGCATTACTTTTGGGATGTTTGCAATTGGGGATTAAACTAGAAAATACGAAAATGCAAAACTAAAAGTGCTATTTTGATTACTCTGATCATCAAGAAATTAAAGCTTCTTTGTTATGTCCAAAAAACTCAAAATTAATTTTGTTGGATAACCTCAACTCACTCTTCATTTATCTTGTATCACCCCATAGTAAATTCTGGACACGGAATCGACTTGGTGACAAAATGAGAGACAAATACAATCTAAACATTGTGGACACTGAAGATGATGTTGGTGAGTTCAATGTATTTGTCTGTTTGTTTTAAGCAACAACATTAGAAATGGCCAAAAGAAACTGGAAATGTAAATTATTTGCACTTTACTCATTTGTGTTTAATTGAAAGAGATGACAAATGAAGGTTCATTGTGATATTTCATGCCCCTTTCTTAACATATGTCCTAATTGCAGGCAATTCTCTTTTCTTGTTCTCATTGATGTGTGTGTATATTCTGGTTGGTGTGTTATTTAGCTTTCTTTATACCTTCATCTGGGGTTTTCATAAATGACTATTCACAAATTTACAAAGTGGACCTTTCTAATTCTCAGTCTTTCACTACAAAGATCTCAATAATAATTCTCCTTACTGTCTGCCATACAATTCTTGTGATGTCATTTTGGAGGTTTGTTATTGGATCAACTACATTTAACTACCCTAATTGATATTTTTTTAAATTTCTTGTTACTTGTCTACTTGATATTGTATTTATATTGTGAAAAGAAATTCTGTTGTGATCACTCCTGTGTGCTAAAGGGTTAACTACATAGTACATTCCACTACTTCTTGGTGTGCGTGTTAAAATCTTATGACCTAAAATGTTTGAAAGCAAAACTACTGACGAATTTAACAGGCTAATTCTGACTTGCAATAATTCAAATTTCTCTTCTGTGGAATTCAACATTTATTTGGCTTAGAAATGCACAAAAATATAAACTCGGATTTATGAGTTAGGGAGAAGGCCGGATCAAATATTTCTTACTGTCAAACATTCTTTCTGAAAAAAATAGACTAATATTTCTATGATATTATCTCCACAGATGGTGACCACCCAGGTATTACAACTACAGCCATTCCAGGAATGGACACAGCATTGAACCCAACTGAGGATGTTCCAGATATTGACCGATACAATTTGGGAGAAAAAGGTTAGTTATTAAGGGTGGTGCACATGTGTTCTCTTCTTCAGAGGACATCAAAGTTCCACTGAGAGTAATAAGTAACTGGCTACTTTAGTATCTATCAAGGAGGTTTTGTAAAAATGTTGAGTATGTCAAGGGTCGTCCTTGGACTGAAAACTGTTCCGACAGGAAAGAGAAAAATTGATACTCTGGCAAGTCTAATGCCACCACCTTACTTTTTGATATACGCCACTTATTCACTATTTTTCAATTGGCTAATGATAGAAGATAAATAGATTGATTAAATTTAATGATTTAATCAATCTATTTATCTTCTATCATTAGCCAATTGAAAAATATCATCAGGTCATCACCTATCACTTACCTGCGGAATTTCCTTATAGTATTGTTTTTTTTTCCTGTTGCAGGTCCTTCATTCGGCCCTGGTAATTCACTAACAAACAGGGCCACCCCTACCCGACCACGGCAGGTAGAATCACAGAATCCCGGATTCACTTTACCGAACTTCAAAAATAGTCCAGGAATTCCAGGCCTGGGAGAAATAACCCCAGCTGTTGAAAATGGAAATTCATCTTTAAGGCCAGATGCACCGGCTTTCAAGCCTGCAAGGCCTGGAGAAAGGAACCACATGGGGCCATTTGAACCGCCGGCTCCCCAAAGACATTCCAACCAGAACATTCCAAACTTCCAACCAGAGAAAGATCCAAGACAAATTGATGGACCTCAAGGGAATCATTCTCAGTTTCCTCCTGGTAGACCCAGAGGGGACTTTGATCTTGTGAAACCTGGAAGAGAGTCTTGGGAAGAGCCCAGAGGTGCTCCTGATTGGCGTGAGCAGGGCCCTAATGATTTTGGACACCATGGTAGGGACTTCAGGCCCGATGAGGGTGGACCAAATTTTAGAGGGCCTCCTGGCGACAGGTTTCACAGTCCAATGTCTGACAGGCAAGGACTCTTAGGATCACCCCCTAAGAATCTTGAGATGGACTCAAGGCCTGGATTACTTGGAGCTCCACCACCACAGCAGCCCAAACCACTCCTGCAGGGGCCTAATGGACCTCCAGCAGGCACAGCAGGACCAACAGGAAATGACTTCCCACGTCTAGGTACATTGGCAGGATCGTTCCTTTCGCGGAAAAGTAGCAGTTCTTCGTAGATAATAAATTGGTGCAGCAGAGCAATCTATAGTTTTGAATTTTGTTGGGCACAACTAAAATTTTGTCCTATTCTCGATGCGAGCATGGGAATTAACCAGTTTTTGAGCCATCAAGTGTTAATCATACACGGGTCGGGGCAAATACCTTCCAAATGTGGTATCTTGCGCGCAGACATGTTGAGCGTACAAGCGTGACGTGACCATTTCTCATCCATGCCTCCAATCACACAAAAAACTCCATAGAGCGCTTTTGAAAGGATGAATTAATTGCATTTGTGTGGTCTATGCCGTAGTCTCGCGATGAATTTGGTAATCCTCCACATTCATGTATTTGTCATTGACTCAAAGACAAACAATAACGCTAACAGCACACTTGCTAAGGCAATGGATTTACCATAGAATGATTACATCGTTTCTGTTTATTTATTTTGTTTCTTTTAAATGGGTACAGGTCCTGGACCCAACAAGGACCCCAGACAAGACCAAGGATCTTGGCGACCACACCCTAATGAACGTGAAGGAGACAGAAACGAGCTGTCACCGAGATTTGATATGAGTGATCCACGCAGGCCTCATCCACATGACATCAGTTCGAGGGGCTTCAGGAGAGGTGCTCAGCGAGGACGGGGGCATGACTCGCCACCTCGTCATGGCTCTGATATGGAAGGGCCAAATCAAAAAAGCTTCCCTCATCCACAAAGTCATCCATTCCTTAGCAAACTTAGTTCAAGAGGTTTTAAGAGCGGTGTTCAAGGAATGCACGAAAATAGGGATCCCAGATGGGCAGCCCCTTCAGATGAGCCCCCACAGGGAAGGGGCCCTGATGAGCCACCTGGTTAGAAGTGTTTCTGACTGTTATAATGTTTAGTGGCTGAGTTTTTGTCTTTGAATCTGCAACGAGTGCAAGGTTCATTTACAACAGAAAGTCGTTGATAAAATCAGCGTCTGGTTCCTGTACTGAGTTGGTGGTTGGATGGACGAGTTTGAAAAAATAGGTCAGATCAGATAACAGAGTAGAAGCTCCCTCCCCTACCCTTCGGAGCTTATCCAGGTTTCAGTGGATGAAGCGACCGGTAGAAGTGTCTCTCGAGTGTGTGCGAATTCTTACTTTTCAACCATACCTATGTTCGTAATGTTAGTTGTGAATTTAACGCTTTTCCCTTTAGGTCTTTTTAGCCGACGAGATAGCTGGGGATCCCCGCACGACCCCCGTGTACAACAGCGAGATGAGCCTCGGGATCCCCGCATGATGAGGGGCCCAGGAGGGCCCCCATCAAGACCAGATCAAAACCCCTCTAACGCAAATGAGAATAAACCAGTCATACGGCCGCTGATGAGTCTCAGTCCTCCGCCTTTGCCTCTCGGACAGCAGGGATTTGATTTCGATCTTGGTCTTGGGGAAGACTCGTGGAAAGGACCTCCAGACAGACGGGGCAGGAAGCGGTCCCTGGACCAAGAAGGATTCAGGGACGATCGTGATAGAGGACCTCCCAAGGCCTTGCGACCGGAGGACGAGTGGAGAAGGGGCCCAGGTGAGGGATCATCGGTCTCACAACTCGTGTTGATTTTTTAGTGCTTTGGCTTGCTGTTTTGGCGAAGGATTATGTTGGTTCTGAGTAGTTAAAGATGTTTAGGGTGATTCATTCGAGTTGCGTTTCGTTTAACAGTTATATAGTGTGATTATGGACAGTTTATGTGTTCAGCAGCTGGCTTTTAAAGCGCGTTTAAACTTAATGTGGAAAGTAAACCGGCATTGCATTTTGTTGGCGTAAACTCGCTTAGGGTGGTCTCGAACTGAATATTTTCATGAGGTCTCGGCATTCTGGGAGGACTTTACTAACAGTACTTAATTTTTTTCGAATTAGATGGATATCTCAAAGCTGGAACCATATTTAAATAATTATTGAATAACCAAAAGGAAGAAAAGCGAAAAGGCGGAGGATCATTTCATCTATTACTGACTTGACGATTGAGGTTTTTTTCTCGACTACCGCGTCGTTCGTGGCACGCCGTGTATAGTTAGTGATTTACGTTTCAACGTTAGGAGTGTCGTTTTGCACTGAGTCATTTTCGGATAAGCTGATCCCATACATCAAGGGTATAGCCCTCGCCTGGTGTTTCAAGTTGCTTTAATAAATTTGCATTTTATTTCTGAGACACAAAAGTTTAATTGGCTAGACATTCTATTGTGGTTTGTTACGATACATGTCAAAGTGATCTGAAGACAAACATGTCGTACCTCAGCTTGCGTCTTAATTGACATAATTTTTTTGTCTCGCTTACTTGACATTTCTAATCTGAAACGTACCTTGCTTTGCTAGAGTGCTTTTCTTTCTTAGAAAAGATAGGAAATGTTCTTTTCTTCTTCTATAGATCAAGGTCCACCGGACGGTTGGAGAGGACCAGATGAACGTATGGACGATGGACCCTGGGGCGATTTTGGATCCGAAGCAGATGGTTCTATGAGAGGGAGAGGAAAGCCACGAGGAGGGAGGAGAGGGCGGGGAGGAAGAAGATAGCAGCTGCTACCAACCATCACCCTTTGAGTACGTCATGTATGCGTACTCAGTTTTGCCAGGAGGTCTTGTCTCTTTTCAAAAACATTTTACACAGGCTGTGGTGTCGAAGCTTGTAGCGTACATCGTAATACCAGCACCGTTTTTTCATACTCCTCATGTCATAAAGGCAAGCCAACTGACAAGAAGTTACTGCTGAACCTGTGCGACTTAGTGATGAGGCAGACGGTGAACATAACGTTGTTTGCCATACGAGAAAGATCAGTATTCCCGGTATTGTTTTAACTGGATCGTTGTTTTACGGAGCAAATATTGTTTGTTCATCTGCTGTTTGCTAGTAGTTTACTTTTCCTTGGACAGTTTTTGCGTTAGAAACTGCTTGTTTACTTGTTAAATACGTGATTTAACATTTAATATAACTGAAAACGCCCACAGCAATACAAAACAAAATTCGAAAACATCACCAACTCAAACTGCCTCCAGCGGCTTTGAATGGGATATTTAGTAATCGATGTATATGACCACATCACTGGAAACACTGTTCTGATAATATTATAAATTCTCACAATTAACTTAACAGAAAATATAAGAAATATAGTTGAGAGAATTACTGTTGCAGTCTAGATTACTTAAACGTTTGTCTTCTTAACTTTAGTAAAGCTATAAAATAAACATACCTGAAAGTATCTGCGTGTTTTTTTAACCTTCGGACGTTCTAAAATATTTCGTAGGAAACACGAAAGTTAATGTACAAGAGAGAACGAAAAGTGACCTCCCTTGCCCCGGTTGTTCGAAGGACGGATAACGCTATCCACCGAATAAGTCGCCATCCGGTGGATAGCTCAATAATATATGTTAACAATTATCCGCTAGTGACGTAGTGATTCTCCGTAGGATAGCTTTGAACTACAGTAGTGGCGGACTTGAGTGAGCTCTGTTTGGAAATAACAGCATGCTTTGGTAGAAGACCTGGAAATGAAGGGCACCTAAACATCTCTAGTCTTTGAAACATATCTACCATCGTTTGATGATATATAGACGAAAGATGGATGGAAACGGAGGTCGTGAAACAAATGAAAGGGAACGCGTTCCTCAGGGGGATATTGAGATGTATGGTTCAATCATCGAGAGGTATGTGAGAAACTCCTAAAAAACTGCTCTGATTTTAGGGTGATAATCTTTTCCTTGTGTTTGATATTTTTTTAGCTAGCTTAGCAACTTGCTAATGTGAATTGTCCCAATAATTTGAAAGGAGATTTCTTGGAAAGATCTACTTAAGGATACCTTAGGGCAAGAGGATGTCTTGATTTGAACAAAGAAAAAGGGACATTTTACCCGCGGCACCATGCAAATTCGCGCTCAGGAAATGATAGTTGCACTACATGACGGGTGGCATGCAGAAAGTCTCTGTTGCTAGCATTATTGACCGATTATATTTTCTATGGATGAACTGGTTGCTGGGCTATCTGTAAGACGGATTGACGGAGTATCTAACCAAGCACGGACTGATTGACTTTCTGACCGACTGACCGACTGACCGACTGACCGACTGATTGACTGACTGTTTGATTGGACACTTTCGTCTTATTGCGGACCCTTACGTCCCTGTTTTGAAAAGTTCCGCCACCTATTTCACTCTCCTTTCTTCGTCCAATTTTTGGACACCAGCGTCAGGTTTTAGACGGCTTCGTTCCATTTTGGAAATTTGCATCCGTTGTTGTCTAGGACTCCAGCTCTCCTTGTGGGTTGTTCCTTCCGGGTTTTTGGCGAAAGGAGACTGGTGATGGACGAGAGAATACAAAATGGCAGTATCCCTCGTAGAGAGGAGAGAGACTGGAGGGCGTTATCGATTTTACTTTAGGTTCATATAATCTACAAGATCGATCATGACTGCTGAAAACCCTTTTGTCTTGCTGTTCTTGACTTTAAAAGGACGCGTTTCCTCGCTTCGGTTATATTTGCAAGGAAGGAGAGTGCCAACGGAGAGCTCATCCCTACACGAGGAGTAGCTAATGTTCATGTGAACCGCATCCATTTTGGCCTTCATCACGCGTCACGTGTAAACCCATTGCCACTCTCATAGAGCTTGAAGCATTTACTATCATTGTTGGGTAAAATAGTTTCGCAATTAGTCATTGATTTAGGACTGCAGAACTTATCAATTAGGTAAAAAGTATTTGATAAATGGTCATCTTGGAGCGTGTGACAGATTTCACAACAAATTCCACCAATTTCAACCAGAGAATTGGTTCACCGAAGCGATCGCATTTTGGAGCACTGAAAACGGGAAATATTGGTTTGAAATACGTAGAAGCCTTAAATTTTGTAGAAAAAAATGGCTACGAGCCACAACCCTCACCCTTTACCCCGTCGACCCTTCTCACCCCACCTCTGTAGTTACCTACCAGACCCCATGAGGGGGGGGAGCGGTTTCCTCAAGGGGAAATGATAGGCAACTACAAACCTTTTTCAAATGTTTATAAACAGTAATCCTATCAAAAATATGGAACCCTCGGAACTTGTTGAACAATTTTTTAAATATCTCCTCAAACAATAACTCTTCCTTCTTTCACTTTCAAATGTAATCCTACCAAAATGCCTTGGGGAAGATATGAAACCCTCGGAACTTGTTGTGATTGATTTATTCAGGGAGCAAAGGGCGAGGTGAAAACTGTCTGTGAAAATTAATTATTCATTCATGTTTGTCTCACACCTTCGGTCAGTGTGACATGTGGTTTTAAGGAATTATACAGTGTTTTGCTTCTTTGAACAGAAACTTGACGTATTCTGCAGGATTCTGCGCTCGACTACTTCTAAAAGTATGATTTCTACTACGACTGTTTCCTTAACTCTGGTTAAGAGGCCCAAATATGGAGATACTAGCGGGCTTCTGTAAAATACCAGTAGCTTCACATGAGGTGAGAAAGAAATTCGTCATGTGGTGACCTCTTCGAAGGTCTCGTCCAAACACGTCTGTCAAATGAATCATTTGCAGAATTTTCATAGGTTATTTACTTGTCGTTGTGTTTAATTCTAGTACTTTTCTTTTTACTTATTCTCAAATGTTGTTTCAATCAAATCTTTGGAAAGTTACATGAAAAACTTCTTCATTAAAATTTATCTCGTCTTAAAATTGTTTGTCCTTCACAGTTTAGCAATACATATATCTTGCGTCTTTGTGCTCTGGACTTATTTAGTTACCTAACAAGTAAATAACTGTTCCTCTTGCAATTGAGTTTTGTTTTCACAGCTTTATGGTAAGAGCTTCGGTGCTCTTAGTTTCAGTGTGTAACACAGCTTATAAAAAATACATAAGAATAACTAACTTAAACCGACAAATGAATACAGCTTCTCATTCCCTATTCTGAATATAAATTTTTTTGGTTAACGTCTTTAGGACTGCAGAAGAGGGAATCACATGGACTGTAAACTCTGCGAAGTCAAACATGGATTCAAATATCCACTCAATTGCAAAAACATTGACAACCAAAAGGGGTAAGCAATGAACAATGAGACCCACAATATTTTCATAATTAGTATTTGGATCTAAAAAGCGTCGTAGAACAAATATGTAATTTTTTCACGAATCACGCCAAAACAAAAGATAAGTTACTATATTTTGAGAGTAGTTTTAAGCACTGAACAACTCCTTAACACCGTCTCAACGTAAGTAATATGCTTTTTGAACAAGCACAATAATTTTTCAAGAGATTTTAGTCTGATGGTTGGGATAGGGGAAGCTCTGAAAAGAATTATTGCTAGTAAAAAGACGGACGTTTCGAGAACTTGACGGCGACAGTCTTCTTCAGATTTATCGAAGAAGTTACTTTTATTGGAATGTTGTTAGTCTGGTTACTTTTGTTGAGTATCTCTAACGAGACCACCAATGACACTTTAGAAAACACTGACCTATTCCAACAGACGACTTCTCGAATAATCCTTCCAGCCGACGCCATATAAAGACCCTAACACCCAAACAAGACCAGTAGTACAAGTTTGCAACATACCACGCAGCTTATCTCACGAAAAAGAAAAAGAAATAGATAAACGAACTCTTGATGGTGTTTTTTTTCTTTGTTTCTTTCTTATTTGTTTGTTTTCGGTTTATTTGGCTTGTCATGTCGATAATCAACATCTTTATTGGATTTGCAGAATAGAGGGACGGAAATGGAAACTGTTACGTAATAAAAGGACTGGAAACAGGGACTAGGAAACGAATGAAGTGAAGTAAAGAAATCAGTTAAATGTGAGTTGTTCAATTTGTTGTTTTGTTGGTAAATAAAGGCAATCCGTTGCAATGTCATGCGCCGGTCAATTCGAAGCTTCAACATTCCCCTGGGTAAACCCTGGGTATTTGACTGTCGCATGTGCCCGGGGGTGAGGAGTTTAAACCTTGCCTGACTGGGGTAACGAATAAGAATCGGAAGTGTCAGGTCTCTCCAGCAAAACACACGTTTTTCAGGTGTTTAAAGGTAAAGAGTTCACTTTTGCAAGCGAATGGCTCAGAACAAAAGGTGCAAGTTTGAAAGCTTGGTGAACGAGTAGAGTCATGGTCGCTAATTTTGCCTTTTAGGAAAAAATTGACCCTCAAATCCCGCCCTTATGTGTTGGATTTGAAGACAATTGTGGTCCCGGAGGGGGGGGGGAGTTGAACGAACAAATCTTCAAAATTTCAAATGCCTGGGGGCTTGCCAGGGGAAATATTGAAGCTCCGAATTGATCGACGGATAGATCAAGGAAATCCATTACAATGTGACTTGGAGAACCTGGCCAAAATTTTCTACGAATTCTACCATAGGTTCAACTATTACAAATTATTAAGTTGGTGTAAAGACATTAGTTGCCTTTTTACCTCTCATTGCTAAGCTCCAGGAATATTGCAGATTGTTGCAAAAGTTTCAAGACTGAAAATTAAAAACCATTGTAAATTCCGATTTTCTTACGGTAGAAAAATTTTCAAACAAATAAACTGCAGTGTCGAAGAAATTTGAAAAGTTACTTTGCATAATGGCATGGAAATTTCGTAAAGCAATCGAAAGGTTGGCTTAGAATTACTCAGATGTAACTCAAATATGTGGTAGAATCAAATGTAAACATAAATTTCATCTGAAATGAGCTCATAGACGTGGTAAATTGCTAAATTTCGTGGACATTTTTAACCAATCAAACATTGATGACAACTAATATTGTTTAAAACCAAATTATATACCGTTTAAACATTGAAAAGGATTTTTTCGAGATCGTGCAATGCGAGTGTTTTGGGAAGGGCATGTTTCTGGGAGAAAGAAAACATTTTTAAGCGAAAACGGAAATGTGATATTCTTCAACTTTGTAAGGAAAATCGAGGATATCCTGTGGACAAGTAATTTACTGTTGAGCCATAAATAGTTTTTGGAAATTAATTAGACAAATTGTAATTTCTTTAAATCCTCAGTTTCAAAATGAGGCATCTAGTATTTTCAAATAACGGATACATCGATGACGAATTAAAAAATTTAAAACTTCGGGAAAGTTTTTGGTGAGGAAAAGGAATTTGTTGGAAAGCTGACGAGTCTTCAGTATTTCTTAGAGAACAAACTAAATTTCCCTTTTTCTGTCTACTTTTCGTGCGGCGCAAGAAAACTTTGGTTAGAAATACAAATACCGTAAACTGCCACTTTTAAGCCCTCCTTCC